CCAGAAGACCTAAGCGAACAGTTCGCAGCAAACCCCCACCTACCACTGATCAGCATAAAATGCAAGCCACACCACTTCGGCGCCAGCGTCGCCATCCTTGGAGACGCAGCCCACGCAGTCCTACCATTCTACGGCCAAGGCTTAAACGCAGGCCTGGAGGATGTTCGTGTCCTCTTCGAGCAACTTGACAAGCATGGAGTCTACGACCCCAACTCAAGCGTCTACACACGAGGTCTGAAGCGTCAGGCTGCGTTTCAAGCATACACAGACCAGCGCTGCGCCGATACGCACGCCATCAACGATCTATCGAAGGAGAATTACCTCGAGATGCGCGCGGGCGTCAAATCGCCACTCTACAAGCTGCGCAAGGCCATCGAAGAGACGATAGATCGCCGTTTCCCATTCCTCGGCTGGAAGACGCAGTATGCTCGTGTTAGCTTTAGTAATCAGCCGTACTCGGAAGTCGTCCAGGCTGTTCAGCACCAGAGCGATATGCTTGGCCTTGGTTTGACTGGAGTTCTCGTCGCTGGTGCTGGTGCTTTGTCCATCTTGATGTGGAGGTACCCCAGGTATTGCTCGCCTGTGTGGCTGTTTCGATACTCGCGGCATCTGGCTTGTGTTGGGTTGAGGGCTTTCCGCAATTTCACTCATATCTAGGAATCTTGGTGAGTTTGACCGAGGTTGGTATTTGGAGGGCGTGGTGACATGCATGCCTCTTGATCATTATGATCCAGTGAATTTCCCATTTTTCTTTTCGTCTGCATCTGTACAGTTTCTCTCCTGTGTCTTCTAGAGAACATAAAATTTGAGCCAAGCAATTGATATAGGACATATCCCTTTACGGAAGTTGGACGTAAAATTACCAACCTAAGTTCAGCCTAAGTTCAGCAGGCTTCTGTACACAAGAAGACGTGAACTTCGGACAGGAAAGATCCAAAAATTTTATCCAAGCCTGAACGCCTTGATTAGGCTGGTATAAAACTAACTAGCACAAATTCTTTAATCCCAATACTTGATAATACCATCTAACCCACCAGTAACCACCTTACTAGTTTCCTGGGGATGCCAGTCCAGACAAGTGACAGCACCACCCTCCTTCCCACCAGCCTGGATCTTATGATACAACTTGCCAGTCTTCCAATCCCAGAAGCAAACATAACCACCGCTATCACCAGAGACAATGAACTGTCCATCAGGAGAGATCTTGAGATCAATGGCATAGCCAGCATTGTTGTGGCCACGGAAACTCTTCTTCCGGTTCTGACGGAACTTGTCCGTGGCGCCGTAGACGACGATTTGGTTGTCGCCTGACTGGAATGCGACATACTTGCCGTTGGGATGGGCTGCCGCGCGTGTGAGCGCGAACATGTATGGCTCGGCGATGAACTTGATTGGGACGGGAATTCCGTATTCCCAGGCGCGCAAGGACTTGTCATCTGAGGTGGAGATGAATCGTCGGTTGTCATCGACGAAGGTGATGGTGTTGATCGCTGCCAGGTGGTGGTCGTATTCTTGAACCAACTCGCCGGACCGTGTGTCGAATTGAACGATCTTCTTGTCGGACATACCGGCCAGAAACTCGTGTGAGTGCTCTGCGCCAGGGTTGAAACGGACGACGTGTGGTGTCTTGCCAGTCGAGAATCGTCCGATGCACTTTCCATATTCGGTGTCCCAGAGCTTCATTTGTTTGTCGTATGAAGCTGTGAGGAACGTCTTGCCTGATGGGTGGAAGTCTGTGTCTGAGATTGCCTTGTTGTGGCCGGAGAAGGTCCGTAGGAGCTCCCGGGAGTGATACACGTCCCAGATCTTGGCCTTTCCATCGGCAGCCGACGAAAGCAGCAAGTGGCCAGAGTTTGGCATGAAACGAAGAGAAGTGATGGGCTTAGTGTGTGATTTCCAAGTTTGAACAAGCTTCTTCGGCACGTAGTTCTTGATGCTGCCGGGTTCCTTGCGCAGATCGATGTCCAGATCTTGGGGAACATGCATGTATGTGCGGCCCTGGTAGTCGAACTCCTCCGAACCGTGGAACTCGGTAGTCTCCTGCTTGGACAGGTCACCCTCGTACTCGGTAGCTTCCTTGCTCATGGCTGGCATGGGCGCCGCGGTAGCCAGGGTCTCGTCTTCCTCGACGTATTCCTCGTCGCTAGCAAGTTCGCGATCGTCTTCCGCGTCAACCTCGACCAGATCATATTGCTGATCATTCGTGTATTTCGCCCAGGGTCCTAGATATGCGCCCTCGCCTTCCACAATGCTGGAGTCACCCTTTTTTTGGCGCTTTGTCCTCCAAGCTGCGGATTGGCCCTTGGTAGGCTTCATCTGCACAACATCCCGACCTCCAAATTGAGCCGCATTTTCAAGATTGCCGACAAACTCTTCCGGTCGCGTGGGATTGCGTGTGTAGCCCAGACTCTGGAACGTGCGATGTTGCGCCGCGAACGTTGACTCGCTGATGGCTGCCTCCTCGGCGAATCCAGTAGGGACATTCTTTCGCTTGATACCATTTCCTGGGCCCGAGCCTTTGAATGGGTTGACGGGGCCCTGGGAGGGACGTGTGAGATCATCGTATGTGGCGTTGAAGGTGAGGGCTTGGGAAGAGGTATTGGCGAGGGTCATCTGCATATGCGCTTGGTCCTGTAGGATCGTTAGTCTTATCTGCTCGTAAGTTTCCAGACACAAAGACCAATTTGACGAGAAGGGAAGGGGGAGTAGTGGGGACCAAACCTCTGTATTCACTTCTGGTGCAGCGACGACCTTGGTTGCGGCTGTCGCAGAAACGTTTGTGTCATCATCGCTGGAGTCGTAACCAGCGCCCAATAGGCCCGACATGATGGGATTGGGGAATATGCAAGGTACACAATTTCCAACACCTTGTTAAAGAGAGGCGCAGTCTGGTGAAGTCGGTTGAAGGATGGGAATTTTACGGGCGTCGGGAGAGCCGCGAAGTGAAGGCCGCGGAACCGTCAAGCTCTATCTACCTTAGCCCGATAGTGCCCCAACTGGTCTATAGCTCTTAGATCAGCCTAACAAGGTCCTTTAAATTGTGCACTTCATTTTTAGAACTTAATTCCAACCTAGACAATAACAAGTCGAGAATCTTGGGTATCGTACGCTCTTCATTGCCAACCGCATGGGAGGTATATACAATTCACAGGCCGAAAATTGGCTAGATCAACACAGAAAAATAATTCAAGACAAACACAAATGGCAGGAGAGGTCACATGCACCACCACGAGTCAATCCCCGTCCGAATCAACCCAGCACACCTCCGGCTCAAGACACTTCAAGCGAAATATCTATTACATTCTCACCACTGCACTCCGCATTCTATCTCAAGACTGAAAGAAATCGTTGCTCATCCCTAGTCATGGCAGCTCAAAAGATAAGAAATGGCCCTGATATACCAAGCTATATGGTGTCGTCGCTGCCATGGGGTTGTGGTCATGTTCGAATGCGAGCCAAGCCGAAGATAATGTCCAGAGAGCACCATTTCGGGATTCCGTGACAACAGTCCAACGACAGGCGACCCTTTCTAACCAGGACGACCATGGCGCATCGCGTGTTCGGTCTTTTCACGCAGTCAGTGGCCCTCATCACGGATCAGGGCAACAATCATGCTGTAGAGGTAGAAGAAGAACATCAGGAGGTGGAAGCCAAGCTTGATGAACGATTCCTAGAAGAACGACTTCGAGTCAGCCTTTGCGCGAGGCAGATTCTCAGCCAATAAAACAAACCTTCTTGTGAACATTCAACTTGCGGAAAATCTCGGTCGCATCCAGGAGGTGCTGGTTATCGTAGATCCTGTCAATCGAAAGAAACTCGGGTTAGTCTCGGACTCGGGGTGAGAGAGGGGCTTGCGGCCCGGGGAGCTTCCAACGTACTTCTTCGCGTTGAACGCAACGAGGGGCAGGTTCAGCACGATGGCGAGCCAGTACCCGTTAATAACGAAGAGGAAGGTCAGGAAAGCGTGGACGGCGGCTTCGGGGATGATATAAGCGTTGAGACGGTTGCAAAGGTCGATGGGGTTGATGTAGTCGCTGGTAAAAGGGGGGGGGGGCGTCAGTTCGTATTTCGCATTTGACTTGGATCAAGACGGACTTCACGGGAGAAGAAGCTGGAGAGACTCACCATTCGAGGTCACTGTACATAATTGTGAAGAACACCTGGAGGAAGAGGTTGACGGCGTTGATCAACACCGACAACAGATAGAGCCACGCTTCACCAGACATTTTGGCGGGAGTTGGACAGTCTGCCGGAGAGGATGGAGAGAAGATCAATTGCTAGATAAACAGAGGATATGAGCAAAGTGCCGACGAGAGTGGTTGGGTGGAGGTGCGGTTCGCAAGAGGCACCGGAATTGGAGATGTTTGTGGGGTGCCCAGGGAAGGCGGAGGAATCGCATAGAGTCCTTAGAGATTAGCGCTCACTCACAAATAATATCTTACTGAATAGTCAAGATAGTGGAGAGAGGGAAAAGAGCCCGACAGTATGAGGAGGCGAGGGTGGATCGAAGCTGGAGGAAGTTGGGATTAGCGAACTGCGCTCGAGCCTGAACGGGCGGTGGGAAGTGGCCCATTAGCGTCACCCGCAAACGGGGCTGGTAACGTACTTGATAAGGAGGAAATTGAAGCTGGAGGACAATAGAGCTGAATAAAATTGCCGACAATGATGAGAATATTCTCAAGTCGTGAAGTCGTGGGACACTGAGGACAAGCTTTGTGAGCGGAAAGATGACGTCGAACACGTGCATGTTACATCTACTTAATCACTACCTACACCTTGGAGTAGAGAATAGAATAAGAACCTTCCAGTGTCTATATACAGAATGACATCTTATAAGTGCCATAACATACAGGGTTTCGTGTATCTCTGAAGGCTTGGTCTCCAACGATCTAAGCAACAGAACACGATGCAGAACATTGATATACTTAATTCCGAAACAGAAACGCAAGACAGCAGGAAACATTCCTGAGAATATCAAGTGAGATGAGTCAAGCAGACGGTTACCGCTTCTCGATGAGTAGGAAATGCATCGCACTGTACGCAATGATGATAAAGGCGCAAGATATCACAGCGAGCCCGATGACATCGCTCCAGTAAGCCTGTGTATCAAATCCAAAGGCACTCAAAATCGATGCACCAGGGACTTCAATATCCAAACCGTACTTGTGATCAATCAGAGTGAGGAAGGTTACTTCATTGACGATCAAGGCCTCAAAGCCATAATGGAAAATGGATAGCTGGTAGATCATTAGTAACAGAAAACCAACTTGAAAGGGTGTGTAGTGAGAGACTCACAGTTTGCAACCACAATGCTGACTTGGGAATTGCATCATGATTCAGCAAAAGACCGGCAAACAGCAAGCTGAAAAGCATGACCAGGCTGCCGATAAGGTTGGCAACTCCACCATCCCGGAAAATAATGCCAATGAAGAGACAGATGTTGGCGGCGGCAAGATTGAAAAGGACCAAGACTAGTAAGAAGTGGAAGAACTCGGGCCATGCCGGAATTAAACCTGTCATGGGGTAGACAATGATGCCCATGATAATGGGAGGGATCAACCTCAGGGGAACGATATCAAATACAACCTTGGCCGCGAAGTAGGTGATCGGGTGATAGTAACCGTTGGCCCGCTCACGCACGAATAGAAGACGCTCAGAAGAGAACACATTGAGACTAGTCAAAGTGCTGAAACCAAACAGGGCTAAGATGAAGAAGAAGAGACCAAGACGGTTCTGGAAGCCCTTGATATCATCGGTGAGGCCATAGAAGAGGTACCCAGATAGGACTGCAAGCAAGATTGCAATTGCATAGTGAGTGAGCATCAGCATTGGGTTTCGGTATAGATTACGCCATGTCCGCTGGGACAGGATCATAAATTGCCGGATCAATCCAACTCGGGCATAGCCCTTAGATTCAGACAACAGAGGTGAGGTCGTCGAGCCGTTGGCAGCCTGGACGTTCTGGATAGCAGATGAGATTTCATCGTGAACGGAATGGCAAACGTCGGAGTCTGCGTAACTGGCAACTAAAACGTCAAGGTCACTCTGGCCGGGGGCTGGAGGAGGCAGCTGATCTGGATCATCAAGAATCTGAGGTGGAACGTTGCCCTGTTGATGGGAAAGACGATGCCATTGTTGGTTATTCTCAGCCACGTCTAATGTTGCACTCTCATCGTCCGTCTTTGGCGTCATGGGGCGTTCGTTGTTCTGCTTCCGAGAGTAAAGTTGGCGATCTTGCTGTTGTTTCAGAGAAATTCTTCGGTTGGTCTTGGGCCTCCGGCTCATTGAGTCACTTGTATCATCCATGCTCACATTCGAAGTACTAGCGACGGATTTGACTGCCCTTAGGCTGCTGGACGCAGTCTTTGGAGGACCAGAACGTCCACTCACAGATGCTACTTCGTCCGTGTATGAATGGGCAACACTAGCATGCATCGTCAGATCAACTAGGTAATCTGCAATATTGAATCCCGGTGGACATGAATATCCCACTTGGTCGAAGTATTGCTGGCAGTCGGAGAAAGGACCGGAATACACGGTACGTCCCTCGGCAAGAAGAACGAGTCGATCGAAGAGAGCAACGATGTTCGAGCGCGGCTGGTGGATGGTGAAGATAACAGTCCGATTGTAGGTCTTCGCCAGGGTCACCAGGCATTCGACCACGTTGAAAGCGTTGTATGCATCGAGTCCACTTGTGGGTTCATCCAAGAAGAGAATACTGGGGCTGGTAACCAATTCGCAAGCGATGCCAACGCGGCGCTTCTCTCCGCCAGAGATACCACGACCTTTGCCTTCTTCCGAGCCAATCAATTGATCCTTGATATGGAAGATACCCAGCTGTTTTTCAACTTCCAAGACTCTTTGCTCTTTGGCTGCCCGACTCATGTCCCGTGGAAGTCTAAGCAAGGCACTGGTCAAGATGGTTTCATGGACCGTCAAAGTAGGAAGCATTGTGTCTTCTTGGTCGACAAAGCCTACCATAGTCTTAAAGTCGGTATCATCAATGATCTCTCCGTTGACATAGAAGTTTCCTTGCACCGTTCCCCGTTTGTTCTTTCGGGCCAGGATATCAAGGAACGAGGTCTTTCCGGCACCAGATGCTCCCATAATAGCGGTGATCTGACCTGGCGTGGACGCACCTTGGATACCCGAGAGAATCTCTTTTCCGTTGAGGGTATAGGACACATCGTCCCAATACAAAGCCGCCGGCCGATAATCTGCCAGGAGCTTGGCAGCTTCGTCATCAGAGTCATCAGAGAGAGATAGACGAAGGTAGCCGCGGCGCGCCGCGCGGCGGGACAGATACCACACCAGTAAAATGACAGCAACGACAAAGAGGGAGCATCCTGCGATTACACCGGCAATGAGCGGAGTGTTGATTTTCTTCACGGGACGCGTGTATCCAGGTTCATCGGTCTTGTACATGCACTCTCCGGAGTCACAGGATAGGAAGATGCTAGGATCACCAAAGACTCCAGAAATCAAGCCGTTCATCTGGGGTTCCGAGAAAACACTCTTCGTACCCTGGGGAGTCGATTTGGTGTCAAAGGTGGCTGGGCCTTTGATCAATTGATCTAGGAAGTCTCCAAGGTTGATTGATCCATTCTCACCGCAGAGGAAACGTCCCGGGATGCACGAGCATTGGAGATGCTCGCACTCGTAGTGAGTATTGTTGGAGTTGTAGTCCGATTCCATGCTCCACTTGCAAGTGTCCAGTCCACAGTAAAACGATTCCTTCTGATCAACCCAGAACTGGAAGCTACAGGTCTTATCTTCTTCTTTGCAGCCGAATGTCACTTGCGGTTTGCGGCCATCGAGTTGCTTCAAGATCATATGATTGGTCACATCACACATCTGGAAATTTTCCTTGACCGTCACACCTTGTTTGTAACACACACCTCCTTCACCCTCGGGCATCATAGAATTGCAGGCATCATCGGAGTCGCATACATTGCAGTTAATGCCCTTCCAGCCAGGCTTGCACTGACAGGTATCAGTGGTACGTTGCGGTCTTTTGTTGTCGTCGGCCAGCGAACCACACAGAGGAATCGAGCAGTCATCGCCTCCAAATCCAGGAGGACAGGAGCATTTTCCGTTGAAGCTGTTGCACTCCGCGAAGTGTGTACAGTTGTCGTTGTTGAGCTGGCAGTTAAAGCAAGCCGGGCACTCGGGGCATCCGGGTGGTGTATCGCCGAGGGAATCGTATCGAGGGAGCAGGCTAAAGTCAGAGACTCCGCTCCATTCTGTGGCCGATACAAACAGGGGAGTCAAAGTGACCAGGGTCAAGGGCAGTGCGCTGGTCAAGCGCATCTTGGGGAAAGGATGGCGGTAGCCCTGATGCGCGATACCAGCAACCAGAGAAGGAATGCGGAAGCTGATCACCAAAAAGATCAGAATAAATTATCAGACACGAACATCCATAGAGGTGAGGTAAAGAAGTACAAGTATGAAGGTCGCAGGCGGAGTGGAGAGGTGAGATTGGCCCCGATGACGCGCGGGCGGAGAGAGGCTGGGCTGCATGGACGCCAGGAACCCGCGACTTGGGTGACACTTTTGTGCAAGATAACCCCTATGATTATTAAGGGGTGTCTGCTTACCCTGTTAAGTTACTGAAGATTTATAACATTATTTTACCTCTCTCTCCTCGTTCGTAGTCATAGCTAGCGGTACATATCTTGGCCCCAATGCGGGGGAACACGTGATGCTCGGAGAAGTTGCCGTCAGATTTAGCCTGTCAACCCCAACTTGGATAAGTCGGACAAAATTCTTCGAATAAGCCTGAACAGCTTGAGTCTAGAGAATCTTGAACAAAATACCTGAACCTCAGTGTACGCACGACCAGACGCCACTATGGTCAAAATCGAGGCCTTCGCAGTTGAACAGGTACCTCCCCGCATTACTCGATCATTCGGTGGCACTCCTTTGTTTCTTACTGTAATGTGAGAGAAACGACATTCGCTAACAAACGTACAGTGGATGGACAAGTATGAGACCATTGCCAAGTATAATACCGCCGAGACCTGCTGCGCCTCCATCTCCGTCGACGATCTGCGCGTGCTGTCAGAGGATAAGGAGTCCAACCCTCTGACCGAGCTTCAATCTACAAAGCTCACATATGGAGCAATTCTTGGGTCCGATAAGCTGCGCACAACTCTTGCCAATCTGTATTCGGCGAAGACACCCGTTCAGTTGCCCAAGGATAATGTGTTGATAACTGCTGGTGCAATCCAAGCGAACTTCTTGTTGCTGTATACATTGGTTGATCCAGATGACCATGTCATCTGCCATTATCCAACATATCAACAACTCTACTCTGTACCTGCATCATTGGGAGCAGAGGTTAGTCTGTGGAAGTCTAACGAAGCGGATGGGTGGCAATTGGACCTTGAAGAGCTAAAAAGACTTATTCGTCCAAATACCAAGCTGATCATTATTAAGTATGAATATCTCTCGCTGAGTCCAAGCTATATATCTGGCTAACAGTACCTTCCTTGATAGCAACCCGCAAAACCCAACTGGAGCTATCATTTCCCATGAAACTCTCAAGCAATTGGTAGAAATTGCGCGTGAGAAGTCTATCATTATCCACGCCGATGAAGTGTATCGTCCAGTCTTCCACGGCATCAGTCCTATGGACTCAAAGTTTCCGCCTTCCCTTATCTCGCTCGGGTATGAACGCACAGTGGTGACGGGATCAGTTTCCAAAGCATATAGCCTGGCAGGATTGCGGGTTGGCTGGATTGCCTCGCGTGATAAGTCGATTATTAAATCCTGCGCTGATTCACGCGATTATACTACCATCTCAGTCGGTCAGATTGACGACGCGATTGCCAGTTTTGCACTATCACCAGATTGCATCCACAACCTTTTGAGGCGCAATATCGACCTGGCCCGGACCAATCTTGCGATTTTGGAGAATTTCATTGAAGACCATCGGTGGGCCTGTGATTGGGTCAAACCACAGGCTGGAACCACTGCATTTGTGCGGTTCAACAAATTGGGAAAGCCCGTAGATGATGTCGCTTTCTGCGAGATGGTACTAGAGAAAACTGGTGTGATGCTCGTACCTGGTAGTCTTTGCTTTGGAGGCGGAGAAGACTTTAAGGGCTATGTCCGTATTGGGTTTGTTCCTGAGACGGAAGTTTTGGAAAAGGGTCTGGAGGCATTGCGAGTATTCATGGAGGATGAATATGAGGATGTTCCGGTAGTCAGAAAGTTAGCCCTGCGGTGACACCCTTCACAATACCGCGCTGTTTAATGAGACTTAAAAAGGACGTGCGCGTGCTTTGGTCGATACGCGCCATTTGCAGATCTGTTTCTCCACAACTCACCTAAAGAACTGACGGTTTCAAAAGTGTATCGAGAACAGGCCATCCAATAAAGCTGCTTTATGATGTGACCGGGTTGAATCTTTCATCGAAGATATAGAATGAACCCATAGAGCACCCTTGGGCCTCTCAAAATTTGGTGGTACCATATCCTTCGCCTTTGAACCTCCCCAGGCGCGGAATTCTCTGCTTCTACTCCTTGAACACAGCTTCTTCCTTCTGTTTTTGAGGTTTGGAGTATCGTGAACATGGGAAATTGATTTGGCGCCTGTATTCAATCGTCTTTAAGTTGTACGGGCTGTTAATAGAGACAGATCTCTAAGGACGATGGATTTTCTACGGGAGAAAGGCCGACTAAATGGCCCCTGGCAGCCGACTAGCTGACAAAGGCCTCAAATCCTAAACAAGAATGTCTATCAACTATCCAATTGGCACTGTTCGGGTGTGGACAACTCTATCGGGGATGTATGAAGAAAGGGCTGTAGAAAAGAGAGAGGAAGAAAACCTCCTAATGTAGAGATAAAGTCGTCTTTCAGCCTCGAAGATCTGCAGTAAATGCTGGGCAGGGAGGTTCTCGGAAGCCCTGTGAATATCTGCCTGAAGCTTTTCAGCCTCACCCTCCCCCATGTCATACTCAAGCTCCTGAGCAGAGGTGGTCCGCTTAATATCATTTTTGGCTGCGCTTTCCGGATCCTGCTTCCTGAACGGAAGCTCTGGATGGCGCTGGAGGAAGCCGCATGACCAGACTTTATGTAATGTTATGCCTGAGCGTTTTGAGCAATGACAAAGAATTCCATTTGCAGCTCCTTGAACTTCTTGTGCGGTCGGCGTCGCCATGCATTGATCTTCGCAACTGACCCAACTACACAACATATTTTCCTGCTCTGCATCCACTGCATTCTTGGTGCCAGGACGGCCATGTTGACCTTCCTAGATCATTAAGTCTTCGACCGAAGATGACGTAGCTGACGTTGAACTCCTTCAACAACTTGCGTCTTGAGACGTCAACGCGGCTATGGAAATGCAGCTATGGCATTCTGCATTCGAGTCTCTTCTCTTCAGCGTCTAACTTCGGCATTGTGGGTACGCGTCAAGAAGGGTTCGAGTCGGATATGGGAATAAGAAAGGGTGGGGTTCCAAGCGTATATGTAGGCGGTGACGTAGGATCAACAAAGCTCAGTGGGATCCACTAGACCTATATCTCACATCGTCTTGGACAAGCATTGGACTCAAGATGATATATAGGAATGGAATTATAATCGGTTGCATCGTGCAAAAATCATACAATTGGTCCGTCCCTATGAAGGTGGTGTTCTCCCGAGGTCAGTATCTATATACTGGGTGCAATGAATATAAGGTGAAATGGTGCAAGCCGAGGAATCAAAAGCTGCAAAGAGTAAAAACAGGCTGGCATATGGTCCGTACCCCGAAAGCGCAAAAGAAAGCCCCAACTACTTAAGTAGCACAACGGTTGTTGAGTGCATTGAATTCATAGAACGTGCATTAAATCTGCCGAGTTATGTCATCGAGCCGAGGCAACTTTCTCAATCTCACCCTCTGAACATCTCACCTTGATAAACCTCCCTGTCCTCTAGCCCAGAGGTACCCCGTCTGTGTCTCTGCTGGAAATTATCGGCACTCAAAATTGTTCAGCCTGAAATACACCGACACGGCATTCCTGGTCGCGCGTACGGAACCGGCGACTCCGTCGACCTATTTCTACCACTATACCCACTCAATACAGTCTTATTCTCTAGGTCTCATTATTGGTCTCATCCACAATGTTGCCTTTTCTTCCAGGTGAGTAAAGGCGTGCAAGTTGGCTTAATACTCGCTAACAAGCTTTTGCGCAGACATTCCCTTGGGTCTTGCCCTGCCTGCCGCCGCCACAACGCTGGCATACTTGAATGCGAAATTATCACTCTCCTACGATGTCAATATGATCAGATCGCTTTTCAAGATGAGCATGAAGCTACGTTTTGCTGAACGTGGCGATCGTCTGAACCTATTTTACACATTGGAAGCCTATGCGCTTGCCTCCGCAACCGCCAATCACCCTTTCATTGTCTACAACGGCAAAACATGGACATTTCATGACACATATCTCATGGCACTACGCTACGGATCCTGGTTCAAGAAGAACCATGCCGTCAAGCGCAAGGAAATTGTCGCTATCGACTTCATGAACTCATCCACATTCCTCTTCATGGTGCTTGGGCTTTGGAGTATTGGGGCAGTTCCGGCGTTCATTAACTATAACTTGGCTGGTAAGCCGCTCACCCACTCGATCCGGGCATCCACCGCGAAGCTCCTGATTGTCGATCCGGATGTTAGCCATTGCTTCCCTGATGAGCAACAGAAGGTTTTGACCTCACCAGGCTTCCGGGATGGCAAGGGCTCGGTGGAAATCGTGTTTCACACCCCAGAGCTTGAGGTTCAAATTATGAGATTGGAACCTATCCGGGAAGATGACAAGGCGCGCAACGGATTGACCCCCCGCGACATGGCTATGTTGATCTACACAAGTGGCACCACTGGACTTCCAAAACCCGCCATTGTTAGCTGGAAGAAGTGCTGGTCTGGCAGTGGGTTCATTGCAGACTGGATGGGCGTCACGCCCTCGGACAAGTTCTTTACATGCATGCCTCTCTACCATAGTTCCGCTTCGGTGCTTGGTTTTGTTACTTGCTTGATGAGTGGATCGACTTTGGTTCTTGGTCGCCGTTTCTCAGCGCGTAATTTCATGAAGGAGGCCCGTGAAAACGATGCCACAATCATTCAATATGTGGGCGAAACGCTACGTTATCTCTTAGGCGTCGCACCTGAAATAGATCCCGTCACTGGCGAAGACCTTGACAAGAAACACAATATCCGCCTAGCCTTTGGAAATGGTTTGCGGCCTGACATCTGGAACCGCTTTAAGGAGCGCTTCAACGTTCCTACCATCGCTGAATTCTATGCAGCAACAGAAGGCACTGCGGGTTCATGGAATATTTCGTCCAACGATTTCTCCGCGGGTGCCATCGGTCGAAATGGCGCCATCGGAGACATCGTCTTCGGCCGTTCAACTGCCATCGTGGATGTTGATCATGAAACCCAGGAGCCTTGGCGTGACCCGAAGACTGGCCTCTGCAAGAGGGTCCCACGAGGTGACCCCGGTGAGTTGCTATTCGCTATAGATGCCAAAGATCCCACTGCGGCTTTCCAAGGCTACTTTGGAAACAAAAAAGCCACAGAGGGCAAGATTATACGTGATGTGATCAAGAGGGGCGATGCCTACTTCCGAACCGGTGACATGGTTCGATGGGATAGAGATGGCCGTTGGTTCTTCTCTGATAGACTGGGTGATACATTTCGATGGAAGAGCGAGAACGTGTCTACTGGCGAGGTCTCTGAGGTTTTAGGCGTCCACCCTGAAGTGCAAGAAGCCAACGTCTATGGAGTAGCACTTCCAAACCATGATGGCCGTGCTGGATGTGCAGCCATAGTGTTCAAGCAACAGATCTCAAGCGGTAAACAGTCCGATTCTGCACTTGAACCATCAAGCGAGGTTCTCGACAGTCTAGCTGCACACTCCCTCAAGAACTTACCCCGGTTCGCTACACCTTTGTTCTTGCGTGTTACACCTGAGATGCAGTCAACTGGCAACAACAAGCAGCAGAAACATGTGTTGCGGACTGAGGGTGTGGACCCAGCCCTTGTTTCAAAGAAGGATTTGGTATATTGGCTTCAGGGTGACACCTACGTACCCTTTAAACAGAAGGACTGGGACCGCATGAACGGTGGTCAAGTTCGACTTTGATCTTGTTGGGGTTTATTTGTTTGTCCAATTTTTCATTTCTGTTCCATCATACCTAGAGCACATTATTTAGTTACCTCCCTCCCTTAGATACCCTCGACAGCCCTTAAGTCATCGATTTGTATACGTCCAATCGGTGTCGTTAGTTTAGTCTAATTAAAGTTTAATGCAAGACATCCACTCATAATAGCGGGCCATAACGGCGACCCGGCCCGTGAACTCTATCGTAGAACTTGTCGCTAGTTCGCTTCTTCTTCATTTTCAGAACCAAATCATAGCACTTCCAAATCAGAATAAAGGCAATGCTATTTGTGTTGAGTAGATGCTAAAATCTCAATCACGTTCTCCAGAAGAACCAAAATTTGCTTTATTATATGCAAGATGATCTTTGTGATGTAATCAGTATTCGATAGAGTTGTGTGAGCAGAGGTATAGACAAGTATAAAGACAGAAAGACAAAAATAGAGAAGCAATAACAGGACAAAGAAAAAGAAAGATTGATGGTAAGATCACCAAGAGTGAATATAAGAAGAAAAGAAGAGCAAAAGAAATGATAATGTCACTTGTTCTCAGTCATGAGATGTTAAGATTTCGTCTTTCTGGCCTTGTCTGCTCGGGAATATGGCAAAACCCGGAAAAGATAATAAAGGAAGATGGCACCGAAGATGTTGAAGGCAAAGTATGCCCAAAGAATCCCGTAATCCCGCCACCGGTGATCCCAGAAAATATCGCGGCTGGCAAGATATTGATCAGCTGATTGGAGGGGACAATACTGACAATGCCCAGTTGAATACCAATTGTAGAGCTTCCCAGGCGCTAACTCCAGATACCTTCCGAGATACTCTCCGCACGTTTGTCCCGCCGGGGCCTCAAAGCTGACCATTTCTCGGTCCGAGCAATGAATTGGACGACCATGTAGTGCAGTCGCACTGATACCACCCACATAATAGGTCAAGGGTGAGACCCTGTGCATCTGGCTCCAGAAGGGGGGCAACGCGCTCGGTGGTTGCATGACACCGTTGGACAACAACGAAAGGACAAACATAAAAAGGGCCAGCATACTTCCCAGAACTGGACTGGGAACCGCAGCGGCTACTAAATGGGCGAAACTGGAGGCAAAGAAGAAGAATTGCAACACGAAAAGAAACACTAGGCCCTGGCGCTCTGGATCTTGGTTTCCACCATAGACAGAGAAATAGAAAGAGGCCCAGGTGCAGGTACCAAGCAAAGCTTGCCAAGGAAGCTCAACGATAATTTGCGAAAAAATGAATACCTTCCAGGAATATGTCCTGGAAGGTCGCTCGCGTAGCTCGTACAGCGCACGCCGGCCGATGAATTTCGGCATTATTCTGTTCACTGTTAACCCATTGTCTTTCTGCACCGGGAATATGAAATGGACACTCACTGGTTTACCATGGTGGAGAAGATGGTACATAAAAGGAACAAGCTGAACAAAGTGTTTTGAAAGCCCTGATTGGAGTTATCGGACATCCAGAATGAGAAGCCGACGAAGAGACCGGATACGATACCCAGAGAAAGCTTAGCCATGATGTACTCCGGCTGGCGATAATATTGTTGAAAATCCCGCTTCATGACCTGGTATAACTGAGCGGTAATTGGCATGGCGAATTCGAGCTCGATCTGTGCATTGATTATCGGGGCCTGAGAGGGATTTGAAGAGATCTGTTGCAAATGATCAAGAACTTCCTGGTTTTGAGGACTCTGTTTCCAGATTTCCACCCAATCAATAGTCTGAGAGCTTTCTTGCGAGCCTTCGCTGAAAACTTCAAGTATGTATTCGGCCGGCTGTGAAGAGATGAATCAGCCATAACTCGTGAAATACTAGGGACAGGGTATATGTAGGTTGGTGACTTACGTTCTCGACTGGTCCACATGAACGTGCGCCGTTTGTTTCCAAATAATCCAGAAGAGTGCGAGAATGGCTCCCAATGTCCCCAAAGTACACAGTCTTGCCACCTTTGGCGAGTAGCAGGAGGCGATCGAATTGTTCGAACATGACGGCACTGGGCTGATGAATTGTGGCAAGCACGGCTTGTCCATGGTCGGCGAGCTTCCTCATAAATGAACAAATTGCCAAAGAGCTCTGCGACTCCAAACCGCTTGTTGGCTCATCTAAAAAGATCAACACTTCAGGCTTTGCAGCCAGCTCGACACCGATAGTAAGAAGCTTTCTCTGCTCGATATTCAACCCTTCTCCAGGATTTCCAATGACAGCTTCGGCGAAATCTTCCATTCCTAACATCTGAATCACGTCTTCCACAAATGCGTACTTCTCTTCCATAGAGACGGACCGGGGTTGCCGCAGTGCTGCACTAAAGCGAAGAGCCTCCCTAATCGTGGCAGTCTCACAGTGGAGGTCATTCTGCTCGACGTATCCAGTTTTGCGACTGATGCTCGTGTCAAGGCCACAGCCATTGACCAGCATCTCCCCCGTTACGACGCCAAGAGTCATTCGCTGGGACAAGACGTCTAAAAGTGTGGTTTTTCCTGCACCAGACATCCCCTGAACTAGTTAGCATGAAGGAAAATAGTTCAATGAACAGTTGAATGAATGTTACATACCATCAGTGCAGTGAAGGTCCCTGGTTTGACCCAGCCGCTAACATCATCCAGCAGTCTTTTGGTTCCTCCCTTCACTGGAATATCGTAGCACAATCCCTGCCAACTGAATACATTCTCTTGCTTTGGTAACAGAAGACGAGATTGCGAGTCAGACTTCATAAGCTCTTTTGATACCTCGGACCTATGCCCAGCCTCTACGTCGTTTGGGCTCAATTTTGCGGGAATATGGCCAGGAAGAAACGAGAGTGTCTTGGGAGCGGATGCTGTGCCTGGGACCAACTCTGTAAGGACGAGGTAAATCACGTGAAATGTGATAAAGAAGGCGACCAAGATCCCAAAATTCCTCCATAGATGACTGTAGGAGTAATCATAATGTTTCGCAATATACCTGTCTCCAGATACAAAGCGCTCTCCCGGAACAGCACCCGCTTCCAAGCAAGTAAAATACAAACCAGACAAAGATGGATAATCAGGTAAAAAATCAACGCATTTGGCTCGCAAGCCGTGAAATTCGTTGGCGACGATTCCTTCAAATGCATAGAAAATTGGATTGAGCCATCGGATCCAACCAAGCCACGGGCGCATATCGGGCTGTGGTATAGTAAAACCAGTATACACTGCAATGCAGATAATGATGATTCCACCGAGTGCCATTGCTTGACTAAGTGTTCTTGTAATCGTGGCCAAGCACCGAAAGAGCCCGGACATAGTCACAACTGAGACAAGTTGGAGAAGGATATAGATGAAGAAATGCCCAGGCTCCCTTTGAAGATGTGCCATGAAGTATATGATGACACTGGCAATCAGACAGCGGAGGAGCTTGATAGGGAGATCTATGATCACTCCAGCGAAGGCCTCGGTGAAGGGGTGAACGAATGTGTAGCGAGCGTGCTTTTCCACAATAGGTCTTTGACTGTACAGGATGTTAATCTCCAGCAAAGCGATCAAGTTGTTTGTAAGGACTGCCAGAAAGATGACCGATGCCCGCTGGGATAGACCCGCAGAAGTGTCAGGGATGTTATAGAAGAGAGAGCCAATTAGGACCGAGATAACAACTTGTACCACTGCAGTCGCAATGATACCCGCACGGTCATTCAGACTTCGTCGATGCGCTCTGACAAGACATAATCGTAACTGCATTGGCACCGAGAGAAGGAATGGGCTGGATGGTCGGACATGGTTGGCCTGCTCGGTATGTTTGGCGTGGTTCAATTTGCTCTCTTCCGGTCCATCGAGAGGGAAGCTCTGCGCGTAATTTTTCATTTTCTCCCGAAGCTCTGCATACTCCGGACTCTGTTTCCAGTATGCTTCGAAGTCCTCCGAAGTCCGCGGGACCTTCTCTGCCATACCAGCTTGGGGCTCACGTTCACTTGGATTGGTGATAGCAGTAAGGAAATCCGCGCTGACCTGTCGAGGATGACGTTTCCACCCCATCTTCTCAAAGTATGCCACGGCATGTTGACAGGGACCAAAATATACTTGCCGGCCATCGTAGAGAACAGTGACATTGTCAAAGGTATTGTACATGGGCTCTGAAGCCTGGTACACTGCTGCGGCGTGACACGTTTTTGTGAGATTGGCAGACAGACGAAGAGCCTGGACAAAATCAAGCGCACTGTTTGCATCAAGACCTCGTGTGCTATTGTCCCAGGCTCCAATGGGAGCTCTCGCTAATGTCATTTCGGCTATACTGCATGTTCGCATTGACCAATTAGTCTATGTGACTAGTTCACACGGCCAAGGCAGTGAGATAGACTCTGGAATCACTCACCTCACTCGTTTTCTTTCTCCTCCACTAACCCCGCGAATATATTCATTTCCCACTTGCGTGTCTTGGGTATGGGAAAGCTCAAACAGGGCCATGGCGACCTGAACTGCCATTTTTGCATATGCGTCGCGACTCATGTTACCCGGCCGGATATGTGATGCGCGTGCGTATGCAGCAAACTCGAGGGTTTCACCAACAGTCAAATGCGGAAAATGATGATCTTCTTCTTGGTTGTATACAACCTCCCCGCGAAACTCCTTTATCATCCTCGCAAACGGGACCCCCTTGTATTGGATCTTGCTAGTCGGATCTAGACTCAAGCCATCTAGATAGCCACAGATCGCCTTTAAAAAGGTTGAACATCCACTGCCCGGGCGCCCCAGCACCAAAAGCAACTCGCCATTGCACACAAGTCCATCGAAATTATGCAGGATGTAGGCTGGCTGTTTATGACTTTGTTTATGGAGAAGGAAGTTCACAATGGATACTGCAGGACGTACAAAGGCTGAAAGAACCGTCGGTTGAACTTGGAGACACGAGCCCGAGCCCTGAATTGAAAGATCCTCAAACAAGATTCCGCGATGTCGAGCTTCACTGGCCGCAGAATCAAGGATATGAATGTTTCGTTTCGCCCATTCGTGCAGATCGAACTGGGAGCAATCCAGAGGTATCGGATCTGTGTGCTTGTCCCACACTTCGGTGATAAAGAGTTGCTCATCTTGACTGGATGGAGCGCGGGAGGAGTCCTCTGGGTAGTTGCTCATTGTTGAGTCGAGGCTCCGTCGCTCGCCAGATCGCTCGCCAGATCGCTCGCCACAATCAAGGTCGGCCATAATGGCAAGTGAGGCCTTTCGTGCTGTTTTCCCAGAAAGAAAGTCGAGTAATCGGATGAGGCTGATAATAGGATTTTTCAGACAATTTCACGTTCGGTCGATTTTTAGCATATTTTAAATTCCATTTATTTTTAAAGCCCCTACAATTTACCCCTACCAGCATTTTTCATATCATCCTCCTATTGGAGATGAATGGAATGTGTAGGTGGATCTTTTGAGTGAAAATTGAAACTAGTGAATGTATCAAAAGCAATACTTATGCCACGCAAGGGTGCGTTCGAAGTCAAATTGGCCGTTCCGTGCCACCTTATGCGTATGGAAGTACTTGAGACATTGAACCAGAGTCCTGAAAGTCTTATCTCTAATTGTATTTGAACGCAATTTGATTAGATATGTTTCATCGTCCCTTGAACAATCTTAGACATGATATAAATCGGGAGTCGGGGATGGATCTACTGATCAGCCAAAGCTCTGTATTGTCAAATGTCCTTGCTTCAGTTACAGTTTTAGTCTCACTGGCGTAAATCTCTTTTACTGGGCGTGATTTACGCTGAAATTGATAATGACTGAAACAAAACTAGCTGGCTCTTGAGAGGCTGATGTTTGGACAACAAATCTCACAAGCAAGCTCATTCCAACATGAAGATACTCGAGAGATGGAGCGAAAGATGACTGTCTACTTGTAATAATGTCAAAAAAAACCGAACGAGAGTGGTGGCTCTTAGATCATCCATCAGGGTCGTGATAATTAAACAAGATAACGGAATTCGGTCGTAATCTTTAGTTCCCACGCACACAGTACTCAATCCCAAGCCCGAGCACCCAGAAGATACTGCTTAGGAAGCAATATGACTTTGCACTCTTCTCCACTCCAGACGATTTACCGATCTGGGTAGCCTTGAGGAGATTCTTGAACCCGAAGAAATGCCCACCGACGGATACAACAAAAAATGGGAGACCAAGGCCAATGAAGAGCCCAGCGGATGCAAAGAGCGCAATGGAACTGTAGAAGAGCGCGTATGCGAGAAGATTTATGGAATTTCGGAACCGAACCGCCATGCTTTTCACGCCGACTTTCAAGTCTTCTTCAGTATCCTGGCAAGCGTAGACCACATCGACCATAATGATGACTGTTGCGATGAACATGAACATACAAACGGTGGGCATAAGATGGTCCAGGGGATTCACCCCTAGACTATGCATCGTCATAGGAATAGCCCACCCGATATTCCCTAGAGTTACCTGCGGGTAATCTGTGAATCTCTTGCCGAAAGGATAAAGCAGGGCGAAGAAGATGATGACAATAGCTTCGATGGTGCATTGCGACGGAAGGAAGAACAAAACCGAGCTACCACACGCAAAGAGGGCAACGGTAAAAATGGCAGCATCCCGTTTTGATACGGCGCCTCGTGGAATTGGTCGAGATTTTGTCCGAGCGATTTGGCGATCTAGATCTGAGTCGATGAGATCATTCCAAACGCATCCAGCGCAGCGTAGAAAGAATGACCAAACAGAGAACAGCGCAAGGCGATGAAGCAGAATGACTACTGGAAGATCTGTGGCAATTGATGCGCTGAAGGCAACACCAACAAAATAAGGAGAAGTATTGAGGTAGATACCCAAAAGTCGATGAATTCGTGTTAATTCAGCGTAAGGCACCAAGGAAGGAGGAAGCAAGCTGAGTATTTTGCTCTGAGGCTGGGATGCCGCCTTTTTGGTCACTGTCGCCATCTCAAAGTAGAAAAAGATCCAGCTCAGACTGTACTGAATGATGGGACGTAAACTTGATGATTAGAAATGAAGCAAGGCAACAGTGAGTAGGGTCTTACGGGGAGGGTAAGAAAGAAACGAGGCCAGCTTGCGAAACTGCTGGCAGAGAAAAAAACCCCGAGCATAGACCAGAGAGGGAAAATGACACAAGCACATCACACCGCTGGCTTGACCCCAAAAAGCTGGGTTTGAAAAGCAATGAAGTCAAATATTCGGCACTCCTTACTTCACAGATCTCATTTTTCACAGGGATAGTAGTGGAGGATCGGCTTATGGCACTGTAACACCACACCACTGGAATGTCATGGCTGGCAATTGAATCCATCATATTCATTTGAGGACCCCTCTTGTAGATCAGTAAATATATGTATGTAGGCTCGTGTATTGCCCGTTTTCTAGCAAGGCTCCTGCATGCATCTTATTGTTTCCCCACCGCGTTGTGATATATGCAAAGGTTCGATCTTCATCCAGTTAAATTTAGACCATAAAAGTGTTGCTGTGTGGAAACAGTGGAAATATCGAAAGTACGATGACGATTGTACATATCATGTGATCGACAGTGGCTAAGTGCTTAGGGCAAGGTCTTGAAGGATCAATAGTGGTTTTGTGCTTTGATAACCGTAGATTTATTTCAAATGACACGATAGATAACAACCGAAAGATCACGCCTGATAAGGTCGAATCCACAAGAAGGCCCAGCAGAGAGTGATGGGAAATATCAATAGCAGTCTCCACGGTAGCTGTGTGGTTGTCTGCACCTTGGAAGATTTTTGAATCCAACCTGGTCCGGATCGTTCAGGAAATGGAAGGAAATCAACCATTTCCCCCGGGCCAGAACCTTAGCGGTTCCCCTTTCTACAATGCCACCTATGTAAGGAAAGACGTAACGACCAGCGAAGGCCTTAGCCCAGTCATCCCGCGTATGGAAACGAGCTCCAAATCTAGATCGCTCGTATGTGCTCTTTGCACGGTCGTATCGCAAGCCTCGATACTCCAGAAGCATTGATTCAATGTGAGCCTCGGATATACTGGGAATACCTCCCAACTGGACAAGCCGGTGAATCAGTGAGGCTAGAACAGCAGCATCCTCAATGGCTGTGTTTGCTCCCTGTCCAATGTTTGGCGTCATCTGATAGTTCAATATTCAGTCCTTGCAATCTCAATGAATTATAGTGTGCTGGGTAATTACCTTGTGCACACTGTCCCCAAGAAGAACTATGCGATTGAAATGCCAGGTTTCGAGTAGGCCTTCCTCAAGCGCAGTCATTGATGCAACAATCCGACTCTTCCAGAGATGCCCAACAGAGATATCACCCAGAATGGAAACATTAGCCAGCTCGGCACAAAGATGTGCGGCATCCTCGGGAGAATAACGAGGGGCATGGGGGTAGACGTAAGCATGATCAAGTTTGTGGATTATAAACCAAAATACTCGTCCATCTTTTCCGTGGAATGTGATCACAGAGAATTTATCTCCATACCGGTTGATATGCTCTCCAGTTTCGAGACCGGGTATCGGATTCGATATCCCAAACACGCACGTATATTCAACCGTAAAACCTGAATAAGCAAGATCATGAAAGTATTAGCATAGAAAATCTGGAAAGGTATTCACTCATGGTAGTGAAAAAACGGAGCTAATCAACCTTTCTTTTCGCTGTGCGAGATATACCCAGGATCCATAGCATCTGCCAGCCGCCACATCTCTGACCTGGTGTGACTATGGACGCCATCTGCACCCACAACAAGATCGGCTTCGAATACGTCGCCGTCATCCGTCAATACACTCGCGCTGTCTGCCCTGAGACGTACTTCCGATACGCGCTTATTGGTAATGATATTCGATCTTGTTGGATAACTTTTGAACAAAATTTCAAGAACTTTCTGGCGATCAAGGGAAATTATAGGGTAACCGAAACTGTGCAACACATGTCAGAACAGTCATTTCTTGTATAATTGGATATGCGATTAAACCTTTCGTGGACTTTCTTGGGTAGCAAACTGCTGAATGAGAATCCATCGGGGAAGGAGATGTGCATCCGGCTTAGCGGTGCGGTGAGCTTCTCAAGGCTACCGTAAACCCCAAGTTGTTGTAAGATCCGGGCTCCATTCGGCCAAATTCCAATAAAAGCACCTTCCTGGGGAGCGATCTCAGCTCGTTTTTCAAGTATGATGTGGTCGATATCTGCTTTGGCCAGACAATGTGCCAAAGTCAAACCAGAAATAGACCCTCCAACAATGATGACTTTGAACTTCGGTTTCTCCATGTTTCCCAATGTTGGACTGGAAAGCAAATGAAGGGGAAAATAAGTGGTGAAATACTGGTGTTGTGCACAAAATAGTGAATCAGAACTTGATAAATTGAGTCCAATGAGATTGCCCCGATCCAGATCATTCATGAGACAGTCTCGGTCTCAACCCCTTGCTGCAGCGGGATCTACTGCATGATGACGATGAGAATTTCACATTAACGTACTGTACGGCCAAGGGGATTGCTAACATTCTTTTTTCTCAGCTATCATTCCACGGCATTCTATTCAGACACACACAAACTGATTTGTGACCCTGTTTTGATCCATACTGTGACTATCCGCTTTGTATCCCCTAGATGAAGTCCTCGGTGGTAATTTACACGCATAATTACATGGCATATAGCACACAGGCCATTACCCTCGAACATTTGACGAGAGCTAAATCAAGTGGATACACCAGGAAGTCAACCAATCTAGCCTTGCCACCATCTCTCTATCTATCTGCACCGCACCATACTGAAGGATCACCCCGAAATGGGCTGTGGATCTTCACTTTCCTCCTTTCCTCCACATATTCACCTATTTGATCTTCTTTTCCGCTGAAGCACTACGCTTTTCCTGACATCGCATAGCATAATACAGACACGGATACGTGATGTCAAGCAAAACAGTCAGCCCAATATAGAATTGACACATTGGGCTCTCAAACCAGGGACCTGCAGGTATGTCACAGAGGTAGTATATTGATAGTTTGATAAAGCCTCCGAAAGTTGCAATCGCACGCAGTGACCTTTCTTCGAATCAGCATTCAAGAACCAGAGGACATGTGAAAATGCATGTACGAGGGAGCAGAGACATACCAGGTCATAATGGAAGCGCCGCGAGTGCTATTCCGGCACAAAAGCTGGCATATCGGCCCGACACTTGCGAGGGTTTGGCATAGGACGCCCCCCCAAAAGAAACCCATGTCAGGCCCAACTTCCGCTGCGAATGATAGCTGACCGGCAAGGAAGGCGAGAATGACAACTGCATAAATGATGTAAATGTTTCGCTTCACGATTGGCACATCATTCCATTCATTTGGCGCGAATTTGAGAATGTACAAGACCACAGCGACGTGTACCATAAACCACACCTTCACACCACCTTCCCAATGGGCACTCGCGGCCGGGTGAACGAAGGCATATACGAATTCCCATGCGATATCATTGCAAAGAGGAAAAATGCCCGTGTTGGGAATCCCCTCTCTCCCAGAAACGTACATCATACTGAAGTAATTCAGAGTCCAGCAGATGCCCGCGAGCTTCCGGAGAAATTCCGCAACGGCAGCGAGTTCATCGCGGTATTCCAAAACAGTCGATAGTAGAGCAGGATGACCCATAGCTAGTAGTTCAAGAAGGGAAGCGTGGATGAGTGAAAGTGAAGTGTATATTGTTTCACGGGGAGTAATATGGATAGAGCTTCCTTCGGAGAAAAGAGTCCATGTCCTTACTCTGTCGAAGCCCGGTCTCTAGGCAGCCGCAGCCTCTCGAGACATCAAGGGTAAGGATTTTCAATGCAAGGACTGCTGGCATTCAGCGGCGCCACACTTCATGCATACATGAAGCATACAGTACTACGGGAGAATGTACAGTAGTAGGCCGCCTGGATGCGTAGACAGGTATACTGTCGGGATCATCAATGGATAGTATGTCGACACGGCTCGTTTGCTACTGTAGACTCCGCAGTGAAGCAAGGAAATAAAGTGGAATTTCCAACACTAAACTCCTAGTTCTCGCATAAACCTGGATAGCTTAAGTCGCGAGTGTTACACTTTTAATGACAGTAGCGATATACCTACCCATTTTGCCGGAGAGGTTGAATTATAGATTTTTTAAAAATGAAAATAAAAATAGAGAAAATAGGGACGACAAAAATTTAAATTAAATTTACAATACATGTCCTATAAAAACTATAAAATTACTAGCGCGATCTGCAGTCCCAGTCGGGGTTTTAACTTTTAATTTTCAAGTTCTGAATGCTCGAATTCCGAATTTTTGACCGCCAAGTCCAGAAATTGAGCTATCAGGCATTTCTTTTTGTGTGAGATAGAGATTTCTTAGGGTTATTGTTGGTGATGAAGTCACCAAAGCCCCCTGAGGTTGACAGTTAACATATCAGCTAGTAGTATCGAAAAATACGTGTCATTCTTATTGGAAAGAGGAAAGGCGAGCTATCGGCGACTGGACTGAGTCGCTGATGTTGGATTCTGTTTTAGTGCCGAAAATGAGCTGATCAGGCAGGTGAAGTAGGTCAAGGGCAGACCAAGAATCAACAAAATTGAGGGAATGATAGTAGTTAAGAGGGAAAGGAAAAAGACCAGCAATATCCTCGAAAGATGAAGGGGGAAGGGGGAAAATAATTAAATCAATGAAATGCCATGAAGCTGCAGTGGAGACTTACGATAGAATGTGGAGATGAAGAGGAGGTTGATCTCACATTAGTAATCTAGTAAGAAGACATCTTTTGTGTACAGTAATCTCTAAACGTACCTAGTGGGCATGTTAATGGTCAGGCTGACATGACCTCAAACCGACCAAGTTCATGGGTCTACTCCTTCTCTGCAGGAAATCCCCTTATTAAGGCTCGTATAATATTAGTAACTTGCCTCCAATGCGCAGCTTTTAGAACTTTCTGAATGCTAATCTGATGACGGGGACTCGTAGCCAGATATTTTACTCTGCAAGTAGTGTTTGAAACAAGATTGAGATTACTGACAAGGCAAGCAAGGCTATCAATCTCTCAGTCTAACCCAACTGTAGTATAACGGAATTTATACTGCCCTTATGAATCTATAGAGGAATTTCCTCCTTCCTGCGTCTGATAGAAACCTTGGCTATCGGGTCTGCCGCCAATCTCATCCCGAACTTCTGCACCTTGGGCTCACAACCATCTGCCAATCGCAAATCATACTTCAACAGAATATGACACAAAGCTATCTTAATCTCATTGGCCACAAAGAAGCGTCCTGGGCAAGCATGCTGTCCAAACCCAAAGCCCATCTGTTCCGGCGACGGCGAAACTAGTTGAGCGGCAGCTTCATTCTTTGGGCTATCCGTTTTACGCATATTTGCAAATCGGTAAGGATCGAATTTCAGCGGATCAGGGTATATGTTTTCATCCCACATCCTGTCGCAGGACACCAGCATCTTGTCGCCTTTAGGGATTATCTGTCCGTCATGAAGAACAACATCTTCTCGGGCGACGCGTGCCATGATAGCTAGGGTCATCGTTAGAATGCGCTGTTCAAGATCTCATGCTGGGGCAAATATTCAACTCACCGATAGCCATGGGTTTCAACCGCTGGCACTCCTTGATGACACTATCCATTAATTTGAGCTTGTAAAGTGTCGTCTTTTTCCACCCTTCAGCCTGAACCACGGTGACGATTTCCTCGCGCAAGTCACGAATGAGATCTTCCCGACCGCAGATGTCGAGAAGAGTCTGAGTGAATAGGTCGGTCGTAGTGTGAATGGCCGCCGCAGAGAGGGCAAGCTGCGCCGCTGCTGGGTCGTAATGGCGTCCCTTAGAAGTATCCTCTAGCCACTGGATCGCATCATGATATTCTACACCCTTGCCTGAGCGCTCAGCGGCACGCCTTTCTTTCAGGACCGGATTAATAATCTTTCTTGCTTGTTTCAGCTGTCCCTGGGCCTTTCGACTCGTTGGCAAGTACCTGACGGCAAACGGACGCAGGAATTCTGGCAGTAGGCGGAGTTCCTGTGCGGCTGTGAATGCGTTGATAGTGTAGTTGATGGTGATATCAAGCCAGTCAGGGTCGCGGCAGATCTTATCCCCAAGGAAGATCCTAGAAGAAAGTTGGGCAACCATTTTCAGGATGGCGGGCTTTAGCTGCATGTCGTGCCACTCTGTTGCGTCTGTCCACTGGGTCTGGAGAACATAGGTAGCCTCGGTGGAAAGCGGGATCATGGCATTTGCTGATGGATAGGTCTTGCCTTAGTAGCGTCCATGACTGACCGACGGAGTTACTTACCCAAATTTTGCGTAATTTTGACGCGGACAGTATCTTGAATAATGTTATCATTGGCCGTAACCCTGAATGGCTCAAAGCCAGGAAGATTGACATGCAGCTCAGTTGCTAAGTTATCGGTCAAGCTCAGTTCTGGGAGGCTACGGACGTCGTTGGCATATTTGGGCGCCAGCATAGTTCTTGTGCCGTTATCAGTGATGATGCGAAAGACTCCAGCCTAAAGACAAGCCTAAATCAACATGTGGCCTAGAAGAATTTGAAGTGAGCATACCTCGTTCAATCCTTTCTTGATCAATGTGGCGGCATCCTTCATGTATCGCGCCCGTGCACGGGATTTGCCAAATTCAAATGTTCTTCTTGCATTGATGAAAGGGAGTTCAGACTTTCGAGACGATGTCAGGATGAAAAACAACACTGAAAGCGTGAGAAGAAGAATGGGTGCCAGAGTCGGAATATGAGATAGTGCTTCGGGCGACATGGTTACCGCTTGTAGGGAGGTGGTTGGCGAACTGAAGGTCTCCAAGCAAACCACCTGCCGATGTCACGTAAAAACGGGGACTTATAAAATAGAAGGATAAAGGAGATTCCGGATCCGATAGAATTTATGCACCTTTGTGCAGGCTAGGGGACAGATGTAGGAATTTCACTACTATTTACCAGCCCCTAGGTCGATCAGTGGCTGGCTGTAGCCACATGCCGCCAATGAGAATACTCCTGCAGTATACTGGGGGCTCTTCTTATCGCAAATCATTGGAAACAGCCGAATTCGTATCGCCCGGTGAAAAAGAAAAGGCCACAATAACAATGCAGCGTCGAAAGCCATTACGCAGGGGGCTTAAGAAAGACACTGCATGATCTTCTCGCCCACCTGCAAGGAGCGAGGGTAGTCATGGAATGCAAGAAGAATTGAATGATAGAGGCATTCGCTGCTTTTGCTTCTATCAAAAATACGTTGGATAGATTGACACTACAAGATGTTCTAGCTCCCAGGCATCGTAGGTGGGAAGTATAATAGAAGTTAAGCAGCACTTTTATACACCTCATAGTTATCACCAGAAGCAACTGTGTACGTGTATTATGGCCATGCTTTACACCGCAGCAATTGTTCAATATGTATTCTATGGCGGATGGGGGACCTCTTTCTTTTCCCCCTGGCGACTAAGTTAATTGCGACGTCAAGTTTTGTTTGCCAAATCGGTCTATAATTGAAATCGCTTAACACGTGCGTCGAACAAGCGCCCTGTGAGCTTGAATTTTCTGATTGGAAAGGCTCAAACAAGGCTTGATTTAAGATCTAGCATAGAATATATTTTATCCTTTCTGTCCTTTGATCATTTTGGTAGTTGAAACAAAAACCGATTTGATTTGAACACCGATTAGATTGTCGACCAGGCATTATCAATGGGGATCACTGCGCCATTGATTCTCCGACTAGCCGAAGAAATCAGGAACAACAGAGAACTAGCAATGTCTTCTGGCGTGATAGCGTATCCTTTCTCCTTGTCCGATGAATGCACCGCGTGTATTGGCGACATGACAGCAAGGGCATCCCTGTCAAACGCGCTAACATCCAGATCCTTAAGAATGCCTGTATCATTGCTGACACCTATTTTCAATTAGTGATGGGACTAACGCGGCCAATAGAATGGGTTCTTCTCACCACCGGGACATATCGCATTGCAACGAATGCCTTCATGCTTGAAACGCCAAGCTACATTCTTGGTCACCCCAATGAGACCGTGTTTGCCTAGGTGTGGGTCTTGTCATTCCAAATTCACCCTCGACGACTGAAACAGAATTGAACGGCAACTCACTCGCCGTATAGGCTACACCAGAGACCGCGCCGCTCAAGGCAGCCTTGCTGGCAACATTCACAATGCTGCCAGACTTTTGCTCGCGCATTATGGGGAGAATCTCACGCATCAGCCTAACAGGTGCAGTGAGATTAACAGCGATGCATCGATCCCACACGCTGTCCACGACTGAATCCGCGCTTTGGTTGTGATCCATGACACCAGCAATGTTCAAGAGTGCATCAATTCTCCCCCCATAGGCCTCGTTACATGCCGATACTACCTTCTGTGGCGTGCAAGGATCAATTAGATTTCCCTGGCAGAAAGCAAACTTGGGATGCCCTTCAAGTGATGTCGGTGGCGAGGAAATATCCACCCCTAGGACCTGGGCACCCTCACTCAGTGCAGCAAGTGTCGTGGTCAGCCCTATTCCAGAGGAGGCACCAGTGATGATGACGACCTTGGTTTCATTCAGCAACAGTCACCCCAACCACAGAGTTCTCCTGGTTGTTGGTATCTTTTCCATACGTACTTGATCTTGAAGTGAGCCCATATTGTATGTAATCGAGTGATAGCACAGCTTATCGAAGGCAGGTGAATCAAAGCTGTTTTGCTCAAATCTAATTGCTTGAAGCCGGTAGTAGAGACCAGCAAGTTCAAGGGAATGCCCAACAACAGATGATCTGTGTGAGGTTGGGTGATCGGCATAGCTCGTAGACTAGCCTCCCTCTACTGCAGAGCCATGCAAGCCACTGACCGACCATGCTGGCTGAGCTGAAGGCAACGTATCATCAGCAAGGGGCTGCGGGTAAGGAATTCACTCAGACCCACACGGCAACGTGTCCATTTCGGCCACTCCCACACTTAATCTCCGTTAAAGTTCATTCAGGGTCTATCGATTTATTTGTCGGTTTTCCCCTCTGCTGTCCGTGCGCCTTCGCCATTCCGACGCAAGGGTGTGAGATTTACTCCTGATGCAACCCTTCCTTCTTCTGAGCACGGTCTGACGATCATGAAGAGCAATACTGTACATGTTCATTATCCAAAGACTTGAAGAAGTACTGTAAAGTAATGTAGATTTCACACCGCCCCTTCTATACCGCCTTTCTTCGATGCGGTATTCGAGCTAGGAATACTGTGCAATGCATCACATGCAGGTGCTTCCCACAGCTGATGCCTTGAACGACCTGCTCTTCTGTGCTGTCTTGACATACGGACGGTCACTGACAAGCAATCGACGCTCGTACCCTCCAATTTTGAATGCGAAGAGTCAGGCGTCCTCCTTCCCATAAATCTCTTTTTTTTTTTGTTTCGTTGGCACGTCCATCTTTTTACGGAGCATTATAGTCGCCAATTGACAGTCTAGAATTAACATGACCAAGACACAGTATACCTTTTCCCCTGGATCGACCGTCCTGGTCACCGGAGCCAACGCGTACATTGGATCGCACGTTATCAACATCCTCTTAGGTCTTGGGTACCGCGTTCGAGGCACTGTCCGCACTCCCAGGCCTTGGCTGAATGAATACTTTGATACGCGCTATGGCAAGGGCTTGTTTCAGACAATCCTGATAACGGATATTAGTGACCCCAGCGCATTTGATAATGCCCTCACTGGAGTGTCTGGAGTAGTTCATATGGTATGTGCTGCCTTTCCTATCCCTATTAAATTAAAACCCTTGGAGCAAAATGATCTGATTGAGCAAGGCCCAAGCTATGCCATGGGATCCAGCAAATAGCGATCCCGTAGGATACACTGTCGCTGGGACTTTGAATATCCTCCAAGCCGCATCCAGGGAACCCTCGATCAAGCGCGTGGTGCTTGCTTCATCCATTGTTGCCGCTGGCTATCCCGAAGGCAATAAGCCTTTCAAGTTTGACACTGGTAACTGATGCTTATAAAATCTCTAGAAGATGTTCGAAATTTAATTGTATCTAGATTCTTGGGATAATTCTACACCAGAAACAGCAATTTCGATATACACTGTTTGCAAGACTGAAGGCGAGCGACAGGCCTGGAAATGGATGACAGAGAATCAACCTTCATTTGTACTGAACACAGTTCTCCCGTGGATGAATGTGAGCTTGCCGGGGCCCCAAACCCTATGTGCTCCACCGACCATCGCTTACATTTTGATTTCGTGTCTTTAGTTTGGTCGAACTCTTCACCCCGAAATTGGTAGCTCAGGTCACAAATGGATCAGGGGCCTTCTAAAGGGGGATACCTTTCCGTTCAAGGTGGTTCCCATCCGTAAGTCATTCGCTTGCCTCCATTTGGCCCCGATAACACCGCTAAACCCTCATCTCACAAACAGCATGGTTCATCGATGTCGAAGACTCCGCGCGGCTACACGTTATTGCGTTGCTGAGCACGGAAGTCAATTCGGAACGATTATTTGGGGCCGCGGCGCCTTTTGTATGGAGCGATATAACTCGCATTATGAAGAAGGCGGATCCAAAGAACATGCTCATTCCAGATGCTCCACAGGCGGAAAAGGCGAGTCTGGGAGAAGTGGTTCCAGCTCAACGAGCCGAGAACCTCATTCGTACCTTCTTTGGAAGACCTGGCTGGACTACTCTTGAAGATTGTATTAAAGCAACTGTGAAGACTGCGTGAATGACTACTATCACTACGGAACAGCGAGGTGTTTTTGAACGCAAGTGTGCCGAGGATATATGTTTCCCACTTCAGGTAGCAAAGGTCCATCTCTGACTTCTATAGTATAGTCTGAAGCTCAATAATACGCATTTCTGTATGCACATTGGAGGCACTGCGTGGATTTTATATTTCATAAAATACCCAATATCCTCCTTTATAATAAGCCTAGACATACCAGTGATCTGCTCAAGTGGGTATAAGTCATTATCGTACTTTAATATTGAATCTTGGAAACAATGACTACTACGAAGGATACCCCTACAATTTCCAGGTAATTTTGTCTTTTTATATTCCAGCTCACTAGACTTGTAAAGCCATTTGATTTGATCCCAGATCCACAGTTGTTTTGTTTTAGTGATCATGGTGGCACTGCCTGTTGATATTTAAACAACCTGGCAGTATAGATTGATGTTGTTCATGAAATTAATTATCTAGTAGACTCCTAGTTTAATGGATGAAGGATTGATATGATCATAACCACAGTCGAAGATTTGGTTTCAACATATATTTATGTGCCCTCCCAAAGGGATTACAATTTTAACTGAGCCGGAAGAAACCTATAGACGGTTCAATAGAGCTCGTATACTAGTCACACGCACAAAAATTATGATCTGATCGCCTATCTCTAACTAGTGTTCCTCAATTCCCCATTGTATTGTTGTTCTCAGGCCATACACGGCAAATCCTGCACTGCAGCGTTGTCCTCACGTCTCCGAATCACAAGCTTAGCTACCGGATCAGCGGTTCGAGAGGTTCCGTGGCGACGAACCTCCGGCAGGCGCTCTTGGTCCAATTTGAAATCATACTTCAACAGAAGTTGACAGAGCGCGATCTTGAGTTCGTTAGCAGCGAAGAACCGACCTGGACAAGCGTGCTGTCCGAAGCCCCAACCGAGGTGGTTCGGCGAGGGCGAGACGAGCTGTGCGGCTGTTTGCGCTTGCCGATTCGGGGACTCGCGCATGCGCATATACCGATAGGGATCAAACTCCTGTGGATTCTCGTAGAAGTCGGGATCCCACATGGCATCGGCAGGGAATAGAACGGTTGTATTTTTCGGGATAAACATGCCATCCGACAGCAACACATCTTTGGTCGCAAGACGACGCATGGGAGCTAGGATCAATGTCAGTCTCCTTTCCCTCGTTCTCGAAGATCTAGGTAACTTACTGATGGCAATAGGCTTGAGTCTCTGGCTCTCTTTGATGGTGCTATCCATCAGAACCAACTTGTACAGCGAGATTTTACTCCAGCCACAGTCGCGGACAACAGTCATGATCTCTTCGCGCAATGCTGTCACCAGATCTTCCCTCTCAGCAATATCGAACAAGACCTGAGTCAACATGTCGGCCGAGGTGTGGATGGCTGCCATAGACAACAGGAGTTGCGAGATAGCTGGGTTATAAGCACGGCCTTTCGCGGTGTCTTCCATCCAGTCAATGGCATCACTGTACGAGACGGGGTTCTTTCCTGCTGCTCTGGCTGCCGCTTTCTCCTCTTGGCGCTCTTTCAAAACTGGGAGGATAAGACCCAGAGCCTCTCGCATATCCTGACGCAGTCTCCGGCAGGTTGGAAGAAACCAGTGAACGACATACCGGAGCATATGGGGCCATTGACGGAGCTGCTCAGTAGCCGTAATCACGTGTACCGCATAATTAATGGTAATGTGAAGCCATTCAGGGTCTCTGCAGAGCTTCTCGCCCAAGAATACCCGGGAAGACGTCTGGGCAATGATCTGCGTGATGCTCGATCGCAGTGGTACCGCATGCCATTCTTTTTCCTGTCAGCTTTCTTACAGAAAAGACCCGAATTAAAATTTACTCACCGCGTTCATTCGTCCAGTGCTTCTCAAAGCTCAGTGCTGTTTCGTGAGAGAGGTGCTCGGTAACACGACCTAGAAGATACATAAATGAAAGGTCTTGGCAGTATATTACCGATATGTTCACTCACCAAGTGTTCTTGTCAGTTTAGTCAACACTGCGTCGTGGAGAATGCGCTCATCCTTAGATCCTTCCCGGAAAACCTCGAACCCAGGAAGGTGCGACATGAGCTCCCTAGCAGAAGCTTTGTCACGACTCAGGTCGGGATGCTGGCGGATCTCCTCGAGGTATTTCGGAGACAAGACGATCTGGCAACCATTGTCGGTGACGAGGCGGAATCCTTTCGCAGACTGTTTCCCCAGAATGGTAAGCATCAGCTAAGAAAGAGAGCAGAAACTGAACAAACCTTGGCGAATCCATCTCTGATCAGGTTGGCAGCACCGGAAACGTAGCCCTTCTTGGACGAGATCTGCCCAAGCTCGAAGATACTTTGCTTGTTGATAATCGGCAGCTTAGAGCCCTGGAACAAGATGTATCGCAGAGCCCAGGTTATCACAAGGACGAGCCCGGCCCCAACAAGCGAGGCTCGTGTATCTTGCATGAGAAACAAATCGACAATCATGTTGGCTGAGTTGAGATTACAGCTCAGCCTTGGCGCCCGAGGTATTCAAGTCCTCAGATAAAACCAAGAGACAGTGAGACTAGGTGCAAGGGCAGCCTCAGAGTCTCTAGCTACGTGTGACCTCAATGTATATGTTGAACGCACAAGGGATTATGCGTTCATCTTGCAGTCAGTATGCTGAGTAAGATAGTGCCGCGAAAGCCTCCCGAGGTCCCGTGGGTGTAGAAGTCAAACGATCTCCATTCCTTGCTTGCTGCAGGTAACCTACACTTAGAGGTGAACCATACATTTTCATGTTGTGTAATGTTGTGCACACTCCAGGGCATGCATGCCAAGGTTTGTGGCGTTTACATCGGCGGCTGTGAATGACGATCCCGACCCCTGTAAGATATGTGAATTCTGTAGGGTTTGATTGGCCGGAGGCCCAATCAGCATCGTACCCATCACATGATGAAATACCGGATTGAAATTGTTCACCGCTAGAATTCAATTAATCTTCATGCAAGGACCAGTCATCCGGATGGAATCTCAGAAGTTGCATTACAAGCCCCGAGATACGATCTAGGTTACCAAACGGTGCGGGCCGGGGCCCGGGAAGTCTGTGACATTACCACAACCCAAGGGCATCATGTCCGATTGAACTCTGTCCGAGACATAATGCAAAAAGGTATACCCCTAGCTTTAACACGTATTGAAGGATTTGTATAAAGTGCAATTACGGCATATCTATCAGGTGTAGCGCTTCTGTTAAAATTGTAATATAATTACAGAATTACAGTACACCTAATATGGAAGAGGTATTTAAGTGATATTTCTAGGTGTATGTTTGAGTAATTGTCAGTCAATATTCTTAAAAGAATGTCTCCACTCGGCTTTTAGCAGCCAATGATGAAATTTCTTCCTTCTGATGTACTGTATAGTATGGTGCGGAAATCTCTGACTAGCACCCTAGCTAGGGGTAAGTGCCTAATCAAGCCAATCAACATACGCACCAAAGAAAATAGGATAAGAACAAATAAATCTACGCGAACAACCAATTTACATCGATCGCCATGTTGCTGCAGAAGATTCATCAAGGAAAAAGTATCAAATCGTTGTGCAAATTGAATGGATCTATTTTAGAAGTAAGGAAAATGATCATATGTACGTCATTGTCTTGGATCGATCACATATCGGCCACCCGCAAGGGTACACGATAAGGAGTCCAAGAAGGCGCCAATGACAAACTCTATGCGAATGGTTGATCTTTGCATTTCACTTGAGCACCTGCATATTCCAGCTCGGTATGCCCATCGGGGCAGCCAATCATCGAGATATCTATCTCTCCATTGGCTTCTCACATACGTGCAATTGCATAGAATACCTTCATTCTTCCAATATGCGTTGTGAAACTAGAATGTATATTATATGTAAGCCACATTAGCTTATATATGCACTGTACAAAGGAGGCTATTGCATCTAAAGAGAGACGTTTGTGGGAAAGGCTAGTTATGCAAATCATCGAAAGCAGCGGTGTAACAGAGAAATGAGGGATCCGGGTCACTAAATGGCCGAAGTTGTATGATTTCTACGATGACAATGGTCCGCCCAAGGAATGCGAGTCTGCTGCAGCTACACCAAAGCTCCCAAAGAATTTTCGGTTACCTCACTTTATCATGGTAAGCCAGTGGACTTGTGATGCGGCAGTGATAAGATTTTATACTTCTCTACGGGTATGCAGTACTACTACTGGTGACTCTTGAGCTAGAACAAAGTTTTTTTTAACCAGAGAAAAGGGACGTTTGTTTCATATTAGAAGATCAAGTAAGAAAACACCGAAATTCAAACAATGCGAATGGTAGCAACAAGCCCCCAGAATTTCGTACATATGTTCTAGGTGATAGTCTGGCTCAGATAATCATGCTATTAAACAAGGGGGAAACCATATCATGGTTTGACATGCGATTTCAAGAAGGCAAACCCATCTCGAACTGCCTGCAATGCCTCCTCGTTCTGGTTCATATCCGGATATATATCAAACAAATGCACTGCATCGAGTACTCTGATCTCAGAATCGAGACCAGCGGCAGAAAGTGCATCATATGTCCTCTGCGCCTGGGCAATGGGAACCAGATCATCACGGGTACCATGGATGATGAAAGTAGGAGACTGGTACTTATGGGAACGGATCTGGGCCAAAGGACTAATGGCCTGAATATCCTCAATGCTCGGTGGCTCCAATTTGGACATTTTATTCCGCTGGGTCGGGCCTTGTCTGTTGAGCAGGACAGGAATCGTCTGACCGGTCCAGTTCATGTATAGTGCTATACGACTGCGAGCGTCACTAGGGTTCATCCAGCCGCCCAAAGAGGATGAAGGATTATACGCAGTGATAGGCTTGTCTTGAACGGCTTTCCACTGATCGTATGTATCAGTGGACGGAGCGGGTTGGCCAAATGGCAGGTTTGGCTGACTCCAGAAGGGATCCTCATAGTCAGTCGGACTGTAGAATGAAAGAATTGCCTCCGGGGGGCGGATATCAACTTCAGCAGCAGTCCAAGCAAGTGACATGGCAAGATGACCACCAGTTGACCATCCAACGGTCACGACGTGATCACCATCGGGTTTTATGTCGGGGCGTTGCAGCATCAATCCTGGCAGTACTTGGCGAGCCCACTTGAGGGCATCCCGAGAATCCTCCATCGGCCCTTCTACGAGAGAGACCTCTGGGCAGAGCCGGTAATCAATGCTAACTGGCAAGAACCCTGCTTCAAGTAGCATTTCTGTTTGCTTGGGGCGGATGTCCTTTCGAGAAAGCATGACATGGCCGCCACCATGGATCATGAGGGCTTTGGTAAATGTTAGTCTCTGTTCGTCATTGAGATATGCTGGGATTTGCTTAACGTACCAATAGGCCGGGATCGGCTTGCTGTATCAACCTCTGAAGGATAGTAAATGTCCGCCTGTAGCTGAACACCATCCTTCTCCGCAAAAGTAACAGACTCCTCGGTGACCAGGGTACTTTCCTGAGGGCCGACGTTGGCAGGAGAGGCCACAATCAATCGTAGGATCTCGGATTCTTTCGAAGAATTACTACTCCAGTCGACCCACTGATAGCCGGCCTGGCGAAGGGCCTTCTCCCAAGCGTATTCGCTAGCAAGAGCGTGCTGTCGACCGTCGTCAAACATCCACCAGCCCTCGAGCAACCCAAAGACCAAGTCAAACCAGAAGAGGTTGCGGGTTAGCTCAATCAAGCAAAGAATTCCGTCAGGTCGCAAAAGACTATTGATGTTCTTGGTCGATCTCGCGATGCTGGGGGTGGCGTGAACACAGTTTGACGAGATGATCACATCGTATTGTCCTAACATTGCTTCGGGAGGATCCTGGTCAACATTGAGAGCTGTGTACCGCATGAAATTGTACTTCTGGAATTTCTTTCGGGCAAGGGCAATCAGTGAGGATGAGATATCTGTGAAAGTGTACTGGAAGCGTAGCCCAGAGACGTCCGCGAGTTGACCAAGGAGAAAGCCGGTAGTACCACCAGTGCCTGCGCCAATCTCGAGGATCTTGATCTCTCTACTAGGGTCAGCTTTGCTGAGAACATCCCGGAGAAGTTGCCTCAAGTGCATTGTTGCAGAAAGGAACATTGGCGCATGGGTGTATACATTTCCGATCAGTTCACGTGCCTGCTTATCCTGGAATAGAAGGGCCAGGGGATCAGCCGAGCCAGTCAAGCACTTAGCCAATTGGGATCCAGTGGTGCGAAGAAGATTGTGTTCGGACTCGTGACAAGGGTATTTTCGGACAATTTGCTCGTGCAGGACAGATGAAGGCGTGGTCGGAATGAGTCTCTCCGTTCGTAAGATAGAGTTTCCTTGCCTTTGGACCAACTTGGAGAATTCCAAGACTGAATAGAGCTGATCCTTCACCTGCCGATGTTGAGGCAATACTGGAAGTTGCGGAATGACCTGTCCGGGACCGACGGACTCAAGCGGAACCCCCATGTCTTGGAAAGCTTCGACAACATATGCCGTTACGAGAGCCATCTGCTGGGGATAGACGGAGTCACAAAAACCAGTCCACTGGGTTTTCTGACTGTGAGCGGTAGTTGTCTTGAGCTTGGCAAATACATCTCTTGACAACTCAGCCAAAGAGTCATCTGTGGCAGGTGTTGCGTTCATATGGCTAACTTGACTCAACATCTGCTTCACTGGGACCTCAATAGGGACTTCGGCTGGGGCGGAAACAGGTAAGGTTTGAGGGGAAGCATCCTGGAATATTGTGTTGGCCAGACCTTGGATATCGGAGACCTCCATCAACGTAGTGACAGATAAGTTGAAATCAAAGCGCTTCTTGATCTCAGCCAAGACTTCAGTTCGCATGAGCGAGTCAACACCGATATCTTCAAGACCTGATGACGGGAGTAACTCTGCCAGTGGGATGCCTAGAAGAGTGTGGAACATCTCTCGAATGGTGTCTATGTGGCCCCCGCCGACACTGACTCCTTGCTGAAGATTGTGCGAATTTGTCATCGCGGCCACTTGTGTCTCAAGTCGGGGCTTTCTCTCACCTGACCCGAGGACTAACTCAGGAGCGTCTTTGTTTAGTCTGTTGAGAGCGCGAGACAAATTGGACATTAAAACACTAGTGAATGTTGCCGACATGATGGCAAGAAGCAGCTTGCCGCTTTCAGAGTCAAAAACAAAGATATCACTCATAAATTGCTTCTTGGAAGGTCGGTCATAACTGGTGTAGGTTGTGGTGGTTCCGGTAGACTTGGTATCTCTGTTGATAAAGGCATCACTCAAAAAGATGTCCTCGATACCACTGCAGACAAAAACTTCATCGCCGCGTGTTTCAGACAAACAGTTAGTATGAATACCAGCCACCTGAAGGAAATTGTCGACGAGTACGGGGTCACAGATGCCATTTGCACTTGGGGAATCTTGCAAGGAGACGAGACCGGTGGCTTCATGTCCGCTGGCAAACACTTTTTTCACCCCTCGGAAGTAGTCTGCATATTCAACGACTCGGTTGAAGGTCTGGTAAACGGGTAGTCCAATCAGCCCACTAGCATCCGATGACATTGCAATGGCATGAGAGCGAGATGGAGTGATGAGCCGATCCAGGGATCGGAAACGCGAGGAAGCTTGAGAAGCTCCATCCACGTTGTGAAGTCCGATCTCACCTGTGGCGTGCGTCTCTGGATCTGACATCATCTGCCGCGTGAAAAGAGAGAAAGACCACTTGAGATGGGTGTCAGTCTGTGATAGTCGGAGACAGACTTGTCCTTTGGACTCAAGAAGCAACGGGGCAGAGATGCTCAGATTTTGGATATGTGGCATAAGCCCAGAGAGTCCATTTGAGGCTACCTTACTTGCCGCCTCCAAGATGATTTCAATGTAAAGAGATGCAGGACACAGATGTTGACCAACAACGGAATGTCCTTCGGCACACAAGCGGTAGACCGGGTGAGAAACATTGACGGAGAAAACAGTGTCCCGTGAACTTTGTTCAACCACTTTGACCAGTCCACTGTTATTGTCGGGTAATGATGTAGGTGAAACTGGATGGAAAGCAGATGGATCAAACGGAATCCAATGCTTGGTCTTCGCAAATTGATAAGGAGGCAGATTGATCGACTTGTAAGAAGGTGCTTGGTGATGACAGAAAGCCCAAAACTGCGCTTCGACGCCCTTTGACCAAAGGTTCGATGTGGCTTTGGCAATGTTTCGTTGTGCTTGCGAGTCATGGAGATTAGTTGATTGGAAGACATGCCCTTCCGGGGATTCGGACGACTGGATAATCTGTCGAATCATCGGGATCACAGGCGATCCTGATCCAGCCTCAAGCCAGATCGCCGGCCCGGAAACCTTCTCTGCAGCCCTTTTCACAGCTGATTCAAAGTACACAGGCATGCGGCTGTGCTGGACTATCTTCGTGGGGGTCACAGAAGTCCAATCGTCCAACTCAGAGCAGGCCTCTATCGGAATCCGTGGCTCGCGGTACACAAGTGACTGAGCGACTTCAGTGAGGCCGGAAACAATCCCGTCGACCAGTCGAGAGTGGAAACCATGAGTACTGCGTAAACGCTTTGTTTGGATAAACATGGAACCGCCCGCAGCTATAGTTTCGATATTTGCGATGGAGACCTCGTCCCCGGCAACAACCAGGTCGCGTGGGCCGTTGAAGCACGCGATATCCACAGAGTTATTGCAATCATTCACCAGGCCACGGACATCTTCATGTGTACCTTTCATGGACAGCATGCTCCCATGTTCCAGACCCCAACTGCTCTTGATAAGGCTCGCTCGCTGAGAGATGAGCGTCATGGCGTCGGAAAGATTAAGGATACCCGCCACGCATAATCCGGTTAGTTGGCCAAAGCTGTGTCCAACAATACGTTCCACCTTCAGCCCGGAGTCAATCCAAGCTCTGGCAGACGCGTATTGGATGGAGAAAAGTATGCAATGAAGGGATACCAGGTCTTCAATTGGACTATGTTGGAAGATCGTCGGGAACAGACTGGGAAGACCCAAGGCTTTGCAAGTGCTTTCACATTCCATCTAGATTCGCTTGGTCAGACTGAGGCAAACTGTGTATCTTTCGGAATAAGTCAACTTACCAAGTGAATTCGCAAATGCCCGCAGGAATTGAACAGGTCTTCTGAAATACTGGCAGTGTTACCAGCCTGACCACCGAAGCATAGAATCACAGGAAGTGGGCTTTCTGGCTTCTTTTGCGTGTGGGCATTTTTTGAGATCACCTCAGCGAGCTGGTTCAGGAAGCTGGGTATATCGTTGGCGTTCGTTGAGAAAGTAGTCACGTAGTCCATTTTCCTGTTCTGTTTGATTGCAAGATTGTATGCGATGTCTTGCAGCAGGCTTTCATTGGGATGAGTCGACCTTTCAGTGATAAACCTGTGAAGAGCCTCACAGTAAGCGCGAAGGGACTCTTGAGACTTTGCCGAAATGAAGATTGGGACTTCTGATGCGCCTCCTTCGACGTAGTCTAAACTACACGATGGACTCCTGTGCTGTTTGACAAGAATTGCCGCATTACTTCCAGCGGCGCCATAGTTTGTTACCATGGCCGCATGATGGGAGGACTCCCAGTTGATAGACTTGTTAGGAATTGAAATATTCTCCCGATGGGAAGAAGGTATTTTGGGATTTAGGCGAGAAAAATTGGCCTGTTTCGGGATTCTGGCCTTTTGGATCATCATGACTGTCTTTAACAGTGCTGCAACTCCGGATGAGGTTTCTGTGTGTCCAATGTTATCTTTGATAGACCCAATCCAAAGCTCTTCAGCTCGACTTGCTCCGCCAAAAACCTGGCGAATACTGTCAAACTCAATGGGATCTCCCACTTGTGTGCCTACAGCAGAGTTAGTACGAGTGGCTAGCTATAGAGCAATAGTAGAAGACATACCAGTACCATGGGCCTCGACATAGCTAACTTCATATGGAGACGTAGCCCCTGCAGCAAGGGCTTTGCGATATAGAGACTGTTGAGATTCTGAGACAGGGACGGTTATTGGGGAACAGTTGGACCCCTGATTCACTGCCGATCCCGCGATGACAGCCAAAACTGTATCATGATCGCGAAGGGCATCCTTCAAAGGTCGCAACATCACCAGCCCTGCACCTTCACCGCGACAATAGCCGTTTGCATCCGCGTCAAATGCCCTGGAGGCACCGGTAGGGGACAGAAAAGAAGCAGCGGCTAGGTTCTGAGTCACTTTGGGACTGGTCATGACGTTCACTCCTCCGGCCATTGCAATCGAGCATTCCTTCGCCTGTAGGGCCTTGCAGGCCAGATGAATCGCCACAGCAGCTGAAGAACAAGCTGTGTCAACTATCAATGATGGACCACTCCATCCAAAGTAGTGACTGATGCGCCCGCTGTTGAATGCCTGAAGAGTCCCGGTGGCGGAAAATGCGTTGGAGTCCCGGGACCCAACGTTGTCCGTATAATCATCCGATCCGACACCGATATAGCAACCAATGTCCGAGGTCAATGAAGAAGCAGAGATTCCACAATAGCCGGCCGATTCCATCGCATTGTATGCGACTTGTAGCAGCAGTCGTTGTTGGGGATCCATGGCCTCTGCCTCGCGGGCTGAGATACCAAAGAATCGATGGTCAAAAGCATCGGGATCATCTAGGTAATTTCCAAAGAACGGTCCTTTTGGCTGTCGTAGAAGCTCGTTCATTTTGAATCGATCGTCTGGCATTTCACTGACAGCGCACCGCCCCAATTCGAGCATCTCCCATAACGCCTCAACAGAATCGGCCTGGGGATACCGACCAGCCATCCCGACAATTGCGATTGGGGTTACTGGGTCGTCACGATGAGCGTTGCGAGTGGTATGCTGCAACCCTTCCGCTATTTTCACCCCGTTGGAAGACGCGTGACCATTGGTGAGCCCGTTGGAAGGTCCATTAGTAACTTGACACAAGTCACGATGGCCGTTCTGCGGTGCTGATTGAATGCTCACACTACGGGGGATGATGGAACTCCCGCCAATCGTCAGCAAGCGAGCAGCATTGTCCGCTTCTCTTACACGATAGAACGAATTTGCAACAGTAGGAAGCCACTTGCATTGCATGACCAGGATAGATTCCAAGGCAATGGTGAGTAAATCCCCTTGGTCAATGACGTTGCCGTCCACGTTGGATCGGAGAGGCAGGAGAAGTTCGCCTCCACTTGGAAGCTGCAAGCGCTTGTCGTGCTGAAAGTACTTGACAAGATGTTGCACAGCGACCTTATGTGCTTCGCTGTGGAACCTTCCCCTCAGAGAAATGGGCTTCGCTGATACATTGTGACTTGCAAGATCTTTGACCAAGGCATCCATGTCTTCCTCTGGAACAGTTACTGTGACACTATTCGTATCCAACTCGCATGATGTATAAGCCTGATAGAGTGTTTAGTAAGGTGATAGATTGAAGATGAATAGGGAAGAACTCACCTTTGGATGGGATGCAATCACTTGTTGAAACTTCTTGCAAGCTGCTGATTGCTTCCACCTTACAGCAATAGACCGATAGGCACCATAGTTCAACTCGTCCAAGTCGACCAAAGCACCGATGCATACTGCTAGTCGAATAATTGTCGCAGTGAGTGACTGAAACTCGTCCTTGGAGAAAGCGGCCACGATCGCAGCCAGGAATCCCACGCAGAACCCTTGAGCGTCGATGATGTATTGCTCCCCAGTCAACTCCTTGAGCTTGATAAAGTCCAAGATTTGACTAATCACAGTGAGGGGCGTCAGGATTACATTTTTAGGCTCTCCTGTGGGTGGTGAGGGTGAGCCATGTAAATGTTGCACCAGTGCGATGATCTGCTCATCCCCCGAGACTTTGCAGAGGGTCGGCAAGGCCTTAGTAATATCGGCCCAGAGAGAAGGCAGCTCCTGCAGAATCTCACTGATGAATTGAAGAGATGAATCTTCAGCAAGAGTCGTGCTTATTTGAGCCGAGACCTCATCAATATTGCTGCATTGCGGTCCGAATAGAACGGAGACCGGATATCCGACGCTGTCTGTTGAAGCTTGCATCGGGTGAGAAGTAATGTTTGAGAGAAGAAAACGCAAGAATGCAGTAGTAATGACCGATTGGAGTTCACCTAGGCCAAAGGAAGAAGCTCTTCTATTAAAGAAAGACCCTATCAAGCTCTCCAAAAGCAAAACATGTCTGATATTCCACGTAGTCTAATTGATTGAAGATCTTAGTACTCTTGTAGCTAGCTTCCGGCGTCCTTGCGTACACGCATGTATCGCGAATCAAGTTATACCATCCTCATATGTCGATTTGATCGCCCCCTGCAGGCCGAAGTATTCTAGGTCTCAGCTACAAAGTAACACTCCACAATTGCTTCCAGCAAGCATCTTGTGTAAATTCTTTCTCTCATTGATTTGGCCTTTGATCGGCGGGCAGCACAGGACTGGCCCAATCAAAGGCCATATTCGAATCTAGTGGCTAGCTGGCTCCTGTAATTTCTTTTTTTAACATTTCCTCTTCTTATTAATTTAATCGATTTCGGTGTATTTTGTTTACATGTTCATGTTAAATATCGAGATACATCTGTTTGTGGTCTGATTGGTGCATTTTCATATACATATTTTGGATTTGGGGCGTCGGAAGGCAACATGCATATGCATGCCAGTCCCGTTGCCCCCAACGCCGGTTTTCTTGATCGGTGCACGGGAAGACAAGTCGTATGGACTGAAAATCTGTCAGAGTTACCTGGTTCAGTATACCGCGTCGAGTTTTTTATTTTCACTTTTATTTTTCATCCCTTGCATGAATTTCTAAATGTGGCGAGCTGTACTCTGTACTATCTACATGCCGATCAGCACGATACAATCAATAAGAGATATTGTTACTCTGCACACCGCAACACGCAGACTCTATATCACCTGCAAGAAGCATTGCTCCTTTGTTTAGCCGATTCAACACGGACAAATCGGATAGATAGGCCCACCGCATAGTATATCGTTCCAGGAGCCCTTATTATTACTATCTTTCGTGACCATCTTTTCTCTTTTATAATATTTGACACATTCTGTCCATCATGCACCCAGACTCTCAGCTCCAAGATGCAGTTACCAAGGGTTTCGATCCCAAACTCTTGTACGACCCTAATCTGGATCATGTCGACGAGCCCGTCCGATCGATCCTTGAGGAGTATAGCAATATCCCCGCGGACAAGATCTTAGAACACGTTCGTCAACTGGTCAGTACTCCCAGAACCAGGCCTGATCTTTTCGAGTTCAGATTACTGACGGTGATTAGAGAGATCGAGCATTCGCCATCGTACGCCCCTTGTTACCATTCTACGGTACGGTCAAGCTCACTATTTCTAGTTCCCCTATGCCTGCGTCGGAAAGTTTTCCTTTCTCCAGCTGAGCATCGCATCTTCGCCCGCGTACCCTGAGATTCTCCGCCGGGTCAAAGCAGGAGACAAATTGTTGGATCTTGGATGTGCGTTTGGGCAGGAACTTCGCCGCTTGGTGCGTTTACGTCTAAGAACCTCTTGGTGAAAAAAAAAATCAACTGACGACCATAGATCTACGACGGTGCACCCTATTCAAATCTCTATGGAAGTGACCTCCGTCCTGAATTCCTTGAGCTTGGCTGTGACCTGTTCCTTGACCATGACAAGATGAAGGAACAACTCATCGGCGCCGATATCCTAGACGAAAACTCCAATCTGATGGGACGGCTCATGGGGCAACTTGACATTGTCTACATCTCTTTGTTTCTCCACGTGTTTGACTGGGAGAAGCAGGTTGAAGTGGCTAAGCGTGTACTCGACCTGCTTGCTGCGAAGCCAGGGTCAATGATCGTGTGTCGCATCATGGCATGTCGGGACCAGACCCTGGTAAATGCCACACTGGCCCGCATGCCATACTACTATCATGATTTGGCGAGTTGGAACCGCCTGTGGGAGAGGATTAAGAGTGATACAGGCTTACAACTTGATGTGGAAAGTTGGGAACAGCCGGATGAGTTGGCGGCAAAGCATCCTGTCGAGGGAGTCTATGTTCTTGGTTCCTCTGTTAGACGAACTTAAATAGCCAGTTAGATAGCAATGGATCAATGTATCTTTACTATGTCTTGAAGAACTTATCACGGGTCAAAATTGCTTCAAACGCGGTATGAAACAGGAAGATACCACATGTGTACGCCCTTGCATGTTTGATGTTCAAATGCCAACTGATTCATGGCACATACTACGACTTGCTTGGATACCCATTACAGAATGGCCAGTCACGCTTTATTCTTTTCGATCTGTACAGACCCCGCTTTAGCTACTGTACAGCGAAAATGTTCTATTTGTCATGGTCAAGGACGCAGAAAGCCATGCTCTTGTGAGCGAGGGCAGGTACATGATAATGTTACCTGGCAACTAGTGCTCCACAAATTATTAGCTTTTGATGCAGGTAATGTGTGCATAGCCCTAGATTAACCCTAAACGAATGATACGTACTATCCTTACGCAATATAGACCTGCAGAAATCGGGCCCACTCCACCTGGTGGCGCGACGCCAGAAAAACAAAATGATAAGAAAACAAATCAAAAGATCAACAGTGGTATGCATGGGATCAAGTTTCTAGATTTGAAATACATAGAGGTCACATGATGTATACGCAACCTACCAATGCATTTGCAACCAATGTGTGGTCAGGTACCCAATACCTCGTACCAATGGGGAGCTGATCTTCCAATCTAGGAGCTCTATCAAAATATTTGGCCCATACCGATCATGCCGTAGTTTTCTCACCTGAATATCATCCTCGCTGGTCCATTCTGTCAGACCCTATCACGGTTTACCAATATGAACTTCTTATTCGGCCCACGGCGGGCCCAACCGGCCACTGTGGAATCAGACAACATTGTCCCCCTTCGCTCCTGGGATACAGCTCTGTCCATGCGTGGTACAGTCCTAGACACTGCCTTGATTTTCCATGATGTGTTAGATATCCCCAAGCTCCATGGTGCATTGGATCGGCTGTATTCTACCGGAAATTGGAGCCAGCTTGGAGCTCGACTACGCCTGAATGTAAGCCATACCAACTTCTTGCCCCGGCGCTGCTACATGGCCAAATGAAACTCTCTAAGTATCAATTTTTCTCAGGGTCACAATACTTTGGAGTATCACATTCCGAAATGCTATGACGATGCCCGACCAGCCTTTATATTCACCAATGTCAGACACGAGATGCCCATCGGTTCTCATTCATTGGCAGCCCGACTCCCTGAAGTTGCAGACATGGCGAAACTCTTTGCATCTCCAAATGACTTTACTCCGCTTGTGCGAAGCAAAGATACACCCCAAAAGCTAGACGACTGGATCTATTCCGACAACCCGCAGCTGTTCATCCATGCTGTTAGTTTTGACGACGCGACTATTCTGACTGTAACCTTTCCACACACTCTGGCCGATGTAATGGGGATCGGTATCTTCATGAAGGCCTGGTCTGCCATGGCCCGGGGTGACCTGGCCGCTGTGCCGAATCTTGAGGGCTTCGAATCAAATCCTCTGACAGAGCTTGGCCAGCGAACACCGGCAGAAAAATATGTGTATTTTGACCGAGTACTCAACAAAGGCCAGCTGCTTATGTTTGTTGCTCGTCGCATAGTTGATTCGCTTTGGTATCGCCAAGAGGAAAGACACACAATCTCCCTCCCGGCCAGGTGTGTCAAGAAGATGCGCACAAAGGCTATTGAGGAGCTTGAAAGGTCGAGTGACCACGGATGTGCCAATTCCAAACCCTTCCTCAGCGAGAGCGATATAATACTGGCATGGTGGGCACGCACACTCTATATTGCACTCGGGCTGTTACCAAGCCAGCGGATCCTACTCAACAATGCGTTCAACCTGCGTACGTCGCTGCATGATTCTTTTTCTTCTCCCAAAAATGCTTACTTGGGAAATTGTGTCTGTATGTCACCCACTTTTTTACAAGGATGCCATCTTCGAGATGAATCATTAAGTAAACTTGCCTGGAGAATTCGGCAATCAGTAACCCTTCAGCAGACGGCCGATCAGGTTGAGGCTGTGACGGCTTTGTTGAAGCAAACCATGGAAAAATCAGGCTACCTTGCATTGATCGGCGAGCCGGGTATGCTGCTCCTCTCCTCTTCAAATTGGCACAAAGCCGGAATGTACGGGTTAGACTTTTCTTCGGCAGTGACCACGCCTGGAAAAGACCTAAACAACCGGGCAAACGATCTTGGGAAACCATCGTATGTCAATGGAGTTCTACATTCCGATCTATCATTCAGAAATACCTTTGCTGTGACAGGAAAAGACGCTGGTGGTAACTGGTGGCTTAACGGCGTTCTTCGGACCGATGCATGGGCACAGGTCCAAGCCGAGCTTGAGAAGCTAGCCGATTGAGATTTGGTGATGTTTTTTTGTTGCCAGATATGCCGCACCGATAATTTGGTTTCCGTCGATACTGTTGCTTTTCTTTCTGTAGGACGGTGTAAGCCTTTCGTAGAGTAGAATTTTCGGTGAGGGCCCTATCAATATATTTGTGTCCAGTCATTCATCATTCATCCCAAAGAAAGGTGCTTCGTCATTTGATTGTTGCCAAATTGTGATGATATGTTATGAGAAATCTTCGAGAAACGTGGCTTCTGACACTGACCTAAACCAAGAGATCTATATCGTATCTTCATCATACATCCAGGAGCTATCCCAGCTGAGTCATGAGGAGCCAATCTCTTGAACGCATGTCTCGTATGTCACCCCGTCACATGTCGTATAACTACTAGGTAAGTAGGCTTGGACCAAATATATGTTAATCAAGTTTCCAAGGAGGTTTACAAAGGCTGCGGTGGATGATTCTATCAGAGCCCGCATGCGCAATTTGTTAAAAGAGGAACATGTCTGCTTATGTATATGACTTGAAAGAACACGAATTAGGAGTTGCCAAGAGTGGAATGAAGCCAAATTTCGGATTCATTTTGCCATTCATTGACTGAGGACCTCACATATAAGGTCTAGTTATGGTCTACATGGTCATATAGATAGGTGAGAAGTTTTACTTGTGGGGTGGAGTTGTTTCCAAGACGTGACTGTTCTGGAGATTTACTATCAGAACAAACACGGTTGGCTGGTTACTGAGAAAGATTGCTTATGCGAACCCCGGCAAGTTTGTTTGCATTTGATCTATAGGATCTTATTTTAATCGCCCGTGGCTTCATGCATCTTCAGGACGAAGACCCCACCTGCACCGTTTTGGGTACGCACAGTAGGACAGCGCTTACATCGGAACATCGGAATTGACCACATTTGACCCCCGAGAGACTTGCGGTCAAGATCTGGCACATTTTGTACAAACCGCCCAAGACACTCCACAATTTACAAATCTGCGGCCAATACCAAGAATGCCCGAGTTGTCGATCGGTATCTTTCGTGCCGGCAAAGCTACCAGGATGGTCGCTGAACAGACTTAGATAATTTCTAGGCATATGTTATTTTGGAAGCTTTACGATGAACTTTACACTCCGTGTCGGTTGTTTACATTATGTTGGAGACTAGATATCGTTTTTATCCATCTCGTGAATACTTTGCCATTCTGTTTTCTTCCTTTTGATTGGTTTTTTGATACCCCCGTCGCTCTTTCCCCTGGTTTGTATTTGATTTTTATTCATGTCGAAATTTCGGTCGTTCATATTCTTTAGCTACACTAAGCCCCGTTGTGCCTCCATGTCACTTTAATTTATTTATTTATTATTATCATTATTATTATCTTGTTTTGTAGATCTATACGGTTTGATTTAGTGGCGGTGAGAGCCCACCAGATCTCAATTGGCGTAATGAAGTCGCATCATGCATCCGCTGCATAGTTTCGACCGAGCTGGATCCTCGATTGCTGGATTAATAATTGTTGAGAGATGATTGTGCTGCATTTATATCATGTGCCGCAACAGCTAGTAGACCCACGTTTCAGGTCAGACAAAGCCCTGCCGCCCTCCAAGCACTAGACGTGCGTCATTGAACGAAATACCCATTCATGACGCGTTTAGATCCAATCAGATCAGATATTATAGTGCTCAGACTTCATACGATAGGACCTCGTACAGTTTCCCTACCACGGTAAAGCTGTAGACCACTTGCATGAATGTCTCAAGCGAGACTTTGATGTGATCTACATTGTTGCAACACGCAAAGCACAATGGAACGTCGGACAGATCCGTTGGAGATCCGGTTCTCCCATATGGATACGTGATTCTGCTCTCTTTCACACCCAGATGGGGTGGAGGGGGCAATGTCAGCTGGCAGTGACATTTTCGATTTGCATTGCATGGTTGTGCACCATCTTCCTAGGACACCCACATTGCATTGCAGAATGTGATGGATCCATCTGAATGGATACCAAGGAGTAATTTGCGTGCAGCCTTTGCTACGTGGGATCTGTAGACAGACACCATCATGGATGCCTAACCGAGGGGTGGTCTTGCCTATCGACTTTGCCCAATTCCCAAGCATTAGCCGCTGGATGGTGCTCACTGAAATTATATAAAGAACGCCTTCTTACCCCCGATCAAAAATTTTCATTCTGGAAAAACTTCAACAGAAAGTATATTGACTAAGTCGTTCCAATGGCGCCTCCAAACAAGAAGAATATTCAGGGAGATATCTGGTGAGCTGAAAACGTACTCGAAGTTCTAGTTTGAAAATTCATTCTAATGATCTCAGGCCCCGTCTGCCCAAGAAACACGAGCTGTTTGTCTTCTTCCGCATCACTAATCCACAGCTGTTTAAGACACACCTAGCTGGCCTTGTTCCCTTGCTCACGACTGCCCGCGATGCCGAGAAATTCAGATCTGAAATCTACAAGAAGAAGGCTCAAGACACCCTTGAAGGACTTGTTCACTTCTCTGCAATCAACGTCGCCTTCTCTGCTAGGGGCCTGAAAAAAGTGAGTGATGAGATCGTTTTGAAATATTATGTGCCATACTAAGCCGCGCTAGCTTGGAGCCGAGACATTCACAGACGATATCTTCAACAACGGCATGTGGGAAGATATGACTTACCCAATGGAGGGTGATGATAAGACAAAGCATCACGGTCTCGATGACCAGCATGATTGGTTCCATCAATTTACCCCACGTAGTGGATACATTGACGGCGTCTTCACTATCACCGGTGAGACCGAAAAAACGTTGACTGAAACTTATGATATGGTCAAGCAAACCTTCGGAATTGATCTTAAGGGCGAGGGAGAAGGTGGTCTTCCTAAGCTTGACAGGCCAAGTATTCAACTTATCTTTCAACAACAGGGCCATGTCCTGGACGATGATAGAGAACAGTAAGGCAGTTCAGCTTCATTGAATGGATGAAGCCTGACTAATTTTTACATTTTAGCTTTGGATGGGTCGATGGTATCTCCCAGCCTGCTGTCATTGGTCTGGACACCGATGAAAAAGTTGAAGAGGCCAAAAAGGGCTTAAAGCCAATTAAGGCTGGGTAAGCTCTAGTCACTTTGCACCAGATGCCATTGGACAGAGTCATTGACAAGCTCGCTAGTACTATTCTTGTGGGAGGTGAAGGGGATGAAGGGAACCACCCAGCATGGGCCAAAGAGGGAAGCTTCATGGTATTCCGCACGTATGAACAGAGAACACCCGAGTTTATTGGGTGAGTAGCTTCATTTGCCTCTGCGTTGTGCAATATTATTAACACTCCTTTAGATGGTGTGGCCGCAACACCAAGAGAATGGCTGCTGAAGGCATGACTCCACTAGCTGCGGCAGAGCTTCGCAAATTCTCATCCCGTGTTGTTGGGCGATGGCCCAATGGTAAGAATTTCTTTCTGAGGTTTCCAATTTACTCGCAGCATTCACTTACTCAAAATCTCCAGGAGCTCCGCTTGAACTTCACCCAGACCAGGATCCCACACCTATGCTGATCGCCGATCCAATCGCCAACAAGCAGATGTTGTTCCAGAAATGGAGAGACCAGGGCTTAGACCCCAAAGCCGAATATAAGAAATTGGAAGAGACAAACCACACGGATGCCTTTACTTACAATCCCGAGGACCAAACTAAATGTCCTTACGCTGCCCACATCCGGAAGTGTGGTCCTCGAGATGACTTCCCCAATTATGAAAAGCACTTGATGTTGCGACGGGGAATTCCCTACGGACCCTTGACACTTAACAATGAGAAAGGTGGTGGTGTGTCACAGCATGACCGTGGACTGCTGTTCGTTTCCTACCAAAGCAGCATTACCAATGGGTTCCGATTTGTCCAGAAAGGTCCGTATCCTAGTCACATTGGCATCAACATTTGATAATTAACAGCTCTGCAGTATGGGCAAACAAAGAGGACAAACCAGTCGATTTCACCGACAAGCTGGGAAATACCGGGCCTCAGGGCATCGACGCTATTATCGGTCAAATGCCTCCCGACTACCGCCACGAGGAGGATGTTACCAAATATGAGGACCCAGCTCCCGTTGCAAACTTCCCGGATGTTCAGAAGCCTGTGCCAACCCCTAACAAGCACTTCATTCCCATTGAGCGCTGGGTAATTCCTCGCGGCGGTGAATACTTCTTCACTCCTTCGATTTCCGGAATGCAAGACACTCTCTGCAAGTAACCAGAGAGGCTATGCCAGCAAAAATTAATCTATTTGATGGTTCTATAGTTGGGGTTCTTCGATCTTTGTTTTGGCTAGTAGATAGCTTGGGGGCCCTGTCGTTCTCGGTAGCACAAATGATTTGAATTACCTTATCTTCTCTCGCACTAAGTTGATTCTATTCCTGTACCAGCGCCAACGCTTGAGTACCATGGAACTCATGGTAAATATCCTGTTTAGATGTTGTTCCACATGAAAATCAGTTCCCAGGCGGCTGTATTCATACTTCGTGCGAAGCAAGTGAGCCGGTCTTTCTCAGCCCAGACTGTATTACTAGGTATCTTGTTGTAGTAGTCTACTGATAGAAACTATCATGTCGTAAATCTTATTGCGTGACTTGGCTGATATGCGCATATTTTATGTATATATATATGAATGAATTGCACGCCAATCCTAAGAGGCTTTATCTAGGTTATTTGACACCCAGGAAGAAAAGCTCACGCCATGCTAGATACTTCAACGATACCACTTTGCTGTTTCGCGGCGGCAGAGAAGTTCCGGCTCACAGTAAACAAATTCATAAACCACAAGAGTAGTGTGTAAATCCGGGACGGGGCTTCCACCGGGGTTGACAGGATGCATAAGCAATGTCTACTGTAACCTGAATACCTATATTTATGAATTGTATGGTGAGAGAAGTAGAGTGTGGAGGAAATCAAAAAGCCGTAAAAAATTGCGTTTTTTGTGAACAACTTGAGTACATGACCCCTTACCTGATCTTAAGGGGGTGAAAGATAGGGGTGCAGAGGGAGACATGTTGGTATTCTCCTAGGATTCTTGGACCAGAGATAAACAATTTACAATACCGAATGGCCTTTCAAAGTAAAAATCACTTGTACCGTTACTAGATATGCATTCTAGTTGTAATCCTCGTTGGTTCGAAGCAGACAAACTGAAAATCTGGAATTCTATGTTACGCACCGACACAAGAGCATGGAATAAGGAAGGATGTACTGTACATGTAGCAGAGCTGAATGGGGCCAAATCTTGCCGTGTAAGAAGCGGGGCCCTCTTAAAAAAGGTTGTACGGCACGGGACGATCCACAATAAGACGGAATGGGGCAAGACGCGTTCGTGCAGTATTGGATCGTCGTCATACATTCTGTATAACTTGAGCCGTGGATCTATCTATCATGCATCTTGAGCGAGACCAATCATTTGAAGGCTATAATGGGATCTACGTAATGCACCTTCAAGGTTTCATTGACCGACCTTGTCTGAAATTTAGTCGAAAAATGCCTCATTGCCTTGCGTGAAAGGTATACAGCTTATTGGAGAAAGCTGTTAGCCCAGGTCCACCGTTTCCAATAGCTCTAAACATTGTACATCGTGCACCCACGGATGAACATGCTAGAGGAAGGATGTAAAGCTTCATATAAATACCCTCTATGGTCACACCACATTTCCTATCTACTTACGCCATCCATTCTTCAAAGCCCTTTAGTTCAAACAACCTTGAGCCCAAATAGTCTCTCAAAATGCAGCTCGCATCCTTCCTCATTGCCGCTCTCGCGTTTGCTGTCTCTAACGCCTGGGCCCAGGATGACGCTTCCGGTGACGAACCTACCTGTCTGCGTATCTGTCGTGATGATCCTGTTACCTGCCAGGCAGACTGGGTCTCTACACAAGTTGCCGCCGAAGGCGAGGAGGTAAGTACCCATTTAAGCCATCCAGCGATTTGATACTAATTTGTCGAGAAGCCATGCTGGACTTGCTGCAGCAAATAGATCAGCAAAATCACACCAATGAATGATGAAGGGTTGCCACTATTGAGTGAATATATGCTTGGACCATGAGCTTTTACCTGGAGGTCCCATGGCTTCGGCTTTTTTAGAGTAGTGTTTTTGCCTTCATGACTTGGTACAAATAATATTGTCACGTTGATTTTCCCCATGAAGCAACATTTGTTTTACAGGATCGTGGCAGGGAATGCTCTGTTTGAGAGCAAAGCTTGTATCTTAATGACCCGAAATTTGTTACCAAGCAACACCACAAATAGTCAAGTATGCATACGCTTGAATGCTGTATCACCAGAGCGTACGTGCTAATCCTGTAAGGCACGACAATTGACCAATCAGCCCTCCCTGTGTAACTCTTCGGACTAAGGATCACTCATTATTCGCACTAAATTGGTGAATCGGAACTTTTGAGTTCACCAGATCTCGGACCCTCGAGAATGTTACGGCATTACTACCTTGGCTCTTGATTTCTTGACGCAAGGAGAGGCATTTACAGCTACAGACCCACCTCAGCTAGCCACCAAAATTGTGACGCATCGACAAATTCTAGCAAGACCTGCACCTCCTTCTTGCATTCGCTCAATCTTCCCAGCAGCATCGATAACTTGTTCAAGACACCCCAACCCTTGTTATTGAGTTCCATCGGTAAGCGCTCAAGAGATTGATTCTGTTGTGTATTTTTCATATCACCTACGCAGAATGAGCGTCGTTTAGGGGCGAAAAGGTGCTGCAACTATTACGGGTATCCTCGAAGCTGGCCTATCATTCACTGTATTCCCTAGCAATGTAGCTATGGGAATACGCCAGATCTTTATAATTGCAGGAGTGGTCAACGTAACTCAATTTAGTAGACGTCTTCTCCATGAGAGTTCCTCACACCGCTTATTGTGTCTTTGAAGAGATAAATCAGGGCTCTGTAAGCCTCAGATACCACGCCGCACCATAGCTCTTGGATGTTACAGGATCATATACTGCCCTTGGTTTAGTTTCAATTAGCAGAGTAACCCATCAAAAATCACTCATAACTACTTTATGTTTGGGATCATCTAGTTGCTTTCTCTCAGTACAAACACGATATTGGAGCAAGATCAAACTTTTTGCTGCCTATTAATTTACATGCGAAATACTCATCATAGCGGTGGTTACTACAAGAAGCTTTACGGTAATTTGGAGTATTCAAACATTCGATATGAATAAAGGTACCTGGTCATAGCTATTACCTACAATGATTACACAAGTTGGAAAGATAGTCAAAAGAAGACTGGCTTTCGTTTACGAGTCTTTAACTAATAAACGATCGGGTTACTTGCGTTCAGTCTCTCCAAAATCTAAAATGAAGTCGTTAGTTTTGCGTATGAGGTCAGTGGAACCAGTAGAGACTCATACCCAATCATTCAGCTCAGCATCATTATCTCTGAGATTCTCGAACTGAGCGTCCAGATGTTCTAAGTTTGACTGTTAGCCTGAACCATATTCCTTCCGCTTCGGTTCCGCAGTCATCACTCACCAGCAGTCACATTGACATTATCAGGTACAAGAGTATTCAATTGCCAACTTCCCAAAAACTCAGTAGCCTCGGTCGCATTACCCACCTGGCTGAGGTCATAACGGACGGCTGTTTTGGGTTAGCTATGCCTGATGTAGAGCCACGACGAAAGCTTACCTTCATCTCCGTAACCTTTGCTCTTCACAAAGTTGAGCGATGCTCTAACTTCATTTTCATATGAATTAGTAGGCTCCTCGTTTGGACATCCGTCCGTGATTGTCAGGATAAGAAGTGGTCGCTTCAACGTTTGGCCACCGTTCACTGGCCCGTAGAGGAAGTCATTCAGGACTTTCTCTTTAAGGTTTGTACCCAGTTTAGTCGATCCATTGGGTGCGAAATTCATCTTCGAGGAAAGATCGCTGGGCTTGAGGTCATTAGACTTGTCGCTCTTGTTGATGAAACGAAGATGGACGAGCGTGCCCTCTTCGGGGGCAGCCTGCGTGATGAGGTTTGCCATCCGTTCAACCATAAATGCTTGACGGTTCATGCGGTCATCATCCTTCATCGAGCCACTGTCATCTGGAGAAGATGACTATCAGCTTGGCTTTTATATGAAAGTAGATCACTTATGACTTACCACAATACAAGATTGGCTGGTACAATGCTTGGCGAGACATGATGGTCACATTCCTGGGTGTTGCACCTGGGAAAGCTGAATCCTTTAAGATTCTCGCTGCGTTCTCTGCTACCTTGGCCACATATTCGCTACCAGCAGGGTAGAAGTCCTCAAGGCCCTTTGCATTGATAAAATTATCGAGGTTTGCCTTGAACTCCTCTGCCGTGCGTGGATTTGTGATTTGCTATTATGGCGTTAGTCGAATCAAAAATGGAGAAATGTGAATAAACAGATACATACGCCTGGCGTTGGTTCCGACAATGCAGCAACACGGTTTATGGCGTTCAGACCGACATCCTTGAAGTTTTTGAAGTAGGCCAGGGCAAAGAGACCAGAGCTTACGAGAAGATTCTCCAGCTCGGGTTTCCATTCTGGCTTCTCATCTTTGGGGCGAATAGACTTATGAACAGCGGTGTTTGTGGACTTTTCAGCAAGCTTTCTAGGTGTCTCGCCAAGTTCGTTTGACCTGTCGAGGGCTGCTCCTGCCTGAATAAGTGCGCGAATGGCCTCGGGACTGGTGCCTTGTCGGATTGCTGACATCAATGGAGTGTCACCCTTTGGCTTTGAAACCGGCTCATCTGACTTCGCGCCATGCTTGAGCAGAAGCTCGACAATACGGCCGCTGTTTGGTGCTTGAGTGGCCGCATAGAGAGGGCTCTTGCCATCCGGAGATACTCTGTTGGCGTCGGCACCGTTCTGCAGAAGCAGCTTTACTGCACCCACGTGGCCGTTTCGAATTGCAAGGTCAAGGGCTGTATCACCATAGCTATCCTCGTCATTGACTTCCACCTCAATGAGGAGTTGTGGAACGTTCTCCAGGTTGAGTGTTCCACTCTTCGCGTGAGTATGAAGGTTTTCCGCCATAATGAAGCTCTCTGTCAAATAACGCTGAGAGAAGGCTTGATTGATCAGCTTTGAGGGGGAATTATATTCCTCACCGGCTCCATGATAGCCGTACTTATATTTTCAGCTAGAAGCTATGACACCCTGTCTGCAGCTTGTGGATGGTTCCATCGTGCCTGTTAACACGTAATGCCTGCTGGTTCACCCCACTCATGTACACGCAGGCGATGTATCACCCAGCATGTGCATATTCCAAGAAACCATCTCGATCTAACCACGGATGATAAACCAGTACTCGTCAATGCAGCCAAGAGAGTGACGTCAACCCAAATGACGATTTGCTTTACCATATCCATTGTTGGTCACGCCCAGGTGATATCAAGGTATCAATTACTCAAGCTGATGGGTTCAGCGGTATTGCACGCCAGCTGCGCCATCGCGAAGATCTCGAGGTGACCGCTAGTCACTGCAAGATGGTTCGTGTTCGGCTGAGTGATTTTTTCTGTTGACAAGTGATTGGCTCACTCCCACGCCGTGGAACGTCAAGCTATAGCATACTGCAGTCGATGTCTTTTCTTTTTCACTATCCTGATGTATCATCAGCAATATCGATACTTCTTTATATATTGAAGACACTACGATTTTGTGTGCTCGGCCTAGAAGCCGGCCCAGGAGTGCCAGTGAAGGAGAGGCTACTTACTGTACGAAAGACGCGGCTGCCGGTTACACTTGCCAAGTCTACTTTTGAGCTGCCGCGCACGGATGCTGTAAGATCATCGTTCTTCTGTCGTCGTGCAGTGTCGATGTAGGATTAACTTTGTGATGGCCATGTGCATGCAAGCACAGTGTGGAACAGGTCACACATCTACCAATTTGTGATTAGTTGGTGGAAACGCTGGCTAATCCATACTGCACAGTACAGCTGTATGTTTTTTTTTCAATTTTTTTTTTTCATTTGCTCTTTTCATTCTTTTTTAATTACTTATTCTGTGACCTGCCCAGTAACAGGAAGACCACATCGTTCCTAGATTTATGTCACGTACTTGGGTTGAATACACCTTGGCATTTGAACATCATTATAATCCCAGCTCTCCGGGGTCATTCATTCATTGCACGCGCCCTGCAACTCTACCACATAGTTAACCACCCAAATGGGAGCTGCTCCTCCCGGAACGGGCCGGCGTGCTCACATCGAACAATGGCGCTATAACTATAACCACTGGTGGCAACGAAATAAATTCCAATAGAGAGAACAGTTGCGGTTGTCTCTCCCATGAATCAGAAATACCCACGCAGCTTGTTAGCTTCGCGGGCATTTTTGTTATGAATAGACGCAAGTTTGGTCCGTGCAAATCCTGCGGCAACAACATGGAATGCATTTAATATAAGGAAGAGCTTTGCATTTAATATACTGTAGAAACCATGGCGTCTGCTTCTGATTATGTCGCAGGAAAAACAGAGGCTGAGAGATGGGGACCGATAGGTAATAATGTAGTATCCCCTTTCCGGATCTTGTTGCCGTGGCTAGTAAGATTTGAAGGAGCGACGACTATCTCTCATGAATCTACCAAAGCCGCCCTAATTGCAGAGTCCAAAACAATTGTTGGATTCAAAAGATAATACAGTAAAGCCTAAAAACCTCAAATGAGGGAAGCCCATACGGCTGAAAGTGTCACATGTCGTTGTTCTAACACCAGAGTAAACTTTAGTACTGTTTCCTCTGCATCCCTTGTAGTCTGCGCCCCGTAAGCATCGCTCTAAGGGTGTCTATCAAAGAAGATGCCCAGAACTGAACAGCGACGACTGGGTGGGAGCCGTGTTCCCTCCGTGAGATCGCATGTAGCAAGCTCGGTCTTTGCCGTCAGTCTTCCATATGAATCGAACACACTTTTTTGGGCCTGAATAGCTTGCGCACTTCTCAGCACAGTCTTTGAAAGAGCTTGCCTTAGGAGTACCCAAATTCGGCGCGCTAGGATCATCCACTATCGGGAAGTCAGCATGTCTCTAGTTTGATTCGTGATGCGGCAGACAAACACTTAGCGTAGTGAATCTTGAATCTCTCATTTCCAGCAGCGATGATGCATTGATCATCACGAGGCTCTGTGACCTGGTGGTTAGTCCTAGGTGAAATGCAAGAAGGGGCATTGCCGCGGTCATAGAACTGTTTTACTTACCAGCGTCAAACAGGTTCGTGCGACATTTCCCATCTGCGCCTTCCCCGTTGCAATCGACATTGAGGGTATCATAGGACTGCTGGAGCGCATCCATCTTGCTTTTGAGTGATGTGATCTGCGAGATGAGCCCTGCGATCTCATCGTCCTGATGGGTAAGTTCCATGTTCAAGTCATTCTTCTCGTTCTCACACTTCTGCTTCTCGATGCTCAGGTCACCCTTTTCTTTTTCACACTTTGTTTGCTCTGAACGACATTGTTTTCTCTTCTTTTCCCACCTCGGCAGCGTTCCGACGGCAGTCCTCTTCAGCGGATTGTAGCGCCAATTTGTCATTTTCACACTGAGTCAATTTTGCAGGGTCTACCTGGTTGTTTTGACACGTTTGAAGACTGTGGTCTGCTTCCTCGAGTTCTTCTTTGCATGTGTCCTTTTCTCTGACACATTCCACTTTATCCTTGAAGCACTGATCCTTGTCATTGATGCATTGATTCTTCTCCTCAACGCACTCTTTGCAATCGAGATTTGGTTCAGGAATTGGGTCTTCGGCGATATCATCCACGACCTTAACGAGTGTTAGGAACGCTGCGGAAGGCTTTTGGTCTTTGTTGGAGCCTCTGGCGAAGAAGCAGGTATCCTTTCGAGTGCCCTTTGTCCGGAAGGAAATTGCGTCACACCCCTCTGATGCGCAAAGCTTAGCACATTCGTGAGCATTGGCTGCTGGTTTGTTGTTCGGGTTGAGAGAACTCAAGATAGATGTGCAGGTCCATTTCCAACGAACGTTGTCAATTAGAACCTCGTCTTCTTGCTTTGATGGATCAGAACAGCAGGCATTGGGGTTGTCGGACTCCAGACAGGATGGAAGTACTTCTGTGAAGGTAATCCACTCTTCATCGGACTTCTGGTCCATGTTGTCACCTATGACAAAGAAGCAGTTACTGCCACCACGGGCTGCCTTGCCATAGCCTTTAAAAGATGATGCCTCACAAGACACATCGTTTGCACAAAGCGATGCACAGGCATGGGCATCGTCGACCTTTTGAGCATTTCGTGGATTGAGAGATATCAAGTTCGATCCGCAAGTGAACTTGAAGGTGCGGGAGTTAATGGACACCTGGCCAGTCTTTGCTCCACCGGTGCAGCAGTTATTAGGAGTAGCGGAGGCCAGGCATGCTGAGCTCTCGCCGATCGGAATTTGGTCGGCGGCGAAGGCGAAGGCCGCGCCTAGCAGCAGGAGGGAGGATTTGACAATCATGGTCAACCAAGAAACAGCTGAGTTGTGGTTGTAGCGCAAAACCAAAAGTAGGTGTAGGCGCCCCAAGCCCAAGTAAATAGTTTAGAGACGCGGCAATCATGCCCTCTACAGCCCTTCCCACCCTAGCTTTGGAGCTCCACCTGGACGCTAAGACATGATGTAAAGTCATGCGGTCATTAAGGGGAGAAGAGGTGTCAGAATCATAGATAGATCGACAAGTTACATGAGTGGATCTAGAAGTGGGTAGCTAGGACTCGGGAATGGCCAGATGATCGAGTTCAGCTCAGCCATCTGTAGGAGGTGGGGCTGCAAGCTTGCATCCCCAAAAGCCGAAAAGGAAAGAGGTTCAGCCACCCAATTGCCAGTGGACGAATGGAAGGGGTCGAAAAGGTCGTAAATGAGGTTCCTACATACTATTGACCCGTGCTGGTTACACAGCACGCATAGTGGGGTTGTGATCAGCAAGGAGGCTGCATATGTGTTCATGTTCCATAGCCCTAGTCCTGCATTCTGCATATATCTCTGCATCCTCGGCAATGAGTCCCCACCCAAAAAAGCAATTCTGCAGACATCCCTCTCTCAATGCGCCGATCATGACCTCAACTAATTTCCACCTCAGCTGAACTCTATCTTCAGGCAGAACCATGGGGTCCCCGTAAATGTAACTCGTTGCTGTTTACGGAGAAGATAATCTGTACTTTTGAGAGATCGAGGTGAGTACATTGGGAATGGTACAAAGACAAGTGAGTCACATTAATGAGAGGCAGTCAGTAATTGGTGTACACTGAGGATGCAGGGCGGCAAAAGCACTAGCAATACTTACTCCGATACGCATATATACCCCAACTATAGCAACTGATATCAAGATCAACTTTGTTGACACTGTTGGAGCCGCATTACTCTCGCTTCGTATCTTGGTAGCCTCTGGATAGGGTATCTTATTAGATTATTCATTCCCACGGAAGTTGGCTTCTCTTGTTGGATTGAGGAGAACGGGATCCACGAACACGCGCAGGGCTATATACCTATACACCCCCAAATTAGCTCAGTATAATATAAAATTAGTTCAAGTATTATATGATCGTCTTTTCATCCTTGGGTGAGAGCAATTATTGCCGGAGCCGATTATCGTTGCTCGGCTTGATTCAAATTGGGGCAAGGGGTCAGTGACCAATGCAACCTCAATGAAGTGAGTGGCATGCTGCATCTGACTGTATAGCCACCCATGTCTCTCATGTCTTTGATTTTTTTTTTTTGCCGATTGGAGGGCCATTCCAGTATGAGCTCTACATACTGGCGTGCACAGTCTACCTGCTATGGTAGCAACAATTGTTGGCATCAGTTCTCTCCACTTGGTAATTTGTACTTAGGTAAGTAGCTAGCGGCAAATCGTTGCTGCTATGTGTGTATACTTCTTTTCATTTTGATTGAATGACGCGAGAAATACCAAGAGCTAGAAACTCTGAGATTTAGCAAGGAAAGAGCTGAATACGGTCATTCCCTCCGTTCTGCAAACTTGGGTCCAACTTGTCAAAGTTTGCGTATAGCTTTAGTAATTGCTATACTGGACCAAAGTCTGCAGTTCCTAAATCTGGCTTCATTGGATCATTCAGGAATTCTTATAATTGAGGAATGGGAGAGAGAAGACGGAAGCTGAATTCCATTGGTCTAAAAAGGGAGCTTATTGGTGCCATGAGACCTGACAAGCTGAAGCAAACATTCACAGATTGCGTCTCAAAGTCTCCGTGAACGCAATTTAGAGCGGTAGGTCAGTTTGGTTACAAAGCAAGGAGACCAAGTCGCTCAATATGATCAATCTTGCCAGTATAATGCGGCAGAGTGTGTATTCTGACCTTTTTTTGATTAAGAGTCATGGGAAAAGTGTTCTCCAAGGTCTCATTCACGTCTGTAATAATAGAAGCCCTATATGCGCCAACGAAAGTCCGGCGTGATCCTCAATATGAACAGCGGTACCTCGCTTGACGGAATTTCCACTATGAGTATATACGCGAGTGCAAAGGCCGGAATCGATGGTATGAACCAAGGCTTTCTTCTCGCGGAAGATTATTAAGTATGTGTCTGATAGCCCATACGAAGATTCTGGCCAAGGAAGTTGCCCCATTCAATATCCGCATCCTGACTGTTGTTCTCGGAACGCTCAACACAAGCATACCCAATTCAGTGGCTTTGGGCAAGGCTTCCCTGCCTGAAGACTAAAATGGAACCTTCACTCAGCAGGTTCAGGGTCTTCTATTCAGTAGAAAAAATAAAGCCTAACGACGACAAGGACAAAGCCATGCAGGCAGTGTACCAGGTTTTATTGGAGAGGGAATTAGCGAAGGTCATCAATCTGAGAAGCTTTTTCCTTTGGGTAGTGACATGACCCTTCGTCTCAAAGGAGCCCAGGACTACCTCGGCAATGCTTTGAACTTGTTCAGTTCTGTGACCAACAGCGTGGATATTGACAAGTGAGACATATTGCTTAAGCGCCACAAGGATAAATTGAAAACGCTTTTCAATTCGCGGTAGATACCTGTAGTGACAGGCGTTCACAATGCCGGAGAATTTCCTTGATAGATGAATCCTCAGCTTTAGGACCTACCGTCGGGTAGCGGGTCGGTCCGATTACTCCACATGACCAAACACCTACACTAGAGATGGCCTCGCCGCTTCACCCATCCAAATGATTATGATTATTCCCTACATGACACTCCTTGTGTATTAAGACCCTCGTACAATGCCAGGGGGGATCTCTAGATCTTGACCACTGTGGGCACCTGTGGTCACAACAACTTCTCTCACTGCATCTCTGTCCGCTCATTATCAGCCACTGTTATGGACACCCTTCACGTCGAAGTTTGCGAGGGTGAGATACCGTCGTGCCAAATATGGAGTGATATCTCTGTCAGGATGCCAAGTGCTTCTTCGCAAGATCGCCTCCATCGAGAACTAAAGTGGCAAGAGTTGATGGTCTTACACTAGGACGGAAATCCTATTGGCAATGGCTACTTCTGATGTTTTTCCAAGTGTGACTAATGATTAAATAGGCCGATATGATTTCGTTAAAAAAAAAACAGGTCCTTTTTTTTCTCTAAGCAGCCCCAAGATCTTAGCCATTTACCTGATGCTAGAAAAAATCACTTAAACACAGCGATGGTTCTAAGATATCGAAAATACGGTGTTTCACGATAGGCCATATCTATTGCCACACCGGCACCGGCAGCTCGACCGGCCCACAAATCTACCCCTGTCAGAACTACTCCAGTCTCGTGGAGAATAATTGTTTCTATATCAAATATATGCATGAATGATTTGGTCAACGGAGCGAAGGCTGGCGACTTTTCCCAGAGGCGATATTCAGGCTCAAGGTATCGCGCTGCCTCAGCAAAGTTTTCCATCTTATGTGATATATCCTTTGAATGCTGTCGCTTGAACCCTCCGATTGTTGGGTAGTACTGACTATGTAGGTAAGATGTGGTGTCTTGAAGCTAGGGCAAAAAGGATCCGTATCGTCTCAACCTATTTGGCTAGCTTAAAATTGTTGATATGTTCGAGCCGTCCTCGCTTTAGGGGCTCCTTGCGAAATCCTCTCGTTATGCGCCTCAACATTCAGATACCTTCCTTCTTAACGTCATTGAATTCAAAATGAGACCACTGTTCGCTCTGCAGCTCAGCGGATCTCAGCCGATGAGTTACTAAGAGTAAATTTGGTAGACTTTCTCTGTGCACAAGGACGTTTATAGCAGTCTACGAGCCTGGCTTCATCCTCTCGAAATCGACGTTTGCAGTCGTTTTCTCGCCTTGAAATACCATACTGATTCTCTGCCTGTCTGTGTGGGTTTATTTGCCAAGGTTTTAGTTTCCTCTATCGTGGCAGGTAATTTCACTACCACAGCACTGAGGCCTAGTCCAATGCGCGCCGTCCGAGTGTTGAGCGACGCTGCTGATGATCAGGATACAAAATGATGCCCAGCCTCTCCTTGGGCTACTGATTTAGATACGCCCATGCTCTAGCAAAGTTCTACAGCAAAGATTGAAGCACAGTTAGAAGTCCGTGGTTTTCTCTAGAGTCATAGACCTTGCTCTGTCCCTTGATGCTCTCTGCCCTTGCTTTCTCCACCTATTCGCGGTGCAGTTCTGCCTTGTATTGATCGTTTGTAAAGCCTTTTCGTAGGCTTGATGCATGCGCGTAGACTGAGTAGAGAGTTCCGCGTTCGGTTGCAGGATCACTTTGACATAGTCCAGCTGCAATGAGCTAGTTGATAGCAGCACCGTACCCATCCCATGTTTTCGTGCAGATGCAATTTACTCGGGTGCTGATAGTTCAAGTATTCGGTGGACGATGTCGCACCTTTTAGTCAGTAGACCGACTAACATGCCTAGCGCAGAGGTAGATGAGTAGTGAGGCGCGTTTCCTTCACACTCGTTGCTTGACGTGGTATGCCATCATTGCCCCACTAGTTCACCCCGCATGCCAAGCCCACAGTGAGAACTGAGAGCCCTGAGGCATCTGCTCATAGAAGGGATCTTGTTGTTCTGTGACGAAGAACGGATTAAAACTGTTTTTTGCTAGAAATATAAACGGCTTCTCCCTCTACTACAAGCTCGAGCTAGTTCCTTGCCCAGGTGTGGGATGTCTGATTACTAATACTCATATCCGGAGCTTCTATTAATCCGGATGTCTTGCAGCGCAAAATAACCCCACCTCGCTGTTGGAAGCATCATCCTCCACCAATCTCACTTTTCATCTGAAATCTATTATCTTCATCATGGGTGTTGTTAAGCAGCAAATTCAGCCTGGCGATGGCCAGAACTTCCCTAAGACTGGTGATACCATCTCCATGCACTACACTGGCCACTTGGAGACTGCTAACGGAGAGGTGTATGTTTTTGAACTGGTGTTTGACTTAGAGAACTAAGTGGATGGACATGATGATCATGGTGCTAATTGTGATGGTTGTATAGCTTCGACAGCTCTGTCTCTCGTGGTACTCCCTTCGAGACCCCCATTGGTGTCGGAAGAGTTATCCAGGGTATGTGTTGATGGCTTCGAGTGAGAAGAGATATTTGTTTGATGACAGCTGCTGATTACACGATATAGGTTGGGAAGAGGGTGTTCCCCAGATGAGCCTTGGCGAGAAGGCCCTTCTCACTATCACTCCGTAAGTAGCTCCTCCCAATTTTTGTTTTCTGAATTCACTAACATCATCTAGTGACTACGGCTACGGTGCTGGCGGTTACCCCCCTGTCATTCCCCCCAACTCTACCCTCGTCTTGTGAGTTTTCCAGTCTAGAAATATGAATGTGTGTTATATATGGGCAAAGCTAACAAATGTAATAGTGAGGTCCAGCTCCTGGCTATCAACAACCGTCGCGCTCAGTAAATACTTCGAATCTGAACGTGACGCTAGGAATGATTCAATGGCTATCTAAAGATAGAGATAGGGGTGGACAAAGGGTACTTGGAAGATGAAGAACTAGAGAAATAAACAGTCTAGGCATTCAATGAGCTACCAATTTTTGCTCATAGCTTCTAAATCTATGCAAAGAGATGACTAGTGCGATAAGCACTAGAATAGCTGATATGCCGCATCTCGCTTTTTTCAGTAGTCAGCTTTGTGCACTTGGCCCAAACTCATCAACGACATATAACCAGAATATGCTCCCTGAAGAGGATTCCCACTGTTTATAGTCCTCCAACTCCAAAACCCAGTAGTTCGTGCCTTCTGCTCGATAATCTTGAGAGTTGTTCTAAGCATCTGAATAGGGGGCCTGGAAGATCCACCCAATAATCCGATTCTCCACGGCATCTAGTTCAGTCAGCCATGTAAATTGATCACTATGATGGTGAAGCCTACTACATGTGTTGGAGTGAATATTTTGGATATCTTCGGTATTCTTGTCGGTAGCGGCAAGGATATTCGCGGCTTTTCTTTGAGATCTAGTATCTATTAGCACAAAAACTTGAAAACCCTTGACTTACAAGACCGATCGGTGACATCAGCAAGCTTTTCAACGGTCTCATTCTTTATCGTTGCCATCGTATCAGCAGTCTCTCTCGATGAATAAGCAAGTTTACCAGCCATATACTCGGATGATCCGAAGATCGCATCTCGGCGCTCTGTGTCATTCTTAGCCATCTGAACCCCCATTTGTCATTTGTGGTCGACGGGCTGATCTGTCATTTGCTTCTTACCTTCAATCCTTTCAATCCAAGTGAGACAGACTATGGCTCAGACACTTGATGCTTACCTCTTTTAGTTAAGACAGAGTGTCGACCAACCATGTCCGCCTGGGTCAAACGAGACAACCATTTTGATGACTTCCTGGGCATTCAGCGCGAAAGTGAGCACATTCATCTCTCTCCCGTTGCAGCTTCGGATGGTAATTCTCTTTTTTTCGATACTCGGCGTATTTTGTTTGCTTCAATCTCGTCAATCAATTTTTCATTTACATCGATAGACGACGACAGTCCGTCCGTCAATAGCCATCGTTTGCGATCCGGATTAAGATTTTCAAATAGCACCTTCCGAAGGTCCCTCAGCTCCTCGACACTTGGGAGCAAAGACGAGATGACAGCGTCGCTGTTTTGTTCAACCTTTTGCTCGGTCTCTGTTCCAGCGACCGAGGGGTTCTCGTGGTAAATGGCTGGTTCAGCCTCATGGCTGGTTCAGCCTCATGGCTACCTCAACAGCAACAAGGATTAGCACGTAGCTTAGCCAACACGGTAAAGCTGGCACTTAGCCTTGAGGTTTGATGTTCCGGGAACTTGAAGTGAGGTCTTCGCAAATTTCTTAAGATGCCCTCTTGTCCCCCTGGCGCTGGTGACAGCACATGTCCCAATGTATGAGACCAAGCCCTGTTTGGGTATGTGCGAAGGTCTGAAGAAATTGACAGGTTCATGTCGTGGTTTGGGACTATTTTGCTTTTTTCTGACCGTCCTATTACGATCCAGCAGGCAAACGTGCCGTCGAACTAAAATTCATTCTCTCTGGCTAGCATTTATATCCTTTTCTTGAAGCCAATTTGCGATTCTGCTTTAATGCAGATTCCTGGATTTGTGTCACTTTCTGCTCTCTTTCATTTCTGCCAACAATCAGCCCCGGCTCATCCGTTTGATGGTGAAGTGAAGAGACTGGTACCCACGCACCATCACAAAAGTTGATTCAGAGATACTCTTTGGGAGCCAACATCAAATGATCTGAGCATGGATATCAAAGTGTTATTTAGATCTGGTCAACTTTCAAATAGTAGTAACATCCAAAGAAAGCAAGTCGTCCATTCAATTAAAAACTACTCAGCAGCCATAAATCTCCATTTCACTGCTTGTCAGCCCTACCATTGAAGTTATCCAAAGGTGCATCAGCCTCAACAATATTCCAAACTTGCTCTATCTGCTCCGAAATCTTCGAATCAAGAGGACCCTTGGCAAACGCAGCAAGAGTCTGATTTAACTGCTCAATGGTGCGTGTGCCAAAGATGATCCTATCCTCAAACTCTCCACTGAGGGCTGAGTTGTATGCCACCCAACGATACGCCAACTCAGCCTTGGGAATACCAAACTCCTTAGATATCTTGTCCCAAAGCCTCAAACCCTCAAGCATGTTCTTCTTGTTATATAGGGCATGGTAGAGGCCACCAAACATTGATGTCGGATCCCATCGACCTTCGCCGCCAGAAACAAGTATTTCGGCATCTTTGGTCAAGAATCCACCCGCAATGGGCGAGTAGGCATTGAAGGCAATGTTGTGTTTGCGCAGTGTCGGGAGTAACTCTGCCTCCATCCGACGCGCGACGGCGGAGTAGTTTCCTTGGTACACAGTGGGCAAGACGTATCCCTTCTCACGACAAACACGGACAACTTCTTCCACTTCTGTGGCTAGATAGTTGGAGAGACCGAAGCTCTTGAACTTTCCGGCCTGGAAGAGAGTATTTACACCCGCCAGAAGTTCCTCGAGGGGGAATCGACGATCGGGTGCATGGATGTAGTAAACATCCACCTTTTTAAGATATTAGAGGTAACCATGTCTCAAATTTCTATTGCACGTACCTGGTCTGTTTGAAGATATTTCAAGCTCTGGTTCGCGATTGAACCGATTAATTCTTGGGTATTGGCCTCCGGGGCGAACCCACCGGGGTGTTTTGTATCAATCGCGAAGCGAGAGCTGGCCTTGATCTGACCTAGACGCTCCTCGGAGGTTCCGTAAATTCTTGCTGTATCAATACTCGTGACACCATTGGCTTGCAGGATTTCTAGAGCTGCATCGATGGATTCGAGGGTGGGATAGGACTCTTCCATCATAATGGAACCTCCGCCCCAGACGAGTTTAACAGGAGCCATGATTGACGTTTTGAGATACTTGATGTATGACTGAATAAACGACTGTTGGTTTTTCTACCGATCATTGAAATTTGGTTGTTTTTATATTGGGTACTCCGTCATTCATCCGTCCCCGTCCCCGTCCCCCGTCCCCGTAATTAATCCCGCTAGCTCCACCGAGATTATAAATCGCACAGATATAGTGAACTTGATTGCTAATTTTCACGAGAACATTCCCTATGTGTTGATTTCTAAGATGTACTGCGTTTCCCGCTTTCCCCAAAGTAAACCCTGCACCAGTAAAAACCCCATTTCCAAGCAATGAGTACATCGGAAGTGTTTCATTGAACCGGTCCGCGGACGAGCTTTCTCAAATTCTCAATCCTGACTAGGTCATAATATACGAGGCCAATCATACCACAGAATATAGATAAATCAGCAGTAGCTGCTGGTAGTCCACGTCCAAGAATCAACCCTCCTACGGTGAGACTTTTGAGCATGCCAACGAGAAATGAGACCAGTATAAGGCCAATATGCATACAAGAGATATCAAGAGAACGCGTCTTAAAAACCTCAGGCCTGGGAGATTTGGAACAAAGCTGCCAACAGGTTGCTTGGTCCAATCGGAAAACATCAATATCAGAACGCAAAGAGCTGCAAATTTCACGAGGAGAACAACAACCCCAAGAAAGTCATATAAAATGGCGCCCAGGTCTTTGAACTGAGATTGCATGCTAAGCACTCCAGTAGCATCAGACAGGCGGAAAAAAAAACAGTAGCAAGAATTGTGAGACGTTCGACACTATTCGTCTGTTTCAAGTTTCGCTCCAGATCGAGAAATTCTAAGGAGTTATACAGATCTTTATTGAGCCTTGCAAGACGGCCCCTAACCTCTGTGTACAGTCCCTAAAGGTCCAGCTCGAGTCCGTGCAGTGCACTCCCTGTATAGGAAGGTGGATCTCCGAACCCAGGCATATGTTTTGTCATGATGAGAAGTGATTCCAAAGTGCAGAAAAAATAATTGCCTTTGCTAGTCAATCGATGGTGAAATTCAATTTCCTTCACTATTTCTTTGAAAATCCAGCTTAATTCAGAAGTTCGTGGATCGAAACGTGCCTTGCGAAAAGTATTGTGCTCTTGTGTGTAGCTGTATAAAGATCTCACGAATTTTCTGAAATTGGCATGCTGGTATTGCAGAAGAAACATTTCCTTCCACTTTTTCGGGTCCGTATTAGGAAGTTGTGAGACATGAACCTTACTGCTTAGACAGACTTGTCTTGCATGATATTATAACTAGATCAAAACAGTGTCAGTCATTGAACGCATTCGGTTTGTCTGAATGGAATAGGAAAATAGACCAACTTGTCAAGCGTTGACATATATCTTCATAGAGCATGTTTCTATCCTTCGTTCCCGCAGACTCATAAGAAATACCCTTTATAATCAACACAAGACTGGATCGATATTGTATATTCAAAGAGACCTTGGGATTGCTCAAAGTACCATGGATCCATGTTATTGGGCGCTGGATGATACAAAAACAACCTGGGGTCCAAAACATGAATTCCTTCAACAACATACCATACATGATTGTCAGCGGATTTTCCTAGACATTAGTCCACATTAAGCTCCGTGACGTAGGATTTCAGCGTTGGATTAACCTCAAAGTTGCAATTATAGTAGCTTTGAAGTTCCTGGAACTCGGATTTGTCGTTTACCTCATCTACTTGTTGTGTATATTTCCTGCTTTTGCCTTTCCAGCTCATCTTTGCTGTGAGCTTGAGTGGCAAGGATGGTGTCGCTGGTTCCTGAAACTGAAATATTGTAATACGCCGAGGAACAGTGCTTTCCAGACATTATTGGGTTATAGAAGGCCCCTTATAGAAGGCCCCAAATATGATATTGTCGGCCTCAACAGCTCCGCATCTATAGCGAGCAGGTTCAAGCTCTTGGTGTCTAATCAGCTTGACCGATCTGAACTGTTGGTAATAACATGTGGGTGCCTGCGTATCTCTGGCGCATATGCATGTCAAATCATCCCGTCACATGTATCACATGATCTGTTAAATTCTTATTGAGTAAAAGGGTTCGAGACTACTCTGAAACCTTTTCTATACTTCTACAGCATCTACAAGTCATACCAGGAAAGATCAATAATGCAGGTGACTGAGAGTTTGACGACGGACCCTATTGATTCGTCTTAGCCTAAATAGAACCTGGAATTGAAATTTAATTGAAGGGGAAGATTACTGAATATCAAACAAACCAGAAAAGCATTTACCTTCTCAGGTCAACTGGCGACGAGGTAGTTTCTCCGGCCAAACAATGCTCAAAGGTTACGGGCTATCCAATCCCACTAATCCAATAGCCGAGACTACCTAGTGAGTGCTCTTTGTATTCTTGTTGAACTAATAGGTACGCGCTCTAATGTATTGTCATGTAAGAAGCTTTTGACTACAAGTGTGGGTCCAAAGTATAAAGCCGACTCGGGACCGGCAAATCGGCTTCCCCGCATATAAGAATTGGAGATGTCCACGAATCTTTTCTTCAATTACTTCCAGATATTTCCTATCTCGCTCCTCTGTAGACCGAAATCTCTTCTTGTCTACCATTATCAATGGCACAACTCCGTCCGCGCATACTGGCGCGAGGAGCCCAATCGGGCGCAATCCGCAGCTTCACCCTCTCGCAGCGTCTCCACTCCCCAGATGCCGCCGCAGTAGCATCGTCATTTCTATCGCGCTTTCAATCCCTAGGACCTCAGACACGGACACAAACGATAGATGCCAATCAGCTCCAGCTTCTCTCACTCACTCTCAATCGCCCAACTCTCTTCCCTGGTTCCCCATCTCTATCCAATGGCGCCTCCGCCCCGCAATCCGAGACACCCGTGCCACCGGGCTACCACCTCGCGTATTTCACACCTGCATTTATGGAGAGTGAACTAGGTGCCGATGGAACTGATGCGTCGTATAATCCTGACGTGCCGTTTACGCGACGTATGTGGGCGGGCGGCGAGGTGCTCTGGCCTCGTGGTGCTGATGGGAAACCCAATCTGCTGCGGGTGGGACAGCAAGTGAAAGAGACAACACGGGTGCTTAATGCTGAGTCTAAGGTTGTTAAAAAGACTGGTGAGGACATGATCGTCGTTGGGGTTGAAAAGGAATTCTCGAATGAGCATGGCGTGTCAATCATTGACCGAAGGTATGGCTCCTGTTGCGTGAAGAATGTTGGATTCAATCACTGACTTCATGCAGGAATTGGGTATTCCGTAGAGCTCTTCCCATTCCGACAGAGACAAAGCCCTCTAGTGCTCCCTCGACAGACTCACATCTGTCAACCGTGAATCCTACTTCGAATGCTATCTGTAATGAGGGTAATACTCGTTCGCGAACATTGATTCAGACGGCCGTGACACTTTTCCGTTTCTCTGCATTAACCTTTAATCCGCATAAGATCCACTATTCTTTACCTTGGGCTCGAGACGTCGAGGGGCATAGGGATATTGTTGTGCATGGTCCGTTGAATTTGATTTCGATTTTGGATCTTTGGCGAGATACTCGCAGTTCAGAGGTCGCAGATCCAACACTGGTCGTTCCTGAGCGCATCGCTTACCGGGCTACCAGTCCGTTATATGCTGGAGATGAGTATCGCATTGTTCTCGAAGAGGGCGAGGTGGCTAAGGTGCAAATAATTGCACCTGGAGAAGTTATTGCAATGAAGGCTGAAATTCAATAACTAGCGGTTGAAATATGTTGTAGACCGAACTATACATATCTGACTGAATAAAAATTAAACTACTACTTTACCTTCACAGATTCCAAGTTTCTTCTACCATGCCACTAATCAAATGAGCAAGGGGACATAAAAGACATATTCTCAACAATAGAGATGTGAAGGCTTCAAGGTCAAGCTGGGGCCCCAGAGCGGCTTATGTTATCGTCGGTCAGCGCTTGCCAACCTGGGAAAGCGGATCACGTGCACTTCGTTTCAACGGTGCCTGAGCTTAAGCAAAGGATCGCAGCCTCTTCATATGAGCAGCTGACATAGAAAGAAAGCCCTGCAAATCTCAAACTAAGACCTGAACGAGGATGGACGACCGGGTCCCCGCTGCGGAGACGTCTGCCCCCAAAAAGCGGACTCGCGTCCAATTTTCATGCACAGCATGCAGGTTCCGAAAGTAAGTAGCTGGTGTTTCCATGCTCAACGCAGCTTCTGATCGCGACTAGATTAAAGTGTTGTCGCAATCACCCATGTACCAATTGTAAAAAGCGAGGTGAAGCAGCAGCATGCACCTACGTTGGTCGCGGGCCACGAGGCAAAGCCCAACATGGGCGATCCAGCCCGACTCTTGTTCAGGACCGCTTGCATCATCTAGAGAACTTAGTGATGTCGCTGGCCCAGAAGCAGCAGCCCGATGATAATGCCGATATTGATTTCTGTGCCCCACCGGGGTCTAGAGGCGCTTATGTGACGCCCTCCCCCGCCTCTGACCGTGATACCATATCGACACCAGTTGATACAGGTACATTGGTCGTGAAGAACGAAGGAACTAGCTACATCGACAGCGCGAATTGGCGCGCTATCTTGGAAGAGGTTTGTTTCGATGGCTTTGTATTGTGAAACGAGATTGCTGACTGTTTGGCAGATTAATGGAGTGAGAGAGTACCTAGACGAGAATGGAGGTGGCTCTGATGATGGGGGTGCCGAAGAAGGTCCATACGAATCCTCGTCCCCGGTTCTACTATTTGGCAATTCTCGACCGGTAACCAAAGAGGAGATGCTTGTGGACATTCCTCCACGATCAATAGCCGATCGCCTCATTTCTCGCTTCCTAAAGACAACTGAGCCAGCACTCGGTAAGGACTTTGTTGTTTTTGAAGAAAACCATGGATTCTAACGCAGAGAACAGTTGCGATCCATGTTCCTACATTCCAAAAAGAGTATGAACAGTTTTGGCTTAATCCAAGTGAAGCATCATTCACCTGGATTTCCCTGTTATACTCAATGATGGCTCTATCAGTTTCGATGTATCACAGAAGTGCAGAGCCATTGCCTATTGATATGTCGACTCCGACAACTGCATTGAGTACATTCCGCAAAAGATCATCTCAATGCCTTATAAAGGCAAATTACATCAGCCCGGGACGATACAAAGCACAGGCATTGTTTTTTTACACTTTGTCTGAATTTTATCGAAGCCAGGATGCTCAAATTGGAGTATCTTATCTACTTGGAATGACCCTTCGCCTGGCTATGCGCATGGGCTACCATCGCGATTCTCATCATTATCCAATGCTTTCAGCCTGGGAAGGAGAAATGCGCCGGCGCCTCTGGGTAGTGCTTGTTCAACTTGATACCTTGATTTCATTCCAAGTTGGAGTTCCTCGTACAATCCAGCCATGGCAATATGACACTGAATTACCTGCAAACTTGTTTGATGCCGACTTTGATGAAGATTCAGCTCAACTACCACCCTCAAGGCCTGACGATGAGCGAACAGCATCTTCATATACGAGAGCTAAATTCCACATAATGAAAGTCTTTGGTCAGATCACAGACTTGGCATTCTCTCGAGAATCCTCGTCCTATGATGAGATCCTGGAGATTGACCGTCGTTTACAGGCGTCGCGTGAAATGTCGCCATTGTTCTTGCGAATGAAGCCAATGACACAATCTATCGCAGATCCGACAGATGTGATCATGCGCCGGTACACCTTGGAGCTTTTGTATCAAAAGGCACGAATTGTCTTGCATCGCAGATACATCAGTGAGACGAACCCCAGATTTGCACACTCGCGATCAGTATGTCTCACTGCAGCCCGCGAGACATTACGATACCATGCTGAGATCTGGAATGAGTCCATGCCCGGCGGCCAATTATATGCAGAGCGATACTTTATAAACTCCCTGTCAAATTCCGACTTTGTGCTTTCGGCAATGATTCTTTGCCTTGAGATATCCCAGGACGAGGATCGAGGTGGTGCCGCGCGCCTCAGCGACGAGGAACGTGCTGATTTTGTGATTCTTCTGGAAACGACACATCGTATTTTCTTGGAATCACAACATCACTCTGTAGACACGCAAAGAGCAGTCACTGCTCTGACTATTATGCTCAGTCGGGTCAAGAACAGCAAGGTCCAGCATTCTCAAACGAGCACTGACCAAATGATGACTTCCATAGATAGTAAGGTCAACCTATATTCTTCTCATGGAGCTGTATTGACACTATTTCAGGTTTCACTCCACCCCAGTCAAATGGTCATCCAGATTTGGACCAACACCTTCAAAGGTACCCAGCGCTTGCAGAAGCACCGAATCCAATGCACGTCCCCGGCGAGACGCCGTCATACAACTCATTAGAGGTTATTGGAGATATGCTCAGCTTGCCGGCTCAGCTGGATTGGGTAAGACCTCTCGAGACTACATCTCCGATCACTGAAGCTAACAATCCATTCAGCGCTTGTACGACAGTCGTATCTCGGGGATAGACATGGCCACGAATGATAACGTCTGGTACTCTGCTTCTTCATCGGCCCCGGGATTCGATTTTGGATCATTTTCATCTGGTGTGTCGCCGATGGATCACTCGAATCATTAACAATAATGGCTGTGGGCTCTAGATATACGTGTAGTTCATGAACATATTTGCCTAATACATTGCTCCTAAGAGCCAGTAGATAATAGTACCGTAGACTCTAACAATAGTGATCTATACTAGTCAGTATACGTAAAAACACCAGCGATATTCTTTCCAATCATGCAATTAGTTGAAGTCCGAAGTGTATACAAAGTCCTGCCGAGGCGTGGAGCCACCGGCGCAGATCCCGCTCCGCGGAACGGGGACATTTTCCTTGTCCTGCACAACCACTGCCAGGCATCAACCTTGTCTATAACCCTCCTACACACACCCAATCTTAATGCGACCCTTCCGCACCGTGCGACTCCCAAGTCGCTCAATTACCCCAATCACTGGGCCTCAATATGTCCCCAATCAGCAATCGTCCCAGCAAAAGCGAACAATATCCACTACCCAACGACCCAGCCTGACACGAGCTCTCCCCTCAAACAATGCCACCAAGCCAATCACACCAAGTCGATCCTTCGGGCTCCCTTCACTCTCCTCCTTCCTGCCCTCGAATGGCAACAGCAACAACAACAACAACAGCAACAACTCCCCACACCGCGTCCTGACAGCAACCCGCAACCTCCCCTACAACCCAACCCTCCTCTTCAAAGTCATATCCTCAGTGGAATCATACAGCCAATTCCTACCTTTCCTTACAGCCTCAACGGTCACAGCCCGCGACCCGACAACAAATGACCCAACACAAGCCTTCCTAACCGTCGGTTATGGTCCTCTCAGCGAGACATTCACCTCGCGCGTGATCTGTGATCGGGAGAAATTGACCGTTGAAGCGAAGAGTGGCTCGAAGTATGGGTACGACGGAGCTGAGAAGAGTGCTTCTTCTTCGTCTTCCGGGTTGAGCGGGTTCTTCCCTGGTGCGACGGAGGGTATCTTCGAGTATCTTTCTACGCGGTGGGAACTTGTTCCTATTACACCTACCGAAGCGAAAGGAGGACCCTTGACCAAGGTCAACCTTGAAGTGAAGTTTGAGTTCCGGAGTCAGATGCATGCTACTCTTATGGGAGCTGTTGAGGGGCAGATGGCTGGTGTCATGATTGAGGCTTTTGAAAAGAGGATTCGGGAGGTTGAAGGGAAGGGATTGTGAGATATGGACTGTACGGATTGTATATTAAAGTGAGATTGTTTTGGGATTGGTATATATACGCATCTGCATGTTCTGTGATAGATTTAGACTCTAGACAGCAAACGGAAATAGAGCATATCGCCAATTGATTCTATTGGATGGATTCGCTGTACAAGACTCAAACGAAGGCCTGTAGTATGAAAGAGAAAAAAGAGCACCAAAATAAGAAACATGATAGTATATAATACAGATTATCCAGAGACAGAAATGATTTTCAGCTTAGAGCATGCCCATGCTCCGATCGCGGTTGGCAGAGCTCCGCGTGCCCTTCAGCGAGCTGACGGCATTGTAGTTATCGAAAACCACATCCCAGTTAATCCGATCCCACCAGCGCTCGAGGTACTCGTCCTTGCCGGCGATACCGTAGTCCATCATCCAGGCGTGCTCCCAGGTGTTGACGCAGAGAATGGGCTGCACGTCGAGGGCGCCGGGGGCGAGGCTCTTCTGGTTCTGGGCGTGGGCGCCCATTGAGCCGGCGAACTGGTTGCCCAGCTGGGTCTCGGGGGTGTGGGTGGACATATCGACGGGTTGGCGGCGGGAGTGGGCGGCTGGGTAGGGAGAGCCGGCGTTGTAGGTGCAGAAGATGTGCATCATGCCCTCGCGCTCGAGGTTCTTGGCGAGCCAGACGAAACCGGGGCCGAACATTGAGCTTGCTGTGGCCAGGAAATCCATCTTCAGGGACTCCACGGAGGAGCAGGTGTCGACGATGTCCTTGGAGAACTTTTCGGGGATGGCGGTGGCTGTGGGGGACTGGAGGATGGTTAGGGGGTGTGATATTGCATAGTAGACTGAAGCCATTGCTCACCAAACAGTTGAAGAAGAAGTGGTTGTTGTGGGCCATTGAGGCATAGTTGAAGACCGAGGCCATCTCCGGACGCCGAGAGTACTTGACCAGCAATTCTCCGGGTTTGGCATCAGCATCGACGGTGTCTATGAGTCTATAGGTTAGATATATATTCTCAATTAAACGGCATCATGCATTGATTCGATAAAGAACGAATTGAACCGATGTGTTGTTCCGCAGGATCGGAGTGCCGAACTTACCTTGTGTCAATAGGTTGAGCTTGTCAACGAGCAAGGACTGGTATTGGGTCCAGGAGAAGTCGAAAGCCTCCGGAGACAGGAACTCCGGAATACCGTTTTCCTTGTAGGTGGCATCGTGCTGCAATTGAGGAAGGCGATGAAGGCCACGGATCTGGAAGCGCGAGAAGGCGGAGGTAGGCTAGACACAACGCGGTCAGTAATTGCGACCAGGGCACCGGGAGGACTGAAGCTCACGGGGATAGAAGAGGAAGCCGCGCGCAAAGCGCTCTGCGGCCTGGTGAGTCGGCTGAACATGACGGAGGGCACTGTGAATGGTCGAGTCTATCGTGTAGAGCTTCAACGTCGAAGAATTTCCCTCCCGACGTGATGCCCAATCGGGACTAGCCTGGGTTATGTAATACACGCACTCACCAACCAATCACAGCTCTTCGAACTACTTCACCTCTAAGCGCCTTCTTTTCTGCAAGTCTCGGTCGTTCATCCAATCTTCTTTCTGTAGTCCTCAACTCCATTGTAGTTCTGCAACACTTCTCAGAGTTAGCGCCCATCTAACTCCTCATTTAATCATGCGGTCGACCCTGAAACAGCCCAGTCCCTATTTTAGGACGGCGCGTGCTCGGAATCTTTGTTTGCAAGACAGTGCATTGGGCTGAAGAATGATATGCTTTGGCTCTTTCATTTATCCTTTCACCTTAGTCCAAATTCAATGCCCTTGTCTGTTGGTTTTCTTCCCTTCTCATTGGAATATTCCTTCAGCGTTGATCTTCTGCTTTCCTGGCCTACATTCAACTAGAAGATACTGCCACAGTTCTATTTCTCTGGATCCCACATGTTACTTTACAAGTCCTACGCAGCTAGTTGAAAGTCATACACACCATCTACTCAGAACACGTCTGCTCAGCAGCATGGCGTGGTCAACAGCCAGCAGCAGATGGTCATCCATCTTGCTGCTCTTCACTTTTTGGCCTAGCATCGGACAAAGCTATGCATTTGACTTGCTCAGTCTTATTCCGAGAAGCTCAGATTCATGTCCTAGTTCCTACAATCACTGTGGTAGCACGAAGCTCCCAGATAACTTTTGCTGTCCATCCGACTCAAGTTGCATCAGTTTAGACGATGCCACCTCCGCCATCTGTTGCCCCGAAGGCAGTGACTGCCAGTATATCACTCCCATTGTATGTGATATACAGCAGCAGAATGCCACTCTCTACCCCTCAAACCCTATCAAGACAACCCGTCTAAGCGACAGTCTCCCAAAATGTGGCGACAAGTGCTGCCCATTCGGCTACAGCTGTGACGGAAACACCTGTGTCATGAAAAAGTCTGCCGCAACAACTGCAACCGCATCTATATCCGAATCCACAACCACAACCACAACTGGATTCTCAACATCAACATCATTCACCAGCTCAGTGACTCTAGGGGCAACATTCACCCCAGTATCATCTCCGTCGGCCGCAGCCTCCACAAATACGACATCAGCAGTCCTATCCGAATCGTGTCCCTCATTCCCAAGCAAAGCCATAGCAGCAGGCTTCTTTCCAGGAGCAATCTTCGGTGCTGCAGCCGCCCTCTTAATATCCCTCTGCCTCCGACGCCGCGCACGCAATGCTGAAACCAAAATGCGGGAATCAAAATTCCCATCACACTGGTCTCAACGCACTTCCACAGGAGCAGTAATGAGCATCTCAAGACCAATAGTCTCAGAAGATGCCTCGTACCGCACAGACTTTCTCCTCCGTACTCCACCAGATGCCAAACGCACGTCAGTTGGAGGACGCTCCACCCGGTCTCGAATGCATCGCACAGGCAGTAGAGTCAAGAGTCTTTTCCACAACAATCCCAGACTGGAGAAGGATGTACCACCCATTCCTGCGAACCCTGTCACTCCTCCCAGGCAGCGTGAGCCAAGTACGGAGAGTATCAAGGTCTACTCACCACCTGGAACTTTTGCACAGTCCAGCAAGTTCCTCGGACCTGAGCCGTACCCGGCTACGATTGCGAGACCTGATACTACTTTCACGGATTTAATTCAGGGTCATGGCTTCAGTGGGCCACAGGGAGAGCCTTCTTATCGTATTCGTGAGGATTCGAAGGAGAATCCGTTCAGGGATCCCCCTCGACGTGTTTGAATGGCATAGGAGCCGAGCTGGGTTGACTACAGATGGTGATTGAGTTGATATAAGAGAATTTTTGTTACTCTTGCATTTGGATGGTGTACAATGATATCCATACTTGTAATCTTTCCTTTGTTTCAAATGGTTGGGTGTCATTTGTTTAGATACCTATTTGCTTTTTTACTTCATTCAATCAATGCAGCTTTCCCCCTGAATCCAATCTACTAGGCAGACGCTAGATATGGTAAGAAAGCAAGAGAGAATGTAGACAAGTAGTTATTGGCAATGATCTGGAGAAAGAACTTTGAATGGGTGTATATCACAACTCTTAGAATACATAAAATGAAGGATAATGAAATGCGAACTACGCCGCGGCTGCCGCTCTCCTTGCTTTACGTCCAGCTGCAATTCTCTTGAGCTCCTTAAGCAAGCTAACAACAAGAGGTACACCAATCGGACCCAAAAGAGGCAGGTAGACAGCAACCTTGTGCTCATCAGGGAAGTAGACCTGGCCAACCATACTCTTCTCAAAGAAGCTACGCTCGGCTTCTGTCTCGGCGACTCTGGCACTGGCAAGCGCGGCACCAAAGCGGCCCTCGCGCAAGTGGGAGCATGTAGCACCTAGATGGGAAAGTGTGGTAGAGACAGAGGAGGCAACACTGGCTGGGATAGGTATTGAGGGTAGAGATTCGGTGAGACGGGCCAGAGAGCCCATTGTGGATGATGCGGAGAGAAGGAGGGTGGCTGCACGGATGCGGATGGATGTTTGAAGACGGAGGGGAAGGGAGGACGGAGTACTAGGTGTACCCAGGAGGGTGAGAAGTTGGTGAGAGAATGTCATAAAGGCAGGGCCTAGAGAATCCTGGGAGAGATGGGCGGGATTGACCTGGCCCTGCTTCGAGTTGGCAAGGGTCGGGTTGAGGAGGTATACACCACCCCATTGGGGAACAATCCAACTTGAAGCCCGGTTCTCCTTGACAATTAAAGGGGATTGGGATGGATCTGGGACGTAGAGGATGAAGTTGATTGTAGGCCCGTTGCCGATGCTTGGGTTTAGAGGCCACTCGGCAGCGTTGACAAAGGCGCTGAGATCCTCCTTTTTGAATGTCCATGCAGCCTCTGTTTCATCATACTCCGGTCGCGGCGCAGTAGGTGCGAAGTTTGCATACAGCTGCACCTGCGTGTCGACTGTGAAGTTGCTGATGGGCTCAAATGCCTGCAGGAGTGGGGAAAGGTACTCCTTCACAGCAGCCTCAATGTCCCAAGATGACGGCTCGGATCCCGGAGTAAAGAGGGAGAATGAGAGGTGATATGTCTCGGCGTATTTCATCGATCTGCGCAGTCTCCGACTAATGCTCTCAGCGATTCGGGGCGATGTTGAGTCAAGGCTGCCAGTGTGTCCGGACAGGATGTGTGCTATCGTAGCCTTCTCTTCACCATACAATTGCTGTAGCTCTTCCGCAATGAATGCAGAGAGGGGTGAGTTCGAGGAGGAGGGCACGGGGACCTGGCTCGGAGGATAGAATACATCAAGCTGCGTCGTGGCTGCATGAAGCTCAGACCGAGGGGCTGCCAGACCTTCCTGGGCTAGAAGGCGAACCGTTAATGCGGTGTCTGGTGCCTGCCCTTCGGCATTGATCGCACCGTCGAAGCCATTATCGACACTATGTGACGCAGTTGCGCTGTCGTTGGCTAACTTTAGGCGGAGGTGGTGAGCCGCGAACTCGTTCAGATCATCAAGGGTATGCTGTGTGGTGCGGAGGAGATGTTGCGCCTCAATAGATTGCATCGAAGGTGTGGCAAGGTGAATCTCCAAGGGAAAGACTGGTCGGCATGCCTACAAGGGCGATTGTTAGCATCCAAACTCCGAGACCAAAAGCGATTGCACGCGCTGTACCTTTCCATCAGCCCAATCTACCATCTCCTCGATAGGGAGATGTGCCCTGTAAATAGACGTTGTCTTCCACCATATTGGGAACCCCAAGAATATAATCACTGCCCAGAATGCAGCTATCACTCGGAATCGCGTTAGGACGGCAGCCGGGGTTTCTGGGGGCGGAGCACTCTTGACGGTGGATTCGTTGGGTTGTGAGGCCGAAGCCTGAGGAGACGCTTGGTCTCCTTGTTTGGTCGTCATAGTCGAAACATGCTCTCTTCAGAACTAAGGAGGAAGTGGGTATTCGTGTTTGGGGAAGGTTCCCGGGCGGAGAAGCCAGGGACCAAGGTGGCCGCATTGAGCGCGTATACTTCCAAGTGATATCTTATGTTCGATTCAGTTTTAGCTGGAGTTCTTATGATAATTCAAATTACTTGTTCATCTAACATTATTTGCGACCTAAGACAATCGAGTTCCCAAGGTAGATCTGCGACCTCAATAGGAATCACGGACCCAAGTATAGAGTCTCAAATGAGAATTGATATTGTCATTATGGACTGAAGAATTTCAAAATCGCAACAAAAAGGGTATCTTGACCAGTAACGCCGATCCAATGTAGCGATCAAAGACCCGCCGACCTTCAATCCGTACAATATGTAATGTCTAGTATTCCTTCTCAAAAATCTTCTGGATCGGTTTGGCGGCCTAGAAGTCGATAGTTAGTAAGATCTCCAAATAACAAAGATAGAAGAATTGAGGTACATACATCGATGAATTTCTCAAGGTCCTGGTCGAGATTCGCAAGGTCGTCCTTCCTCTTCTTGTTCTCGGCAATCAAAGCCTGCTTGCGCTTCAGCAGCTCTTGTCGCGCTTGCTCCAGCTTCTCTCTTTCAGCATGCTCATGGTTGATGCGGGCGATCATCAAGTCATGTTCGTTGGTCTCGCGATGTTCGGGGTGAAGCTTGAGGAATTCCTCGACGGGCGTCAAAGGGAGTGACCGGTATTTATGACTATCAGATCAGTGTCAGCTTATGAACAAAAGAAAGGTCAAAGATGGCGTTTCCACATACTCATATGCTTCGCAAGCTGCGATTTCGCCAGTGAGATGCTTCTGTTCGTAGTAAAGGTTCTGCAATTGAAGATGGAGTCGGTCGATTTCCTGTCGGGCCTCTGCGGTGGTTTGCTTGGTGTCGCGAACGCGGAAAATAGCTCCCCGATTTTGCCCGCGTAGTTGGGCCAACAAGGCGAACAGGATCTTTTGCTGCTTGGAGGCGGCCAAGGATAGTTCTTGGAGTTTGGCGGTGTCGTTGGGGAGGGTGTCGGGGTTCAGGATGGAGAGCAGCTGGTTGCACTGCACCAGCGTCTCAGCGCTGGTCTGGAGCACCGGTAGAAGCGACTTATCCGTGACGATCTCACTGATAGCCATGGCGGAAAAATGCTCAGATCAAAAAAATTTACCCCGGTGGCGAGAGAGGAGAGGCCAAGAACCCGAAAAACATGTGGAGATGGGAAAGGCGGGATCAATCAGGCGTAAGGCGGTACCATGTGCATCCTTGGCTTCCACTGGTTGGGACGCCCTCTCTCTCCTTCATGTTCTTCTCTTTTTTTCTAACCCTTGATTTGTTGTACTATATGTACTTATAGCCCCTCCTTATCTTGACGCTGAAGGTCCTTGCACTCCTTCTTCTTCTTCAGATCCCTCGGCCTCAACAACCTCCCCGATACCACCCTTCCCCCCAACGCTTACACTACATGGCCTTCAGCTGAACTCAACACTTATGGCTTGCGGCGCTTCTTCTATGGCTGTAGAGTCATATCCCGACACGGAGGCAATCGCCTCTGCTACTGCCACCCCAGGCGAGGAGACCGGTCTTCTCCGTGATCGGCGGCGCAGACATTCATTCCAAGTTTCTAGAAGACTGTCGTGCGACTACCAAGATGCAGACGCAGTTTTCATCCGGGTATGTTCCCGATAACTTTATGGAGCCTTATACATCGTATAATGTGTCTAATCAAATTATAGGTCGAACTCTTCTTAGCTGAACTGGAACGTCGAATGCAATGGATCGAACAATATCGAAAATCCCACATGATTGGAATCGATGCTAGTCTCAGACGAGGTTATGCCACATTGGAGGCTGTTAGAGACCAATGCTCAGTCGCATCGGGAGAATTGATGGGTAGTGGCAAGAAGCGGGCTAAGATCTTGGTGGAGACTCTTGAGGACCGATACAACGAGGCCCTGGTGACCAAAGAAACACTGGAGCAAAAGGCCCAGGCTGGAGTCCGCCTCATGGAGTCGTTCCTTTCCGAAATGGAAAACAGAGCCCACGCAGTCCGTGATCGCGGTATCTACGGTACCCTAGACGATGGGTGGAAAGCTGCGGAGGAAAGCTTGGTGCACGCTCGAGAGATCGTCGATGAGGGCATGGAGCGTGCCCGCCGTGCTCGCGATACCCTGCGTGAGAACGTCGAGGAAGCTATTCGACTAGCCCAAGAGAAACGCTTGATCAACTACCATGAGCTGCCCGATCCATGGAGAGTCAACCCCCACATCATCAATGGTTATCGTTTCACCACCTCCAAGGTGGAATGCATTTCGTCCGTCTTCGCCTACTCCAACGAAATGTTCAACATTTGGTCCCATGTAATTGGTCTTGTCATTGTCCTCGCCATTGCGTTTTACTTCTACCCGCTCCATACCAACTTCCACCTGAGCACAAAATCAGACATCGCAATCGCTGCCGTCTTCTTCTTTGCTGCATGCAAGTGTCTGGTCTGCAGTACCATTTGGCACACCATGAACAGCATCGCATCTCAATCTTTGATGGAGCGCTTTGCTTGTGTCGACTACACCGGCATTTCGATGCTGGTCGCTGCCTCTATTGTCACCACCGAGTACACTGCCTTCTACTGTGAACCCTATTCTCGATGGACATACATTCTCCTGACCATGTCTCTGGGTATTGGTGGCATCATCCTGCCATGGCACCCCACCTTCAACCGCCACGATATGGCTTGGGCCCGTGTTGCCTTCTTTGTGACGCTCGCCCTCACCGGATTCTCGCCTATCGCCCAACTATCCTACACCCGCAGTTTCTCATGGTGCATGTACTTCTATGCACCAGTCCTCAAGAGCCTCACAGTCTATTTCGTCGGTGCCCTAGTCTACGCCTCCAAGGTTCCCGAGCGCTGGAAGCCAGGTTTCTTCGACTACGTGGGTGGCAGCCACAACATCTGGCATCTTGCTGTTCTGGGCGGTATCCTTTTCCACTACCACGCCATGCAGGACTTGTTCGCCGGAGCATTCCAGCGCGCCCAGGGCGAATGTCCGAATCTGAAGATCTGAACATATCTTTGAACATACCTCAACGATTCCATTTGCGTTTCTCTTTTTCTTGCTCATGATTTATTCTCATGGAACACATGACCTTTTTTGCAAGTGTCCTTGCTGAGACACATTGACCTGCCGTGGCCTCGTTGCAAACCCTCATAGATCTCTTTTTTTACGGGAGCTTTGATTCTGTTGATGCCCGTTCTGCCTGCATGGTTGGAGTTTGCTTTCGCTGTCTATTGATTTTCTCTCGATTTTTAGAGTATTGGTTTTCAAACAAGACCTTTGTCTATCCTTTTCCCTCAGTGGCGCCACTAGATCTGTCTAGATGCAGGGTGTGCATAATCATTTATTGTCCTTTGTTGGATTTACTTTCCCTCTGCTGTTCACAGGTATCTGGAATTACATGTCAGTTGTCAGTGATCATATTACGATATCAGAACATACAGATGCCAATTACTCTTTACATATGCCTACTATATAATCTCTCTTTTCTGTATCAAGCAATGTTCTTTTATTGTATGTGCAGATTCTATGCATCATCTAGTGTCGTACATTCATAACTCCATGAAGGAAGCCCCTTCTACTTGCACCCGGGACATTTACAAATTCCCGGCACATAATGCCGACTCCAAATGCAATGTCGACGTTCTTCCTTAATTTGAAATTGGAAACTGGTGTCTTCGTTTCTTCTTCAAATTGCCAGGTATGGTGAATGAAGATTGAGGAGTGTCACAGAGGCTAATTGTGACTCGGATTCTTTTGAAGAATTGCGCTGTCGAGATGTTGATGATGATGCTCATTATCCAGAACGAGCATCTCGTCTTAGAGGCTTATTGGGTAGCCTCATTGGTCTCAACCGCAGACCCATCGCGCTTGACAAAGTGACCCTGCATCCAGCAGCGGTACATCTTCAACTTGCTCTGACGGTTGACAATCAATCGTCGATCAGCTCCCATTAGCTTGACCTCGAAAGCTCCGTTATTCTTGGCAGCCTCCTTAGCTTCTTCTGATTGCTCAGCAGGCTCTGGTGTTTCACCCTCAGCGCCCCCTGCCAGAATGTCTGCAGAAATAGGAATCTGCAGGCCCTTCTCCGCGGACCAGGTACTCCACATATCAACAAGCTGGTCCTGGTCGAAGAAGTAGACACGAGTGCCATCACCGCGAACATAGAAGTTCTCCTCCATATAACGGCCCTTCTTGAAGCGCACTTGGGCGAGATCACCACGGCCGTAGTCACGGAACAGCACGCGGCCACCGGGCTTCAGTACACGGTAGATGTTGCGAATGGCTTGGTCCCACTGGGTAGGAGCCAAAGCAGAGAAGATGAAAATGAGAATGACCACATCGACTGAGCCCTCAGTCAAACCAGGAGGAAGGCCGTTGTCTTCCTCGGTAGGCACAGAAGCGACATCCCAGACGTCCGCGGTCATCAAGTTCTCATTGTAATGCTCGCTCTCGCGCATGACCTTGACAGCATACTTGGAGAAATCACAGGCATGAACCTTGAGATGTTCATTCTCGTTGTTGGAAATCAAAGGGAACGCAGTATTTCCAGCACCAGCGCCAACCTCCAGGACAACCTGGGGACCAGCATCCTTCTGTGTGACCTCCGCGAGAACAGGGAACTCCTGACGCAACCATTTGCGGTCCTTGAAGAAGTTGTCTGTGTTATTCTTATAGAAAAGGTTCCACCACTTCGCCGGGTCGTTGTTAAATCGGTTGCGATCAAAGTCCGATACTCGTGTTTCGCGCTGTTTGGCATATTGTGTCTGTGCAAAGGCCTTGAACTCGTCGTCTGGCTCGACGTGGTCCCAGGCGTTGAATTCGAAGACGTCGTCGCCCTTTTCGAGGAATCGCGATCCGAATTGGAAGGGGTCGCTTCGCTTCATGTTGTTGCTGGGATCGTGGGAGCGACTGGGGTCCACCTGGGGAGGCTCGACGCTTTGGAGGACCTCCCGCACTTCCCGGGCTTCAGGCTCGATGGTCATTTTGTGTGGTGTTTATATGAGAAATGGAGTTGGAAGAATCTAACCACTGGGGATTCTCGCGGGGAGAATAGAAAAAATCACAGGCCGCGATGCGATTGGCGGGGTACCTGAGATCACATGACCAGTCACTCCACACTTTTTCCTACCGCTTTCGCCCCTCGCCTGCCTTTGTCCAATCGCAGCTGGATAGGTCACACCGCTCTATTTAAATGCCGGTTTATTGTCTCTCCGTATCTTATCAGAGTATGCAGAGTAGTCTCGACCGACTTGGTTCTGAAACATGCATGTACCTAGCCAGTAGGCCGATGAATGCCTGGATAGTGTAGACTGAGAGTCTGACATAGGTACTAGTCCAGAAATGTTGGGTATATGCGATACTATAGACTTGGTGAAACTTCTGCAGTAAGGACCCAGATGTCCGATAGCGAGTTCAATCACAGTATTCTTTCCCGCATGGCATTCGTACCCCTGCTATCAATAAAGTGGCATTGCTGCGCTTCATAAGTGAAGCATGCATAGATCTGAGTACCTGTACCTGAAAATCCATAGAGTAAGAGTGGAGACTCAAGTACCGATACTTGCCTATCACACCCGCGCGGGCCAATCAGGGATTTGGGGAATCTGGATGCCTGCGGCGTCCAAGTCAGCTCCAAGCTGTCCTCTCGTTCATCTCTCCTCTTTCTCAGGCTTCTATTATTTTCTTTCTCTTTATGAGCATGTCGCTTTAACTCTGGACCTGCTTTTCAATATACCTGTTCGCCGTTTCAGGTCTGGGGCGTATCGACGCAAGTGGGGTGCGATCTATTATCGATTGAGGCTCAACTGAGGTGTTCATGCAGTAGTTCACAGTCAAAGGTATATTGCGACAGTCAGCGAGGGACGATTTCCTCTTCTTACAAAAAAAAACCCACCAAACTAGCCTTGACATCGCCAATTACACCACAGCTCATTCCGCCATGTCATTCTTCTCCGCGCTGTGCGGTTGCTTCTCCCGCGAAGAGAAACCCTCCTCGACCCCGGAAACAATGATCCAAAGACCAAACGACAACATCCAAACAGGCCACTTCACACTCAACGGCGACGGTCAATTCATCCGCCCCTCCCCTTCGCTCTCACCCGGGCGCAATGGGCACGGACCCCCGGGTGACTCGGAGGACGGGGGCTATTCTAGCGTGGTCCCGCTGCCGCAGTACACAGCCCGTCCGATGAGCCTCCACGAGAAGACACTGGAAGCCCACATGCGCGATCCATCTGTGTCTTCTGACTCCCAGCAGTACCCCGTGGAAGAGAAGAACCGCAATCTCTACGATGAGGAAGTCACATCTGATGCTTCCTCTGCTATATCCTATCCTAGCAGCTATGGAAATACATCTACTGCAACGAGGGAGACTCCACCGCCACCGTACTCGCCTCGTCATTCGGTGATGCTGAGTCGGTCACGGTCTATTTCTATTTCTTCGGCTATGGCTGTTATTGTTAATCCGCCGCCTATGGCGCGTCTCAATGGTTCGCGGACTGGACCTGCCTATGTTGAGGATGATGATCGGTCTATTCGTCGTCACCGTCGGCTCTCTTGGGAAAGTCAGTAATTCAGCGTGACTGGATAGTACGGCATGTGCATTTCTTGATATGTTATCTTCGCTTATGAGGTATCGGTTTAATATTTCCGCCGGTTCTTTGGCAGAGACGATCTGGCATCGTCTGTCCTGGATCTTTGCTTTTTTTTTCTGGCATTACTACTGTTTCTGCATTCCTTTTTGCATTTTCCTTGTCTGTTTCTCACTGCATATGACGCGACGATGATCACTTACTCGATATTGATCGAATGTTTATGACATGATTGGGTTTTGGTACAAAAGATGGTCCTTTTGAAGTCTTTTGTGTGGGATATTTTTGGATATTAATAATACTGACTTGCACATGAAACACATACCATGAGACTTCTCCTGGATGTGGTGGATGATTGCACTTGCCACCGAGAACAACCTCGGCTACCACGTGGGCGGGCTCACGACCTGACACATACATAGTGTTACAACTATTAGACGTGAATATAACTTCATCTGTCTCATCAGCGTCCATCAAACTATGTCTAGTGACTAAGTAGCAATACTCCATAGACTCATGTCATTTTTAAAAAGACATACGAAAAAAAGGGGTATCAATCAAACCACATCCCAAAACCTACACAACCTCATCCCCCATACCAGACAAATCAAATACGCCAGTCTCAAACAAATTTCCCTCTCGCTGATGCCTCAACTTATACCCACAACACTCAGCCGGAAACTCTAGCAACCTCAAAACAAGTAAATCGCAACTCCCCTCAAGAAACATACAGATAGCAGTACACTCAGACCTCACCCTCGTCCTAACCCACCACTCATCAACAAAACACATAAGCCCAAGCCACCAAGCAAGCAACACAAGCGCGGGGACCTCCTTCCTAAGTAAACACTCATAATAAGGCCCCTCCAGCCTCCCCATCCAAGTGTTATACTTCTGAAAACTATCCGAACACCTCTCAAACCCCAAAATTGGCATGAGCATCCGCAATGGCCATAGATAGGGCGTATTATCAACCGTCGATTCCTCAGTGATAGCACACAAATCCGCCAAATCAGAATCAAGACCAATCCTCCCAGGACATTTATCGTCGAAGTTGATTGTTGGATCTCTGGATTCCATGAATGTTTCCCACCACATGCTCTGCGGTAACCAGGGGAGAGTCCGTTCGAGGAGGTAGCGGAGTCCGCCTTGGAGGCGGAGCCAGGTTAGACTTGTTGGGTCGTTTGAGAAGACAAATGAGGAGCGTGGGGAGAAGGTTTCTTGGTAGAAAGAGTGCATTGAGATCATCAAGCAGGCTGAGTAGAGTTTGTCCATGTTTTGAGGTGTTATGCTTGTTGAGACTTCGCACGAGTATTGCTTTATTGTTTGTTGCCAGTGGTAGGCTTCTGCAAGGCGGTAGACTTTGTTGTCTGGGACGATGGAGCAAAGGTGGGTTGTTGCTGCTCCTATTATTGCGTGCATGAGGAAGGGAGTCTGGGGTTGTTAGCATTGAAATTCGAGATGGGACATGGGTAGTAGTATTTGGAGGGGAGCTTACTTCGAAGGCTAGTTGGACCATTTTGCCCATTACTATGCGGACTGTTTTTGGGCTTTCTGCTGAGAAGCCTGGGCCTTTGTAAAAGTGGTGCAGGGCTTGTATTGTTCGGCTTGATGCTGAGGCATCTGTAAGGGAGAATGGCGGTTTGGCGCCATTTGCTGGTAGTGGTCTTAGTAACTCGTTTAGTTTCTCAGAGACCATGGCTAAAGACATTGATGAGGCCGAGGAGTCGAGCGAGATTAATTCAGGATATGCATCGATGAATTGTGAAACAATGCTTTTGCTTTTTAGTTGAACAGGCTTGGTGGAGTAGTCACATTCGACATCCTGTTTCTGACATCGTAGACATTGGGGTTTGGCTTCATCACACTTGACAAGTCATTATCAATATAGGTTCTCATATTAAGGGCTGTGCTCGTGCGAGATACCTTGACTCTTCGCTGTTTACAGTTTGTGCAGCCCGAACGGGATTTGCGATGGGCCCTTCTAGAATGATAAATCTGCTCGGTCGATTCCGATGATTCATGCAGGGCATTCCTTGATTTGTAGTTCGGAACTCGGAAGACCAGTTTCTGCCCCTGCATGGGCTTGCTTCCGATCCGATTTTGATCTTTCTGATGCATCATGTCTCTTGCGTGGAGAAGACGCAAGCTTAAGGGGGGTTTATTTGAATTCGCCACAAGGAATGAATGAGTGTTTGTTGAATAAATACTGGCAGGGCGGGCTGCGACGTTTCAAGGCATTGAGATATTGTGCTGCGGTGCTGCGCTCTGCAACAGGGATGTGGTAAGCCCAGTGGAAGGCAGTGCATGAGGCATGAGGCTCAGCGTATTGGACTGCGCCCTGTGAGTTTAATCAGCCCCTTTACTATTTGGCTGAATCGAGAGTGAAGAAATGGTGGCGGAGGCTTCCGGGAAGATGATCGACATCATCTCCAATCTCCTCGCGCTATTCCCAATCTGGTAACTCTCGTATTTCGTGCTTGGCAGAGAAGAGATCACGGATCTGGAGATATGATACATTGGCCTATGGTCACCTATGGGTCAAGCATAAGATAACATGGAACAGAGACTGAAAACTTGACAAACGCCATGCAATTCGTCATTCATTGAATACCATCGATGATCGATCACCGATACCAATCGCCGATGGACATAGCTCATACTTCATACATTGATCGTCTATGCATAGATGAAGATGATTTTGTGGGTTCAAAGAATAAATTTAACCCATCTTGGCGTTGGAGAAATCCATCTCTGCAATAGTAAGTTAGCAAGGTACCAAGAGCAACAGTGCAGTCTCAAAGCATCGAAAGAAAAGAGAGAACAAGATAACACTTACCAGGATGCTCAGCCTGGAACTTCTTCAACAACTCCATCTTCTTCTGTTCATCACTGCTGGGGCCACCCATCTCCTTCTGCCGCTGATCATACATCATCTTCTCAACCATAGCACGAGTCTCGCCATCTAAATCCCCGAGACTAGAGTTCTCCGGTGTGATTTTGGTCACATCAATCTTCGGCGCAGAAGTAACAACATGAGGCCACCACTCAACCTTGTTGACCTTATCAAGATGAACATTGATTTCCTTGCCGGGCGGGGTGGGGGTCGTCTCAAGAGTCCAAGAGGATTCGTCGACGAGAATAGCATGGGGGAAGTCGCCCTGCAACAAGAAATGAGACACAAAGTCAGCTTATGCTCCAATTATCGGGCCCAACGGTGTCACCGATCTCCAGGGTGACTTATTAATCGGGATACCGTACCTCAATGAGGGGCTCTTGACCCTTGATCGCAACCCGAATTTTGTTCTTGGTCAATACTACATCCATGTCGCGGCCTTTGAGATTGGCAGGGATGGGTGCCGTCACATCCACATCGCGAATTGTCTGTGTCCACTTGTAAGGGAGCTGAGCCTGTTCCGCATCTTCGCGCGCCTTGCGCTCTTGGTTCTCGCGCTCGCGCTCCGCAAGCTCCGCGGGGGATGGGTTGTTCTCGGGGTCGGACATTGCGTCAGATAAGTCTCGGTAAGGGGGGATTGTAGACGGTGAAGGTGAAGTGTTGGCTCGAAAGCTTGAAGTGGGATGTGATGTGGGGACCTCCACTTGGCCGTTGGCGCTTTTGCCGCCATTAATCGCTTACTGCACCGGACTTGCGATTCCAAGATCCGTGCATTGGGCTGCATATTTTGAAACAGTGGGTTAGGCAGATATGTGTACTCCGCAAGAGCGCGTGGTTTTCAGTCGTCTACCAGGGTCTTTGTTGTGACGTCGGGTTCTTAGATCTCAACTAGGATGTAAACCCAGTTTACTATGAGGGTTAGCTAGGTCGATCAGGAGATGTTGAGTGCTTACAGAAACGGCTAATATCTTCTCTCCAGAACCACATGAAAAGCACCGTCAAAAAGCAACTCACTTGCCCGCCTCCCGGACGAACAGGATAGAACACCAATGCGATCAGACGGGATCGGTGGCGCAGTCATTCCAGCCGGCAAATGATGCTGGAGAACAACCAGGAAAGAAGCACACCGCTCAGTATGACCACAGCATTGTGGACCACGATGTCCATTGGTAAGATCCTGAACAGTGTTAGTAGGGCTGATCTCCTGCCTGTTCCGGCAACCTGACAAGGATGGAGCACCTTGATGTGCATCCATGACATGCATAGCCTCAAGACTTCAAAGACCACTGGTGGAGAAGAGTCAGATTGCATACATGTAACTGTAGGAAAGAAGGCCAGGTCAAATCAGGGCATCCCGAGTCACGGCAACTACACCCCACTCCCCACACGAGGCTCTGTATGTCTGCTCTGCGCCAAGGTGAAGTAGTCTGAATTGACTTATGGTGTGATTGGGTATTCATTCTCATGCAAATGCAACGTATAGCCAACAAAAGAAAGGCAACAGCGAAGGGCTATGATCAACTCCCGAAACAGAAACACCCTCTAATCCTCGTATATCTCCCATTTCCAGCTAAGATGCGACAAAATGAAGTGCATAAAGTAAAAACACCTAAATCCCAAATCCTAGAAACTCCTCGGCTTGCATGGGTTGACTATGATGCGATCATTGTTGCGAGTCTTGGTTTGACCGCTCTGCTGCTTGTTCCTTGTCTATATACGGTGTCAGTGGTATTCTGCATATGTCAGATCAAACACTCACCTCGGATCCTCTGGATCTGATCCGCTGTATTCTGGAGCAGTTGATCCCAGTATTTCTGATATTCCTCCACACTTCGAAGCTGAGGCTCTTTCTTCTCTTGACTACCTTGCCCTTCTGTCTGCGGGTGGGTTTTTGGCTTGTCCATGATGTATAGTTGTATACAGGATCTGTATAGATGCGATGTATAGTTGGAGTGTCTGATCGGTGTGTTCTCAGTCTCAGTTATAGTTCGAATGAGGTAGATATGATCCGACGACAAAGCCTTTTTATAACCACAGAATTAGAAATCCAAAAAATAAATAAGAAAGCAAGAAAAAAAAAGAAAAAAAAAAAAAAACCAAATGTTTGCTTCGGAAATAGACCGATCACGCGTCTAGAAGATCAGGGAAAAGCCGTTCACCGACATCTCCCTAGATTGGGGCCTGAACTGAAACGGGATGTCGGTCCGCTTAACCCAGGACGGGTAAAGCACCATTCAAACATCCAAGACATCTGATTGGAGCATTTGCCCTTCTCGTTTGTTTCTTTCAAATGTTTAGACATGATGTCAGACGGGACCTAGCGTACAGTACTTGTTAAATTCCCTGGACTCCATCCACATTCCAAATGGTGCCCTCCGAACTAATAGGATGACTTCCAGTGGCTCTTCCGAGGATAGCCCGCGCCCAATCGGGGCAGCTAGGGAGTGCATCCGCGCCAGCCGATCTCGATATATGGGTCTGGCATCTAGGGAGAACCGAAAAGATACATGAAAGAAAAAAAAGGGGGCACCGGGGAATCGGGTAGAGTTGCGAGGGATCGACCGATCCACCCGGAATTGATACTTCTATTTACGATCTATGGGACTATATGTAGAGTTATGGAGAACATGAATACTGTAGTATGTGTCTACCTAACTGTTGGAATACGTGTTAGATCTATATACCGAACCCCTGTACAGCCGAGCCACACTATACTTCCACCGGCACCCACGGCGATATGTCTCTACCTAGCTAAGGCTGAAACAATCAAACCACACAACACACAGACCGCTCTAAAGCCCAACCACGTACAACTATTCACCGCCGATAAGGAAAAGTGCCGGGGGTGTATACCGGATATCCACTGCAGACGTTGCATGCACTCCCACGTGGTTTGCATGCACTAAGTGTACTCCAGGGTGCCATAGCCGCTGTCGCTTGACCGCATCGTTTCTGTCCATCTGCGGTCCGACACGTACTCTACGGGCTTTGTACAACGTCGCATCATCTGATGACCAACACGCCCTGGTGTAGGGTTGTCGTGCTCGGGGCTCTTTTCTTCAGGCACCAGATTAGGTATATTGTCGGCTGGAGGGAGGTTCCTATTTGATCGGTGGTTTTGTTTCTCGCCGTTTTGGCCCAGATGACATGACGTCGATCTGCTCAACAACCGGCGATTGCTTGTATTGGCCCGTTGGCTTGTGTATAGCTATGCATGTGGTGCATCCTTACTGGTTGTTGTAGTTCGTTGCGTACTTTTGTTCGGACTTTTTTGTTCAGGGTGTGGCGTTATTATACAATGGCCAGGGGTCAAAAGGACCGGACAGACGAACAGCTATTGGATGAAGTTAGGAGCTGAAGCAAACGGGTAACGATAGTTGATTATTCGAGGCATGTCGCTACATGGTCAACGCTGACATTGCCCGACATAATAGTAATCTGAGTGCCATCGTGTCCCCCTCACATCGATATCGGGTCATCCAGCCCAGCACTATAACAAATAGAAAGATTTAAGAAACATAGAAATAGGTCGTAAAGTCTGGCACGGTGCCTGCATCCTTTGCCAGCTATATCGTCAGTGCGGTTAGCAGTTCGGAGTCACTGCGGAATAGTGCAATTCCGGGACCCCGTCTGCAGCCTTAGCCCGGTTGGAAAGAGGGGGTCGAGGTGCAGCAAAGAGATGGATGTGCTGATCATCCTGTTGTTACACCGAGTTGGAACGCCATGGTATTGACCCCAGTAGATCGCTTACGGAAGATCCCGTAAATCGGACGAATAAATGATTTCCCTCATGACGCCATGATATGAGATCGCTGAAGAAACTGGAACAAAAAAAAAGCATATGAAGGTCACGAAAAGATAGAGACGGTGAGCCAGGATACCGGCTAATATGAGTCTTGAAGGAACCAGTCAATGTCATCAGGCTCAAAGTACGGGGCGGATGTTTCCGCTGCTGCAACGTCGCCTTCGTAGAGATCGGTGATCTGGTCATCGTAGCTGATTACCGAGGGTAAGCTGTCGCGCTGCTCGACGAGGTCAAAGAACTCGCCAGCAAACTCAGCCAGCTCATTAGCCACCTTCAACTCCAGGATGCTTTCCAGCACCTGCATGTCCTTTTTCCACTTCCGCTCGCACCGCGCATTTTCCTCCCGACGGCGACGGCAGCGGTCATCACGAGGACCGTCTCTCATGCAATTGGGACACAAGTAGTGCTCCTCGCAATACGAACACTTGCAAGGCGGGTATGCATAGATGCAGTCCGCGCATACATACACCTTGCAGCCCGTGCATTCTCGAAGGTAGCTAGGGCACCTTGGGCGCTGATCCCGGATGCCGCCTCTGACATCCCTGATGCCAGTGATGGGATCAGCCGGGGGACAGAAGAAGGATTGACAGCCTTGCCATTTTGGACTCTCGATAGGCGAATCAAAGTAAATCGAGGACGAGGATGATGGTGGGGAGGAGTGATTAGACGTCGGGGCAGAGAAGGAGCGAGATGGTTGGTTGGAAAAGAAGGATGTGGGAGCCGATTGATCACCGACATGGGAATCGGGGGTATCCTCCAGGCTATCTGGTTGTGAGTTGTCAATGAAGCCTTTAGTTGCCGAATCGAGAAGCCGCTGGCTTCTAAATGGGAGGTTATACCCGGAAAGCTCATCCGGGTTGGAGGATTCCGGAGAATTCACTGTGAATCGCCCCTGAATGGTTTGCTTCTCCGTCTCGAGATCACGGTAACCGCAGATCCGGAGGCGTAGTCCACGGAGGTCATGCTCAATGCAGAGTGGCTTGGAGCAGCTCTTGCAGTGGACCTTCCACTGGGGGGAATCATAACATCCCTGGCATAAGTTGCGCGGGCATGGTGAAACTTGCCGATTAGGAGGTCCAAGCAACCATTTCATCATCGCGAGATGCCCCGCCTCGAGAGAGTAGTCCGGCTTGCTCGGGTCACCATATGCATACTTGGGAAATGACTTGCTCCATTCGCTAACGGTGTACTCCAGATCCTCCCAACCTTGGTTTCGGGGCAAAGGTACTGCTCGCACCTGGTCCACTTCGCGATTACGAGGCCCGATACTGATCCCGCCTCCCCCAGAGAGATCCGGCTTGGTGCAGCACCAGTGAAAGTTCAAGATAGGAGTCGTGTCGGACATTGACGTTACGGGTACATTAGGGTCTGTCACATAATCCACTGGATCCTGCATTGACCCCGGAGAGTGTGTGGCGCCAGGAGCCCACCAGAAGGAAGGTGTGATGCTTGGGTTGCCTTCGGACGAGGGAACTGATATTGTCCTGTGAAGGTACGGCCGTTCATAGGCACAGCTCGCACAAAGTGTCTTACGACACCCGACGCAGTGCATCAAAACGCTGCAATGCTCACACCGCTCTGAGATATCCTCGAGACAGCCGTCACAGCGGATGCCACGGACAAACTTCGTGTGACTTTGACGCAGGTGAGTCGGCGTCATTTTGCCTTCGCCCCAGTCAATGCCCTCACCCGTCCCTAATGCCTCTCCGAAGCATCCAGTGTCGCAGTTCTCCCATAGCTTGCCGTCAAGCACGCGTGGTTCAGGATCCTCAAGTTCGATAGGGCCGATCCAGTTTTTGGATCTCCAGAGTCGATCAAAGACTACCCAGACTTCCGGTGTTCCTGCTCCGTGCGGGAATCTCGATTTAACATAACCGGCTCTCCGAGCGCATCTCCCGGCAGGCGTGGTGCACCAGGCAGTATCTGTCCAGATTCCTAGCTTGTGGCAGATGTTGACAAGCTCATGAGTTGATTCCGCATCAGCATCCTTCCGCATCAGCGAAGAAGAGAGATACGGTCTCCTGCGGTGGTGACGGCACCGGTAAGCGTAGAGACTCTTAAGAGCAAGTCGTTTCATCCCAGGGGAGTGAGTACCGGTGGTGTTCTTCATATCCATTTCACGTTGCAGGGCGAACATAGTGAGGAACGGCACTATGTGATATTTGAGGGATACATTCTTGCATCCACGAACGGAAAGATGTTCCAGTGTCTCCCGGCGCGAATGCAGCACTGTTGATGTAAGATTCTCCCCCGATATGGCCGTGTTGTCCAGTTCCAGGCTCTTCAAACACCCACTGAATGGAATCACCACATTCATCAGGAACATGTCCAGGGCATAAGGGCGAGATTGACGCGGAGACTCTGCATCTGCAATGTTTGGATCGGTGATTGTAGGTGTCGGTAAAGTTCCCGGAGGAAAGGGCAGGCGAAACGAGAGTGATTTCCATGCGGTCGGATATGATCGAAGAAAGGTACGAAGGTATTGAGAAGTATGGTATAGTTTGATGATAGTATCGGTCGGGATTTGTAGTAGTAGAGACTCAAAGATGGGAGCATTTGTGGTGATCACCCGCTCAAAGATGGAAAGCATCCGCTCTTCTGGGCGATCCAGGGCATCTCCCAGCATGGCATCCATCGCTGCGGAATTTTCACCAGCAACCCCCTCCTGAGCCACGTTGTAAAGGTCGTGGTTGACCACAGATCCTTTGTGATGGACTAAAACCGCCGGCGCTTAGGTCGAAAACTGGGACGCGACGTCGCGAGCTCGGGTAGAGACGCAGCGCATGATAAGACGACTTGAAGATGTGAACGAGGGGGCTACCACACCCAGAGGTAAGCCACCATGCAAGGCCATCAAAGGTAGAGTGTCGATAATTGATAAGACGAGTGTCGCAAGGGCCGAATTGGCGGTATTTGAAGGGGGAGAAAGGGAGGGGTACGAAAAGAACGAAGAGATACGAGATCGCCCACCAGGGAAACCCTAGAAAAAAATACAAAAAGCAAAGCGATGAGTACAAAGAATTACTGAGAAGGAATTAAAGAGAGAAAAAGAGGTCCAGAAGCAATCGATGTCCGGATGCGCCCGTCAACAACGTCATGTGATGAGCCCCAGATCTCGAGACTTCAGATGTTATATAGAAATGCATTGATCGCTAGGTCTATTGCAAATGGTCTTAATGTTTGCTGGTTGCGTCGCCTACAGTGTAGCCCCTGGCGATGCCCTTGCGCCCTTCCTTGACCAGGGTGCTGTCATCCTCCTCATCCTCGTCATATCGGATGTCAAAGTCACTGCCCAGACCCTTCCATGTCCGCTGTGAGCGCAGGTACTCTGCACCAGGTGATACGGCACCGCCAATCATGGCTAAGTCACCTTTAGCCCGTCGGGCCAGCGCCCTAGCAGCGGATGGCCCACTGGTAGATGATCCATCAAGCTGGGAAGCGCGGGGAGCGGGATCCCGCATCGGACGCGAATGTGAGACGTATCGTCCAGTGCGCAGGTCAAATTCGGGCGGTGCCGATTCGGGTTCTGACATGTCATCTTCTTCAGACATGGCACCATTGGATGTCTCCTTGCTGGTTCCATTGGCCTCCGCAGCTGGTTGGTCAAGAACCGCCTGGAAGTCACTCTGCCACGCGCCTGTCCACACGCGATCCTCGTCGTCTTGCAAAGCCAGTTCTAACTCAAATGGAGTAATGACTGGCTTCCAGAAATCCTTGCTGTCCACAAGCGAGCTTTCCCAGCAGCCAATGACAACCCAGCCGCCAATTTCACTGAAATTGGCTACCTTGGCAGCATTCAATTTGCCAACGACAAACATGTAGCTCTTCTTGCCTGCCTTGTCAATGCGCTCCTTGACGTGCTCCACAATGTGCAAGTAGTTCTTCACACTTAAAGTGTTGATAAGGATACCCCAAATTGGCACCGTAGTCAACGAGGTCAGAGTTGCATAACGTCGTCGGAGAGCTGCAGCAGTAGAAGCAGGCAATGGTTTGACATTCTCACCACCCAAGTTGTCCGTAGGGTAGATATGAATTGCAGCCACCCGAGACGCAAGTGTCATCATGAGGGCAGTTGGCGGATCAGAGATATGAAACAATTGCCAATCAGCCAGAGTCTCAGGCGACTCCAGGACTGAACGGGGGACCGTACGATTGGGAATTGCCGATGAAGGCTCATGCATAATCTCAGTTGCATATAGGTCGCTGTATCCCTCTTCCACCAGCCGAGTATACACCGTCTGAACATGATCCGCATAGGTGACATCAGCTGCAATGACTACCTTCGTCGTCGGATCAGGATATGTCGCCTTGAACGCTCGCACTACAGGCTCTAGCGGAAGAGCTTTATGCGTGAAGACGTAGATGACAGGCAGCCGCGCAGTAGGCGATAAGCATGATCTTCCGTAGTGGACAACCACATCTGCATCTACATGCTCAGCGGCCACCTCGTCGACACAGCAAGTTCCATAAGAAGTATCCGCCAAGATAGTCAACCGAGGCGCAATTTTTCCTGTCTTGTCTTCCCCCATTTGAAGCTGAGAGACCGAGTGGGCCAGGTCATCGCCGTTGCTGGCTTCGGTCTGGTTCGCAGGCTCGATGCCGTTGGCGTTGGTCACTTCCTCGCGCTCCAGGCCCCTGCTGAGTAGTTGGAAAACCCGCGGGGCATCAGGAAGCATATCATCAGGAAACTGAAGAGCGATGCGCTTATAGCGCGCTTGCCGGATCTCCTTCAATGTGCGCTCGATATCGTAGGTAATGGAGAGTTCATCGTCCGACACTCGAGTCGTAGGGTCTCGCGAGACTACCGGCTTCGTTTCTTCGAGAATGCGGTCATCGGGAGTCGAAAGCACCGGCGCTGCCTCCATTTCAGAACCCATTTTGGTGGAGGTGATGGTGGTGTGATGTGGGAAATAAGAAGCCAAAAATTTTGGAGAAAAAAAGATTTCCCCCACTTCCCCCCGCCATCGATAACAAAATACGAAATCGCCTATTGGATCATAAGTTGCGCAAAGGATTTACAACATCATATAAGATGGAAAATAAATGAATTAAGCCTGCAAATTGCAGATACTTATATATTTCATCATTTGCTATTCAAACCGTAGCATATCTACAGATCAGCCCGAGCCGGTTCACCCGCCCAAACCCTACGCAGCAATTCACGAATAGGCGCATGCTCAATCGGACGAGGGTTCCAGTAAGCATTGGAAAGCGCAATATCAGCCGCCTTATCAATATCCTCCTCCTTCATTCCGAAGTCCTTCACGCCACGCTTGACATTAAGCTTAGTCAAGAGCACATTCAAACCGTGGATAGCGTCGCCATTGCTTTCCGGGAGAACGTCGGCAAGCTGCTTCATGGCCTCGGGAATTTTAGGCGCATTGTAAGAGATGGCATGCGGCAGGACAGCGGTGTGGGTCTCGGCATGAGGGAGATTGAAGCTGCCGCCGAGGGTGTGACACAGCTTGTGGTGGATGGACATGCCAACGCTGCCCAGGCATGTTCCGCAGAGCCAGGCGCCGTAAAGAGCCTTTGATCGGGCGGATTTTGAGGTTGGGTTCTCGACGATCTCTGGCAGGGATGATGCGAGTGCTCGTGTGCCTTCCAGTGCCATCATGGTGATGATTGGGTTGGTGTTGCGAGCGTAGAGAGCCTCAACTATAGGATTCCATTAGACATGTATTCTTTGTAATTCAATGAATCTGTGATGTACGGACCAGCATGAGCAATGGCATTGACACCACTGGTGGCACTCATAGCCGCCGGCAGAGTCATTGTCAAGTCGACATCATAAATGACAGTCCCAGGCAAAATCTTAGGATCAGAGCGAGTCTTCTTCAATCCATCGGCAGTTTCGCCGAGAATGGGGGTCATCTCACTACCGGCATAAGTTGTCGGAATGCAGATGTGAGGCAGTCCAGTACGAATACTAATCGCCTTTCCAAGACCGATGGTACTTCCACCTCCAATGGAGATGACGGAGTCAGCTCCCTGTGCCTTGGCATATTCGAGAGCCTTTTCGGTGACATTGGTAGGTGTGTGCATGGTGGCCTCACTGAAGATACCAGCGACTTGGCCCTTGAGCACATCCTTGACGGTTTCCGCCTGGCCGAGCTGATGGGGCGTCGACAGCACCAGCGGGGCCTTTACCTGCAGGCGGGCGATCTCATCGGGGAGTTTCTGTAGTGTGCCGCTGCCGAAGACGACACGGCCGGGGTTGGGGTTGTAGTCGAAGGCGTCCATTTTGTGTTTGGCATATTCTAGGGCGAGACCTGGGATCTTATAGTCCCCCACACCCCACAAGAAGCGTCATCCGTGGGTGGGTCTGCCGGCAGTTGCATACTGTTGATTCTCCGAGCCATTGCACTTTTGTAGGTTTTCTTTTTACTTGTACTGCATTTAAATTGCCCACGTTCGCACGCAATTCGTACTTACTTTGAGTATCACTCGTTTCTTGCACGAGGGGTGGATGTATGAACTCAACAATGTGCGGAAATACCCCCGTCATCTTAGTTCAGCATGAATAAGCCCTTAGAGATCATCCGTGAACGGATATACGGCCCAATGGGTATAAATTTCCCCTCATTATCAAAATCTAGTGGAATGTGTTAATGATTTGTATTCTTTCAATTGCTTAATCCCAACACCGACGCTATGTACACTTTTCTGCTCGGGGTGAATTCTGCAGAAAATGGGTATCAGATAATAAAGATCCGGAGGCATTAGTCCAGATCGTGGAAGGCCATGACATGCTGTCCACCACTCATGTCCTTGCCCTTGCCCTTCTTGCGCTTCTTGCGATCCTTTGGTTCCTGCGGCTGCTCCTCGGCCTCGCTGTCTGAGTTCTCATCACTGTCGTCCGAATCTATCATGTGCTTATCTCCAGCACCAGCGCCCGCATCCCCAGTATCATGCCAGACCTTGACAACTTGACCACCACCAGAGACCAGACGGCCCTCGACATCAAAGCCCAAGCCTACAACGCCCTCGATCTCATCGTGCACAACCTCGGAGACGACCTTGTTAGGTCCGATGCGCACGAACTTCACTTGTCCGTTGCTCAAACCGGCTGCGACAAGCTTGCCCTTGCCCAAGAAGTCGGGTGCGACGGCCATAGTCTCAATTGAATCGCCGCCCTCATTGTCGCGGTGGACACGGATCCGCTCGTCTTGGTCATCCCATGCGCCTTTCTCCCACAATGTCATGATACCACTAGCTCCACCAACGATCACCTTTTGACCACGGCTGGTTCCGCTAGAGGGCAGTCCACCCATATAGACAGAACTGATCAATTCCTCTTCCTGGTCTTCACTGCGCACCATCACACCTCTCCGGAGGTCGGTCACAGCCAAAGTAGTGCCACCAGTGGTGACCCACTGCTTGCTGAATCCAGAAGTGCTAGTATCAGAGGCCGGCAGGGGAGTCAATGAGGCGACATAGTCGTCGTGAGGGTGGTGCGACTGTTCGGGCTTCGCGGAGACCTTCGAGTACGGGACACGGAGATCGTAGAGGTGCAGCGCACTAGAGTCAGTGGCGAGAAGAAGGGTCTGAGGAGAAAGAGCATGGACAATAGTCGGGCAATCCACTGATCTATATACAAAAAAGCCAGTAGGTTAGCTAACGCAAATCACTCAATCGTAGAAAGAGCTCCCATACCCGTCCTTCTCATAAGGAATAACAATTTTATTTTCGACCTGACCAGTCTCTGTCTTTGCGGCCTTCACAATGCCGTCTGTGCCAGCTGAATAGAGTGTCTGGCCATCTGTGCTGAATCCCAGAGTGCGGCAGCTACCCTTGTGACGTCTAGTTTTCCACATAGTGTCAATGTGGCCCTTACCATTACGGGCAGACGCGTTAGAAGCCGCATCATCTTCCTCATCAGAGTCTTCGGAAGGCAATCGGAAGGTCTGAACGTGGCCTGAAGCAAGACCAACAGAGACCACCGGTTCCTCGGGGTGGATCGCCTGAGAGAACAGGTCCGAGGGGAGCGGAAGCGTGCAGACCGTGTCGAACATGGCTGCAGACTGGCAAATCAAGTCGAAAGGGAATGGCCGAAAAGCTCTTGTGAGCACAGACACAATGTAATTTTGAATTGGCTTTAGAACGGTGAATGGAAAAGCTGAAGCTTGGAGCCGGTCGTTTTTTTTCTGCCCGGCCGAGAATCAACCGTCACCGCCTTTTCTACGTGAATGACATCAAAAAACAATCAAGACTTGATTCGCACTGTCACTAGCAAAGACACATGAAATACTCTCTATAGATGACTTTGACACAGACTCAATATATACCACGTCTTATGGCTTCATCCTGGGCAATTGCAGATCCTGGCTCTAAGACGAGCATGCTGAGCCTCGCCTTCCAAGTATAGCCAGTCAACAGCTGAATTGCCCGGTCTCTTTTCAAATTTACGAAGAGTAAGTGGAGCCAATGGGGCCAAGCTTGATGTTGGAGTAAGTCACGGAAGCCGAAGCAGAGTTAGACTCGACATCGGTAGGGGCACCAGAATCAGCACCGCAACTTCCGCGAGCAACACCAGGGTCAGTAGCAGTAGCCGTGGTGGGGTAGTTGCTGTCCAACCAGAGCATGTTGGAGTTGTGGTCATCCCACAAGCTCATAACGAGAACCATACCCTGCTCCAAGCCCTTGCTCATACCAGACATACCGCCGTGCTGGGTGAAGATGTCCTCGTCGCCGAAGGCAGTCTTCTGGGCTGTGCAGAAATCGGTGGTGATGGAGTTTCCGGAGACGCCGCTGACATCGGAGGCTGAGTTAGCGATGACCTTGCCGTTCTGGACGTAGAGACGCTTGATCTCCTTGAGGGTTCCGGAGTCGGTGCCATCGTCGGTGATGAATTGAGTTACGACAGTCATCTTGGAGTTGGTGTCGACGATCTTGCCGGGTCCGTAGAAGCTCTCGTTGCCCATGCGGTAGGGGTTGAAGTCACATCCATCAGGGTCGCACGTGCCGGCGTAGCGGCTGGAAGAGTAGGTTCCTCCGCAGTCGTCACCCTCGCACATGGTCTGGCCGGCAGCATCGCAAGGGTGGGGAGTCACAGCGGTGGAAATCTTGTTGGCTTCCCAGATGTCCATCTCGTTGCAGCAGGATCCGTGGCCGCCAATACCGGCATTTTTGTCGTTCTCGGAAGGCTCCCAGCTCTCGACGTTGCCCTGTTTTATACATCAGCCATTTTTTTCTTGTGCGGCCATCAGGCTTTGTTCGTTATAAAGACTAACCTGGCCATTGATGAACTTCAAGTCACGAGGGCACTGAGAATCACAGTAGCCGGTTCCGTACTTGGCACCAGCCTTGTTACCGTCATACTTGGCGAGACCACCGTCAGCATCCATGGAAACGAAGTACAAAGCTCCATTAAGTCCACAGGGGAGACCGGAGGTGTCCACATCGAAAGTGAACTCCTGATTGAGCAGCTTGAACATCTGGTAGGTGCTGTCATCCTCCATCAGGAACATACGAGAACCGATGTTGGCACCAGTGACGAATTTCAAAGTCAGGGCGTTGCCGTCAGTAGTGGCGCCGTAGGTGCCTTCGTAGTCGGCACCATCGACAGCACAGTTAGTAGCGCAAGTCTCATCATCCGGGCACAGAGTTGCATCGAACTATCACCGAGTCAGCCTCTCAATTCAATAACCATCTTACTAGGGGCCAATCTCACCTCGTTGCCAGTGTAGCAGTTGGTTGAACCATCGACAGAGTGAGTCCAACGCCAGTTGGCATCAATGACAACAGAACCGGACTGGTCAGTGCAGCTGCCAGCGGCAGTACACTTCTGCCAGGTGAGAGAAGGGTGAGTCTCGGTGGTCAATGTGCCAGCCTGCTGGGCACGGACAGCCGCCGCCAGGGCGGAGAAAAGGAGGGCACGTTGGTACATTCTTGCGAAGGAAAAGAGAATGGATTGCAATGTATCGATGACTTGTGTTCTGGCCTGCAGTTGAAGAACAAGAAACACGGGGTTGTCTAAGGATTTTTATATCTCTCTTCCCCTGAGGCTTGCTCTCGGTTAGATTGCCATGCAAGACTTTACCAGGGTCTTTCGGTATATCATGACCGGCGTAGCGGATCGCAAGACCGTATCTGAACTGGCATAGACGACAAAGCTAACCCATCTGTTGTCGATATTCCATACTAGGCGACCTCCGGTGTCGTATATTGATTCGGAAGTGGACCCGGCGCCGAATAAGGATGGCAAAGATCATCGTCGGACAGGTTTCGATGTCTCATCACAATTCTGGCCGAAAGTGGATGAGCAGAGTTTCAACATCTGTAAACACGGAGATCGACCCGATCCAGTTCTGTCCGTTGATGTTCGTAGATGCAATTCCAGGAATAGTAGCTGCAGATTAACGCTCTGTCGATGGTCCTATAGATCGCCGGTCAATTTCATTGAGAACCAATGTTTTCTGAAAGTGATTTGGTGATGAAATTTAACTATGCCCTGAAGCATCATGAGGCACCTTGTGGGGGTTGAGTCGCCAAGAGCGCCGCTAGATTGGAGTCGCCGCCATGGCGCTCATTTACTTCATATCAAACCGCCAAAATACCAAGTGTAAGCCATTTAATCTGCGAGGCGTCAAGCCAAAGCCCGGAGGAATCTTCTGCAGACCCTTTCGGGTATAGGGCGTTTCAGACCGAAACCACGCCCCTCCCCGGTAATATTGGGGTCAACGGACAGCACAGAGAGAAAATCCTTCAATAAGAGGACGACTGCTTAGCGCCCAGGAGTTATTGGATATCTCGATCTGTCTCTCTCCTGATGCAACGAGACATTCAACTACATCTAGTTCGTAGAACCCAGAGATATTCCGAAGCATCATCTAAGAACCGATTACATTGTGAACAGCTCATAGACTTCCATCAGAAAGACTCAGCTCCCTATTAGTGTCAACGTTATGAAGACTATGGAAACTAAGCAAGATAAACTACAATTCCCACGCAGATAGGTGGTTCGTAATTCTAGGACATTTCCGAGATCGGAATGGAAGAGACGTTTAGCACAAGAGAGTACACCATGGTCTCACTTGTGGAGAGATGGTTCTTCATTGGCTAAATAACCCAACTTGAAGCATCTAGGGTTAAAGAAAGTAAAATGAAGGACAGACACACTGAGTCTTGGCTAGTACTGTCGATCGCACGCCGGGTTCCACCACTGGAAACTTCTTTCTGAATGACTTCTTGAAATGTCTGACTATTATAGCCTAAATTAGGCACGCTATCACAAATTATGCTCGATTCAGAGTGGTATGTGTCCTGTTTTGCAAAGAAAGACTATAAGCGGGTACATATGCACCCTCTAAGGTCTCGATAGGGCAAAACTTTGGCTATTTGCCCGGATAATATTAGGGGGCGGCAGTGGCGAAAATAAACGGGTTGTTTTTGTCCCCACGCTGAGATCTTGTGTATCTGGCAAGAGTTGACACTGGCTTGTGGGGATATACCCGTCAACCGAATATAAATCTCAGCCACTCTCGGTACATGGCCAAGTCCTACATCTTACAAAGCCAAATTCTTTACTATATAGGCCAACTTCAAAAGTACATTTACCGGTCCTTGATGCTTCACACTTCCAACATATCGCACACGGAGAAATCGGAAGAAAGTCTTGTACATGGTTACATCGCGCTGGGCTCGATCACTTTCTGCGTATGCTATCAGGCTCCATTGCCAGGTTTGACACGGTATTCTTCACCGTCAGTATATATGCCAAGTTGACTAGCTAATCATTTAGAGGTCAATGTACCTCGGATGAAGGGGTCTTTTGCGAGTGGGCGGGTTTCCTCGGAGATACGGAGCCGTACTGAAGTGACAAGAGTGTTGTATTTTACGACCAGGCAGTAGTAAATGGGCTATTATACAAATTATTGACTGAAATATTGAAATAAAATATCGATTCCTTCCTGTTGAGATGAAGTGTTTAATGCCAGTTCAGGTTGCTTTACTCAATGGTTACTTCAGAAAGAAGGGTACGCTTCCATGTTTGCGCAAAGCATATACCAGTGTTTAAGATCACAGAATTCCTTGCGTTCGCCAGTGAGATACATATATTTGTCTCTCGTCACCCAGGAAGCATATCCAAGAATCTTGCTCATTGGGGTTTCACGTCTGTTTAATAGACTAGCAACGCGAGAATTTATATTTGCTTTGAGTCCATCTCCGTCAACTGATTATACGCATACTCCGGATCATCTCACAAAGCAAGAAGAACCAGAGAAATGGAGTGTTGACTTCATGTACTTGAGGTGTCTTATCTGCTATCTAATCTCCTATCAGGCACATGGCGTCAGCGCGAGCCTCGGTCCTTCCTCTCCCCAACACATTCACCGCACCTACTCTGCTCCGTCTACTTGACTTAGATTGTCTCCTACCCTCGAGTCTCGGTATTCAATCAAGTAGGGCTTTCCTGTTACTGTAATAGCTTGCAACAAACACCCGCCCTATCGCAGTTGTTCCAGGGGTAACCTCCCGCAGCGCAACCATGGCCCTATACAGCCAAACCGTGGATTTCCTCTCCGAGTCCTTCTCGAACCACAAGACCCAGATTCCCTTGCTAGCAGTGACAGGTGCTTCATTCACCCTGGGTCTTTTTGCTCGGTCTCTTCTTTCTGGAGGCGGAGAACGTCCGACTATCCTTCCGTCTCCTCGATCGGCACTGCTGCCTGGCATTTCGGAGGCCGAGAATCGCCAACTTCCGCTCCCGACTGATGTCCTCCCTGGTGCGCGTGATGTAGCAAGTCCATATGGCTCTATCCGAGTATATGAATTTGGCCCGGAAGATGGTGCCAAGGTGCTGTTAGTGCACGGTATCACCACGCCGTGCATTGCGCTAGGTGGATTGGCCCATGCGCTGGTCGATCGGGGATGTCGCGTAATGCTCTTTGACCTGTATGTGATTAATCGAATTGTCTCTAATTGATGCTAATTCAAACAAACCAGGTTTGGTCGAGGATATTCCGACTGTCCCGCAGATCTTCCTCAAGACAACCGTCTCTTCACAACACAAATCCTGCTCGCTCTGACCTCTTCGCCTATTTCTTGGACAGGTGCCGAGTCTGGTAGATTCTGCCTTACAGGGTACTCCCTGGGAGGCGGTATTGCCGCCGCTTTTGCAGCCTATTTCCCTCAGCTCATCTCATCATTGGTATTACTCGCTCCTGCAGGCTTGGTCCGTGATTCGCAAGTCAGTCTCCAGAGCCGTCTCCTATATGAGCGTGGCTTCATGCCTGAGAATGTGCTAGGGTACTTGGTTGGTCGTCGACTGCGGGCTGGGCCCCTAGTCACCCCCAAGCCCAAGAACCATAAACTCAATGCCTCGGATGCGCTCACTGAGGAGTTGCCTTCACAGAATGCTGCTGAGATTCAGCTCTTGTCTCGCAAATACCCCCACATCAACGTCCCTGCTGCTGTGGCGTGGCAGGTGAATAACCATGGAGGGTTTGTCCACGCGTTCATGTCAAGTATGCGTCATGGCCCAATTCTGAGACAACGCCAATGGAACACATGGACGCGTCTTGGCGAATATCTTACCGTACAGAACAGTGTCTCTAGTGGCGAGGATAAAAGACCATCTGACAACAAGGTTCACATTCTGTGCGGCAACAATGATGCAATCATTGTCAAGAGCGAGCTTGTTCCAGACGCCACAGCTGCCTTGGGTGGAAATGCCGTTTTCAAATTCTATGAGGCCGGACACGAATTCCCCAGTACCAAGTATGAAGAGGTTGCCAGTTACATTTTTGAATTACTGTGAGCTGGAGCCATCTGGAATGCTCCCGATCTTGAAGTTTGGTGATTGTCCACGTTCATTGATGTCTCCTTCCATATATTTGATAGATATACACATAGATGCTGCTCAATTTATACATTTCTTTCTCCTTTCACTTGTCATCGTCCGGTATACAAGACTGCGTCCATGGCATTGAGTTGGCTGGATATCCCGTTGAGGTGTGCTGATCTGTCTCCAATACGGGCACTGGCAAAATATGGCCCTTCGGATGCTGGTGCTCGTGCAAACCGGTCGACACTGTTCCGGTTGTTTCCTGGGACTTGACTGATGTTTGCACTGCTGACGGCGGCGGCTGTGGAGGTGCCGTTGGTAATACTGTAAATAACTGTTAATCGTCTGGCTCCTTGGTTTGGGTCCCACAAGGAACTCACTTTGAGGCTTTTGGCTCTGGGATAGACATGATGTGTGATTGGATATGATCGTTTGGAGATCGAATGGCTTTACAGACTGTTGAAGGTGCCCAACAGAACTCTGAGAAGTTGGCAGGCAATGAGACGGGGCCAGCAATCGAAGGCGATGTCGAGGAAGTAGTGTGGTGTTCGAGAGCGATGTATGCCTTTGATTGGGATTGTGATTTCTTGATTGAAGCTGACTGGATGTCCTGAGAACAATGAGGCCATAGATGAGCAGGAGCTCTCCTATATATACACTGCAGGTCTGAGACCATGTATGGAGACGGCATGCCTTCGCGGGCAGACACGCGAGCTTCAGCAGTTTGCATCGTGGCCCACATGGACCGGAGAAGCTAAACGAAAGTAGGAATGAAGGAAGGATCTTCGGTTCGCATCTACTCCAGATCCACTTGCCATGGGCCTGTGACGGCATGTCGACCCTTGGCCCCAACTTTTAAGGCCAAGGTGTAGTCCGCATGAACCATGGCAAGCGGGTCTGGAATTCCTGATGTGGATAAGTCCGAGATCTCCATAGTCAAACGCACATACCCGTTCGGCCCATCTATGTGAAACAGGCGACAAGCCCGCTGCTATTGGCCCGGCTGCAGGAAGCTGGGGCTAGGGGGCAGGTACCAGCTGCATAAGGATGACTTCGTCCCTGCGATATGATAAAAATAAATAAAAAAGGGCATTATTCCTTAGCACATGGTCTACCATATGTTTCAGGTGAGGGAGTAACCGAATTGGGTATATGTGCCGTGGAATGAAGCGAGGGGGTGCGTTTGCGTTAAAAAGCAAATGCAGTTCTGCAAACGGATCTTTAACGGGATTATCAAACAAGGGCAAGATCATGATCTTCATAGAAGAAGACTAAAACGTCATGTTTAGGGCCTAGAACCTGGTGAAACGACCAAGCCTTAAGTTAAGACCGTCAATCATCTTGGCGGCAACGGCGCTTCACAAGGTCCGGCATTCTCGCGTGGAACTCGAAACAGAGCTCAAGGGTGAAACAATGTCGCGTGGTCGATCACATGGAGCTTCATGCGCTGGCCCAGGGGCTTAGCTCTATGTTCAAAGGATCTCATAGGTCCGAAAGGCCAAGACCGCGTAAAAGCTAACGATGCTGCATTCCCCGGGCCACGCGCGACTGCAGCATGCTATCTTCTTTTGCCGTTCTTGATATCATCCTTGCAGATCTTTTTGCGAGTTAAGGCTAGGCCGGAACTCTCGGCATACGATCATAATGATGGTGACATCCATACCAGCCACGTCTCAAGCCCTACGAGTCAATTTGCACAGCCATAATGCCAGCCGCCAGAATGCCAGGACCCTGCACTAGAAAAGTTAAGATCGCTAACACGCAAGCGCCTTGTTTCAGAGTGCTTCAAATGTCTATCTCGCAGCGCGCCTGAGAAGGGGGCACGTGGATTGCCCTGTTGAGGTTGAGTATGATGAGTCTAGATACTCAGCAGTCCCAGCGAGGAAGACATCAGCATCTGAATTACGGGGGCGCTACGTAGTGGCACTTGGGTCCTTCTGGTTTTGCCAAGGCAAAGGGCTCAAGCCTCAAAGGCGCTTGTTGACGAGAGCTAACAGGTGAGCTTGGGCCTGTGGCTCAAGAGCACCAAGACCACTACCGGATGCCCTAGGCTTCAACCCGAAATTAAGCATCCACTACGACGGGGGCATCTTTGGAAATCCGACAGCTTTCCGCTTGGCGTGGCTTACGGACCGTAAAGTGTAGTGGACCGTACCGCGTGCCCTACCGAAATATGCGTGTCTGTACGAGGTATGCAAGCAGCTATTTTATTAATATCTGTATAGATCGACCCCTGACCCCCTGCGCCAGCCACAGAAGCCATATGGGAGCCGCTGTTTCAGATATTAAGGTTGCTTTTCCCACGCGTGTCCAAAGTCTCATTCCAGTCTTGTTACGCGAGCTATGTTTAATGATGTGGGCCCTTGTTATGCAAGGCACGCCTGGTCCGAGCTGTAGAATTCCAACAACCTTATCTCCACTAAATGCGTCGATCCCTTATTCGCCCTTAGGGCTAGGTAGAAGCTGAGCAACCCCGAGGTTGTCTCAGGTGAGGCATTTATGCTAATGTGCATGCTCATGTTCATGGTGAGGTTCGATTGTACCCTAACCCCCGCAATGATCCTCGACTAGTCAACTAGTGTCTTTTTTTAGTAAATCGTTTTTTCAATTATTGAATTATTCACATCTAGCCCCTGGACCTTACAGAAAACTCAATGGGTCATCTAATCTCCCCTTGGCTATACCTATCACAAACGCAAAGCTTTTAGACCCCAAAATCAAATGTTCCAAGGGGCTCGTCTCCAAGGGCGGCCCCGAAGGGGGCAGTGATCGGCGACACCGGCCATCCCTTGAGAACGTTTGCCCTTTGTCAATCACGCTTTGGTCTGGAGCATACCCATCTTGACTTCATCCGAGCATCTCCGATATAGATCCATAAGGAACGGCTTGCATATTGTTGCCCTGTCAACCCGTTTTCATACAGTGCCAGAATAGAGTGTCGGACCATGAACAGATCGGGGAATGATGGCCAAAGATTTCAGCCATGAACCACGCAGCACGCTAGGTCATCGGCCAACGGTCCTTTATGCCATATTTGCATTTGAAACGGTTCTTCTTCGACCGGTGAGGCTACTCTAGCGTCATGCAAGCTCTGATCACGACCAGATGTGGAATGTATCCCGAGCTGGCTTGAATAAAGGGACTGTCATCTCGGAATTGAGGATCTCCAAGTCCGTCTTGGTCCTGGGTTACGAGTACATGTAGGCCTTGGAATGATGTCTTTGAAGATTACTCCTTTTTTGTAGAGCATGGGGATCGCAATATGCGTGGCCTTGGTCGACGCGTATTTTTTCTTGTTCTCAAGCACGGTTTTCCCCAACCTTTCTTCCACGGTACAAGGGATGGCAACACAGCCACGCTTATGCTGCGTAATGAGCTTGTGTAGCACGACATCAAGGCAAAGGCACACAAATGCGGTGGTAGTAATCACGGAGGTAGATCATTTCTCATATGATAACAAGGCAATACGGGTCAAATTAAAGGTATGGTGTTTGATTATACATTTGCAGATCCTAAATGCTTCAAGGCTTTTTCGGAGTCCTAACAGAAATATGTCGCAGGCCCTCCCATTACAAACAGATAGTATTTCTGAGTTTAAAAATAGACCAGGTCTCCTACTTCCATCTGATGTCAACTCACTCCCCGCGTGTTAAAATAGACATTTGTAAACATAGGAAGAGAATCCTGATACTTTAGATACTTGGCTTCATCATAAGAATAGCCCCAATCGGAATCCATCATCTTCTCCAATTTTCCTATCTATGCTAGGCATGGCTTAATGCCAATTGAATCAGATACTTGAAGCTTCTAAAATTTTTCAACAATCCGAATGACAGTCTGTTTTACATTTTGTTTCTAAATCCCAACGAGATATTTGCGAGCATCTCATCCTTCGCATAACTGGCACGAAGTCCAGGGATATTCGCATATCTAGTGCCACGAACCAGCGTAAGAACACCATTTATGTCACCAGTGCAGAGTTTTTTGATAGCTACACTAACCTCAGCGTCAGTGCTAGTACTGGACACCGCCCACTTGGAGGAGATGGCTTCCTCCAAAGCACCAAGAATCTCCTTCTGCGAGGTCTCAACCGAGGTAACATCAAGACATTGGTTGGCATTCGCGTGGTCAATATTCAGAACGGCAACTACCGCATCCCCTAGTTGTTTCTCATTGAGTGGTGTAAATGCCTTGTCACTGCCATCCAGATGGTTGCAGTACAAGACACAATGTCGAAGCCGGGGAACCCGGTGGTGAGACCCTAGTATAGAAACACTATTAGAAAGCCATCTCAATCATAAAATTGAATAATATTCTTACTCAGTCAAACAAAAGTGCACTTGTAATATCCGTCCAGGTGAGTCCCTCCGACTCCTTGGAGCTTAGATACTCGAGAACCACCGTCTTCTGTTGAACAAGAGGCACCAACTGTATAAAAGCATCGCTATATGTGTTTGAAGAAAATTCAGGTGGAATGAATCTCTTCACACCAGCGCGGATGGAAGCATCAATGAACTTCTTCTGGTCATGAAATCCAGTGGCACCCAAAGCTGAGAATACAACATCTTGGCCCTTCAAGGCAGACTCAAGATCAGCCTCCTATATATCGGTTTTGCGGACTGTTACACTGGAGGGGGTTGCCTTGCTCGTATTGTGTGATAGCACGATTACTTTGATATCAGCTGATGAAAGAACGGCCCTGAGAATTATCTTGCCAATAGTTCCGCTGGCCGAAAGAGAAATTCAACCTATACTTAGAGGCGCCGTGTAGTCCAAAAGATAGCTCACGCCAATTTGTGCAAAATCACTGAACGGAGCTGTCATGTTATGCGGTTGGTTATGATTGGCACTGAGGAGTGTTGTTGTACAGCGAGTAGATTAGGATTATCACGACATGAAATGAAAGAAACCTTGGCCTCTTATACGGCTTTCATTACTGCAATCTTAATTTCACTCTATAAATCTGGCTGCCATTTGACAATTTTGGAAAAAAAATAAAGTCAGTTACTGTTAATCAACCCTTGAGGTCATAGCCAAACATTTGTAATCGCAGCTTTGCAGATGCCAGTCGGTTTGTAATTCCTTGGTGATTTGTCTCTGATATAACTAAACAGCCGCTCATCTACTTATTATGGTGTAATAAGCGCTTTGAATTCCGACTTTATTGACAAATTCTTTCATAAGCTGGCAGGTCCACAGGCGTAACGGACGAGGTGGTCGAGCCGTTAAGCTTGATGACCAAACTGATACATTGCAAGATCAGGGGTACAGATAGCACAATAAGCAAAATGACTGCTGAAAGATCTTCAACCGAACACAGTGCAAAACTTCTCTGTGCGGTAACAACCTACTTCTAGTACCGAAGTCGAGATCAAGAGCGGCCATCCATAAGCTTCTGATATGATGAGATCCGCTTCAAGTTTTTCAAGTTAGCTTCACATTCTAGAAATTTTTGAAAGTAGACAACACAAGATCCGAGATCTATGGAGTTCGTTATCCGCAGAATATTTGCAGATCCTGTGCGTAAAAGCCAGAACTTCGACTATTTTGACGTTTCTGAGCCTCTTTCCGAGTTGATAAAAGACATTCAATCTTGAACGGACAATTTCCCGAGTTGTTCACATCAAGGGGATAATCCTATTGTTCAATGGTTGCAGTGGGTCTTTGCAGGATTTAAGCAGCAGATGTCCTGCAATCCCCTTGGCTAGAGATAAAATATGGGTGAAAAGTACAAAAGACAGGCAAAGCTAAAACGAATGGGTACAACACCAATGCACATCTCAAGACGATCTATTGGCACGTGGATAGGCGTGGAGACAATTGGAAGACTTCACAGGTGGCAATGTAGACATGAGACAAATGGTGGAGACTTCTAGCCTTGGAAGGTTACTTGTAACAAAATAGTGGACATACTCTGGTCCATTCAGATCAACCTAAACTATAAGTGTAGTCACGGCATACTAGTTCCTCACTACTCAACTAGTGTGCTGTCGCTTGCATTTGGGGGATCCACAGTAGATTACCGGCACATGGTGGTCTGGGGACTATACTCCGTGGAGGAATTTTCTTTTAATTGCGCTTGGATCCCCCAAATTTTCTTCTCCAGCCTGGTGCTTTGTTTTCCTTTTGCTTTTTGCCAATTGCAATCATGACTGTTGACGAGAAGGCCAGCGTGCACGACACGGAGTTGGGGAGTCCTCGGGACTCAACTGAGGAGCATGAGGTCTTCAAGAAGACCGAGGACGGCGTCAGCTTCCGTAATGTCGGCTGGTTCAAGGCATGTATTATCTTCGTGAAGGTGCTGTTCGCGACGGGTGTGCTGTCGCTGCCTTCATCGCTTTACTCACTTGGTGCCGTGGGTGGCTCTATCAGTATCGTCGCCTGGGGCGCGTTCAACACCTACTCCTTCGTGATTCTGGGCAACTTCCGCAAGAAGTATCCCCACTGCCACTCCATCGCCGATATGGCGGAGGTTGCTGGTGGTTTCTTCGCCAAAGAGTTGACCGGTCTGATGTTCCTCATTGGTTATGTCCTTGTCACAGGAAGTGGTATCATTGGAGTGTCAACAGCGCTGAATGCTCTCTCGCACCATGCTGCATGCACTGTCTGGTGGTCGTTGATCGCGGCGGTCGTTATTGTCGCGACTGCTTCCGTGCGCAAACTCCAGCATGTGGGCTGGCTCACATATGTAGGGTTCATTTCGATCTACGCCGCAGTCTTGATCGTTGTCATCGGAGTCACCACACGCGACCGACCTGCCGCCGCACCGCAAGAGGGCCCCTACGATCTCGGATTCGTTGCTATCAATAACCCCGGGTTTGCGGCTGGCATGGTTGCTTCTAGCACTATCTTTGTCTCCTCGGCTGGTACCAGTGCCTTCATCCCGGTGATGTCGGAGATGCGAAACCCGAAGGATTACAAGAAGTCTCTCTATCTGTGCATGGCCTTGGTGACTGCCTCATACCTTGCCTTCAGTTTGGTTGTCTATAGTTGGTGTGGACAATGGGTGGCTAGTCCCTCCCTGGGCGTAAGTATCCCCATACCGATTCCATGTAGCCATGAGCTAACCAATGCTTGATACAGAGCGCCGGACAGACGATCAAGATGGTATCTTATGGTGTCGCCCTGATCGGATTGGTCATGAGCGCCACGATTTACTTGCACGTAAGTACAGCATTTTTACACAGCATATCAGAAAAATCGAACACTGACATCGTTATTCAGATTGCCGCCAAATACATCTTTGTGCGCATCTTGGGCAAGACCCGTCATTTGCAAGCCAACACCGCTGTGCATTGGATTACCTGGTTGAGCTGCACTATTGTTCTCGGCGCTATTTCCTTCATCCTCGCCGAAGCCATCCCAATTTTCAACTACTTGATTGCACTTGTTGGTTCCCTATGCTTTGCTCCTCTCGCCATGTGTCTTCCTGGCTTCCTGTGGCTCTACTGCAACGGCCACTACCGGAAGGGCACACTTGTGCAAAAGGTTATCTACTTGTTGCACTGGGGAATGGTTCTTTTGGGAGTCTTCTTCCTTGTTGGCGCAACCTACGGTGTTGTCATTCAGATCATTGATGCGTACGCCACAGGAGCGATTGGTAAGTTTGATATACCCCCAGCGCTGCATAACTTGCGACTAATATTTGGTCTTCCAGGTTCCGCTTTCAGCTGCGCCGACAACTCAAACTCATCCTAGGTATAAGTCACAAAAAAAAAGTATTGGTCTAGCAGAGCTGCCTATGAAACAGCTCTCTGGTGGCGTGAAACGGACCACCTGGAGTGGATAGTACTATAATGAGGTGTAATGAGTGGCTATAATGAAGGCCTCGGCCATAATGAGTATAGTAATGAGTTGTCATAGAATGGTATCAAATTCCGTTACGGAGTACAAGCTGCCCCCTTAACCCACAATTGATTGTTGAGAAGGTCCGAGGCTCACGTCGATCTCCACTTATGGACACGGACGGCGTTCCCCGAGCCTAGTGCGAACTGTATTGAGCACTATGCGTAGCGCTTTGAAGAAATTTCAGAGGCGGTTTTCTTCTTTCTATTTTGCAATAGCCCTCAGTGCCAGACAATTCTCAATTCCGGCTTTATAGATAGTTCAGTTGCACAGCTCGCTTCCCGCTTCTACCGAACGGCGTCCGCAGGTCTAGCTCAATCTAGATTTTTTTCTGACATCCCGTGTGGACCCTCGCATCACGCCATGGCGCTCCAGATTTGAGACGACCGAACTTAAAATCTCTGCAGGTGGAGTTTGTAGGGAGCTCGATGCTGATAGCTGCTCCATCCACAATGGGTCCGCTTCACATGTGCTAGTTACGATCATCGTAAGGTTTGCCCCGGATCATGCGCCGTAGCGAGAACTATGGCTATGATGATTGGGCTAGACCTCTCAATGGGCACTTCTTGCTAGTCAGATGTTCTGCTCATTCATAAGATCGACCGACAGGTATGAATCAGTTCACTATCATGCAGTAAGGTCTCATATCTCGGGGGGGGGGGGCATGTTAAAGGCATTCAATAGAACAGACATAGAATTTCCTGGAAATATTAATTGATCTCATCCCATCATCCGAACGACCAGATACGCCCACCCATCACCATAAGCAGAGCTTCTAACTACTTCTTCAATTGGGGAAGACATAGGTATCACAGCTCCATGCAAAACAGGCTTCGCGAGAACAGGAGTTCTTCGACTAGGAAACAGATTTGGTAGTAATGTGTGCAAGACAGTCCCCATGGTTTGAGTTTGTGTAGTAGGACTGCCACGTGAAGGCAAAAGTTGGCTTGATTGCATGCTCGATGCTGGTATTGAAGGTGGAATTGGGGATTGTACCACTTTCAAAGATGAAGACTCCGCATCTGGTGGGAGTGGGAGAAAGATCCTGACCGGAACATTTCTGAATGGCTGTGATAATTGAGGAAGAAGGATGCTGGATATGCGTTGGAAAGAGGGAAGGTCAACTATGAATGCGTCAGATCGATGTTGATCATTTGTACGAATGAATACTTTGAGGCGGAAATTCACGTACCATTCTCGACGGCCTTCCAAAGTCCTGACGAGTCCTCCTTCGAAAGACTCATAATGCCTTTTGCTGTACCATTTCTGAGAAAGTCCGCCTCTTTCACGCTGTTGATGAAGGCATCGTTCATTACCATCCCATCAGCATCAAGCCGCACGAGTTCCTCATCTGGCCAGTCTCTGAAATGCACTACTAGTTTCCAAGGTAACGGTGAAACCCTGTCAGGAGATTCATCACCCACTGAGGCAGACTTTGAAGCAGGGTCCGCCCCAGCATAGAGGTCAAATAGCAGGCCAACTGGGTAGTGCCACTTCAAAGGCACTCCCTCGAACTCGAACCAACCATCATGTGGCAAGGAGTCCGGCTCTATTAATGAATTCGAGAAAAATGCTCGAAGCTTGGGAAGCAATGAGGGCAGATATGAGATGCGTGGATATGAGATCTTACAGAGAATTAGCGTCTCGTTGTGCTGCGCGTTTGAAGTTCACGGGGCATACAAGATATGGATCTGTCTGGTCAAAGGTTCGGCTTTCCGATGATGCCAGGACAATTTCCAGCGGGATGCGCCCGTCCCAGACAGTCTTTTGGATAGAGCCAAGAGTCACTTTGTTCTCCATCTCGAGAAGCAGCTGGCAAATGAGGTGTCTTTTCTGCGTTTCTTCTCATCAGTCAGTATATATTTGGTCGGCCTGAGATACAGTAATTTTTTCCTGTAGTATGAACATTGCCATACCTTAGTATCTAATGGTCGAAAGCGCGTTGCTGAGATTCGCAGCTATTGCCCCGCTTTAGATGTGGTCATAGTCAAAGAGATGAGGTATGCGCAAAGTTCTCATGAGAAGAATTATCTACTACCTCTGGAAATGCTTGGTCTGCATCGATCAATCCTATGGGCGTTTTAAAGCTACCGCTGGTTTGTGTTGACACTGCGTAACTTGGAGAAACGCGGAAGGTTGATGGCACGTGTTTCTGCCTAAGGCAATGAGATAATGTCGGAACTTGCTGTCTTCCGTAACTTGCTCAGCCAATGAGGGCATTCAAATCTCTGTCTTTTATTACTTGCTATTTCTTGCTATTTATGCTATGCTCATCATTAGTAATCCGCTCATTCGGAGTTACTATAATTCCGGTTCTCAATCCGTATTCATGAATGCAGCACTGACACACCCCCTCAGCAAGCGCAGTGTCGCTGGCTTGCTGCCACTGGGAATAGCTTCATGAATCAGCGAGTTCTCCAATTGGCCCGTCAACCTCTCCCTGGCGTCTTTCCAGCATCCACCAAGTGGCTGATGTCCACCAAGTGAAGCATTTTCACAAAACGCTCGTGCTGCTGTCTTGGCAGCAATTTTGTGAGGCCGTCGGCTACCATTCTGGCAGTAGGCACCTATCGGATCGAAATCCGGCCTTTCTGCACTTCCTGTCTCAGCCATAGGTGGTGAATGTCTATATAACGAAGCTTGGTGTCGAAGCTAGCATCCTGAGACGTGAGCAAGTTAATCGCTCTCTCATTGTCGCATTCAATGCTAATAACGTGAGAAGGATCGAAACCAACATGCCGCAATAGTCGTCTCCACCATTGAAGGTGCTTGCCAGCTTCTGAGAGCCTAAGAAGCTCTACTTCCGTTGTTGATATAGTCACCGTTCGTTGTTTGGTGGCCTTCCAGTCCACAGGTCCTCCATAAACCTGGCAGATATATCCTACAGAGCTCTTCCGGTCTGCATGATCTCCATACGACGCGTCACTTACCAATTGGACGGATTCGATATCTTCCTATTGAGACCCATACTCGATTGCGTGGTACCGCGTTAAATAGAGGTAGCTGATCAGTCTATCAGCCGCCTTTTGGTGTTGAGGTCCAGGATTCGTCAAGAATTGAGCAAGCTTCGCATTCGCTTTTGCGGCATCCGGTCGGGTTATCGTGGTGGCATACCCGGCCGAGCCAACCTTTTGCTGGTATAGATGCACTGATTGAGCATCTGCCTTGCCGTGATACGGCTCCAATTCTTCAAGCGACAGCGGTGTCGAAACCGGTAGCCTATCCGTTAGGTGATACCGGGCCGCGATACTTGATATATAGCTGTCTTGGCATAGCCACAGCTTCTTTAGACGCCGGTCTCTGATAATGCGGATATTCAGAAACCATTCCGCGTCTCTATGATCTGTAAGCTCCCAATGAGCTTCGAGATCTCTTTCCAGTTGATCAGCAAGCTTCCTAACGTTTTGATGACTTGCTATCAATATATTATCGACATAGAAAAAGACGATGATCCTATTTCCGATAAATACGCATGGGTCTTCTGGCACTTGACGGAGTCCTAATTTGGTGAGAACTCCGGCTGCTTCTTGCTGCCATAATCGAGGAGATATCCTCAACCCATAAAGCGCCTTACGGAGCTTCCAGCACTTGCCAGGGGTTCCAAACCCTTCCGGCATTCTGGTATAGACGTCCTTGTCGAGCCTGCTATTCAAGAAAGCAGTGACAGCATCTCGCTGTCGAAGATCAAGATCAAACGCCGCAACAAGTGCGAATATCATCCTTGCTATTCTTGCTGCTAGTGTAGCAGCCCGCTTTTCATCTGATGATATAGTCTCCAGATCACCTCGGACGCAAATTCTGGCTTTCAGTTTGATAAGGTATCCATCCTGATCAAATTTGTACGCGAAAACCCAGAGAAGTGGAAGTATTTGCTTCCCTCGATCCTTCGGACGATCGATGATATCGAATGTCGCTTTTCTAGTAAGCGATTCGATCTCTTTTCTCATAGCGGCGAGAAAGCCTTCCTGGAAGGGATGATTCATGACATCCTTCCAGTTCCTAGGAAGCTCAGGGAGATCATCTCTGTGACGTCGAGTTGGCTTCTCGGCGTACAGACCAGCAGCAAATGCATGCAGATACGCTGGCGGTTCCATCGTGACGTACGAATAAGCATCATCTCGCTTAGGCTGACGTCTTCGAGAACCAGATATGATGTTTGTTCCATCGACATCTCCATTGATATCCCTTGGTGCGAGTCCAGCAAGCAATTGCATTTCGGCTTCTTCATCCGAGTCCACTTGCTGATCCTCTATAGCTTCCTATACGACTTCTTGCGTATCATGAGCCTGGTCCCTTGCTAGATCTTGCGTGCCACGCGTTTCATCTAGCGTTTCCACCCCCTGACGAGACTCAGGATACTCACTTGGCGGAGTAGGTGGAAGCGGGACTTCCTGGGGAAATGCGCCTAGGATGATGTCTGTTTCATCCCGTCTTTCCCTTTCGGGTGTATTGTACACCCCCTGACCTCTGAATGACTGGTCAGGCTTTTCCTGATTCCTGATTGGCTGAACGGTGTCTTTTGCAGAAGAACCGTCGCTGTCCAATAGAGGAATTGCTGCTTCTTTATGAGACGGTTTTTCGGCCGAAAAACGGTCTCTTTGTCCAATGTCTAGAGTCTCATGTTGAGCTTCATTGCTTCGGACATCAGCATTGCTATGAGCATTGCCATTAATGTTGACATCTTGATCATCGTCATTGAATGGTCTTGCTTCTAGCTCTGATTCAGGCATTGATCTAGTCGAGATCGATGCTTCGAAGGCTCTCGTCGCCTCTGTTTGGTCCAGTTCTTGCGGTTCTTTCAGTATTGGCAATGGCACTTGCTGGAAGTGCTGAAAGTCCGATGTATATCGACGTGATTCATCGAAGATAGCATCCCGAACAAGCCGTATTTTGTTGGCTTGCGGAAACCATATTTTCCAAACGTTTGATGCTATATAGCCTACCAAGAAGCCAATCTCAGCACGAGGATTCATCTTGTCTGACTAAACCTGCTTCTCGATACGGCAATAAGCGAGACTGCCGTATAACCTAACGTTAGCCAAGTTGATTGGTGGCGCTTGCTCGCCGGCGAAGCTCTTCATGACTTCACCCCATGGGACTATCCAACGTTTCTGATCAGCCAGATACGTTGGGGTCCGATTTAGCAGCCAGACTGCTGCCATTGCTGCTTCAGGCCATAGCTCCTTTGGGAGCTTGCCTTCGAGTATCAGCATTCTCATGCGAAGAATGATAACACCTCCTACTCTTTCGGCATACCCATTTATCTCGGGGTGCCTTGGTGGACTATAATAGACCACAATTCCATCGGATGTCAAGCTCTACTTAGCTAGACGTCCTGCAGCTTTCTCATTATCATAATTGAAAGCTTTGATCGGAAGTTTCCACCAGTTCTTGGCCAATTGGACGAAATGATTGATTGCAAGCTAACATTCGGGCTTGTACTCATGCGTCATGACCCAGTGGAACCTTATTCCTTCAATATAGAAGTGGGAGATCCAGTTATACTTATTGTAAGCACGTGGAAGCTATATCAGATCAAAATGAACTCTACCAAGTGGCCCGAAAACCCTTCCAATTGGTCTTCTTGATACTTGGCGATCTGATCTTCCTAGGTGGCAAGTCTCACAAATTGCGTGATCCTCTGTCCTAGCGTCAATTGTGACGCCCTCGACTAGCTTTGCCACTTGCTATACAGTTTTGTACTACGGATGACCTAGTCGGCGATGCCATACTTCAGCTGATGCGGCTGACTATTTTGGCGATAATAATAATCGGACGGCATTTGCTGTCCGTATCGGTGCTCTCCCGGGTTGATCGAAGACCCATAAGCCGGTTGACTTCCACAATTTCAGGCTAACAATTGGGATGGCATTGTGATCTTCGATATAGCGTGCTTCCTCAGACCAATGTCCGCCTTTCTCCTTCAAGCGAGCGTACGACACTAGGTTTACATAGAAACCTGGTGCGTAATAGACGTTGCTTAAGGTAATCACCTTCTCCTTTCTTGTGATTGGATCGATGCTATGAAGCCTTGCTGTCCCTTGTCCGATAACAGATGTCTTGCCGTCACCGGTCGATAGAGAGTGCTGGCAAGTGGAAAGGTCCACAAAGCGACTTCTATTATTACAGACATATACGCTAGAACCGGAGTCCAAGATCCACCGGTCCTTGATAGATGACGCCGGTAGGTCTAGTAAGCTAGTGGAGAAGGCCATGTTTCCAGTGACTACATTTGACAGCTTTGGCGATGCTTTCTCAATAGCTTCATTGACCCATTTCTTCCACGCTAGATCTGTAGCAAGCGTTTTTCGGCCTGTCTCTGCCTCTCTTTTGATACCGTGAAACCGTCGGGTCTCATCGCGGCATTCAGAGTATAGCAATTGGCGGGTTTATAAAATTTGATTCCACATGGGCATAGTCTTGCCTCAAAAGGCGTGTCGTCCAATTTGCCTTTTGAGTCCTTTTTCGCATCACTTAGCGCATCAGTTTTCGCTTCCTGATATCCTTGCTAGGTGGAAAAAGACCCCTTCAGTGCTGCCGCCGGTGGCAACGCTGTATTAGGTCCAATTTCACGATATATCGATCGGAAGGACTCGATCAGACTTTGAGTCTCTATCGATGCTTTCTCTATCACGATCTCTTGGAATTTGGCTTGCCACCAGATTGGTAAGACCTCTTTCACGGCTTGCAGTAAGTCCTTATTTGCGTTGGCAGTTTCAATGATTTTGAGACTAACTACTCGCTCATATAGCTCCACCCATGAGATCAGCCATTTTTCGACATCTCCGGTCGGCTTTTGGGTTGACAAAGCTCTCTATTGCATGCGTACTTCTTCAGTATACGCTTCAGATCTAGCGAATCTCTTGCTAAGATATACTAGACGGTCGTACGGTGTTTCGCACTTCAAAACTATATCACGGAGTTATACATCTAGAGAGTTGACGATAAGATCATCAATCTCATTTAGGCTTTTGCGCTGTCTATCCCAGCGGTTTGCCTTGATTTTATAGACTTCGAGGCGGTCTCTCCAGTCTCGCTTGTCTTCCTGATACCCATCATCAGGGTAGTCAGGTACAATAGGCTCTCTGAGAGCCTCTGGACGATGCAATTCGTCCGTATCGGGGTTGCAGAAATCCCAAATGCCTCTGCGCTGAGCGAATACCTTCACTCGCTGGTGCCACGACTGCCATTGTGACGAGTCCTTCAGTTTTTCGCTCTTCATAGCGGAGAGATAGGTGCTCGAGTCCATTATGTTCACTTGTTGATCGCAGCAAGTGAGTTCCTTGGACCTTTTCGGATGGATGAGGGTATTCGGAGGATTCAGGGGTTCAGGGGTAATCGGACGGCGACGAGAAAGCTCTGGCAAGTGAATTGTCACCTGTGAATAGCTTCAGAATAGTCTTGCTGTCCAATTATAGGCGTACCGGGCTCATAACTGTCGGAACTTGCTGTCTTCCGTAACTTGCTCAGCCAATGAGGGCATTCAAATCTCTGTCTTTTATTACTTGCTATTTCTTGCTATTTATGCTATGCTCATCATTAGTAATTCCGCTCATTGGAGTTACCAATGATGAGCATAGCATAAATAGCAAGAAATAGCAAGTAATAAAAGACAGAGATTTGAATGCCCTCATTGGCTGAGCAAGTTACGGAAGACAGCAAGTTCCGACAGATAAGGTGGTGCTCTTTACTGCCTGAGGCCGAATTCCGCAATTATGTTGAACTCGCCTTCTTGGATATCAACGATTCCCACAGTGCAATGTCAAAGTTTCGCGGCTATATCTTCATTTTTCATCCAGTTGAACATCTTGTCGCAGTCTAGCATACTAATGATCCTCACCCTAACGATTGTGACGCGTCGTCCAGGACACCCATTTTGACGCGTGAGGGTATCCTGTCTGTAGGAAAGACTACAACGAGACCTGCCAAGCAGCTGACGCCGCACCACCGTGACTGCCATCAGCATGTCGAACAGCAGCAATATACAGTAGGTCCAAGCATTTTGTGTCTCCACGGCGGAAATTTGTTGAGAAGCTTTCCACCCGCCATGCTTGGCAGCAACCTCGGGTATCTTGAGCTCTTGGTGAGCAGTATCAGCCAAACTCGAAAGGCTCTCGGGTACAGGCTCTGCGCTGAGATGACTGCATTAGTGTTTCGATAATTCCCGGCCGTGGAATCTCATAGTTCGACACGGATTTTGTCCGGATGCCAAGTTTCGCCCAGACATTCAGTACTCTCGGGTGCTAGCCATGGCAGTTTCCACCATCCTAAGGTAGATATCAAGCCCTCGTGTGGCTTTTCGAACAAAATCTGGACGTCGGTGTGCTCCGGTTCTGTCAATATGGCCGCGGATATCCGGCTCCGAGCTGCGAGGCCGTGCTACATGTGCTTCATATCACTTCCGAATTTGGCGGGCAACCCCCACGAGATTAATTGCAGGCCGTGCCAAGGATGCATTCAATAGAACTTTCTTCCACGCCGTACGGTTTGCAAACTGCCGCTACGGGGGTAATGGCCAAACACTATACCGGTGTGCCTTCTTGTTAATATGTGGCTACCATACAGGCACAGACCAACTCAAGGTCCGGTCTCGCTATTGAAAATAATCGACATGCGACATGCCCTGCTGAGAAATCAAATTTCAATAGCTTTTTTCTGGCTAGCTGCAAATAGTGCAGACAGGAGAATGGAATTCAAGTGCAGATGTACCAGCTCACACCTCATCCAGAGGTCGATTGTGAAACGCCGCGGATCATTCGAGAGGTCAGCCGACCATGGTCCATGCTGGCCCAGGCATACGGTACTATTGCACATCTCCACACCACAAATCTCTTGTCCGCTCATTTGCAAGCAGTGGACTTGAAGCTTCTCGAAGTGAGAAGAAAGAAGATGAGCTCACAGAAAGTTCCGGCGAGTAAAAGCGATCCCGCCCGAAATCTAACGGTATCCGGATCATCCTCGTGCTAAGTTATGAATGATGAAACCAGAAACATCAATTCAGGACGCCTCCGTGTCATCGCCTGCCTGGTGGGTCCTGACTTGTGAAATGTGTCAAGAGTCACAGCCTAGGTAAGGTTTCCGAACCCAAATATGGATGCGGTCTTAATGCCGATTTTTTTGACTTCTTTCCTGTACCAAGCCCGATCCGGGTGGCTTACTTCCGAGCCGGACACGGCCCGAAAAGGCATATTGATATTGATATTGAAATGAGTACGACAACAACACACAGACACAATGGCTACGTTTCGATTTGTTGAATCAGATTATTAGCTGCTCGGACTTTATTTCTCGACAATTCGAGTTAATCCCCGGAAACCCCGGAGTTTCGTTTAGTTCACTTCGGTTGAGCTTATCAACACGGAGTAGTGGGGGCCGGTGCCGCCATTTCCGGGGGGAAAACTGTGGGATTGTGGGATTTAATAGAGGTAAAGGATAGAAATTATGATGCAAGGGATCTGCGTACGCAACATGTACCAATTGTAGTGGTGGGAATGTGTTGAGATGCAGATGCAAGTAGATGCACGTGACCTTTAAACGTATACCGAAGCGGTTAGCGTGGCTCGTTCAGACTTTTAACCCTTCTTCCGGCCCCGTGACCTTCCCAATGAGAACGCGGCAATTTGCCGTCTCCACAATTGTGGTTAAGGGTTCTCCCCGCGGGCCTTCTCTTTCTTACTTCTATACAGAACAGCTGGGGAAATGAGATCTCGGGGTATTCGCTTAACAAGCGGGACTTCGCTGTACCCTCTCCACACTCAGGTTAAGGCAAGATTCCGTCAGACCCGGGGACACAAAAATTTCTCCACGCATAACTAGGTGGCGATGGCTCTCACCGGCGTCCACATACTGCTCAGACGGCTAAACGCACAACGCACTCTCTCCAGCACTAGAGCACGCATGTATGATATTCACAGCCAATCGTCGATGGTGACGCTATAACATTGGGCATCCAGTGTCAAGGAACACTCTGGAACCAAAGGATTCCTTTTATTCTCATAATTTTATCCAGGAAAGAGGGCTTGGTGTTAGATATATACTGAAGCTTATTTGCTACCGGCTGAATGTTTCCATGTATTGTCCGGGGAAAACGCTACCCCGGCCAATGCTCCCACCTCGCCATGCATCTGTTAATCACCCCTGTATCATAGCCTCACGTTCAAACCCCATACTGCCCCAATCTATGGGGATATAGGCGACGTGTGTTGTGGAGAGCATTTAGTTGGGGAATTTGCGCACCCACAATTCCACTGGGATAGCAGAGGTTACTTAGGGTCCCATCTCCTGCACCTTTCGACCCATTTTCTTCTCTCCATCCCCGATCAAATTTTTCCCATCCACCCATCTTACCTCCTTATTCACCTTCCCTCGAGCTGTTATACCTGCAGCCATGGGTGTTCTCACACTTCACGAGGATCGGCCAACGCCAAAGTCCGTTTACAATTGGCGTGTCTATGCACTTGCCGCCATCGCATCATGCGGTTCCAACATGATTGGTTACACCAGTGCCTTCATCGGTACAACTATCACACTGTCATCTTTCCAGAAGGAATTTGGTATCGACAAGATGTCCTCTGCCGACCAGAGTTTGATTAGCGAGAACATTGTCTCCCTCTTCATTGCCGGGGCCTTTTTCGGTGCCCTTGGCACATATGCCCTTGGTCACTTCGTTGGCCGCAAATGGTGCTTGGCTGTCGCTTCCGCCGTCTTCACTCTTGGATCTGGACTTCAGCTTGGCGCCAATTCGTCTCGAGGATTGGGGATTCTATACGGTGGCCGTGTGCTGTCCGGTTTAGGAACCGGTGTGGCCTCTAACATTATCCCTATTTACCTGTCTGAGCTGGCTCCACCTGCGATCCGAGGTCGGCTAGTTGGTCTCTACGAGCTCGGCTGGCAGATTGGCGGTATGCTTGGTTTCTGGATTAACGTGGGTCCCCTAGCCTTGCCGATCTCTTCGGTGTTGGTGCCGCTTTTGCATTCAAGCTAACCTAAATTGCTAGTACGGTGTTGAACAACACATGCCTCAGAACCATGAGCAATGGATCATTCCATTTGCTATTCAGCTTGTCCCGTCTGGTCTGCTTTTCGCCGGTGCCTTGTGGATCAAGGAGTCTCCTCGTTGGCTCTTCCTTAAGGACCGTCGCCGTCAGGCCATGGAGAACCTCTGCTGGATCCGCCAATTGGACGCCGACGACATTTATATTTCTGAGGAAGTTGCTGCCATTGATCAGGCCCTCGAATACCAGAGAAGTTCCATTGGTATCGGTTTCTGGAAGCCTTTCCAGGCCCTTGCTCACAATAAGAGTGTCATGTACCGCCTGGTGCTCGGCTGTATGCTCTTCTTCTGGCAGAATGGTTCCGGTATTAACGCTATCAACTACTACTCTCCCACTATCTTCAAATCGGTATGTATACACTTCACTCGTTACAGGTCTTCTTCGATGCTAACTTTGATTTGCAGATCGGTGTCGACAGCAACACGGTCAACCTCATGACCGGTATTTTCGGTGTGATCAAGGCTATCATGACGTTCGTGTGGCTTTTGTTCCTCGTCGATCAATTCGGACGACGGAACCTTCTCCTTGTTGGTGGTATCACCGGATCGATCTGCATGTGGATTATCGGTGCCTACATCTGTGTTGTTAAGCCCGAAGACAACCCCAGCTCTCACCTCAACGGCGGTGGTATTGCTGCTATCTTCTTCTTCTACCTCTGGACTGCCGTCTACACCCCTACTTGGAACGGAACCCCTTGGGTCATCAACTCTGTACGTTACCAAACCTTACCTCCACTACGATCTCACTCTAACAAAAATAACAGGAATTCTTCGACCCCAACTTCCGTTCCCTAGCCCAGGCCGCCACCACAGCCAGTAACTGGCTCTTCAACTTCCTCATTTCTCGTTTCACTGAGCAGATGTTCGAGGCTATGCACTACGGTGTCTACTTTTTTTTCGCCTCTCTATCCTTCCTGGCCTTCTTCTTCGCCTTCTTCCTCATCCCCGAGACAAGTGGTATCCCTCTGGAGAAGGTCGACCGCCTGTTCGAGCAGAAGCCCATCTGGCACGCAAACAAGATGCTCAAGGAGCAGCTCGCCGCCGAGGAGGAGCAATTCCGTTACGATGTCAAGGAGAGCTCTTACCACCAAGAGAACACCGCTGGTACTTCCGACGAAGAACAGCAGAAATGAGCAATACGATTATAGATAGATTGGTTATATATAGAGTGGTTTATAGACCACAGGTTGTACATACGACTACGATTTTGTATAGAGTTGCATATGTTGACGCGCATTTTCATGAATCATTACTTTTACTTCAATTCTTGATCCTTGACGATCTTAATGGATTACTCTGATTTGAGTCGCCTTTACTCTTTAGAGCCTTGTTGACGGCCTCGTCCTAGAATGAGCTTCGTACTTATCTACATGTTTTCCTTCACAGCATTGTTTCTACACTGATAGCTACTAACATCAAAGAAGCACTATCTTATATGATCTGGTATTGACAATAGGTCTACATGAAATGATCAAATTTAAAATGAACTTGAAGATGCACTTGGTCGACTTTGGCAGCTCGCCCAGGAATATATATCGACAACAAAATACATCGAATTCCATAATTATGTTGCCTGATACGACTCAGATCATCCAAATAATATCTCTCTACCTTAGTCAAGGAGTTTAGGTTTCTGACCAGAATAAATCGTCGATGGGGATGAGGGTTGACTTGATATCATACGCGCTTCGTGCTTCGAGGATCCCGCAGTCTTCTCTTCTTCCTCGCTCCCTTTGAGCTATGTATGAAGAATTAAAAACAGTTACACAGCGTCGCTTTATATTTCAAAACAATCCATTAGGCACTCTATTTGAAACGTTTTGTCTCGAATACTTGTATCGGGTATCAAATGATAACATGGCAAAAAATCAACACATAGCGGTCGACACCACTCCACCACCTTCCTTCTGCTGCAGAATCTTAACCGCCAATTTATAGGCCTCATCCTTCGCATCGCACTGCGATGTCCCTCGAATAGCCTCCTTATCCCAACCATGAGCGCACCCCTCCATCCGCTCACACACCGAGACCTTGCCATCCGTGCCATTCAACTTCTTCGACAGCTCCTCAGCCTCAATAGCAAAAGGATCCTGCGCAGCAGTAACAATCAAGGTCTTGTTGGGGAAGTTCTCCGGATCCGCCAAGATAGGCGACATACGCGGATCCTTAGGATCGACCCTTCCCAAATTGAGACACTTATGGCACAGATGGGAGAAAGGCGGGAAGATATCGCGCATGATCCAATTTGAGTTATCTGCCTGGGGCTTTTCTGGCGTGGGAAGAGACATATCCATCGGCCCGTAGAAGGAGATGACCGTGTCGAATATCCCTTGTTTCGGGTTGAACAGCTCTGACGCCGATGCCACGGCCAAGGCGATGTTCGCGCCCGCGCTGAATCCAGACAGCGATAGCTGTGTCAGATCGAAACGATCGGGTTGCGACCGAACCCAGCTCACTACGTCCTCGGCATCGTGGAAAGCTGCTGGGAAGGGGTGTTCCGGCGCGAGGCGATATTGCACGTCGATTACGGTGTAGTGGGCATTGTCTGCGACGAAGCGGCAGTATTCATCGTCCGAGCCGAACGTGCGAAGGACGAAGCCGCTGCCACAGAAGTTGATCAGGACGGGGGTTGGGCCGGGTTGGGTGGCTGGTTTGTAGATGTGTGTCTTGATGGTCTTGCCGTCATCGCGCGATGGGACGAAGGTTACTTCGTCGGGTTTGGGGTTTAGGTGGAGTCTGGGCTTCACCAGGAGACGAAGGAATGACGCGAGCGACTTATGGTAGCCATAAGAAACTCCCATGACTGTGATATAATGATGTGATGGAGATTTGCTTTTATTGACACGTCTGATGGAGCATCCCCGCGCGAGTATCAGGGCAGGAGAGAGACATGTACATATACTTATCCACTTTCCCCTGAGTACGTGTGATATCATCTGTAGTACATGACTCCCTTTAATCGTCTTTCTGTTGGTGCATGTCCCGTGTGCATGCCAGCGGAATCAAGGTTATAGCAGATCGCTACGTCATGCCACGCAACCCCCGACACGGCATAGATCAGCAAGTCAGCATGGTAAAGATTCACACAGGATGGAATTTATCGTGGGCATTGAGAAAGACCCTGTTGGCTGTCTGTGGCTTTGTTAAAAAAGCTGCAACCGGGCCCCGGGGGCCTCGGGGTTCAGGAATGCTGGCGGAGGCCTTCAGTGAGATGTAAGCATGTGTTTCTGGCCTGACCACTATATTGTGTCTGCTCTGCAAGCATGTCGGTCGGCCAGTTCGAAACATATGCGAGGGACTATCAACGCGGTCATCCACTCCTTCAATTGTAAGTTCGACCGAACCTGTCGAGCGGTCATGACAGGATGCACCCGGCCATGTCCTTTATAGCGTGGCTGGCCCTGCAGCGGGGCTGAGACGGGGGCTGACTTTGTGGAGCCTAAGTCAGCGTGGTCCCAGAATCAACTCGCGACTCGAGGATCGCAGGGTCCATAAGTAGTACGCGTGTAGCGGAACACACAAGGGCCAAGGGTCCGCAACTCCAGATAGACTCTCCATCTGGGGCAAGAGAAGATTTGTAGTGGTCCAATTGTATGATGGCCAATAAGAGAGAGCAGCGGGTGCAAATCGACCCTCGTTCTAAATTTAGTGGGGTTCAGATCCTGCTGCCGAAAACAAAAATGATAGGCGACCAATCTGGAAGCTCGCGGAAGGGCCGTGTGCGTTTACAAGGAAAGCTTCGAATGGTTCAACGGCCGTGAGCGGTTTGGAGTGAGACATGCCCCCTCATTGGTGTAGCCGACTATGGGGAGATGGTATGCTGGCGCCCGACCTTGGAACCATTGTTGCATTGCACCCTAGACCCTTGCCACCTAGAGGAAAGACAAGCCAAGACCCGATTGACCGGTTCCAAATGCACACTCAATATCGATGTGATCGGCCTGGGCTTGAAGGCTGGGGTGGCAGTGTCGAGCCCCTCCCTCAAAAGCCTCAATCTCAGGGGAACTCGTATGGAGTATAGTAGATGTGTATATCGGGACGATCGCATTTACCTGTAACGCCAGCAGAGGACAGCGTAGGCCATGTAAATTGTCGTTGCCTTGAGAAGGATATGTTTGAAATCGCAGCTTGGACGATCGCCTGGGCCCACCTAGCGCTTACGTCGTACTGTGGAGTGCGATGATATCAGGGAAACCTGCCAAAGAAAAGATTCACGATCCTCACCTTCTCTCCTACACACACTCGTTTTGGTCGCCATGCAATTGTCGACCTCCCGCCTGGGAGGATGTATTCTCTTTATCCTCTTCAGTCTCGTTCATGCTGAGCAGCTCATCGAAGCCAACGGTCTCACGGCATGCCACGGATCCGATAACTCCGAAATCACAATCAACCACATGAGTGCGGTCCTCACGCCTGGAAACAACTCAGTCAGCCTGGTGTTTGATGGATATTCTGGAGTCGCTGGAGATGTTGTCTTGGACATTGATCTCTTGGTGTACGGGTACAAAGCGCTTTCGCAGAGAATTGACCCATGCAGCCTGGACCTGGGTGTTTTTTGCCCGATGAAAGCAATCGAGTTGCAAATTCCCAAATTCACCTACACCTTTGACGATGGCGTACTTGATCAGATTCCAGGTGCGTTCCATGAAACGACACGAGGCTCGACAGCAGTCTCCCAATGTTTGTGGTGCTAACGGTAACGTCATAGGTATCGCCTACTCCGTCCCCGACATCGATGCGGTAGTTCGCATCAAGTTGAACAAGAAGTCTGGAGGGAGTGTCGCTTGTCTGGAAACCCGTGTTCACAATGGAAAGACTGTTTATCAAGCCGGCGTGTCATGGACACTGGCCGTCATTACTGGATTGGGCCTCATCGCTTCCACGGTCATTTCACTTCTCGGACACTCCAACACTGCGACCCATCTTGCTTTCCGATCGCTGGCTTTCCTCGGCTTCATTCAATCCACGGCCATGGGAGGGTTGCTTGCCGTGGAAATTCCACCGATGGCGCAATCCTGGATTCAGGATACTCTTTGGAGCATGGGGATTGTCCAAGCCGATGCGCTGGAGACAATCTCGACCTGGTTCCAACGAGCCACCGGCGGTACACCCTCGTCTGTGCTTGCCGAATCAGGCACTGTCTCGGTCGTTTTGCAGAAGCGATCATCCATCCAGACGCGAGCCATCCAATCGGGTGCCCAAATTGTCTTGCGTGGCATCAAACGGGCCGGAGCACGAGCATCCATCACATTGAGCAACATCTTTATGACTGGATACCTGTTTTACTATTTTGTTACAGCACTCGTTCTGGCTTGTGTCGGGCTCGCATTAGTCGTCCGCTTCCTTCTATCCAAGAGAACGACCTCAATCACGAAGTTGGAAAAGGCTGTTGGTGCCACCGCAGACTGGAAGACCGTCATGCGGAACACTTTCTTCCGACTTGCCTGCATCGGATATCCACAGATGTGTGTGCTGTGTCTGTGGGAACTGACCCAAAAAGATTCCGCTGCGGAAATCGTTCTAGCCATCACCATGTGGCTCGTGACCACCGGCGTTTTGGCCTTCGCTACTTTCAAGATCTTCCACCGCGCGATTCGATCCAAGCAGCAGCACAACACACCCGCCTATACACTGTATTCTGATCCAGCTACATTGAACAAGTGGGGTTACCTGTACATCTACTACCGTGCCCCGGTCTATTGGTTCCTCGTCCCTAGCCTCGTCTACATCGTCATCAAGGGAATGCTTGTCGCCTTTGGCCAGTCTAACGGACTTGCCCAATCTATCGTCCTCCTCATCCTGGAGCTCGCAATGATGCTTGCAACCGGCATTATCAAGCCATTCATGACCAAGGGAGCAAACGTCTTTGCAATCATCGGAACAGTGCTGAATTCCCTCAACGCAATCTTCTTCCTGGTGTTCTCAAACGTCTTCAACCAACCCCCGCTCATGACAGGTATCCTCGGTGTGCTATACTTCATCTTCAATGCGGCCTTCACTCTCGCGCTGCTCATCTACCTCTTAGTCGGTATCGTCTATGCTGTCATCTCCAAGTCTCCCGATTCCAAATACCGGCCTCTGGCTGATGATCGTGACTCCTTCCGCTGGTCTCGCACGGGAGGAAACACTGAGCTGGACCACCTTGAGAAGGTTGCAAGAGGCGACGACGCGGAAGCTCATCCGAACTTCCCTGCTGCTCACACTGCCCCTCCCAGTGATGAGGATGTCTCCATGGCGGCGCGGAGGCCCTATAATGATGTTGTGGATCCTTCGCTGCCACTCTTCCCCAACAGTTATGATGGTGGTCGGCGTCGGTCTTAGAAGGTTGTGTTTCTAGATCTGACTTTACGTTCTATCTTTTTCTTTCTAAAGATTTCTCTCAGCGATTCACTTTGAATTTTTGCTTGTGTTTGGTGTACTGGCGCTACCGGTGGTTATTGTACATATTAAAGCTTTGGTGTTTTAGGCTTCGGGAAACATAAATTTCGAGCTCTTTTATCATTCGGTTTCTTGTTCGTTCCATCCATGAAGACGTACCACGTGTAATCTCATTGATCCCTCATACTTTAAACCAGGGGAAATTATAAAAGTGGTTTGATTGATAGGAAAGAAAATACCGGGCCCATATTGACAAAAGAATCCGACTTCACAATCGCTGTATGCCAACGTTGACCTCAAGATCAACAAATACTCTTTAACACACGGTGAGGGTATAACAAGGTCAAGAGAAAAGAGAGAAAAGAGGAAGCGGAAGAAAACAAAAAAAAAAAAAACGCTCATGCCGCTACATAATGTTTCTCGCCAAATTGCCTCCCATTGAACTGGCTCTCACTTCCCACCAGTGTCGCCGACTCACCAGCATCCGATTCAGAAACATCAGACCCCATGTCTTCGAACACAGTCACTGCACTTTCTCTGCCAGTCCGCTGAGACTTAGGGCGCAACTGGCCTTCATCATCAAACCAGAGTGAACCAAAGGGATTTTTCTGAGCCAGCTGCAGAGCAGTCACCGGGGTCTCTTTCGTTTCCATAGCCGAAATGGTGGTATTGGTTGGTATTTTGACAGAAAGGTCAGCCCCAGCGTCTAGCAACGTGCGAAATATTGGTTCACGCCCCCGTTCTGCTGCAAGATGAAGAGCAGTCTTGCCGTCATTGGTGATGGCATTTATGTTAGCCCCCAGCTCAATAAAGAGCTCTATCAAGGATGGACGTGGAAGAGGTGCCATTGCTGCAAGATGGAGAGGGGTCTCCCCTGAGTTGGAAGCTGAGCAGTCATTTACCGAGGCACCGTGATTGATAAGAAGGCGGATATACTCGGCACTTCGGTCAGAGGAGAGATCAGGGGCTCCAGTACCCGTATAAGCAGTCTGATGCAGAGGCGTCCAGCCTTGGCTAGATGTGGCTGCTACACTGATACCCTCCTTCAGCGCTATGTTCAGAATATCAAGGCAATCCTGATTCGCTGGTGGTGTAAGGTGGAGAAGATTTTCGCCCTTTGCAGTTTCCACATCGAGCTTGGCACCCTTCTCAAGAAGGAAGTTGAACATGGTCTTGTTTGACCCCATCGCGGCGCATTGGAGAGGTGTGTATCCCTGAGATGTTCGGGCCTCTAGGTTTGCTCCTTGGTTCAATAACTTCGAAGCGATTGAGATACTTTTTGAATATCTAGCTTGCTCGTGGAGTAACGTTTCTCCTTGCTTGTTCCAGACATTGATATCGGCGCCACCTATAAGAAGCAAATCAAAGGCAGTCCAGTGACCTTTCCAGGCAGCGTATTGCAGAGCCGTAGAACCAACAGGGGAGCGGGCTTCAACATGGGCACACCGTTGCAGAAGTAAAGAAATTGCTTCACAGTTGTCGCTATTCGCAGCCAGCTGAAGAGGAGTCAGCCCTTCGTTGTTGCCGACATCAATACTGGCGCCTTTCTCAAGAAGAAACAGAATAATTCGGGGTCGCTTCCATTCCACAGCAAGATGAAGTGCCGTGTTTCCAGTCTTCGGGTTCTGAAAATTCAAGTCTACCTTGTGTTTCACAAGTAATGGAATCGTAGCTTCATCAGTTGCCGTGCCCACAGCCGCGTGAAGACAGGAAGCGCCATCTTGATCCGGAATTTTGGAGTTGGCGCGATGAGCGAACAACAGTTTCATGCATTTTCGGTAACCCTTCTGTGACGCGAGATGTAAAGCTGTCTTGCCAGTGAAAGATATTGCATTCTCTTTGGCACCGTTATCAAGCAAAAATGCGACCATCTCGTCATTGCCTTGGAAAGATGCACAGTGTAGAGGACTGAGTCCCAAAGAGTTGTCTTGAGCGTTGATGTTTGCTCCTTGTTCTAGAAGACGCTGCGATTTCCCGGGAATACCAAAGAAGGCTAGGAGGTGAAGCCCACTCCAGTCGGTTGGGTATTTTCCGATCCCCATTTCGGTGGGTATCCCCATAGCCTTCTCAGCGCCGTAGTTGAGCGGAGGCCGTCTCCAAAGTAGTTTGTTGAGGAATGTCTTGATCAAGACTTGTATTGTGACCTCACCATCATCAACTTGCCGGGAGTGATATCCCCAGTAGGCTGCAGCATAGTCCAGGAAGCCCTTCTTTGAGCCGCGTGATGTGTTGATTTCATCTCTGTAGCACTCATCTATCACATCATCGCAGCTGATTACTGTTAAGCAGACCTCCGCCATCTCTTTCTGGGCTGTAGGGAAGAAGACTCTGGAGGCTGACCCTTCAAGGTACTCCTTCGCAGTTCTGTGAACAAATCGCACTGTGCCTGAAACAGCATCCACTGTTAGGAGCCCGGCGGTCTTCGTGTGAAGTGCATGTTCAAAGCTTATTGAGCCTGAAGTTTCCATGGTATCGCCGTCATTTACGGCACTTCGAAGCTCCATGACAGACAGAGGTCTAAATGCATAAAGTGCCCAGTACACATAACGGATGGCAGCGGGGGTCTGTCTCACGACTTGCTTCATTGCCTCCCCGTAAGCCTCACCTAAGTTCATTGGTAAGTGAGCCAGAGCTCTCTCGAGAAGGCCGCGGTCCCTGTATTGCGACAACAAGTCAAGATGAAGCTTGGCAAGAAGGAAACTAGATGGAGTTTATTGTAAGTATTCAAAAGCGGGTCCAACTTGAGTTAATAAACACTTACATTCCATGAGAGCTGCCGACTATAGCGTGAATGATTTCGTCTTCCAGTTTCAGATCTGGATCTTTTGTTCCAATGAGTTTTCGGAAACCGCTGTCGCGTCGCGTGCGGGCTAACGTGTAAAGACCGATATCTTCAGGTGGCGCTAGAACGCTCACATATCCGGTGTTCTCGGCTGGTTTGATACCGATCATGTCCCGCAAGGTGACAAGGAGCTGGGCCTGTTGAGGTAGCTTCTGTAATCGACCTAAGATTCGCTCTTTGTCGGAAAACATGTCAAGACCATCAATAACGAAGAGAACTTTTGAGAATCTGTTGACCTCGGCGCGAATTGCATTTTGATATGCCTTTGGGGATGCAGTCCCTTCTTTCAAGGACTCCGAGTAGTAGAGAGAGGAGGTTGCGTCAGACAAACTTCGCTTGCGGTATACAAGCTGTGCAAGTATGTTCTTCAGAATGTCGATAGAGGTCTGTTCCTTTCCGGTTTCTTCCTGACAGAATACAAATACGGTGGCCACATCCGGCGATGTGAAAGTTTTTTGAAGATAGTCGATAATTACCGAGCTGCAACAGTTAGTTTCACAAACAATGGCAGTTTAACATATTATGCACTCACGATAAGAAAGTTTTGCCGGCACCAGCTTGAGTCCAGAAATATGTTAATTATTAAGATTTCAAGGGGTATGTAACAACTTTCTGAAGAACTCACGGGGACCCATGCAATATAGTGTCCTGGAACTACCCAACAGCCATAGTTTGAAGTTCGAATTCGAAAATATCCATGAGCAGCTACCTTGTTGTCGCTTGTTACATAGATCGGCGAGTGTTATGAAGTGTTCCGAAGATAGTCGGCTCGTCAGGCTTAACGCATCCTCTTCGAACTGCAAATCGATCTTGACATTTGCTGAAGACAGTGAATTAGTCTTTCAAATCACGAATTCATGGTATCAGGTGTAGATCACAGAGTGCTTACCAGTTTCAACATCCCGGTGTACTTTCAGGTCTTTCCGAATCGTCTTGTCTAATAAAGTTCGTTCTCTTGGGTAACCAGGTCAGCCAAAGAATCTAGTCAGGTCCAATATTAGCCAGGGAACCTTACTCAGAATCCGGTTGCATGGACAAAAGGAACATAATCTTGTATTGTTCCAACCTGGGGATGTATGTCTTTTCCAACAGGTGCTTTCTGAAGTAAAATATGCTAACCCCCCTGGTTGGAAATAGAGCTCAACGGACCGCATGCTCATTCCAAACCACCCGAGTAACTCGGCGAGCGCCCTGAGACGGCCCACAGCAACGAACCATTTTTCCTCTGCCCAGGTTATTTCATCCTTGATGCGATAAAGAAGATCGAGTATGTCCGTAAGCAAGGATAACGCCCTCAATGAAGAGTCAGGCAAGTCTCGTCCGGTGTTCAGAAAGCGCATAGCCACTCGCGTCGATTGGGCGACTTGAGCGAGACTCTCGCGAACGGCTGATACGTTGACCATCATGTGGAGTCGAATATTAACATTGATGCGATAAACGAGGATATCACGATCCGGATATTGTGGTGCTGGTCACACAAGATTGAAAGGAGGGGGATATGAGGACGATAAAGAAGGAAGTTAACACACGGGAGGAGGCTTATACGGTATGCTGAATTCAGGGTAACAAAGTCACTGAGTCCACGAGATGCGAGACCCCCCTGCACATGCCGGATTGGAGGGGGCTTTGCGTGAAAACCACTGATCTACTGCCCCAATCTCTAAATCGGACTTAGGCGGCTAACCCTTTGACCATTAAGTACACCCCGGACTTTGGACCTTCGCGTTGCCTCCAGTGGGTAACCCTCGAAGTCACCGCTGGTTGGGAGGTAAATTTGCTACTAGATACATACCAACACAACATAGAATCTACCGTGGCGGATTGCAAAGAGCACAAGCACGCAACTATCGAGAGCCCGTTGGTGGAGAGGGGTAATAGAAAGTGGGCCTATGCAGTGTGATAACCAGCTGCTATTCGAAGAACTTTGACCAGCCTCCACCACTCTCGGCGAGCGTATAAGCGCCTTTGGCGGAATTATGCGGTCGCGGGGAATCCAATTGTGGCCCTAATTACTCGAAACGCCAGGATCAGGCCTTCCGCGTGCGATAGAAGGGGAAGTATTGGTTGTCAAAGTTGCGGTCACCCACAGAAAACTGGTTCCTCATTTCCTCTCGAAACATGGCGTTCCTGTTATAACCGAGTAGACTAAAAAGCGACAGATCTAACACGTATACTAGCGTGCTGCTTCCAGCCTCGTGTGACCACTTTATGAATGCCAATCAAAGAATTACCATCGCCTATAGGGCGCTTTAGTTCTAAAAATGCACCAGTGTTTTGATCTTAGGGAGCCAGCTCTCCTTTATTCAAATTTTGATCGAAATAGGTAAGTACAGCGCACTTCCAATCGGTACATGTCATATCCAACGAGGTCGGTAGAGCCTCGTCTAACATTAGTGCCCATCTATGCGTGACACCAACCAACATGATGTAAAGAGCAGTAAAAGCAATAACAGTAAAGTAAAGTAAAGAGAAAGTATCACCAACGCCTTGTCCACCGTAGTTGGCATATTCATTCAGTCATTGAAAAGGTTCGTCAAGTCGCAACTTGTGCGACCGCAAAAAAACGTTGCCAAGGGTATAATAAAGAAGACATCATCAAGCTATGTTCAAAAAGGGCGAACAACCGCTGTGAAACCAGAAGCAAGTACCAGGCCTTCTAGATAGCGTTGCCATTCACATTAAGAGAAGCACCGCTCTCGCGGCCTCTTCGGAGGGCCTTTGCGAGCATCAGCTCTCGCATCCAGTCAATTCGCTCGTCCCGGGTCTTGACAGCAAAGTGGTGGGACTTGTTGGTACTGTTGAAAATTGCCTTGCGGTCAAAGGTGGAGCTATTAGGCGATGCAATCAACGAGAATGCAAAAGCTGTGTCTCCCCGAGTGTCATCTGTGCGTTTCAGAACGGTCTTTTTGAACGCAGCGGTTAACTTGGAGCTAGAAGCAAGGGAAGAGCAAGCGACAGCATAGTCGTCAACATCGATGTACTCAAGGGCTTTGGCAGCTTGTTGAGTACTCTCTTCATCGTCATACATGGCAAGCTGTGTGCCTCGCAAGGCGAAATGATGATCCTGCCACTCATGGCGCAAGAACCGGGTGTTCTTGCGTTTCTTCATCCAGCCACTGTGAATGATGTCGTCTTTGAACTGCCCCGAAGGGTCAAAAGGATCAACACGGTGATGAGCTGCACGAGGAGTCCGTTCTAAATCCTCTGGTGTCTCAATCGGGGCCAGAGTCCTGCCTTCTTCGAGGCGACTTAAAGTTGGGGGATTGTATGAGCTGAAAGACGGTTTTTTGCGGTGGCTCTCAACCTTAGTAGACACCGGACGAGAAATAATCGCATTTGGAACTCCACACGAACCAAATCGCATGTCAGGTGGGACTGATTGAGAAAAGCTTCTCTCGATTGGGCCCACTTGAATGGCTGTCAGAGGAACATCAACCTCGGAAAAGGGGGTTGACTGTCCATAATGGGGGTCATCGCGGTAATAATCAGCAGGGGAGAAAGCCGAGTCGTATGTCACAGCCGAGGTATCAGAGATGGTGTTTTTGTAAGGTTGTCTTTTTCTAACAACGGAAGGCGTGATAGTTCGCTGCCCCGAAAGAGCAGATTCTGCCATTGTGGTATGGATACTGGGGATACGAAGCTTTGGAAGACTTCGCAGGTTCTCAGCCAGAGTCCCAGGGGAAACGGACTCTGGGGAAGGAAATGTGTCGCGAGGAGGAGTTGTAGGATCTTCAACTGGCCTCAGCCGGCTCAAACGCTGAAAGTTAAGGAAATTGCGTACATTTTCTTGAGGATCTCTGGGCTCAACTTCATGGAGCTTTTCTTGTGAGAGAGGAAGGTCCTGAGGCTGCGCAGGACCCATAGCATCAGAGGAAGCAACAATTGATGGGGTGACATCGGACTTTGAGTCTGACTTTGATGACTTGGCCAGATTGCGTGCAGTAGCAGGGTTTCCAGGGTCACCAGTGATAACAACTGAACTTCCCAATAATTCAGCTGGAATACCCTTGGTCGCTTGCAAATATCTGTTGTACTGTCTCTGCCATTTTCCACAGTCCTCTCCTCTAGGACATCTGTGATCAACCCGAGGCAAAAGCTCCTCAATGGCAACGATGGAGACCGAGTCATTAGGCCCGACGACTCGCCCTCGATGCTGGTTCTGTCGCTGGTGCTGCAGCTGGAATTCCCTGTACTTTTGAAGGGGGTCTTTTTCAGCTGCCACTGGAGATGGAGTGCAGTTGACACCAACTTCTGCCATTGCAGACTGTGGCGTTGCTTCGCGCAAAACCGGCTCTGGTGGTGGAACAGGAGGGAGGTCTTTGTATGAAGATGCATTACTGATGCGCAGCTGCCGGATTGAGTTCATTAATCCATGCCTTTTGCCAAAAGATTTCATTCCAAGGTGATCTCTCAAGATTTCATGCTCCATCTCAAGAAGAATAGAGCCTGAGATGTCATTGCTGATGAACTCGTTGACAGTGCCTTCATCCACGTTGAGCTTTCGCATCCATATGGCAACATCCTGTGGATCCCAGCTTTCGACATCCTTCTCCTGGGGGCGTGATGTAGCATTGTTGAGTGGCGTTTGTCTTTGGTGGTTTTGCTGTTGGGGCTTTTCGTACCGGGCAGGAACAGGGGTATCTCTCCTGTCAGGACCGAGCTTGGATGCGGATGAATAGAAAGCTGTGGTCGCACTGATTGGTGTTTTGCTGTACAAAAGATTTGCTTCTACGCTTGACTTCTTGACGAAGCCATCCGAAAAGTCGAAAAGATGTGGCCCTCTGGGACCAGCGACAGGGTTCTCCTCGACGTGGAAGTCAAATGCAGTTAACCCCGTGGAGGTAGGGGTCTTGATCTCAAAATCGTCTGGTGTAGACGCGGTAGTTATACTCGAAGTTCCAAGCTAAATATCAAGTTAGCCCATAATATTTCGAGAAGGGTTCATCTATGATAGATTCAATGCATACCGAGCGATTACTTCTGTGCGAGGAATAGTCATCAAACTCCGATTGTGAGTCTGAGTCAAAATCGGTATCCAGGATCTCTATTGAGTCTGAGAAACTGTTAAACCCATTGCTTCGTGGCGTTGGGACCTGACCACCTCCCTTCACTTCAGGGTGGTGATATGTGGGACGGTACTCGTAGGTGGCCTGAGCTAGTCAGTATTGCTGAATTTGATAGTGTGCGACATGAGACTTGCCATTTTAGACTGCGGTGAATAATGAGGATCAAAATTAAGATATGCCAGATGCCCGGCAATACAGAGTATAGCCCTGTTGGGAAACAGCGGGGTATAGCTGTGATAAATAATGAATATATGAAAAGATAGAATCTGTTGGGCGAGTATAGGGTAAGGTGTGATATTACTACCGTCGCACAGCGATGATAGATAATATATGGGTCATTAAAACGTATCAAAACCAACAGTGAGGTTGGGCGGTTGGAAGCTATATGTACATGAGTATGGCCATGGGCCTTCCACCGAAAAAAAAAATCAAATTTCCAAAAATGCATGCGTCAAAAATAACCCTTGTGTAGGCGGGAATTCCAGCCAGTCCAAAGGATGTGACGACTGAGAACGCAGTTGCATGAGACGACTAACGACTGAAGTTTCCAGGGAACGGCGGAGCCCGGCTACCCCAGTCCGAAAGAAGGTCAACAATTGGTTACTTTGTGCACCTATCTAGCGCCCTTCCTTTAAGTCTGGATCCTGGTTGGACAAGAATGCAAGTTAAGTGCTCCATACCAAAATTATGCGTCGAGGGGTAACCATAAAGGAGGGTGGAAAAAACTTGCGAGAGGCTGGGAATATCAGCACTACTGCAGTGATATCTGCTCGGCGCTCGTTCAACTGGTCCTGAAGGCACGTTCGAAACGTCCAAGGTGGAGGTTGGAAGTGATTGTGACCAATTGATCCTTATTACTTGTCACATTAGCGCTAAGGCAGCCATCCGGGGGTTGATCACACACGGGAGACTCGCCCATAACCGTTTCTCCAATTAACGTAATTGATGATAATTATAGCAGTAAATTACCACTTACGTCAAAATCAGTTTTAAAAGCGGTTGACATGATCACTAAATCAGAGAAACTATGCCAAGAAACCCATATGCACCATGCTAATTTCTCCAAAATCGGTCTTGTATGATCGAATCAGAAGTAACTTGGTCATTTTTTAGGATCTCTTTGCATGAAAACCTGAGCTTTACTTTGCGCTTACTGCACACCGTCTCCCGACAAGTGGTCCGTCAGGAACTCCACAAGGAATAGTCACTTACCTTGTACACATGTTCCCAAAGGGACCAACCGACAGGGCACCGCATCTGCAGCCCACAATTTTTTCACAATTCTGATGTCGAGTGTTTCGACAGGATCTGACACCTCATTTCTCTCCTCCAATCATTCGTTCTCATCAAGCCCCTGCATGGCTCGTCCCAACGTGCCATGAGACACGTGCCGCGATCAAGAGGCTGCACTTTGTTCTTCTAGAATTGAGTTCCACTTACCCTAAGCAGCTATTCATAGGTTGCCTTCCTAGTATATTCGGATATTACATCTAGGGCCTTTGGGTGACCTAATATAAAGAGTGACACGCAGCATTGAAAATAATTTTTGCTTCGTACATAATGCACAACCCTAGGCTACAGTATTGACTGCATTTAAATGTTTGTATTTCTACGGCCATTTTTGGTGATATATCAAGCTTAAATGGCCCGAGAGTGTTACTAGTTGGATGCAGGAGAGTGATCTAGTTGAAAGGCTGGTACCGAAGTAGGACGATATTTGATTCAAGCAAAAACTCAACGATCTAAGTGATCAAGTGGCTCTTTCCGTACTCAACTTAGATTTAGGTTGTGTGATAGAAATTCTCATAGCTCGGGATGGAGCTCATGGGCCACAGATGTCGTGTGACACCCTTTCTGCATATTAATGAAGTTCAAAATGGTCCCCTCTGGATCTGCAAGCCACGGAATTTTATGTAGATCGAAGACGAGGGTACCCGTTCTCTGAGATATTTTACATTGGGCAAATTTGATAGTAGACTTGGGCACTTCTTTCTACAGTACAAAGATGTCGGGAACCACATCTATTTCTGAGTATGGGAAGCTGCATATATAGCAAACCCAATCCAATCAATAGTTCGAGAGAGTTAGTTACGAATTTCACACGGACTATTGAAAATGGACGAATTGGCCAAAAAAAAGGCAGAAGATATCCAATCTTCATTGTTTGGCCTTACAAGCCCTTTAGGTACCGATTGCTTGTTGAGTAACAAGTGATGGTCCTCATAAAACAGCCCCGGATTTCACGTGCCCAGGGTGCGCTAGGATGTTGTGAACAAAGATATCAATTTGTCTCGGTTTTTCTGGATTAGACGCTTAATGTCCTTAAGATTTCCAAAATTAGCAATGATTGATGCACCTTTGATCTCAAGGAGGGAGTATCATTTACGGGCTATTATTAGCAAATGCAACTTGTCAAGGTTTGTTATCCAAGATTTGGGCTGAATGTAGAAAATTAATAAATCATCGGAATCCTGGGTGAGCGGTAAATTGTTGCTAATTAAGGGATACTTTCTGTAACTACACTCTGTTGGAAGCTCCCCCCGCCTCTGCACGGACTAAGTGCATCATTGAACGGTTGGTTGTGGGTTCACCGCTGTAAGCTTGGTCCACCGCCCGAAACGCTAAGGAGCATTGAGACCTACCAATCATAAGTAGTAAATGGAAGCTTGGCATGCTCCAGCTGCCGCCGAGTCACGATCTAACTCCACTTTATGTACTCCCCGTCACCTAAATTGTGACCAACTGACTTCCCCGAGGCCAAATTTCCCGCAGCTGAGGGGAAGTGGTCTGGTTTCGAATTTTGAGCACCGAAAATTTACACAGGAGAATTGCAATCAAAAGATCAGAAAATGCGGCGGTGGTTTTTAAGGAATTATGGAAGCGGTTGCATACGTTGCGCACTGAGTGGTATGAGGATGCAGAAGGAAGACATTGTTGAACGGCGTGCACGGACAATGTGATAATAGGAAAAGTGAAATGAAGCTAGAGATGGTGACAGAAATTAGCAACCTATCAGGAATTGAGAAGCCGTATCTTGCCTGCAGCCAGTTGCTCAATGGACCCCTACGACTATCACACTTCTTGCCCGGTCTGTGCTAGTCCACAGGACGACGATCAATTCTCATGCATAGTTTGACCAACAGGCAACTTAACCCCTGCAAAAAATGTTCCCAAATTTAGTCCAGGTTTGGTGTCATTTGTCCCGGCCGCAGATCCCCATTCGATGTTCGCATAATCTCCCGGCTTGGATCGTCCAATGGTCTCTAAGTTGGTCAAAAAATAGAAGCATCGCAAGCTGCAGGTCAGATCAAAAATAGTCTTTAAAGACATCTTCCTCCAGAGGTATCAGAATAAGTTCTGTCCCAGACCACTCAATCAACATCGTTCCCATTGCATCGCGCATTCTTTTCCGTCTTTGAGAGACAGGATTAAGATAACCTCTCCTTTGATTTGTTTCTTTTGTGAATCGAAAGTCTCATAGCTCCGCTGGCCGGCCTCCGAGAAACTATTCGATTCCTCCCCACTCGTTCACCAAACCGATCTCACCATACAAGCCATTCATATTGATTAGAACTGAGATAATAAAAACGCGCAATGCCGAATCCAAGGTCCGCTATCATTTCGGGAGCTAGGAATGATGAATCAAGGTCTGTCGCATCCTACAGTGACTCTGCGGATAAGGGAAAACTACACAAGCGATCGCGCTCAGGTCAGTAACTTCCCAACTACAATTCAACCAAAAAATTTCAAGTCGGTTACATAATCTGTGACACTGTTTTAACGTGGTTTGTCTATAGGGTGTTTCACCTGTCGCCTGCGGCGAAAGAAATGCGACGAAGGCCACCCTTCTTGCTCAGCATGTATCAATTTATGTCTCAAGTGTGAATACAAGCGACCCAACTGGTGGGTAAGCGCAGATCAAAGGAAAGCTCAGAAAGAGAAAATCAAGAACAAGATAAAGCAGACTAAGTCTTTGGAACGACGTGGATCTCTTCAAGGTAAGAAAGCATCCGAAAATAGTATCGCGCCTTGTCTCACACAACTGGTATTTTCAGAACATATGGATCGGATTCGTGCGGGAATTGCAAGTAACTCACCCCTTGCTGGAGAATATGACTTCAACCGCTCAACAATTGCCGACCTATATGACCCTTTTACTTCTCACCTTCATACACCCGCCTTCCCTCCTGGTGGATATCCACCGCAATACGCGCCATATGAAGTTGATGTTAGGACTGAGCGACAAACATTTGTTAATGATGTTCCATTAAGACATGACTCGTCGGTGTCGACATTCAGTGCAATGGCGCCACCCCAACTCCATAACACTCTCCCCACGTTCCACGGAGATGAGTGGTTACAAGAAGACTGTTTCAAGCAAGCCGGACCCGCGGACTTTGACCCAAATTCTTTTCAAGCGAGTTATATATCCCCTTCTTCAAACTTTCAAACAGCAACTATTCCGGTGGATGATCATGACCGGCCACTTTTGGACCATTTTGTCGACCATGTCTTGCGAATGATATATCCCATCCTGGAAGCTCACCAACAGAGTATTGCGCGCACTGAAGCAATTCTGAAGGCATTGGAGTCAAACAGGTCATATTTGCATTGTTGTTTGAGCGTTTCCGCTATTCATCTGAAGACCACCGTTGGACTTGAAGGAGAACAGATCGACCACGACATCATGAGACACCGTTACGATGCGATTTCACAACTATGCCAGGCCCTTAACCGAGACACAGACCACGAAAGCATTCTCGATGCGACATTGGCAATGATCTTCTTCCATTGCTCGGTTGGAGCACCTGATGACTCTCTGCCTGACATTCCATGGAGCGATCATTTCCAAGCTGTCTCGAACCTCGTCAACCGGCTTGAGGTTTCGGCAACGGAACAGCCCAATCTACAGATTCATGCAGTTTCTCCATTCAGCATGTCCCTAACATCATGGATTGATATCTTGGGAGCGACAATGCTTGGCAAGACCCCGCAGTTTGCCCACACCTATCGCTCTAAGCACTTGACAGGGACATCAACTGGGTTACGTGAGCTGATGGGATGTGACGATCGTATCATGTATCTCATCTCTGAGATTGCCTGCCTTGATTCCCTGAAATTAGAAGGTCGGATAGATGAGCTCACTGTCTGCCACCATGTTTCTGCTCTTGGCGCCCAACTTGAACACACACGATCTGCGGAGGATGTTCTCGCGCACCCCTACACAGCTGCTGGCACAATTCAACCTGAGCAGTTGACTATAAACATTACCTCAATTTTCCGCCTCGCGGCTCGCATATACCTATGCAGTCTGGTTCCCGGCTTTGATCGCAGTCAGCAAAGCATTGTCAACCTTGTATCGGCAGTCAGCCATGCACTCCAGTTCATTCCCGCCGGGCCTTACGGATTTGATCGCTCCCTCGTCTGGCCACTGCTTATAACCGGCTCCTTTTCAGCTCCAGGCAGCGAGTTCCGCGGCTTCCTGTCCGAGCGAGCAGATGCACTTGGCGACATAGGCGACTTTGGAAGCTTTGGTCGCATGTATCGTCTGGTTCAGGAAGTCTGGAGAATCTCAGATGACACATTCTCGCTTTCAAGCGAGTCTGATCACGGCTCAGCCCGAAGTTCACCAAAGGCTGATAAGTCTTCCTCTGCTGAAGCCGGACGCTCGATGGGAAGAGCGATCAAAAAGCAAAGTGTGCATTGGCGTGACATCATGCAGCGTAACGGATGGCGATATTTGTTGATGTGATATTCTTTTTTATGCTTGTTTGCTTTTCTCTATGGGTTCCTTGGTTTATTTTCTTCAGTTTATTACTTGGTGTCTCCTGTTATTTGACTGCACGAATGGCCGACTGGAGTTTTTACTTTTATCCATTCAAGGCGTTTAAGGACACAAAGAGCAGGCTCCTCTTAGTCCAAGCATGAAGCTTCAGACATCTGCAATATATTACTGTCGTTTTCAAATACATGTCATCAACGCAATTCAGTTGAACGATTCCCGACCTTGCACTATTTTTTTCGTAAATAAATAAAAAAAGCAAAGACTTTGAAGGCCCCGCTAGCTACTTTACATCAAGTGCCGACCTGAAGAGGAACAATATTTATACTGGCTTGGCTTGGAATTAAATATGGCTTTCTTTTTAGTTATTTCTTTTTGACACTACGCAAGCCCCTAACTGTCTATGTTCAACCTTATTGTTATTCAACGAGATGGGCCAGGCACCAAAGTTAAGTAAGCATGCCTAATATATTTAGATTGGCGGGATTTCATCCACAATTAATCGTACATGTATATGAGCATATTTCAGGTCAATGGTGTTCTTACAGGATGAACCGGGGATGCGCATCTTCAGTTGTTCAATTTACAAGCCGGGTATACTTGAATTGAACTGCTTTTCAACACGAAAGAATTGTACGTCGAGATTGTGAGAGGCAAAAACTCACAAAAGATTGAGCAATATGTATCAGGGTCACTTTTTTGGGTCAGTGGCAAAAAGAAGACATAGATATGCAGACGATAGTGGGGAGTACAGCTGTGGAAGATGAGGATAGCTGTTAGCGATCATTGCTTCTTCCTCTTGTTATCAGATAGAATTATCGAGAGCAAAAGCACAACTCAACGAGTTGGATGTAACAAAATGAGGACACGGATATATCCACTTGATCGCTAAATTGGCCCCTCCAAATCGTTAATCTGTGCTAAAGAGCCTACTTAGTCAGTACTTGATCCGTGTTTAGAGGTTTGTGAGCCTTGCTTTGATCAGAGTGAATACCAACCTTCACTGGATTACTTTTGTAGCTCTAGAATGTAAGCTTTCTTCATATTCCCTTTTGCAGGTGCACCAAGTGTTGCCTTACGGGAGAAGGATTACATCACAGCTAATAACTGATTATTTTGAGTATGTAAAGCACACCCAAAAGTCGACTTCTGCAATATTGGCACTTTAAGCGCTTGTTGCCAAAGTGACTGTCTTGGTGGCACGAAGGCGCCTATCATTGTTCCACCAAGCTGAACTCAAAGGAGAGGCCACAATATTGGTGTTCTGATAGCGCAAAGGGGTTTTCTATGCCAGTTTTAAACGGAGATATCTAAATCTGCAGTCGCGACAATTTCTCAAAGAAGCAATGACCCCCCCATCCCCCACAATAGCAACAAATAACAGCCATGAACTGCCTATGCATAATCCGTCCCTGCAGAAAATATTTGGGCTGCCGCCGACTTAGGCTAAACGCAATGGCAAAGCGTTTATTGAGAGAGCTATCTCTCATCTCAAACACGACCCGAGAAGCAGAGTCCAATTGCTATGTTCCACGTCTAACCTTCAGTCTACGCGACCACGGCAGCTTTCAGACACTATTTCGAGTGGAACACATGCAGGTGTTGCAGAGGGTATTCCGAAATACAATTGTCACAATAGCATTATCTTGGTTTGCTTCTGCAAGGACGCTTGTTTTGGCTTTGGTCGACAACTGAGTCAATGGTATTGAACAACGCTCGAAGAATCCGACCTTGTCAAATTGGATTTTTTTTTAATTCTATGTGAAATCATCAGTCACACATAGAACTCAGCAGCAAGGAGGTTGAAGGGTCACCATGAGCGTCGAAGTCATGCCTGGCGGAATTCCAGGCTTCTAGATTTTGTTGACTACTCATAACCGCTATGGGCATTTTTCTAATACCAAGAATTCCGAATGAGGAATTGCTAGGCAGGTGGGCATTTGAGAAAAGTTGTAAATCGCTTCAATTCGATTGTGGCGTAGAGTATACCGCTGGGGTAATAAGGAGGAACCGCGCGCTTTTGTCAGAACGAACCATAATGGTTGAGTAAGCTGCAACTGCTCCTGACAGGGGTGGGAGATTTGAAACATCTAAGGGGGTGGCTTCTGTCTCAGAAGTCATTGTAGGGAATAGCACTGCATGATTTACCTCAGATGGCGCCCGAGGAGATTCATTAATCGCCGATCCTACTCCTGGCTGTAGCCACGCGGTTGCATAAGTGACGGTGGAAGAGTTTATAAGATAATGAAGATTCCCTCTCTTTGTTGAGATTTCAAGCGCTCTATTGACTACTTAACACAAGACCTGATTATCAGCTGGACTGAGACCACATCCGTTATCTCCCAAACTCAAGACTATCTTTATCGTCAGCGCCAACAAAACAGAAACCAGATAGAAGAAGGGTGTCAAATTCAGTCACCAAGTTTCTTCTTCGCATTTCATTCATTTCAATCGAAAGAACGGTGAGAGTCTAAGGATGCATTCGAGCGGAGAAAGAGAACTAACCATCTACAGCTTAGTTCCGGTCGTTTCAAAAGTAACATACTTTGGTATCAATACCGTCTGGCACGGTCCATACAACTCCGTATCATCACATACCGTTACTTACCGTTCCTTTGATACGTTACGGCTGCTCCGCCATCAGCCTTGGGGTCCAAGTTGCTCACTTGTCTCTCCTTATCCATTCCACGCTCCCTTATTTTATGAGGTCAGCTTGAACCTTGCTTTGTTCGGTCCTCAAACTATTTTATATTCTACCCCGCCCCTTAAAACACAAAACATATCCATATCTTTGTCTTGCACAACCCAACTGCACTGCCTTACACTGCCTCTTCATTCCCCACTTCCCAACTATTGAGAGGGTTCATCACCAACGCCTCTTGAATCAGGAATCTCATTTTATTGCAAAGAGGTTCCCATCCCTCACAGCCCGACATCATGCCGTCGGCGAAACCTGTCTTGCCACTTCTGAAGACGCCTAAAACAATGACCTTTCCTTCCGAGCTCCACGACAGCCCACTAACTGCTGGTCCTCTTACCGCTGGGTCTGATATCATTAAGCGTGAGGAAGGAAGCGCAACACCGATTTCTCCACCTCAAGCCTATACCGAATTTCTCAAAGCTCTCACGCCTGTCTTCACGAGTCCTGTGAGTGCCGGTGTTGAGTTTTCAAGATTCAAGTTCGAGAAACGACGCCCATCGCCCATATCTGTACCACCGAGCGCAACCAGCACAACTTTTTCTGCTCACGACAATCCAAAAGTTGCCAGCGCTACTCTTCCACCTCCCTCCCCCGCCCCGAGTCCGCAGTCCGCTAAACCCCCGACAATGCTACGACGTCTACGCATTCCACAAACATGCATATATTCGCCAGTCAGCGACTCACCCAGGAGCGCACGTACTCTTAGGTCTCCATTTTCGCCCTCAGATTGGAAGATTCGATACATTGAGACCCCTCGAAGCGCGGGTGGAAAGTCCGTCAGTGTGCGACAAGTAGTGACCAGAACTGTTACATACAAGCGCACACACCTTGATCCTCCTCCGAAAGGAAAGCGCCGCAAGACAAGTGAGACTCGAGATACCTGATATGGACTAGTGTGCACGTCCGCCGGGCTTTGGGACTCTCTGCGTTTAATTTTGGTTATCGTGCATTGAGCAATTGCTTTTCGGATCCACTACCTTCTCTACGAGCTTTGAAATTACCTTTTCTTACTTTGTCGGAGCAGTTTGCATTCTGCTATTTTTTGTTTTGATTTCAACTGGTTTTTGGTCTAGGGTCATTGCCTTTGTTCTTGTGCTTCTCGCCTAATAGGCATATTTTGCATGGCGAAGATCCTTGGTTGGATGGAGAATGGAGTTTATGACGTGGTTTTATTTGTTCAGTACTTGTCCTGGTTTCTGTTGGTGGCGGAGAAAAGGGGATTCATCGCTGGTGGGGGCAGCAACCTATCGTTCCGGAGTTCCAGCCTTTTGTCTACTATTTTCACTCAAGAATAGTAATCATTCATACAAATTTTGAATAGTAACAATGAAAGCTTTTTACCTTCATTCATTGATCGCCTCTTGTGTTTCATCCTCTTGAATTTCTAAGGTCAAATTAGGAAACCTGTATGCGCTCCCTCGCGGCCCCCAAACCAAGGCGCTATGTCCAAATTGATGAGTCTCAAGTCAAGTCTGCGATACCAATGCGGCGGTATCGAGGACCAATGGACCCTCTGCTAGACTATCGCGCACGTACTACGATAAGAATCCTTCTCAGTCATATCTTGGCATCTGGGGCCGTTAATGGTATTTTTGTCGTTATACAGAATGATGTGGAGTTCTGGCCCCGGGTGGATAGTCATCTTCGAGCAGGGGGGCCCAGTCCCACGTGTCAGCCGCATTCGATTGTGTTGGAAAAGGCCCCCATAACACAGTAAAACCAACACCAGTATGCCAAAACACCAGAGATCTTAGTTCCCATGGGCTAGGCTAATGCATGCAGTGGTGATTTCCGAGAGGCTGAAAACAAGGGTCAATCTACTGATTTGGATTTTCACGGTCAATATCCCCTTCCCAAAAGACAGCAGGATCTGAATCGCAATCCTTCCGCAGTTTTCTGACTCCTACGCGCTGCGCTCAGACAATTACGAGATCCAACAGTGAGCTATTCGCGGCTATGACTCGAAGAGGCTGTAAATGGCACCAAATCAAGATAGTGGAAGGCTGAGTTCGCGTTGCGCAGCCCTATCAGCCTCCAGAGGCCCATGATCCGCTTCTTAGGTCTTACTACGGATAACATATAGGCGGCAGGTATACCAAATGTAAGCATAGGCGCATGAAGCTCGATGTCTAGAGGGCCAAAAAATGCGACCCTCATTGACCTGGTCCCGGTGAACGGAGCCAATGGCATGGAAAATAAACTGTGGCAAGTAATCTTATCACTCCCATCGGCGCCACAACTTCCTTACCCCCATTGAAAATCCCCAGCTTCAAAGCAATAGTCCATGTTGAGCTGCGCATTCTGCCTGGGATACTGTTGCTCACATACACCGACTCGAAGGATTCTAGTAGTATCGTGATACCATGAATAACCCTGAATGAAAATTCCGGATGTTGTAAATCATTCCCTGTACTTCGCCACCACTCTCTACGTGTTACAATGCATCTTCCTGGTATGAGGCTCGGTGTACGGACCGTAATTTGGTCGTATTATCGACGTAATTTGATACCGTATCGTGTACCTTTGCGTTTTGATCCCTGCCGAAAAAATCGGAGAATACAGATCTAGTGGGAAACAAGTCATATAGTAGAAAAGATTGATGTAGAAATCCATGCATGACATGGCCTGATTCAGTTAAAGCTGCCCATGTACCTGGTGAGTATTCTTTACCTCCGAAGACTGATACACAATATGAAAAGTTCTCTCTACATGATACGTTAACTACCTCAAAGCCAGAAAAGGGTATGAAGGAGTGGGCTCAAGCCACCAGCAATTTGATGTGTAGATCTACTTGTGGCCAAGTGGCATTACTGTATTGCACTCAGATTCAAAGTATACTATTGAATCCTCATGGCCTAGGTACTGTGTGACTCTCCCTGGGTCTACCAGAGGGGCAATTTGTCCGAAATGCAGTATTTGGTATAGAGAATACCACAAATACAATCAAATATCATGCTTAATCAGTCTACTTGGAATTCTTTGTAATATTTCACATAAATACCAACAACTCCCAAAAATGTTACATCCTCGGGCTGATTTACATTACTTGTCATCCTCTAAGCAATTTTAGGCATCTTTTTTCAATTTCAATGTGGGTCTTCTGGCTGTTAGGCCATTTCTTCCTAGAGTACATATGATTATGATGCAAACATCAAGACCCAATATCCGTTATTGTTGACCTAAAATCCAAATTGGACCCACCTCAGGATGACCGTCCAATTAACAATAGCTGAACCGTGGTCGACTCCTGCGGCCCCGTCATTAATCTGAATTAAGCGCCGGCGCTAACCCTGTAACGGACTAACGTGTGCTAAATATGAGAGCTAGCAATCATTGTGATATTATTGGTGTGTTTTGATGGGTCTATCACGCGGGGGATCAGCTTGTTAGGGAATATGCCGGGGTATGGAGAGCCACTCAGAACAGTCGCAGGACCGGCTCATGTGTCAATAATCCATGCCCTAGGATTAATTTGCTATTTTTGGGTTTCCTAGGCGGATGGTCTCGAGGTGCTGTACTTCCCCCCTCCCCGAGCCAATCCCTCCTCTAATTCCAATGTCAAGATCAAATCACCTGGTGCCGGGATTGTTTAGAATCTTATTTGGCGAATAAAGATTGGCTTCTACACTGAGATACTTCAATAGCTCAAAAAAGTGGGAACCAGTTGTCTCTCCAGACGCTGTGCCTACGCAGGTGATAGCGTTCTGTCACAGTATTCTTTCATCCAGAACATGCAATTCGAGCACATGATTAATTCAAACAGCGTAAGTATCAGCGCTAGTGTTCGAGCCACAGGGCTGCAGTGAGAAATTGATCTACATGAATTTTCGTGAAGAATCCATATTTAGTAACAATTTGCATTGAATCCACACGTTCTGTCGTCCCATACTGAGCGTCACACTCTCTATTTTCAGGGACTTTGTACATAGGTGGGGTTTCTTTGGACAATCACTGGTCCTAGCCACTCTCAAGTATGGGTCCTAAGCGCTGTGATTTCTTTTCACTCATTCAACTACGTTCTGAATTCATGATCAATGATATGATCATCGTCTGAGTGTGCATGGTTTCTCTGGCGTAGTGGGTTAGCATGCACTCCCTGGTCTTTCTGCAGTGGGCTCGTGAGCCATGTACATGTTATTTTTTGGGAATTGCTCAGTCTCAACCTCGTCTGCTCAAATTTTCGCATTTATGGCTGCATATTCTGGACAGTTGCATGCAATATAATCTTAAAATATTCTTATCACGGCCCTTTGTATTCTCTGGCCATCAAGGAAAATTAGATGTTGGCAAGAATTACACAAACAATGACCTACAAAGATTTCACGCGATTCATATCCCGATATAACCTTAAAGTGACGATTTGACCGGGAAAAAATCCGAACGGGTTGAAAGCATCAGACAGTATATATTCTTTCGTGAATTCGGCAGTAATTTCGACGACAAGAATATTACCTACACATAGACATTCACCGATTCGCTGAAACTCAATAGGTATACAGCTTTCTAGAAGACAAAAATAAACTGAAGCAGAATCGTGAGATTCTCTATTTATGGATATGTGTATATGATTGGATGGGTACTGGCCAGGTTATGCACGAGCGGCACAGACAACTGAATTGTCCTACCCCCCATTTCTAGTACACTACGGCTGCATATGCATATACCAAAAAAAGAAACCACTTTATTGGTTGCTTTAGATCAAATCATTCTAGTTCCGAAGCCTACCGGCCACTCAAGGATATCACTCTCGCCTTGTCATCTACTAAGCGCATCTTCACACCTCTTCCATTGCAAATCCTCTATTCTTAGAACTAATCACATTGATATCATGTTAATTATAGAATTGAGATCGTCGTGTAATATAGGTGCAACAAAATATCCCGTGTTGCTGCCGCTATCATTCCTATCCCCGCAAAAATCGCGCTACAGTCAACGAACCCACTACACACCTCGGTGCACCTCAATGGCGCGCAAATGATTTCAGCCGTTTATTATACAATTAGCATCGTATATTTTCATTCTTGAACTGTCTCTGTTTTGAAATGCATCTTTCATTTCAGAACGTCGTCTTCAGTGAAATACGGTATCATACAATCCAATTCATCCACCCCGATCTTTGGAGATGAGATACGTGACCCCTGTTTTAGTTCTAAATAAGGCAAATGCACTGTCTACAGTGTTTTTTTTAAAGTTCACTTCGATATAACTTGTCAGTTGATGCTCATACACGGCTCTTAGACCGTCGTCACTATATAATATCGTTGCTCCCAGCAATGAAGCAAGTGATCGCTGCCCGGCATTTGATTTTCAAAGGATGAGTCTTCATTATCTGCTTGGTGCTCATGTCACCTCCACGCTATGACTGTTATTGGATTTGGTCATCGCAGTCGACTTCCATTTAATCTTGATTATGCCAAGGGGAACACACTTTTTGCCCTTCTCAAGGTCTCGGTATAGGTTCTATAGGGTCTGATGGGGATCCATGCCATACTTTCTCTAGCATGTTGCAGGCTTCCTAGGTTGTACCAACGCTATCATGAACTCAATGAAGACACAAGAAAACAATCACAGTTGAGTGTCGACTCTATTGAAAGCTGGGCCAGTGACTCCAGGGTACTAACTTATCGCAGTCTATGGGTTTTCCTCTTTCTTTTTGAATCTGATACGACCCATATCAATATTTACTGCAATTCAACCAATATCGTGTCTCTGAACTCGATATTCGACGCCCTCGTGCTTGAGTAAGCCATCTATGAGGCAATCGCAGGGTCGGGGCTCCGTGGCCAACGAGCTACGTGCCTATGCACGGCATCACACGGTGTCACACTGCGTCTTCCAAAAATAGATGTTTCGAAGGAAGCCTCTTCAGGTTCCCGACTATTAATACTACAAAGAAAGACACTGAAGGATGAGAGCTCGAGTCATGCAATTTACAAGCATCGTGATCTTCAAAGAAGAGAAAATATGGTTGGTCGAGACACATTCACCGAGCAGGGGAAGAATGAAATGTCAGATAGATGATTCTATATTTAGAGGCGGGGCAAGGGTGCGCACGATATTGATGTGATGGATCTGCAATCCCCTGCGTATACTAGCGAATGACAAAAAAGAGTTGGGAGTAGAGCGACTCGAAGCGGCTAGTATGGCTGCTTGGAGTCAAGAAAGTATTCCATCTGGGCGGGAAATGGGCATCACTATGGGACTCACATAGAGGGACTTCCCTTATCCCGTGATCGACCCGCCTCTGGCCTCCCTTCCCCTCCATAGTTTCACTCCCATCCCACTCAGCCCAGTGTTCACTGTCTTTACGTCTGTTAAGCGGTGCGTCAATCTAAGCAAGCCTCGACCGTCCCGTGTCCCGTATCCTGTACCCCGTGCTCCCCGGGAGCGTATACCTCATTCGGTTTGTTTGCGGCCTTATTGTGCAGCCATGGCTCGAACACACACCTTTACTCCAGACAGCGAGTTCGCTGAGCTGGAGACTCCACGCGGTCCTACCAATGGAAGCCTATCGATAACAGCGTTGGCCCGTTTCGAGTTCGAGGCTGGTAAAGCCAACGATGGCACTAAAATCCTGATGATCGAGTGGGAGGACGACGATCTTTCCCGTTCCTCGACTGAAGGCTCCTGGCATGTTTCATGGACTGGCAAAACCACTGTCCTCCCCGCCGATGAACGACCAAGTGACAGTTTACGCCGCTTTTATCTTTTGCTCCCTCCGAATGTCACCATCCCACCTGTCGTCACACTCTCATACGAGCTGCAGAACCCAACCGAAGCAAAAGATGCGACCTCGACCGATAACTCACAACGTCGCGACTCATTCCAATTGAATCCGCTTCCGGCTATTTTCCCTCCTGAATTGGGTGCCACCGGCCGGGCGGCTGGTAAGAAGGGAGTGTTGCATACAATTTGGGCAAAGAAACGACTTCGCGTTCTGGAAAAGGAGATTGCCGCTGAATCGCGCAACAATGTCGAAGGAGTTGCTTTGCACATGGCTATAAAAGAGAAAGAGTGGATTGACGAAAACTTTGGAGTGGTTCCACGTATCGATGGCAGTGAAGATTCCTCAACTTCGTCCTCTGTTTTCCCAACTGGGCCAGCGACTCCTGTGTCGCCTATCACGGGCAAGAAGCTCACCGACAAGCTGAAGGGACTCAAATTGCAAACCAGCGAGAAGGATCTGGCCGCAAATTGTGGTATGTCTTTTAATGATCCCATACTTTTTTTATGAGACTTACCAGAAACAGGCTCGGATCCCGAAAGTGCCCATCTACTCTCGCCTCAATCGCCCGATGTTGCGGTTTCTTCATTTAGCTCGTTCCGGAATGTTGCTCATAGGCACATTCACTCTATGCCAACGCCAGATACCAACACACCAACCTCCAGCTCCCAGCTTAACCCCCCCGCAGTCGAATCATTCAAACCAGTTGCGCTCTTCCCGCCTCAGTCGCTCCAGCAAGCGCAGCAAAGCAGCGAGCCTATCGGATTCGCAGCCATGGGCACCACGCTCACGCGCGTCCCGAGCAATGATAGCGACGAGCTCTTTGCAAAGGCCTTGAGCCCGCGCTCACCAGATCTTCCCCGGAGCCCTTTCTCGTTTACTTGAATTTTTGGAATATTCGTTTGCATAAACACACACCATCTTTAACGATTTTGCGCAATGATTCCCCTTCTGCGGTGCCATGACATGTCTGTCTATGATCATTTACCATACCAACTAACATTTACCATCCATCGTTCGTCCATACTTCACATTCTACGCTGTCAAAGCTATGTCAATATTGCCAATACTGCTACATCACGGACCCATATCATGCCTCCTTCCTGCATTTTCACCTGCTATCTTTGTAAGGACATGCTATACCATATCTTTGGGACATATGTACATAGACAAGAATCGAGATTCCCACGGCCCTTCAACAGTAAAAGCCAATCGTGTCTTCGATAGATATTTTCTCTCCTGCGATAAGCAATACCCTTGCCTGTATAGGCTACCAGAAGCAAGTTAATCCTAAACAAGAACAAGCAAAAGCCAGCGCGCAGCTTCCATTCCTATTCAACCACCCACCAATCCAGGGACAGACAACACGAAAACGAAGCGAAACGAAACGAAACGTAAACGAGAACCCATCAACCGAAAAAAAAAAGAACTTAATTACTCTTCTTGCGCTGACTACCCTGACGACCAGGCTTAGCAGTGGCAGTGGAAGTCCCCGAAGCCGAAGCAGACGAATCAGCCGACTCCTTCTCCCCCTTCTTCCCCGAACCAAGCGACTCAAACTCCTGCTGATCCTTGCGCTCCGCATACCACTGACCAGCCTGCAGAACAAGAATACCAACAAGCACAAGGGCAAGGATGGTATTCGAAGCGGAAAGAACCTTGAGCGAGTCCTCACGACCAAGAATCTGATCCTTCTCGTCCTGGGTAGTCGCCAGCTCGGCGCCGTACTGGCCAGCCGAGGCAAGGCGCAGACCCTTGACGATGTTGGCGATGTAGACTGTGATGCCGCACATGTAGAGGACCAGCGAGGCGCCGTCGAAGAGCATGTTTGACTCGGAGGGTTTGTAGAGCTTTGTTAGGAGGCCTGCGAGCCCGAGGAAGATTACGATGTGCAGGATGCGTGGGATGAGCGGGGGAGAGGGCGTGCAGGAAACGGAGGTGCGCTTCCAGATAGTCATAGTGGGCGGCTGGGGTGGTGATTGTTGACCAGAGGATTGGGTAGTCGTAGGGGAAAAGGGAAAAGATAATGCCCAGGAAGAAGCAGGTTGCTGGGGAGGGTGTTAGTTTGGTGGTCTTCCGGTCCCGTGGCCTTTCTGGGGTTGGGCTTGGCACTTGGGCAGAGAGAGTTGAGAGGAGGTTACTTACGGCAGACGATGAGGAAGGTCGCGAACGACCCGCTTTTGAAGGCCATTGTGAGAGATGGGAGGATGAGGGAAGAGAGAAACGTGGAGAGAGCAGGGGAGAGAAGTCTATCCGGAGGTGCCAAGGCGGGAGATAAGCGGCTCCGGGGACATTTGAAGCGAGAGATTAGAAATTGACTGATTTGTATTGGAAATTGGTGATATTAAAGAAGTTGAATATAGTACAGAGTAAGCGCCTTTGACTAAATAATGCGAGTGGTATCTTCCATATCCCGTAAATGCAAATATACATAATAATCACCGCTGGTACCGAGGCAACGACTCGTCCGCATGCGCAGTTCCGCCGACCAATTGATCATCCTCGTCGAAGACCGGTGCACTTGGTCCAGCACTGGTCTCCTCGGTTTCATCTTGAGGTGCACTCGCCTGCTCCTGGAGTCGGTGACGCTCCATCTCTTGCTTGTCGTCGGACACGCGTGGCTCGCTGGGACCGACAGGAGTGCCGTTTGGCACAACGGTCTGCAGCGACTCCGCGGACCGGACCGTATGCGGCTGCCCAGGTGTGTCTGGAGATGGGAGGTGCTCGTAGTCTTGAAGATGATGATCATCTGGCAAAACTGGCGCGGTCGGAACATCCATTTGGGAGTTGGACGGTCCTACCTCGGCTTCATCTGGCGGTTGACTGGGTAAAAGGGCTTCCTCATGGCGCCTTACGCGAGCCTTCTCATCCACAGGCTCCTCCTCCTCAGGAGGTGCAACCATGGGGTGAATTGACTGGAACTGTTCAGGGTATTCTTCGGGATACTCTGCCCATTGCGCCTCGTCAGGGAAGTACTCATCCTGAGCCCCGTATTCGCCTTGTGAATTAGGCAATGGGCTCGCTTCAGGCCATTCTTCCCCGTCAACGGGGTTGACAAGCATTGTAGATGCCGCAGGCGCAGGTTGTGACGTTGTCGATTCGGCGGCCGTGGAGGAGGTACGTTTCATGGACTTGCGTCGTTGCGAGTCACGAGTGCCAACAACAACTTCAAATGCAACTGAAATTACCCCTTTTTCACGGCGGATTGCATCTGTGTCCATGATGTTACCAGCCCAGTTGGTAGTAACGTTGTTCGCGTCGGCTGGATTGAGAACCTGCCCACTTGGCGAGAAAGTAGTTCCGCCCGATACCATGTTGAAACGCGGGATGAAACGATCGGGAGTAGTGGTCTTGCCTCGCAGGTCTGTTACAACCTCCACATAGTAACGAAAGTTGATCATGGCTCCTGGTACGCGGGTGATGGTTGGAAACGCGTCCTCGGGTATTCGGATGGAAGTTTTTATAATAGCAGTCATTGTGCTCGGATCAACGATGAGCGGAGCAAATGTCTGCGACAGGTCTTTGCGAAAGGTGCTGCTGGTACGACTCGTCCCAAGGGTGAGTCCTCCAAGTCCAGTGCGTGAACGAGGATAGCAGTCTTCGTAGACCGGTTTTTTCCCAGCGGCTGTTGAACCGACTGGTATTGCAGGATGAAGATCAATGCGACCTTGTCGATATAGAGTGACCATAATTCCATGCGCACTGCGCACTTGTTTGCAATGGTTGATAGTAACTGTGATGGGCAAGGTATCGCCCGGAAGCACGCCGGCGCGCGAGAGCTCAGCCTTTGCTGTGATGGTTTTATCGGTAACGGAAGGAGTCTCGCTGCGACCTTCGCTATTTCGTCCACTGGTGCTGGCAGATGAGCTAGGGTCACTGACGACCTTGAAGCTCTGACTGCTGTTGCTTGGTCGACTAGACGAGCTCACATTGCTCGGTGAAGGACTAAGTGGTGGTCTCCCGTCTACTGAGGGTGTCGCACCACTGATAGGGGTATCAACAGAGGATGTGTCGGGTCCAGCTGTTGCGTCGGAGCTCGTTGATTTTGCTTTTGCGCGTGATTTTGAACGTTTTGAAATAGGCTCCAATGTGACTATTCGAGCCTTTGGTGCCGGAAACGTGGAAATGTCGATATTTTCTAAAATATTGACCCGTCGTCGACAGGTGAGTGTAGGGTTCATAGTGGTCGGTCGGGTGAGGGTGGAGGTAAGTGAGTAGCCGATGATGCCGCGTTCGAACTGCATAAACCTTTGTTAGCTGCCTGAATGGAATTGTCCCATGGAGAAACGCACGTTGATGCTGCTAGGGAGCGCATAAGGAGGCAGCCCCATTTCAAAGCGGAATTTGTATATGCCCTCCTTCAAACGTCCATCGCCACATAAAACGACCTCATCCTCGAACAAGGTTGCTAGCCCATTGCCCATATATTCCGCACCGCGTCGGCCCCGCCCTGGTCCTAAGAAGCCCAAGTCGGGGGTTGCTTCTCCAGCCGGTGTCGCATTCTTGAACACCTTCACATAACCGTGAAGGCATACGACGATATGGGTAATGCGAACGGGGCGGACGACAGTCACGACGACGGTGCCTTTGATGACATCGCCGGGGAAGTATGAGCGCCATGGGTCGTCGGGATCGATGTAAAAGTCTGTGATACCGCGGTTCCGTTGGCCGAGCGGGGAGCGAAACTTGGACAGGAGGGAGTTGCGATTCCGACTGGGCGGCAACGAAGGTTGGTTGGGAAGATTGGCGGACATGACACACGGCCGTTGTTTACTGCATCTATACAAGACAACGTGGTAGACGAGGAACTGGAAAGGAAAGACTGAGACAGCGTAGGCAACCGCAGTGACCAGACACGCCGGCGGTCTTTGGGCAGCACGAGGGTGGCGGCGATGGTCAGATAGACCAGTGAGCAGCTCAAGCTACGTCAGAAACTCCGATCGAGCGACACGAATAGTCGTTGGCGTCGGGGATCTGGGGATCAGAACCAATGCACTGGGCACGGTCTGGTTCCAAACGTACACGGAATGTAATATCCACACACGCGAGAGATTCCCCGGGTCCAAAGAGAGGAATGGGGAGTATCAAGGGCCACTGCACCGCATTGTTTCTCGTATCAGAGCGAGACTTGACTGTACCCCCGCCAGGAACGTATCGGTCTATCGGGAACAGGGTCCAGTGGCACGAGATAAGTATCGGAAATGCGGGAGGAATGGCAGCACAGGAACCAATAGCGACAATGGCTGAATGCTGGGGGGGCGCGGAGTCGAGAGTCCAGAACCCGAGGGCGCGCGACTTGGGAGGAGAAGAGCCGGGGGGGGAATGTGGGACTCGAGGAACGGAGCACGAGGCGAAGAGGAGGCGAAAAGAGAACAAAGGTCGGAATAAGAGCAAAGAAGAGAGGGAGTAGACAAAGGGAAGAGAGTGAGAAGAGAGGCGGGTTGCGATAAGCTGGGGCGGAGATGGATTCGATTCGCGTGTCGCACGGTCAAGCTTCTCTTGGTGGCTCAACTAGTCCCCCTTTTCTGGGCATTTCCGTGGATTATCATCTGTAACGTTTCAAAGTCCTTTGATTTCTATGAGCTAAGCAATACCTAAGCTTTTTAACGGATGCGCCGGATCATTTCATAGTTCTCGTAGACCCTCCTCGTCCACGTATTCGTCTCCATAGCAGTCTCGCAACACTGCCTCAACCATGTGTCTGTCCCCGCCTACTAACTTGCGCAAATACTCCTCGAGCACGTAGATATTATCCGTCCACTGCAGTGCATCCTGTCGGAACCCCGCTAGCTCTGCTTGGATCTGCCTGACACCCTTGCCGCTGAGCGAGTCCAGGGTCCCGGTGAGTTGGGCTTCTGTAGTGCGTACCCGATCCACGGCCGTCTGAAGTCCGGCTTTCTGGAGCATGAGGGACTTCTGCTCTGCCTCGTCTTCGAGTTCCTCCTTACGACGGGCTGTCTCATCGGCCAGGGCCGCCGTCGCCGCGGTGCAGGATTTCCGAGATTTCTCCACTTCCGTGCTCACCCGAGCCAACTGGCTCTCTTGTTCTTGCTTTTCGTCACTGGCGAAGCTCCAGTACCAGTTCCCACTGCCGATCTTTTCGACTCGTAATTGGTTCTCGTCTGTTAGCGCCTGGATGTACTCCTTGACTTGGATCCCATTGATCGATGCCACCGAGGGTAGTGTCTTCTCTAGATCCTTGAGCGTGTGACAGGTGCCAGTGGCGCGCAGGTGAGCCAGAATGAGATCTTGTCTAGCGCTTTTGGATAGTTTGGGCGGCTTGGGATGCACCAAGACGCGTCAGTAGTTTCCTTTTGGGTGACCCCGTCATCCTCGCAAACGCCCGAAGCCACGTACCATGGTGTCTGCTTTGATGCTTTTTTAAGCGAGATACCCCGGAAAGCTTGAGTCGTCAGCCTTTCCTGATGTGGTCAAGAGTGGGACAGTTAAGCATTGGTGGAGCGGTCAAGTCAGGGAAGTGCCCGTGTGCCACACCACACAAGCTCATGTTGAAAAGAGTAGAGACTTGCTTAATTTCTGACTCAGACAGATCTTGTAGACTAATGAGATGTTTCAATTGTTTGTTAAATTTATTCAACCCTGTTCAGGTGATACTAAGAATAGTCTGCACTCTCGTCCAACATGCTGTGATTTGACGCCGCAATATCAAGCCTCGACGAAATCTATTCGAGGAAATTCCTGGAAGACCCTAGTAGGTCAACGTTTCAAGTGATACAGCTCACTGTAACTGAAAGTGGGTTTCATGGCTTTGTAGCAGATATGAGGCAATTTTAGCCGGAGTGAGGACTGTTGCAGGATGCACATATCAATCTCCACTGAACGGGCTATTTGTGACGGTTAAACCCTGTTCGCCGGAGTATTAGCCATGATGATCTCAAATGCTGTTCCCTGAATGGTCTGCGCGAAAATTTTAACGCCACACGTGGTGTTCATCGCAGTAGGAGCCGCTAGGACCCATGGTCATACAGGTTGCTGCCTGTTGTCTGTATGCCATAGAGTGTGGAAATTGAAGTGACTATATGCCGACACCATGTGCAGGGTCTGTACGACTGCAAATGGTGTGACCCGATTCGTCGTCGAACGTTTGGGGTGAGGCTCTGCGTTTTCTCGCGCATTGTGATACATTTAGAGGCATGAGCCTCCGAGGACACGCATGCGTGGATGCGACCTGATGTGAGATTTTGCACATGCCACGGATCTCATCGTCGGTCATCAACCTCAGTGTAGTGTCCACATCCGTGGTGGCAGAAGCGGAGCGAGTCAACTTGCGGCGCTTCGGCCTCTTTTGCGTATTACTGCTGGCTCGTTTCCTTCGCACAATTCGTGCTGCAGACTGGTTTGTAGTGTCACTCTCAGCGCAGGACTGCTCTTCCTCTTCTTCCAATAGCTCCTGTCCTTCGACGAGGACAAGATCACCCGTCTCGCCCAGTGCATCTTTGGACATCTCTTCAATCAGGATTCCCATTGCAAGTAGCGCTGTCTCATCCATGGTCTTGTGGTCATCTTGGCCGTTGTCTGCTGTGGCGTATTCATAAAAGTCGGCCGCATAAGCATGAATCGTCTCGAGGAGCTCGGAACTCGGGAGAGGCTGATTAGCGGGTAGATCTTCGTGTGCAAAGTAGATCTTCTCAGCCTGTTCACCAATAGGTCCTGCCGAATTATTCTGGTTGCGGAGGAGAAGTTCCTCGGGCCGCAGTGGTCGTGCGCCTGAAGAGGCTGTATCGCGGTGGTAAGAGGCAACTGGTTGGGATGCTTGGATTCCGCGAGGGTTGACACGTCCTGGATACATCAATTAGCTGGTGTTCTAAATATTAAATTCCAAGCGAGATACAAACCAGCTATCGCATCATATAGGTTAGCGCGTCTTTTCACGAATCTCGAAGACTTGTCTTCGAGCACCTCATCGTTATCGCCTTCTTCCACAGACTCAACAAATTGGTACTTAGTCACGCTGCGCGACCTGCCAACAGACATATTAAGGCTTGCCAGAAATATCAGTCAAGATTTGGCAAATCATATGGTGCTGCGCAGAGCATGAACGAAGTCGAGACCTCCAAGGCCCAAAAGACATTCAATGCGCCGGCATAACCTTAATCCGGTCAAGCATAGCATGATCGGCCTCCGCAATACCTCCGACTTCATGCAAAGGCACCGACACCGATGAATGAATGAATTCCTATCTCCTCAACAGAGCCCTCGGGTCTGTCAATCCGAATAACTTTCATGTCGCCCAGACCACCCGGCTAGTCCACCACCTCGAAGCCGCTCCAGGCATACGGTTCTCCAGTCGCAGACCAGCTGCATCAACAGACCAGACCGAGGATGACATCGCGCCGTTGGATCAAGAGCTTAGCTCCTCCGCAGCGGAACTGTTTGCTCACAAGTCTGGCGTGAACTGCCTAGCAGTCGATCAGTTCGAGGGCCGATAGTACGTGCAGCATCCATCCCTATAGTTGCCAATCTAATGTGCGTATAGTATGATATCGGGAGGTGCCGATCCATCAATCCACCTCTGGGATCTCGAAACGAGAGGCTCAGAGCTTGAACACGCTCATAGATCTTGTGCGTCGGTAAGTAAATCCTCGGCCGCCGACGCGCATACACATGCGATTACGTCGCTCTCGATCTACCCGTTTGATCCCGTTCCCTCGACGATCTTCTCGACATCACACGATGGTACATTGAAGCTGTCGGCGCTAGATTCACCTTCTATCACACCGGTCCATACATTCAGTCTCGATTGCACTCCATATTCGCACTCGTTCTCATCTCAGCCTGGGTCTACACTGCTTGTCGCGGTAGGCACATCGGAACGATCGGTACGGTTAGTAGATCTACGGTCAGGCTTATCGACACAGGGATTACCCGGACACAATGGCGCTGTCTTGTCTGTTGCATGGGCTCCCCATCGACCCCATCTGTTGGCCTCTGGCTCAGTGGATAATCGGGTCATCATATTCGATGTCCGTCGTGGAGGTCACAACTCTGCCATTGCGACCTTGGACATGGATGATCCGGTAGGACTAGGTCTTCCAGGAACGGGCTCTATACCCGCTTCATATGAGAGTCGTCCGGCGTTCTCTCGACATGCCCGTGCTCATAACGGGCCTGTGACTGGAGTACGCTGGACATCCAATGGCAGTCACATCGTGACAACGGGCCAAGACTCACGGATCCGAGTATGGGACTCGGCGACTGGTGCTAATACACTAGTTCATTTCGGTCCTCGGGTCCGTAACAGCTCTTCGTCGCACCTGGCGGAACGAGCTCCGTTGGTGATACCGAAAGGTGCAATGAGTCCCGGCCATGAGACGTTATTATGGCCTAATTTCAATGAGCAAGACGATCGCGGTGAGATATTCATGTTTGAACTCCGCGAAGGAACGTTCGTCAAGCGTCTCCGAGTTCCAGGTCTAGCGATTGGGTCACAGAATATGCGTGGTCGATCAAGCGCTCTTAGTGCCGCGCGCGTGAATGATCTAGTCTGGCGTGGCAACGGTGCATCTGGGGAGGGTATCGAGCTATTTTCCGCACATGGCGACGGCACAATCCGAACATGGGTATCTCGCGAACCAGACGGCGAGCCCACAGAAGCCGAAGAGGCAGATATGGCCGACCGTAAGCGAAAGCGAGATGTTCTAGATGAGGTCTACCAAGGGTTTTTAGCGCCCGATCAACCCATCTTTCATATGTGAGCAATGAACATACAAACAACTATGCAATACCATACAATCTACGCAGGTGAACAGATCAACCATGTTGGGACGTAAATGAATTTGTTCTACTTTACATCCAATCAAAACGCCATATCATAACATCATGTACCAAACAGCAGAGCCAACATCAACTCTACCCAAATATCCCCCACGATACAAGAACAATATCACAATCACAATGAAAGCACAATTACTCATTGCGCACATTATGCTGCCCAACAACCTCGCCAGAATCCTCATCCTCCTTAGCATACCGCTCAAACTCACTCCGAGCATACTTCTGATGCTTCAATTCACGAGTATCACCATGACCAGCATGATGGTTCGCACCCATGTGTGCATGCTTCGCCTCCACGCCCGCCGGCATCGAGTTTCCAGTGCCGGAAATCACTTCGCCGGTCTGGCCGACGTCGCGAGTTGAGCGGGGCATGTCAGTGGCGTTGTCGGCTGCCATTGCGGTTGATGGCTCCGCGACTCCGGCGTTGTCGAAGCCGAAGTGGTCGGCTCTTTGGTCTGGGCGTGGGACTGAGGGGATTGTGTTCATTTTGCCTGCGTCGTTGGGGATTGTTGTGCCGCCTGCGGCCATGTCGGAGAGGCTGCCACCTTGGTGGGGATCTTGTTGGCGGACCATTTTGGTTTTTTGAGGTTGTGGTTTTGGTAGGTTTGGGGGTTTGATGGTATGTCCGTAAGACAAAGTTTTAGTCTTTGGGTTTGATAGAGGTACTTTTTGGTATTGGAAGATTGTGTTATACTACCAACAAGTACATGGACGGTCCAGTCTTTTATAATTGATCCAGTGACTCAATTCCTGTTGGGTTGTACAGGCTGATGTCACGTTGGTCTGGGGATGATGGAGCGATGATCTCACATCGGGTCTACCTTGATTGGTTGTGTGCACTATCCACATAGATCATAGAAGGCATGTCTGCAAAGACCGAATCAATTGTAGGCAACTGGGTCCTCAATTCTTGTAATCGAAGCAGAGTGTGTCAGATGTAATGTTCTGGGTGACGAAATTGGGTCGCAACTTTGACTCGATATCAGATCAGGATTGGACCCACCCACTATCAAGTTTCGATGTCAATTGTGAGAGCTAAAGTAGTTTGGACCCTTGCATGACTGTGATTGGTGGAAACTTTCACAGATCTACAATGGCAATTTGCATTTGAACTACTATGATGAAAGGTGGAAGGTAATAGAAATGTCAAATCTTAGTGTTATAGATACTCGTTAAAAATACTCGAGGGCAGAACTGAACATTAATGACGAAGTCAAACGCGTAGAGTACAAAAGAAAGTAAGATTGAAAGGAAATGCCTAACGAGTGACAGCGGACTTATACACCAAACGCCTGGGTTTTAAAGGGAGCTGATCATCTAGAGGATGAAGGCAAGCACACCCATGACACCGGCGGCAGCGGAGAAGAGACCTCCAGAGAGACGGGCGGCACCACCCTCGAACATGGTGGCGTGTACGGAGGCAGACGGAGAAGCGGCTGCGGAAGACTGGGATCCGTGGGACAGAGCATCAACACCAGTGGGCATCATCTTGGCCATGCTGCTGGAGGGGGTAGCCATGGCGTATGAAGATGAAGCAGGGGTGGCCATGGGGACGTGCACAGAAATCATGGAGTATGGAGCACTCTGGCTCATGGGACGCTCGGAGGCGTAGGAGTAGGGGGCGTAGGAGCGCACAGCGGATGAAGCAGGGGCAGAGGCTGAGATGGCATTGGAGAACACCTTGGGGTCAACCTGGGCAGACATCTGGGGGGTAGCGGCCATAGGCACAGCGCTGGTAGGGACAGACTGCTTGTACTCGGGGGTGGCCTCCACGGTCTTGTACTGGGTCTTAGTCACAGTGCGGACAACCTCGTGGACCTTGGCGGCGCACTCCTGGTGATCCTCACGGGGAGGAGCTTCAGCGACGGCAGGAGCGGGAGCCATGGGAGGAGCAGAGGGGGAAGCCTCAGTGGGGGCCTGGGGATTCTCCGCGTGGGGGGCAGGAGGAGCGGGATGGCTCTCGGAGACCTCTGCTGGGGGAGCGGGGTGTCCCTTGGGAGAAGTCGGGAAGTTCTCGGTGACGGGATACTCAACGGGGGCAGGGGGAGACTCATAAGAGTAGGGAGCCTCCTCGTAGTCGTCCCAGTAGGGGTGAACATTAGGGTGAACGTGAGTGAAGTCACCCTTGACGGCGTGGTTATCCTCGTGGTGCTCGTTGACACCGGTGGTCACATCGATGTTGGTGGGGTCCGAGAAAGATGTTCCATCATCATCACCGGAGGGACCACCCATGGCAGTACCACCGCCAGCCTCACGGTTGGGAGAGTAGGCACGGCGGAAAGGAGGGTGAGCACCGAAAACAACAGGGCCGGGTCCGCCAAAGGGAGGAGGAGGAGCGTAAATATCCTTGTGCTTGAGATCAATGGAGTGGTCATCCTCGTAGTGCTCGTTGACATCAGTGTCGGTGTCGATGGTGATGGGAGCGTTGAACTCCTGGCCACCGTCGTTTCCAGAGGGGCCACCCATGGCGGTGCCGCCCTGCTCATGCTCTGGTCCCCAGCTGCGCTTGAAAGGAGCACCCCAGGGAGGGAACCGAGGAGCGTAGACGTCTTTGTGCTTGAGATCGATGGAGTGATCGTCCTTGCTATACTCGTTCACACTGGTCTTGAAGTGACCGGTGACAGGCTTGCTGAAGCTGATGCCATCATCATCACCGGAGGGACCACCCATAGCAGTGCCGCCGTGGGGGTGAGGGAAGCCAGCGGGGCCGTGGTGAGAGCCACCACCGGGACCACCCATAGCGGTACCTCCCTCTTCCTCAGGTCCCCAACGCTTCTCGAATGTAGAGGGAGGAGCATTGAAGGCCGCAGAAGGAGGGCCAGCGGGACGACCGTGGTATCCGTGAGGAGGTCCGTGGAACTGGGGAGGAGGGTGAACAACGTGGACTGGAGCAGGGTGGACGTGGGTGTCCTTCACAGCAACCGAGTGATCATCCTTGTTGTAGTCGTTGACCTCAGTCTGGAAGATGCCGGTAATGGGCATGTTGAAGACCTGTCCCTCGTCGTCGCCAGAGGGGCCACCCATGGCGGTGCCACCGGGAGTGCCACGCTTCTTGAAGGGGCCCTCGCCGGGGACCTGAGGACGCTCCACAAAGGGGCCCATGCCAGGGACCTGAGGACCGTTCTTGACAGCCACAGGGGGACCAAAGTGAACATGGTGAGGAGGGAACACATCAGTGTGCTTCAAGTTAACATGGTGGTCATCCTTGCTGTACTCGTTGACCTGGGTGTTGGTCTTAACGTTGGCAGAGTATGGGCTGATGAAGCCACCATCGCTGTCGTCGCCGGAGGGACCACCCATGGCGGTGCCGCCAGCTTGGGGCACGAAGCCATGCTCTTGCTATATTGTTCGTCAGCATCCACTCCTGTTGAGCAGTCAGAGGTGACATACATGCTCGATGAACTTAGCCTGAGCAGCAACTGCAAGCAGCGCAATAGGGATTCCGCCAACAAAGCCCTTCATGATTGCGGTAGTGTAGATATTACTGTGAAAGGGTATATATGTAATTGCCCTTCGGGATTAAAAAGAGTGACTGGACAGAAATGCTACGCGAGCAGAACAAAAGAATGGCACAATAGGTCGAAGGAACTCCCTATAAACAGCAGATAACGCTTTCTAGAGCATCAGGAGGTATTTAGATCTTTAGTAGTTCGTGTACATTCATGATGACCAGGCCAACCAGTAGGCCGGAATGCCGGCATCTGGATGGATACTGGGCCTCCAGATGAAGCCAAGGCGTGGAAATCATCATGAGAATGTTGTCGGGAATGAAAAACAATGTTAAGCAGTGCGCCAAGGCCCATCGATCGACCTCAGATCGTAAACAACGGCCGTTTGGTTCCTTGCAAGGTGGTGCTGCGGCATTCCAGAGGTGTTTGTGTAGGGATGGGACGGGACCGTAGCATTCACGGACCTTGCTAGCCAACCAGACGAGCCCCTTGTAGAGGCTTGATGTCTAAGCCCTTCGAATTACATTGGATGACGCTGGCGTGTGATGCCAGGTCATTGTGTTTATGTCCCAACGAGACCAGAATATGGACGATCACGATGGCAGGCTTCGGCTGTGGCACACTAAACACTCCACCTGACAACATGGAATTCCCAATGATGTCAACAGAAACATTAAGCATTGATTGAAGACCAAGCAGAGTTTACGGTCCGCACATGTCCAGATTTGCAGAACACCTGGGCAACACCTGAAACCGACCAAGCCCACCAGCATAGCACAGCTGGAAAGCCAGGGGGTTCTTCAAAAGTCTACTCATAACCCAGCATGCACCAAGGCATAGGCTGCTACACTTGCTCAGCTTAAATGGCTTGAGTCAAGGGAATGTATCCCGTCTTCGACATTCGAATCCCATCGCCCTCACTGAAGAAGACACATAGAGAAACGAACTTCCTATCGAGGATCATCAATCTCCAGAGCGGATCGCTCCCGCGAGCGGGAGCGAAGGCAACACATCGTCGTAGAATTCGTCCGAAGACAGAACGATGGTCGTGGCGTGCTCCGTTGCTTTTTTGATGAAGAAGAAAAGAAAAGAAGGAAAAGCCGAAAAACTTCGCAGGTTTTTGTAGGTGCGGTGGGGTCCGGGTCGGGGCTACGTTGTTCCTTCTTTTTACGTTATGGACCTGCACGTGATCAACAACACTATTCCATGGCCCATTTTGGCATGGCCATGACAACTGTCATTGTATGAACATATAAGAATAAAACTCCAGCAACTCCAGCTCCCAATGACACTTTCGTCTCAAAAACGAGGGTTGTGAGGTTGTCCCAAGAGGTCCAAAAAACCAAATGAATGGCTGGTCGCATCTCGAATCAAAGCACACCGGTGTGTGGTGGGTCGGTGATATATCCACATAAACAGTCAGAGACGCACCTAGCCTCCCATGGCTGTCTTTTCGGCACTTGATTTCCATGCTGCCCCTCCCACAGCAGCAGTGATTCCCAACGCAATCGCAATCATAGTTCCAACTGTCACAACCGCGATCACTGCCTTGAGTGCCATCTTTTGTTTATGGCTCAAGGATTGCAGCCAGGTCCGAGGCTTGTTTTCCTCTTCCCACAGCTTAGATCGGCGGGGACTGTCGGTACGGGCGGCCAAGTACGGACCAGCGTTCTCGAGATCCCGCAAGTGACTTCGATTGTGGTGATTGTTGTGTTTGCTCTCAAAGGTGAGTTGTTCGTAGGATACCGTGGGACTCCCATGACGATAGAAAGGCGAGCATGGCTTGGCACCGATCGAAGGATCAAACTCCTGGTGACCTCTCTCGGTAATAGAAATAGTAGGTGATGAAACGATAGAACAGTGGGGCGAATGCGCACGAGGTGAGGTAGGTTTCTCGTCATGACTCTTGATTGATGCGGCCACCTGGGCCCCAATCACTCCAAGTCCATGCAAACTCATCGCGATAATCCACGGCCGCGAGGGATGATGCCGGGAAGGAGGGTGGTGGGGGTCCAAGATCAGAAGATCTTGGAGAGTGAGTGTTTCAGGCTTTGTCGCTTGGATTTGGAACGGGATAGAGGTCGAGGTTCTTTGACTTTGGGAGGTGGTGTGGTTATTGCGTCGACAGGAATGGCGACTGTTGAGACACCGCCGTACATAAACAATGCCGTATCAACCCGGAATGCACTCCAAGTCCAGCTGGCCCGCGGCAGGTTCATCGCTCAAATGATGAACGATAAATGATATAGTTGGTAAAGAAGAGCGGAGGTGTGCCCATGTGAGTTGTAATGGAAGGAGTGGCAGCTTCCTAATATTTAGTGGACTTGGTTTCTCGGCAACTTCATGGGTTTTCTAGAACTGCGAACATTCGAGATCCTACATTCGGGGCCTCCTTTTGGGGAAGAGAACTATTCTGGCAGGGGTGCAAGGCTTGTCTCTTTTCCAGTTTTGCTTTTTATCCCTAGATCTACATCTCGTGCCACCCCCGGGCAGCATTCCCAGTCCGTTCATGGTAGGGGTTTCCTTTCCCTGCAGGAAAAGCAAATATGCGATTGGTAGTTGCTGCTTTGATTGCATTTCTTTTTTTTTTTCCGCTCGATAATGCAGCTCCTTGTTTTGTGTCCCTCTCATGGGCTAGTCCCATGTCCCTCCCACTTCAGTGCTATGAGGGTCCCTTTTCTCGGGCAGAGTTAGAAACATCGGTCATGTTACTTGGAGTGGGTATTAAGTGACAGAAACATGCTTAAAGTGCACTCTGCAGTGAGTCTATTATAACACACATCCCATCAAATGATATGTCATATCTTCCATACGAGTGGGGTCCAAGAGCTTTCGTAAAGGTTCTGTATAATTTGACCAAATACCAGGCTCTTAATTAGTTTGCCTACAACAGAAACATCAATATTTGTGTCTGAAGACATGGTTGTTAGATGATGTGCGAATGCTCACGTTCTCCCGCTAATCACCCACTCGAGATCTCCTAGAATGCCCACATCTAGATGGGCACCATCAAGTCACTGAAGTAAAAATTGAGGGATCAAATGCATTAAAGTAATTGTCTTGGTGTTTTCTTTGTAGTGGTTTCTTCTGTTCTAGTCGATGGCTGAAAATTAATTGTGGTGGGCTTTTCGTGTATTCTATAGTACTGAATATATATTGTCGACTGAGCATCTCCCCACACAATAATTAATCAAAAGCGACCAGTCAGAAGACGAACTGAGGGTTTAATTAAATACCGATCATGCGCAGTAAATAGGATTTTTTATCGGAAAAAGGCGAGCTACTCAATGTTGCTCGGATACAGGTGTCTTCCTTGCGGTCGTCGCTAGCTACTCTGACACGCCCTGGTCAGTCTAACATCTCACAAACCCACAGCATACAATAACCCTCTAGGCCTGGCTAATTACTACTTCCGACTTTGATGAAAAAATCGAGGTTTGAAACCTGGTCTGTTGTCTTTTACTAAATTTGTACCATTGAGCGCACCCGCATGTTAATCATAGCTAGTGTCTCGGGTCAAGTAAACACGGCCCAGATCACAATATCCATATTAGATCGTGATCCTCATTTAAGATCACAGTGCCTCGCTTATGTCCATGATCTCAAGCTCATGATCTCGAGGTCCTCGCAGCTGTAAATACAGGTGATCTACCCCGTGATCTTGTTGTCAACCACATCAATGCTTTCGCTAGGACATTAACTGGGACACGAGGAATGTTGCTTCCAGCCAATTACTAGAATAATTTTGTCTACTTTCCGCCAATTCGTCCATTCCAAGCGTCAAAATATTAGTTTCTGCTCTGAGATAAACACCTTTTTCTGGCTTAGTACTAGCGGATCCTAGACCCAGGGCTTCAAGTACCTGGCTGAAAGCACATCCTGCGTGTCTCGCGCTAATCCTGGAACACCTTATAGTGAAGGTCCGGGCCATGCTTCGAACGCCAGCCTTTTCGCGCGTCCAAGGTAGGAACGCGCTAGCATACGATTCAAGGTTCACGTTCTCTAGTCAATAGAGATAATAGACAAGTCGTAGCATATGAGAGGATTTAATTCAGCAAACAAGAAATACGGAGCGTATATACACTCCTCCGGGCTGCCTTGCCCCTCGAGGCTGGGAAGATACACCCCTTGATGGCTACCGCGGTGAATGTTTTTGTGAGGTCAAAAACTTTGCCGTGTAAAAAGCACCGATTATAAGATCCTTTTTTTGGTGTATAGAATTACATCAAATGACTCAGTTATGCACACTTAGGTTTCTTAATTTTCGATTGTACCTTGAGAAAGGCTAGACTCATCACCTATCCCTTCAGTAGATTCTGGTGCCTTAGATTGTGCCTTAAATCAGATAGCATTTTACACAAGTAGCCATTAACCATTCCGTATAAGATCATATTATTGAATTTCAAAGACCAGAGGTGATGCTACCTGGGGATTATTTGAACCGGAGCGCAATTTAGTCTGGGGCGTTAGCGAAGCTTATTATGGCTCTTGTGTAGACCTAGACGAATATATATATACAAAGCGTCAACACCCATTGAAGATTATTATCCCTTCAGTTTACAAGTCCAAGATCTTGACCGCCAACTGAAATGCATTATCAGCATCTTCGACTATCCATTGGTCCATATGAGGTCTCCACAATCGATATCTACATGCAGTTATTTGGTCAATTCCTAGATCCACATTGGACGGATGAACATGTTCGGAAGTTTAACTGGCTCTCCCCCTTTTTCTTTTCACCGATAGCGACGATCACATCACAGATTTGAATCAAGACCCACTGGATTTTCGTCATAGCTGATCGACACGTGCGATACATTCGGGGTATCCCTTTCATCAAATCAAACAAAATGGTGTGGCACACTAAGCCCCAAACCCAAAGATTGAATTGCTTAAAGTAAAGAATATCTACCATAAAGCGAAGAACTATATACCAAATGCCCTTCCCAGACATTTATGACGTCGCAGTGGATCTCATGATGCTAGTGGAGATCCGATCGAAGTCTATCGTGGATCTCCGAGTCCTAATTGAGGACTTTTATTCCGTTAATGCCCGGAAATAGGTATCTTCTTTTCTTTTCTTCCCCAAAATGAAACTCCTACTAGTGTCTGTTCAGTACGACGAGCACCACATATTGCACGCCGAACCATGGCGACTTCCAATTTCCCTTTCCAGGTGACAGAACACATCATTGATGGGCAACACGTTCGCGAATACCCACGGGCAACAGCAACTGAAGATGCCCCCTTGAAGCTTCTTGTCAAGAAATATACTCCTCTTGATAACCTAAGCCCCCAATCTGGTGATATTACCCTTATCGGATTCCATGGCACAGGATTTCCTAAAGTGAGTATACCTTAGCCGATACCTACTTTCCAGGCTAAAATGCGTCAACCACGTAGGAGCTCTACGAGCCATTGTGGGAAGAAATTCTCACAAGAAGCAAGCAAGATGGATTCCGTATTCGTGCCATCTGGATGGCAGATAGTGTCCATCAAAATGCGAGTGGAGTTTTCAATGAACAACACCTGGGAAACAGTCGTAAGTACCCATATCAACTATGTGAGCGATGGAATCGAAACTCATTCAATAACCAGCATCTTGGCTTGATCATTCCCGAGATGTGCTTCACATGATCAATCATTTCCGCGAAGAGATGCCTCGACCGCTCATGGGCTTTGGGCACAGCTTGGGCGGAGTACAAGCGTTAGTGAACCACCCAAAGTTAACACCGCCAATACTAATGCAAATATAGAATTTTCCTCTCAATTATGCATCCTCGACTCTTTACGTCGCTAATGCTTGCCGAGCCACACATCACCGACGAGGACAAAGGCCTGCGCAAAGACCTCCTGCTAATGACAATCAAAGCCAAAGACAAATGGAACTCGCGAGCGGAAGCTGCAACAAAAGCGCGCAAAATATTCCGAATCTGGGACCCCCGTGTTCTTGATCGCTGGGAGAAGTATGGATTGAGGGATCTTCCTACTGCTATTTACCCCGAGTCCAAGACGACCAACGAGGGACCCCCAGTAACCCAGACCACGACAAAACATCAAACAGCTTTGATGTACTACCGAGAGAACCTCAAGCGTCATAAACACCTCGGTCTACCCGATGGGGAAGATGACAACGAGACATACGGCCCAAGTCCAGTCCACGATCCGCTCTTTGTACCTGATATGCTTGGCCCGCTATACCGCGAGCAAAGACATTACCGGGCAGAGCCACTACTGGCAGGGCACTTACTTCCATATTTGCGACCGTCTGTATTCTACCTCAGCGCGGCAAAGTCCGATTTGACCGTGAGTGGGCTGCAGGAATGGGCTGCGAAGCGGACGGGAACTAGCTTTGGCGGAAGTGGCGGTATGCAGAACGGCAGAGTAAAGCATGTCGTTATTGAGAAGACGTTCCATACACTTCCATTGGAGAAGGTTACCAAGACTGCTTCTGAGTTGGGGCCTTGGATGGCGCAGGAGTTGCAGCGGTGGAAAGATGATGAGAAGCGCATTGCTGATGGATGGGAAGGACTTTCTGTTAAGGAAAAGTCGACTTTATCGCATGAGTGGGTGAGTACGCTCGTTGAAGCATCTAATGCTATTGATGCTCGTGTGGAAAGGGGATCAAAATTGTGAATAGAAGAGCATAGAAGAGTGGCATGGAATATCAGCGTTTGCTTATAGAGTACTTATGTATAGCCCTCAGTTTAACTTTCAACAATGAATCATAAATCGTAATCATGGTTAATTCATATCAACATCATAATCCTCGTCGTTGTCATATTCGCCCCAGAATTCTTTCAAGTCTTCAACGCGCCAGGCGGTGGCCCAGCCAGTCTCACGCTCAATGCGGACTAACGTTTCGACAATTGCAGCATGCTCAGAGTAGTGGGACATGGCTTTTCCAGCTATCCAGAGAGGCTGCAATGCATTCGTCCAGCAACCACTAAAGAGAGCCAGTCAGTAGATTTCCCCTTGTTTCTGAATTGCACCAAAGCAAAAGACTCACTGGTGTGCATTAGATGCGGAGATTGCACATATCTGTCGCGCATGCCAAAGAACAGATCTCTGGAAATTTGATCAGCTCTACAGGTAGACCAGGCATAGAAACAAACTCACTGGTCTTTTATTCAAAACCAGTGTTTTCGGTTTTCTCTGAAGAAGCAATAGGGCAGCGACATGATACAATTGGTTCCCGGAAACTAGTAACTGTTAGAATGACCGTCCCACGGGCTGAAGAGCCAGATGATTTACTCGCAGACCCATTTCCATACAGGGCAATTGGGAAAGCCCGATCGCGACCCTCGCGTTCGGAAGTAGCGACACTGAAAATGGATTTCATTTGCGCCGGTCGGTTTTCATACCACCCTTCCACGCAATCGAATGCATCCGCCCAGCGATGAACAAACGAATCACCATCATCGCTAGGGACAGATTGACACGATGTGCAAGAGTAATCAGGCTGGGACGCACATCCGAACAAAATGTTCACTGTTATTGCGACAAGATACACTGTGTAGTTGGCATATGTGTCGACGTTGGTCTTTGCTGAAGCGATGAATGTCTGCGCTGCTTCGTTATAGCTCATGTCACTGGGCCTCCAGTTATGGATTGGTATAATGGTTTCCTCTTCGGATATAAGGCCACCGCACACATCTAAGAGACCGATTGTCAGTCCTATATGATAACTTGAAAGAGATAATATTCCAATACCCATTCGAGCAAAACACCAAAAGAGCGCCTGTTCTTCTTTTCCGGAGAAACCATTGATACCGGCCGCTTGAATGAGATACGCACATCCGTCTAGGTGGCGACGCCATTCTTTAGGATTACCTATTCTTTGTAAGCCATGGACACCATATAAAAAACGGAAATACTTACAGCTCAGCATTTCCAAGACACACAAGATGACACAGGACGCAATGACAGGTGTTGTCTTGCTTCCTAATTCGGGCAGGAGGAGATGAATAGCTTCTTGATATAGAGACAAACTTTCAGACTGCGATTTCGCATTCTGTTGTCTTTCAAGCTGTCGTGCAGACAATGCCAAGATAGAGTACCGAAGATGGGCGGAAGTCTTGGCCATTTGGGTGAATGTTGAAGCAAAATGCCGATGGTTATCGAACATGTCGAGCTTTTGAGGTCAGTGTGAAAGTCAACCCGATTAGCATCGAATTCACTTACCCAGGAGCAAATCTCGTTGAGATAATTTCCCCACAATATATGTTCTCTTTCAGGTGATAATTCAAAACGTCTACTGAATCCCGAACGACGAGATCCCCTCTCCGTCCTTGTTACTGAACCAGCAGCACTATTCCCTGTTGGGGTATGCACCATAGGAGTAGTACCTTGTGAGCTGCGAGGGCTCGGAAAGTCTGGCCTTGCAGTCCATAGCTGCCGATTTCGTAGCGTAGTATGAAGGGCCTCGTACGCGGAGCCCGGAAGGAAAACATCGTTGATAAGATCTGTTGGATCGGAGAAGATGCCATGGTCAAACACCGGTGATTGTCCCGCTTGATAGGAGCCTGCCACCGATGAATGAAACTGATTATTTTGGTCAAGACCCCTCAGTGCAGAGAGATCATTGATCGCATATTCGGGGCTGGAATAGACATAAGGATGCGATATGGAGTCGTCCCTAGGTTGTGGTTGGAATTCGAACCGTAGATTCGAATCATAGTGAGAATGAGGAGATGATGCTTGAAGACCTAGAGGGCTGACATGGGCTTGAAGTTCATGTCCTAAAGATCTATCATATGTCTTCTGGGGATGCGATGACGTATTGCTCGAGTATGGCGGTGATAGGCCAGAATTTACCCCAGGATTTGATGCAGGAGCCCCATTGTCAATCAGGGGAGTTTTGGGGTCCGCATTGTCCCCCGCAACAGCCATAGGCATCGATATAGTGCTATCGTCTGGGGTAGATGGTGGAGGTGACCCATGCACTGATCCTTGCTCTGGGGCTGGGGGTACTTGATCCTGCTGTTTGGGTGCACGCTTGGGCCGTGGATTTGCAGTATTGACAATCTTGAATCTACTCTGCCGCTTGCTCTTGCTAGCTGCCACGCCTTGGCTCATGGAAGGGTGATCTGACTCTAGCACCTTGAGATTCGAGTCGCGAAACGCACCCATCATGCGCCATTGGCATTTCTCCCCCCGACGCTTACAGCCCGTGCACATGGGCTTAGCCTCATCGCATTTTCGCCGTCTGCGACTGCAGTTGACACATCCGGTCCTCGTGCGCTTCTTCCGCTCTGCACCCGTAGGGGGGATCGACCCTTGCAGGTCTAGCGGGACTGAAGCTTGGAGCATTCCCTCCCTATCTTCAGGAGTCGGACTATTCGAGAACATATTCGACATTGTTGCGCAAAACATGTACCATGTTGGTAAACTGGAGGCATAGAAGGGATGTAGAAGAGGCGAAGAAGTTTTACCGCATTGGGCAATGTTAAGCGCTGAGGTCCTAGCAACGCCGAGACCCACTCGGTATCTTTCTGTTGGTCGCCCCGAGTCGGCTTTAGTGGGGAGTGACGGGGGTTCCCCGAGGGTAGTCATCTCGAGAGATTGGGGTCGGGTCAAAATGGAGTTCGGTATTGCATGAGCCGAGGAATTTCCCAACCTTGCTGGAAGTCAAGAAATGTTTTGTCCCTAAGTTATGCCAAGGCTGTTACCAGCCTGACGCATAAGGCCACCAAGGCCAACTTGTAGTATGAATACAAGATCGAGTTCAAAATCTTATCGCTTACTGGCCTTTTCCAGGCAACATAGTCAAAGCCTAGGTAAGCGTCTATAGTGTTGAGCAAATTTGCTTTGAGAGACAGTATACCCAGTATATCCGGATTACATGGTTTGGTACTTTCTTATCTACAAGAGCAAACATAAAGCATCTGCCTAATCTATCCCCCTATCGCTAAGTCTATTGTGACGGCCAATTCTTCCAAGAATACTAAGATGAGCTTTAGCTAGACGAACCCTCAATTACCTTCCTGTTCTGCTTTCCACAAATAAAACTCAGCTTTTGTTGAGTCAATGCAAGTTCGGATTGTTTGATCGGAATCATAATGTGGTGACACTGGCATGTAGTACGTGGGCTAGTAGCTAACTTACCAATCAACTCGAGAATTAGACCCAGATCTGCGTTACGCGCTCTAGGGCTGAAATTATCCCCCAATCCTGTCATAGTGCTTGTCAACAAACGGAGGTGTCTCCAGAGAGGAACATGGTTATAATTGTCATCAGTGTTTCCATGGGGGGTAATGAGCTTATTGTTGGGTACAGTCAGATTGACCCTACTTCCTAGCTGAGTCTCCAGGAATTTGCTCTACACTGGTCTGATGAATATCCTGCCTAGGCTTGGGGAAATGCTTTATTGTGAATAAGCACTAGTGATCCTGCAGGCAGATGCTACCCTGGTGTCTCAGATGAGAGAAATTATTTTTTCCGAAGGGAACTATAGCCGAGGAGGAAATACAGGGGGCTTACAGGGCTTACGGGGCGCACCTGTTCCTGGCCCGGGCCGAACAACCCCACTATCTTATAGATATCCAACAGGTTCAGGGACCAACAAGCCTTCGATCAGGCGTCCAATGGAATTAGGCTTAGTATCTCTTGGCGCGCAAGTAATACTATCCCATAACAAGCGAGATCCAGCGCTCCATCAGCTGTTCGTGCAACTAGTTACAAGCCACTACTCGACATAGAGTCTTTCTCTGCTAGAGATTGGCGCGGAACCGCTTTTCCATCTTGTCGGAATGAAATCGAGCTGCAGCCCGCTCTAGTCCAACGGAGCCTGGGAAACAACGTATCGTGCCGTTCTGTTCTAGAGACTACGGGGTATCTTCGGCATGAGGGTTCATTGCTGGGAAAGCCTTGGATGTGGGCAATCTTGAATATAAAAGGGAGGCCATTGCCAGGTAAACAGGTCATCATCACAACTTCGTCTTTCAAGCTTTGGGCTACTCTTTATCTCTGAAACGTTCAATCACTCGAATGAGAGTGAGTTTCCTCCTAGTCGTTCTACTCTTGGATATTTCTGCAATTTTCCTTCGAGTATCATCAGGAAAATGGTCAACGCAAGCAAAATTGTCTCTGCTCTGTTCGCATTTGGCCTTGTTGGCGGAGGTTCTGCGGAATACAACGCAACAGATGGAACAGTGACCTACTTCCCCTTGAGCGAGGAGTGGGCCGGTGAGGGCTCCGACATGACCGTGAGCTTTGACAAAGTCCATGCCGACTATATCTCCGTGTTCAACGGCACCGACTCTCTCGAGAAGCGCAGGATCATTGACGTGGAAGCCACGGCAGCTGTTGTCACTGCTGGAAGCTCCGTTATCCTTGCAGCCAACGCCGGAATCAACATCTACAACTTCATCGCTGATGTGATCAAGAGCAAGTCGAACTCAAACTCTTGTTCCATGACTATTGGTTCGGACTCGGACGGCCACGGTCATGTCGAGGGCTACGCCTATGAAGCGACGACAAGTGGCTCGAAATGCGATACCACGTCCGAGAGAAAAACAATCCTGGCGGCTGTCAGGAAGTGTGCTGATTGGCTGCACACGCATGGTGCTGTTACTGGTTGCTGTCAGTTTTCTCATGGTGGTACCTGGAAGGGGCACTTGCGTCTCAGTGCCAACAATGGAAAGTACCCGGCGAGCTCAGTGAGATGTTAAGACTGTTGGAGATACCATACAGTTAGACCCAAGTTGGCTCTTTTGTGCCTTTGAGGGACAAACAATTTACTGTCTCACTCCTCCTATGTTGTTGAGATTGGGATGAGAGGTATTTTTTGTGGATTTTGGCAGATGGAGATGAGTGGTTAGCTTTCCATAGTGATACGAAGAGGATAGGCTGTGCTGAATAGATAAAAGTCCAATTGAGGACTAGAAATTTGAATTCATTGCTGTCAAGTAATGTAAGCAATACCGTAGCCTTTAATAATCTCATAAAAAAAGGGCATTATTAAGGGCACCCCCTCAGGATGCTCTTCGGACCCCCTCCCCACTCACTAAGCCTTATTGGGTCTGCTGTAGTAATAACATCCTGAGGGGGTCCTTTTAAATCGGCCCTAAAGAATAAGGCTAGGAGCCATTGAAACATAATTCAAAGGTTTCACGCAAAGGTAAGCTCAGCCCCATCGTACACTCCATTGGGTATATACTCCCCCGAAAATACAATTTAACTACTCAATATGCTGAGCTTGAACATTCTCAAGATCCTTTGTCGTGGCATTGCCGACGCGAGTGTCAACGTCTCCTGCAATACCCATGGACGAATCCCAGTAAAGCTGAACCTTTTCGCCTGTGAATAGGCGGTCGATTTGCTCCAAAGTGAGATTGCGTGTCTCCGGGTAGAAGAAGAAGATGAGCGGCAAGAAGCAGAAGTTGAAGACTATCAAGATCGTTAGGAAATAATTGATACCCAATGTTCAATCTCCTTTTGAACATACCGGCAAAGTAAATGTAAGTCTTATAGCCAATGTTGGCAATGCTGACTGGTGTGATCTCCACAACGAGGAATGTGCAGATCCCTGAGTTAAAGCTCTTAGCTGGTGCCAGTTGAAAGAAGGACATGAGCGCGTACAATTTGTAGCAGTAGCCATAGCAGCCGAACGAGTTCGAATTGCCAACGGGGAATATTCTGCGGGCACTGCATCGAGATTTATTAGTAATGTTTTTCTTATTAAGGATACCTCAAGGAATATCGGTACTCACATAGCCAAGGAATAGCGAGAAGGCCTACACCGAAGAAAAAGTTGAACAGGAATAGCATGACAGTTGCAACCAGACCGGCAGCATGTCCACCATTCCAGACGGTACCCGCCAGAATAGCCATGCAGCATCCTTGTCCAATAACAGCAAACATCATGAGCTTGCGGCGACCGAGTCTGAAAGAAGTTAGTCTACGATCAAGCAAGATTCCAATTTATCATACCGCTCAATCGTCCAGATAGGAACCAGGGAAGAAAAGAAGTAGGCGATTCCGTTGAAACCAGCCAAGAGTAACGCAGTATGGTGAGACATTCCAACCGACTGTTCGAAGATAACAGTTGCGTACTAGAATTGTGTCAGCAAAAACAATCAAAAGATGCTTCAATATCAAAGTACTCACGTAAGTGATTAAGTTGATACCCGAGATCTGCTGCATCATTTGTCCTCCCATTCCGAGCAGGGTTCTGTACAAGAAGCGCTGCTTGTTGTTTTGGAAGAGAAGTTTGAAGGATCCCCCTGAAGCTGCTTCCTCTTCCTCTTCAACTGCGCGAGTAATTTCTGTGACATCGACATTCACTACTGGATCATCCACTTCAATTTCTCGAGCGTTGTGTTGGAGGGACCAAATAATCTGGCGAGCCTTGTTTTCTTGGCCGTGTTTGATGAGCTATCATAGGTCAGTTGAGTACTGGAAGTTTGGGCGGATTGTGACGAACCCAACGAGGAGATTCGGGGAGGCAAAGCACACCAATGAAGGTGAGCATGGCGAACAGAATTTGAAGAGCAAGGGGGAAGCGGAACTGGGCTTCATTGTTGACATAACTCATTCCATAGTCTGCATAGGTCAGTCATCAGTACGTACGCCATTTGGGACGCAAAGTTGAAGAGAACTTACCAACCCAGTATGAGAGCATAACACCAAAGATGTTAATAGCTAGTTCAATGGCCAGCTAGGGAAATAATCAGCGCCATGAATCTCAATAAGGTCCAACACTAAACTTACTCCTTTGCCTCGGCTTGCCGCTTTGCTTAGTTCTGAATGCCAAACGGCTTCATAGATATTAGCAACCTCGATTCATTATCCTCAGTGGAGTGGAAACTCACGAATAGTACTGGTATTAAGACCATTTCCAACACCGGCAACGATGCGACCAACAATCATATGAGGGATGCTGTAGGCACTGGCCTGGAGCGCAGCACCGATGGCAAGCACTACACATCCAGCCAGGATACACTTGCGTCGACCGAGTTGTTCACCGAAGCATAAAGAGATAATTGCACCCAAGAAACACCCCTATTTTTGTTTTAGCCGTGTATTGAAGAGACGAGGCGTTCCAGATGCCAACTTACGATTTCATAGATGGCGACACTGTGTTGCAACACGAAAAGTTAGCTCGGACATGCTTCGAGGATGTACAGTACAGGCTCACTCACACTGTTCCCTGTAAAGAAGAACTTCCATGTCCTCCACTGGTGGTATCAATTTCAGGGAAGGTGGCAACAAATGCATCTCCAGTCAACAGACTGGACATCACACCCTGGTCATAACCAAAGCTAGTTGTTCAAGTCAGTAAGGACGCTTTGACCTGACAGCACCAGTATTTTAGCATAGGGTATAAAATTACAGCAAGAAGCCACTGCCAGCGGTGGCTGTGATAGCATATGACAGTAGCCGGCCCACGAGGAAAGTCATGATGAGATCGTGTTCCCGTAAACAGTTGACCGCGGTAAATAATCTGGGGATTAAGCAGCAGTAAGGGATGTTGACTCGGACCTAGTCAGAACAGTGGGGTATTGCAGCTTTTATAAACAGTTGTATGATTGCAGTATAGTCCCTACAAGGCAAAAAGTGGCGCCATTCCAGATTGAATGGAGACCTTGGCGTAACAACCCACGTCGGCGATCTAAACTTCCCCGGGTTGCTATGTTTCTGGGCCGGGTAGTTACTGTATTTTGCGGGGTGCATCTGGAGACAATGAACGAATAAATGCCGCATCGCTGAGAGATTAGTTCCGTTGAAGCTGGGGATGTCCTACTGTAGTGCATTGCCATTTTGTATGATAATCTTATCCTTGATCATCATGAGTTTCTCTGCGAATGTAGACTAACAAGCAACATTTAAACTGCATACTTTGCCGTCGGAAAATACATGGAAAGCTGAGCCTAAAAGGGTCAGCCCAAGGCTCGAGACATCGGCATCCCCAGACCGGCTAAGTCCTTAAACGGCAGAATTCTGTGTTTCCTAATTGGGGATAAATAAGCACTTTACTGCGGATGCACGATATGCTCGTTCTAATGATATTTAAGTCACGTGTTAAGGTATCTACCGAGAGCAAGCTGCCTCGTTCTCCCGATATTTCAGTTCTCCAATACCACCTTCCCCCCGACGATGTCATCTGCACACTCAGGTACCGCAGCCCCATTTATTCCCCAGTTTATCGCTCCGTCTCCCGCGACTCTGCATCTCAGACTAACCCTATAAAGCAATATTTAGCACCCGACGAAGTCATAGAAAACACGTCGTACTCCGCGTGTCCACTGTCAACCGGGGCGAATCGGCATGATTTGTCGGCACGATGAACTGCAAAGGTTGGACCTTGGACTGATATTTCCTGCGCCGAACAATGTTCCACTGTGGCCCTTCCAGGTCAACACTTCCCTAGTTAGGTTGTATATAGCCGCTGCAGGCGATTCTCTGCCTGCAGATAACAGCAGCAGAACGTATCCTATATGAAGTGGATGTCCTCACAATCCGAGAAAGAAAATACTCAATACTTCAAATTCTCTGCCTTCTCTACGCCCTAATCCCAAACTTACTTCACAATGGCCCCCTCCATTTCGCTCGACCACACCACCCCGGCCGTCGTGCCGGAATCTAACGAGACTCCCGCTGCCTTCGCGCCAACCAATGACCTTTTCTCCCTCGCCGGTCGCACAGTCATGATCACTGGCGGCGGTCGTGGTCTTGGTATGACCTTGACCATCGCCGTCCTCGAGGCTGGCGGCGATGTCGCATGTCTCGATCTTTTGGCTGAACCTAGCCAGGAGGAGTGGGCTACTGTGCAGAAGACTGCTAGGGTGCGCGGCCTGCAGGCAACCTACAACTCTTGCGATATCACCAATGAGGAGGCCACCAAGAAGGCTCTGGAGGATATTGCTGCCGAGGCTATGCGCCGCAACAAGCCTCTTCGTGGTGCCATCACTTGTGCTGGTATCCAGCAGATGGTTCCTGCGCTTGACTACCCCGTTGAGGGATACCGCAAGATGCTTGATGTCAAGTGAGTTAAAAGGCACCAAAAGAAGTGTTTCATGGTACTCATAGCTTTCTTTTAGCGTTCTTGGAACATTCATCCCCGCCAAGCACTGTGCTCGTATCTTCATTGAACAGAAGACCCCCGGCAGCATCGTCATGATCGCATCTATGTCTGGCCAGATCGCCAACCGGGTATGTCTCTTAATAAAACCAATGAAGATAACTACTGGATGCTAACAATATTTATTTTATTAGGGATTGACCTGCACCGCATACAACTCCTCCAAGGCCGCTGTCCACCAAATGTGCCGGTCCGTCGCCCAGGAATGGGGCCAACACAACATCCGCGTGAACACCCTCTCCGCTGGAGTAAGACATTTTCACAAATTTACTTAACATAGACAATTTTAGCTAATCGTTGACCAATTAGTATATTCGCACTGCCATGACCGACGCTCTCCTCAAGGAGAAGCCCGAGGTCGAGGAGACCTGGATGCGTGGCGCCCTTCTCGGCCGCCTTGGTGCCCCCGAAGACTTCAAGGGACCTACCATCTATATGCTTACTGACTCCAGTGCCTGGATGACTGGTGCTGATCTACGTGTGGATGGTGGTCACTGTGCATCCGCATAAGTCACTATTGCTCGATAAAGTAAGGAACGATGGATGAACTAGATGTGGCATGTTTACGGCGTTCAATTGAGATTTGATGGAATACAAAATCCTTGGGAATAGATATTCAATTGCACATATTATTTTCTATTGACGTGACTTAGGAGTACTTCGGTATTCTAAGCAAATCTATGAGGATAGTCTTCACGTTGCGACAACATGTTAACCCTTTTCTCAAATCACTTAGGTGCAGTGGAGAACACCACCTTCGTGTGTATGACAATTCTAGGCATATCAGTCAGCTTGAAGTCACATAATCGAGCAAGGCAAGGATTGACTTACCTCTGGAACATCAGACGTCGTAGAAGGCTTGTCAGTGGCAGTCGCAGAAGGAGTTGCGGCCGCAGAAGCTGTCTCATCACCATGATCTTCATGCTCATGCTGAACACCCGGGCAACCGACTCCCGGCGCGGCAATGTCATACGCATAAACCTCCAATGCAAAGTACTGGAGAGTCTCCGAGTCATGAGTTGACAAAGTGGCATTTTCTTTCGCCAGGTCAACAACCTCCTCATAACCATCCGCAAAGTGGTCGATCCAGGTCTGTCCTACGGCAGGAACATGGTACAACCGGTGCAAGAGATCAGACGCCCAGAAAGTATTGGTTTCCGATCCAGAGACAGTATATCCAAGGCCACACATTGTGGAGAGGGAGCGGCGGGTTTCATAACTCAGGTCGCAGATGACGGTTTCGTCGGTGGCATTTTCGCCTCGCCAGTGTCCGGCCCAACCTAACGAGGGAATTGTTTAGTATCACAGATCATCATTCTAGTAGATGAGCACCGTACCGTCAAGTCCACAGTTTCCATCAGGGTTATCGCATCGGAACAAGATATCCTTCTTGTCACCGTTGATCACGATATCAAACGCGCCAACGGCTTCCATGGAGGGACTATCACCAAAGTACTTTCTGTAAATTGAACTCTCGTTCCGCCATCTCAGAATATGCTCTTTAGCATGTTGAGCCAGAGCCATTGTCTCCAAGAGACCCATTTCGATCTGGCGATGTTGGGTTGCATTGCAGCTGGAATGAATGGGATATTGATTCACAGCGCCGGCGTTCCAGGGTGCTAGGCCGGTCTGAGAGAAGGGCTGTGTCTGATTGCCTTCAGAAGTTACCGAGGTAGGCAGAGCTGCAGCAGTTGCCGCAGAAGAGAGTAAGAGATTGAGGAACAACATGCTGCTGATAAAAGCTCGAAATCTTGTTTACAAACATCATAGCAAACCGGTCTCTTGCTGCCTTTATATACTTATTCTTAGCAAACTTTCTATCCACCACTCTCTACCCAGCATTTGCCTATCATCACCTTAAATGTTTGCCAAGGGTGGCTTTCCAGTCCTCATTTAAACCGTTTTCGCAATCTTACTAGTTCGCGCAACACCGAATCCAGAACAGGAAGCGAGATGTAAGCCTCTTCTCTTCGGTGTTCGGGAAATTATATTTGCCAAGAGAGGACCTTGAGGGCTTAATTCTCCGCAATGACCTAGATTTACAGCCAGAAGGAGAAAAATGTGATCATTGATGCCAAGAAAAAGGCTCGGCGGAGGGCTGCCAAGAGGCTTGGGCGGGAGTACCTTGGAAGAACAAGAGACAGTAAGCGACCTGCTCCGATAAAAAGACCCTCATTGACGGCCAGGACCGCTCTTGGCAGACAGCTAGAAGAGTCTTCTGCTTGGCAGCGGGAACCTTGGGGGTGAGGCCCTCGAGCGGTGCTCTCATCCCGGTTACTAAACGGCCTTTTTAGAGAGGGTTGCCGGCCCGCTGCTTCCATCATCTCGAGGATTTATTTTCTTTTTGGGGTGTTGCTCTGTTTTATATTTATGAGTATTTGCTGAAGACACATTTCTTGCAAGATGCTCATCCTCCGATCCTTGCTCCTATCCCTCGGCATTGCTGGAGTATATGGACAGACTGCCACTACCACAGCCCAGACATCATCCGTTACTGGATGTCACAGCCATGGCTCGGATATCTATTGCATCAACGGCGAAGGCCAAGAAGTCTTAGTCTCAGCGACATCAACTCCTACAAGTGGAATACCGGCACAGTACACAGGGTGTCATTCCCACGGGAGTGAATCGTAAGTAGCTCACATCAGGATCTATCACAGTATGCTAATTTGAAAATTTATAGATACTGTATGGATGCAGATGGAAATGATGTTTTAATACAAGAAGAAGAAACGACGACGGAGAGTGAGACTGAGAGCGACCACGATCATGATAATGAGGAATCATCCAGTGGAACTGAAACAAACTGTCATTTCCATGCAGGTGTTGAGTAAGTTTACATATTTCAATTCTTCTGACTATTGCTAACATCTTATCTAGACATTGCGTCGGCGCGGGTGAATCAGAAGATAGCCATGCTTCATGCGATAGCATGACACGAGACTACGACGTGCCTTTACGAATTGGCACCCTTTTCGTCATTCTCGTCACTAGCGCAATTGGTGTATTTGCTCCAATCCTACTACTGAAGCTTCCTTTTGCCTCTATCAATGGTGTGGTATCGACTGTCATCAAGCAATTCGGAACTGGTATTATCATCTCTACGGCTTTCATCCATGTAAGTGATACAAACTATGTCAACCTATGACATGCTGACCTTTTCGGCTAGCTCTACACACATGCAAATCTCATGTTCACCAATGAGTGTCTCGGGGAGCTCGAGTACGAAGCCACTACTTCCGCGGTGGTATTGGCTGGTATTTTCCTTGCATTCTTGTTGGAATTCATCGGGCACAGAATTGTCGTCGCTCGCAACAGCAAGAGGACTGTTTCCGAAACATATCCCTCGGAGTCCCAGCAACCATCCCAAAAGGGCCATTCCGATCAGCCCCAAAGCCAGCAACAGCCCACTCTGGCGTGTCTCGGTCACAGCCATGGCCCTCAGGACCCAACCGCACCGAACAGCAAATTTTCAGTCCTTGTCATGGAAGCTGGTGTTCTTTTCCACAGTATTCTGATCGGTCTCACTCTTGTCGTTGCTGGAGACTCTTTCTACAAGACGCTCTTGGTGGTCATTGTCTTCCATCAATTCTTCGAGGGCTTAGCTCTCGGTGCTCGCATTGCGACTCTTCCTGGTGCCATTTTCCCTTCCAAGGCCATTATGGCGACAGCGTTTTCTCTGATTACGCCTATCGGTATGGCTATTGGACTTGGTGTGTTGCGCACCTTCAATGGTAACTCCAGAAGCACATTGATTGCCCTTGGAACACTGGATGCACTTTCTGCTGGTGTTCTGGTGTGGGTTGGTGTTGTGGATATGTGGGCCCGTGACTGGGTGATTGAAGGGGGTGAAATGATGAATGCAAACATTGGAAAGGTTTTGACCGGAGGTCTTTCCATGGTTGCTGGACTTGTGTTGATGGGTCTACTTGGAAAATGGGCTTGAGCTTGTAATGCCTATTTCTCGCTCTGAGAAAACCTGTTGAAAAATAATAAGTGATGTCAAATTTAGAGACTTGTGATAGTTATAAAAGACAGTATATCATATTCGCTCGCATTGCTAATTAAAAAGAATCATTATCAATATGTTGGAATTCAAGTGCTAACATTAGAAACTCTGTCATGTCAATATCTCACGCGTAGCGCCTCTGTCTTGGTTCTCTCATGAAGAACATCATACTTGTAAATGTTAGGATTTGGACTTGGGACTACGAATCATGCAATACAGCTGAGGTGATTTCGGTCAGTCATAAAGACGGGCAGCGCAGCCATGAGCACATACCTTTAAAACATCCACTCCATCCACACACTCAATCTCTCTAACGAGCTCGAATCCCATCTTCTCATAGATGCACACATTGGGATATCCTTTAGAACTCTCCAGGTAGCATGGCATTCCCTCCTGGTCGGCTTTCTCCATCACGCTTTCCATGAGCTTCTTTCCAACGCCCATGCCACGAGCCTCGGAGTTCACACCAACGACATTGCAAAAGTAATACCCCCGAGGATCCTGCCAGATAGAATCATGGGCGGATTGTTGCACCTGCTTCCAGATCCAGTATCGGCGCACATTTAAGCCCCCGCGACCAAAAAACATGATGTTGTTCATGAGTTGTCGAAAAGAGAGAAGCCATTCCTGTGCCCAGACAGACCAAGTCTGTGGCTTGGTCGGAGCCTGTGGCGAATACCACCAGCCAACTCCGACGACCGTTCCGGGTGGTAAACGGACCTCGAGGTCGTTCTTGGTCTCATTCGCGGCACGGGTTATTTTAGCGACGGATATGGGACAGTCGCAGTTGATGCCATATTGAAAATGAGCCGCGAGGGAGGCTGCGTTCCGTTGGATATTGAACTATGAAGACCCGTTATTACTCGAAACTCCACTTCGCTTTGTCCCATTTCTCTTCCCAGAGCCACAAACTCTCAGGGGCATGACGTTTGAGGAAAGGTAGCTCATACCTTTGATGGATCATCGAATGCCCATCGAAAATAAGGATCATCCGAAAACGCTTTCTGCACACAGTCTACAGCCCCGGGTATATCACCCTGGGCCAGCGGAACAATCTCGACCGCCATGGTTCTGGGCTTCGGACTACGGTTTCGCAAACGGCGATGGTCGGATCAACGGATAGGTTTAGAGACCCGGGTCCTTTTTCTACTAGCTCTGCGAAGAGGCTGAGACAGAGATATAGTATAAGAATGCCAATGGAGCCGTTGGGGACAATGAGAGAAAACCTCCATCTAAGTAAAATTGAAGTGGTGATGGTCCACAGGTTGAAGGGAGAAGGAGAGGATAGCAAAGTCTTTGTTTATGGTAAGGTTGTCAGCAATCCAGGTGTAAGTGATGAGGGTAAACAGAGGAAAGGACGGGCCTCATATAGCTGAGCTCCATCCGCTTTGATCACGCTTATCTCTTATCCTTACTGACTTGTCTCACTAGCCCTTCTAGGCAGCTCCAACCGGGGTAAACACAGACGAACAGTGGGGTTGCACTGCGACCAGTCCCGGCGGTAACCGCAACGAAATGAGACTGGTTGGAGAGCACATGACACCTGACATAGATTACGGATTTCAATATGCTCGAGTATCTTGAGTATGTTGAATCATTCGAGGATTTCATTGATCTCATATGCAATACAAACGCGGGGATCGGTTGTGTTGGTGTCGTATTGGATCATGTGGGGAGGCTATTCGCAAATAGGAAGGTTGTTGCGGGAAGAAAGGGGGCGGATACCGCGTATCAGTTTTATCAGTTGAGATGATAACAAGAAATGCACCTGGTTCAAGAGATATAGATCGAGATCACATCTAAAGTTCTCAGTGCGCACTTTATTACTATGATTCAGGAACCGAGTCTGTTGACTTCAGGGAGGGAGCGAGTGATTTCGCCATAAATTCTAGGCACAGTACAGGAATCGGAATACTGTAGTTCGTGGATATCTGGAAGATCGGATATGACAAGCAAGCTAATGCAGGGTTTTTCCTGCGGTTTTTTGATTGGCAGGTACTTGCTCAGACTCAGTCATATCCCTGGCCGCGAAATGAAGATTATCGCAATGTCTTTCTGGAGACAAAGGACATCGCCAAGACGTTTGTGTGTATCGCCTTGTGCGGGAATGTTCCCTTGTTGCCTTTCCACTATCTTAAAGAAAGTAACAAAGGACTTTACCCACACATTGTTCTCCGTTTGTATAGGGAGCTTCGAAAGTCAGATCAGTGTAGCCTATTAATAAAATACAAATAGCCACAATATGGCCATCTTGAAAAAATTCACAATATCAAGCCATTTACAATTATTATCTGACATTCAATCTCTGGCTACAGTACGCCCTTTTTCTGAAATATTATTAAAAATTTCCAAAATGGATCCAATCAAGCGGGTTGCTGTCATTGACATTTTGCGTACACAGGCTTTTTTCCTGAACAACACTTACTATCGTCACCCTAACGTATCCCAAGAGTTCAAAGGGGCTATTATCCTATTGCGCAAACTTTATCTAGAAGCCACCGAGAACGTTTACACTCGTCACCAAATTGTGTGCCATTGGTCTTTGCTCTGGTTGGTACAACACATCAAACCCCTTGAAATGGGATGCGATAGGCAAACTGGTAGATTGATTGCACAAGATCTTTACAGCAGAATCATTTTCGACCTACTGCGGCCAGAGCAAGTCTTCTGAGATGCATTGCTGGGAAATTGAAACTTCCATCAATTTATGCACCATATATCTTCTATGGCTTTCTTGTATCTAGTGATAACCAAATGACTCTTATCCAGCCAAGATAGCTCTATATAGATCAACCAAATGAAGCACCGCTTATAGCAAGAAGCAGTATCATTTTTCAAGCAATGAGTAAGATGAGTTTTATTTTATGTAATTTGGCAGCTTTAAGACGTATTTAACGTACTTTTGGCTCAATTCGGCTTACTCGCCTATTCCCAACCTCAAGTGAGAAGGACAAGATGGGTGGATGCACATCGCAAGGAAGAAAAAGCGCGGGAAGGTAGAAAATACAATTTTGCATTATTCCAAGGCCACTATCATTTTGTAACAATTTCATTCAAATTTAATTCCATTTCACGGCAGTGTGGCATAAGAATAATTCACATATTACTGCTCACCGATTTAGCTGACTTAATGCACATGTGAACGGTGATTTTGATAAAGTAAACAAGACTAGGTTAGCGAATCTCGAGTAAGTTGGTTGTTTAGATATTTTACTCATGTCTCATCTAGGCTTAGTGGTAGAGAGGGAGGATGGAAATTATTCGTTCAGTCATACTAAGCAAGCGACAAACAAGCTGACCTTTGTCGACAATACCCCCGGGTATCAGTTGAATGTGGAAATAAGAATCACTGCGATCGTTGGATTTATAGTATACTGGCAACTGCAAGGTAATATATAGCTATTGGAATATACATGCACCATGCATGTACTAACTGTACGGGGAAAGTCGCCGTTACGGCGTGATGGCTCCCATCACTGAAGCCATCCGTTGACACAGGTCAGAAGACACTCCAAGCCTCAGTATCTAAATTACAGTAACTAAATATTGCGAAGTACCAAGGGGGCTGAAGTATAAGGGAATATGCTGGTTGATTCGGTGGCAATATTCGTACAAGGTGAACCTTGGGCGTCCAACTGAGACAAGCCATGTTTGGAAAATCCTAGCCTAGCAAATTTATTGAAACAACTAAAAAATTGAGAGCTTCACTTTCAGGGTCAGCAACTACGCACATCCTAGAGGTTCTCGGTACCCTAGTGCTGACAGAGTGTAGACGCCGGAAGCCAAGACGCCGAATCATGCAAGTACTTCCAAATATTAGCAGTCAAACAGGAACATTAATAGCCATCACCCTTGAGAAAGAGATAGCAAGATGGACCATGTGATATCTATCTCGTCTCATGTTGAAATCTGCGGGGGCTAGCGTAAAGCAATGGCCAGCCTTGTAGTGAATTGACATTTACTAGCCCGGTACTAACACCAAAGAGGAAACTGCCTTATCCCAGAACACCTGACTCTCCACAGCTGACAGCAGCATCTCAACCCTACGTAGAGCTTAATATATTGAGGTCGTTGTGTTAGGACCGCTCTTCGAGAGCTCCCGCCGGGCGACTCAATTTGGTTCAATTGATCTAGACAGCCCTATATGTCTGATTCATGGTACTTAAACTTTGCTCGTTTTCCCGTTACGAGTGACTCCCGTAGAATATGATCAAGATAGAATTCCGGCCTATTTTTGTACTTGCCAATGTGCTTGTTCTGCGTACTTCTCTATGTATGTCTGAGATCTCGGCCTACTAGATACTTTCACTCATGCAGTGCCTGCGGGACAGTCATCGACATATGTCTATTGAGGATTGATTAAGAATGCAGGAATATGGATAAATGGCAAGACGGCTTCTAAAACGGCTCCATGCCTATTGTCTGCTTGGCAGCAGCTTCGTCGCCTGTCACATCGAACCATTGAATTGATAGTGTAGTCTGCGGAGGTAAGATGTAATTTGATTTCCCGTGTCTTAGATCAAGAGCACACGTTGTATAGGTGTGGTTCCAATCAGATCAGTAAAACCTTCCATGTCTCAGGGATATGAACGCTTATCATCAAGATATCCTACTAAAATACGGCTTTATATTTCTAGAACAGGTCTTGACGGGGGTGGCTGGGCGAGAACTGGCTTTCATCATATGTTTTATGCTTTAATGCCGCGAGCCCTAGTTACAGTACCCAATTTGAACAGCTGCTGAGCCAATGGAATTCAACCGTGTGGTTTCACTCGTATGTAGAAATATGGTTAGAGTGATATGTTTCGGCTCTTATTGCCTATAATTTAAGACAAGAAGCCCAAAGTAGAAGTTTTATTGCTCGGTAGTCCAAAGACGTCACCACGGACCTGTGAGCTGCGGCTGGAACAATTCTTGTAATCCCATCAGAACACTTTCCTATCTTTCCCGGAAGTTGAATTCAAGGTATAAAGACAGCTTGGGGACCTGTCGTCAATCCATCTCAGCAGCATCTTCTCTCCAGTCTCCGAGTCTCATCAGCTTAGTTTCCCGATCTTTCCGACTAAAATCCTTGGACATCCAACATGAGTGTCAAGGAGGGTTCTCGTTTCGACTTCATTATTGTCGGCGGTGGCACGGCGGGTAACACCGTTGCCATGCGTCTGGTGGAGAATCCCGATGTCAGAGTTCTAATTATTGAAGCTGGCGTTGGCAACGCAATCGACATTCCGGAGATCAGGACTCCATCTGGGGCAATGGAACTCCGGAACAGCAAGTATGACTGGGCATACAAAACGACCATGATTAAGCGTGACGACTACGAGCGAGTGAAAAAGCCGAATACCCGCGGCAAGATCCTCGGTGGTAGTTCCTCGCTCAATTACTTCACCTGGGCTCCTGGAAGCAAAGGAACATTTGATATGTGGGAAGAATTCGGCGGCAAAGACTGGACGTGGGACAACCTCAAACCCTATCTTCGAAAGAGTGTCACTTATCACGACGACACTGGCATTCACCCACCTCACCTTACGAATATCGGCGGTGGAGGCCCTATCCTGATCGCTCATTCTGAGCTTATTCCCGAGATGAGTCCCTTCCGTGATCGTCTCACGCAGGCTTGGAAGTCTACCGGCAAGCCTGTCACATAGAACATCTTCGACGGTGAGATGATTGGCTTGACACATAGTGTCAACACTATCTACAAGGGTCAACGCTCGGGAAGTTTCCTGTGTCTAGTGGGCAAGCCAAACATCACTGTGATGACCGAGACCCACTCCAAGTGTCTGATCATTGATGAATCAGACCATACTTGCAAAGGTGTGACTGTGATTACCAAATCAAACAATGAGCTTAGCCTCTACGTGACCCGCGAAGTGATTGTTACCGAAGGTGTCTTCGAAAGTCCGAAACTGCTCATGCTAAGCGGCATCGGTCCGAAGCGTGAATTGACAAGACACAACATCGACGTGATTATCGATTCTCCTCACGTGGGCAAGCATCTGCTAGATCACCCCGGCGTCCCGTTCGTCCTCCACGTTAAGGATGACTTCGGCATGGACGAGCACGTTCTACGAGAAGGTGCTAAGCGCGACAAGGCAATCATGGCCTACAAGGAAAACTTCGGTGGACCACTCGCATCCGGCTTCCTCGAGATGGTCGGCTTCCCTCGCATCGATGAGTATCTCGAAAGAGACGCCGATTACCGCAAGGCCAAGGCTGCCAACGGTGGCAAGGATCCCTTCTGTCCGTATGGCCAGCCGCACTTTGAGCTGGACTTTGTCTGTATGTTCGGTAGTGCCTTCCAGTGACATTACCCGACACCCAAGAAGGGCAATTATATCACCGTGATGGTCGATCTTGTTCGGCCCATTTCGGAGGGTGGTGAGGTGACACTGAACAGTGCCGATGCCCTTCAGCAGCCGAATATCAATCTGAACTACTTTAATGATGAGCTTGATATCATTGCTATTCGTGAGGGTATTAGGTACAGCTATGATGTTTTGGTGAAGGGTGAGGGTTTCAAGGATATCATTGAGGAGGAATATCCCTGGGAGATGCCTCTGGACGATGACGAGATGATGAAGAAGACGGTGTTGGATCGCTCTTAGACTTCTTTCCATCCTTGTGGTACTCTTCGTCTGTCAAAGACTGTTTAGCAAGGTGTTGTCGATCCTATTCTCAAGGTTCATGGTATCAAGAATCTGCGGGTTGCCGATGCGTCTGTTATGCCTGTCATTCCTGATTGCCGTATTCAGAACTCAGTATACATGGTGGCTGAGAAGGGTGCTGATCTGATCAAGGCAGATCACAAGGATCTCTAAATGAAGGAATATTTTGATGTTACTTGATGCGTTGCCGTTGGTCAACTCTATTAGGCCATTATGAAACGCGACAGTGGTATACTTTCTTCTGTTCTTCCAATCCAGTTGACTGCGAAACATTATCCAAGCAATTTATAGCCGGAAAGTATCATTCTCCACAGTATCTACTCAAAGTTCCCCCAGCGACGTGGACTCACCATCTAAGCGACGGTCGGGCCGTTAACGCTGGGCGTGTCAATATGTAGACCGTGATTATCTGATCAGGCGCTAGAACTGAAACCTCACTCTCTTATTAATAGACACACCTATTGGCCAGGACTGCTGCACGCTCATCATTACGGATAAAAGCATATTGATCGACGCATTGCCAGCGGCAAGGTGCTGCGTCGACCACTTTATCCTGAGTCGTTTCATCTTGGGCGTTATAGACGTCCACAAATTGGTTAAATATCACTTAGTTGCACGGTTTGTCTCACTTGAGATCCTGCTAAAAATTGGTCTGTATTCTGGTATCTCAAGCGCCCAGACTTTTAAATTCCCTTTCATCGCCCCAGGGCTGTCGAGAATCTATTCATAAATTTTCTATCCGTCTTGTTTCTATATACCTTCTATTTTTGGTTCGAACTGGCTATTTTTCTGTCTCTCTTTCTATCATTCTCGCTTCTTCTTGGGCCCACGGTCTTTCACTTATAGTGGCCCAGTCTATTCATCTTCTTCACACTTGTTTTATGTTTTGCTTTTTCGTACTCCTACCTCATATTTCAAATGTGTCACGAGTGGCATGATGGGAGGGCGGACAACATCACTGAGGAGCAGGATGATATCGAAAGACGTGGAGATGAAGATTGAGTCCGCTGCTCATACCTTTAGCATGTCATTATATGTCCGCTGGTAAGCTGCCCTCGGCTGTATTGGTAAATGGTCAGTACATGAGGTTGTGGTTAACATAGAATTCGAGTCCCAATCGCAAGCGATGAAGAAAGAGAGAAGTTCTTCCAGTGAAAGACCGAATGGAATGTAAGCGGTCAACTGAAATTGATAAGAGTTACTGTTTACTGATCATTGATAGGTCTGCAAGAACATCAAACAAACGTTATAACGAAATACCTAGCCATAGATTGGTACTCCTGCGGGTAAAGTTAAACTCCTGCTCTATTTTGGGTGAAACTGATTGATGTAGATCCCCGCCGTGTTCGTATTTGCAGATCTACTATGCCCTGGTAAAGTATGAAGGATAAAGGAGTGGGATGTTGTTTTTGTATGCGGTATTTTCTGTATGTTGCTGCCTGGCCTTGGTGCCTTGGTGTTGTGTTTGTGTCTCTTGGTTGTTATCTGCTGCCATTCTGTGAATTTGTAATGTATACTTTGGTTTATCTGCTTTATTTTGCGTTTGATTTTATGTCTGATTCTGTGTATCTGTGGCTTCTATGTGACTTTGCTCCGAATGTATACTCTCTGCACACTTAAATTGACCAATCAGCGATCATATATGGGTGAGACAAGCTTTCACTGGCAAACAATGGATCCGAGTCATCAATCCACGTCAGCATACTTTTATTGTACTTTTTGTCACCTATTTTTGGCCATTCTGGTCTCTTCTAATGAATTAAAAGTAAAGTTCGTTTCCCAAGAAACCAAGAGAAGCAAGACCGAAATTCAGACCAATAGGAACCCAATTTTGGACTGATCAGATTGAAAATCTGAGGCATCGGGGTCGGGTTGGCGTAAGCGTCGCTTTGCGTTGCCTTTGTGTAGCTCGGTGCTTTTCTCTACTTTTCGCTTTTCGCTTTTCTCTTCCCACCCTTCCCTCTGCTTCTTCCCTCTCGCCATCCTCTGCATTCCACGTGAATCGCACTGCACCCTCGCTTTGCAGCCCTAGCGGCTCCAACTCACCATGCACTGACCCGACGCTACCTACTCTCGCAAACGCCACGATCCACAATTCTCCGATCACCCCATCCTGAGTGCCCATCATGGCTCTTACTCATGCCGCCATTATTGTCATCGTCCTCGTCGGCTGCCTCGCTGCCACAGCCCTAGGCGCATCACTCTTCAAACATTATAACCCCAACCCCGATGCCGAGGATGGCCGGTTCAGCGCGGGCTACGAGCAGAAGCTGTACATGGCCGAAGTCCGGGCGCGCGGATTCAACGGTCTGATGCAGGCCTGCTCTGATCCTCGAGATCTCGAGGCGCGCTGTATGTGAAACGACTTCTCTTTGATTCCTTTGATGTGGCTAATCGATCGCGGAATTAGATACCCTAGCGGGGTCGGGCTACTACCCTCCCCACACCGAGGTCAAAGACAGCAGTTCATGATCTACTTTCTCTTCTTGTTTTTTTCTCTCTTACGAACTCGGTTACGAATATGATTTGCACGATCTTAGGGACAGGGCATGGAGTTTTATGGAGTTACGGTCGCACTATACCGCGGACATGGGAGTTCTATTTTTAGTGCTTTGACCGGTCTGGAGGGGCAATTTGTTTATGGTCATGGTATGGCTCTTTGTGTGCGCAACTTACCTTGTTCTCATAGCCATTTGAGCTCCTTGAGGCACATTCTGATATCTACAGCATTAGAAATTGATCCAATCAAAATTTCGGCTTTCTTTCATCTCTTTCCATGCTTTCTGGCTTCATCGCATCTACTCAATCGGATTATATCACAGTATCTGGAGAAGTGAAATTATGCAATGACTTGGAAATCAATTGTTTCTCTTCAATCTGGTCTCTATGAGTTTTGCTCAGAATCAAAAATGACGTCAAACTGAATTGACCTCCGCGAGCCTTCACCCCGACATCGCCTAACCCACCGAAGAAAGAGGCTCACTTCGAGGAAGTCAGTCAAATGCAGTTAATCTCTACATAAAACACATCGTGATGCCAATTGAGATTGACCCGCTCCGATCACCAATGCACCCACTGTCCCTGGCTCTCTGGAACTTCTCCTCACCATGGTTCCTAATCCCACAAGGAACGGGAATTATATCCGTCCTCTTTCACCGACTAAACTACCAATTTACAGGCCTAATAATCCTCGCAAAGATAGTCTGGATCTACACAATCGTCCTTCTAGCCAGCTGTTTAATTATCTACCTCTTCCGCACAATCCTCTACCCAAAACATGTCATGCACCAACTAAAATCCAACCTTGCAGAAACCTCGTGTCTATCATGCATCTCAATCGCCTTCACCTCAATCCTCCAGCTAGCAGTGCTAGAATACGGCTAAAAAGCAGGCCTAGAAATCTACGTCCTGTGGTGGATAAACACAGCCATGGCAATGATAGCCTGCGCAGTCCTACCCTTCATCCACCTCACCCTCCAATCCCCAGGAATAAACAATCTCGCAACCTGCATCCTCCTCCCCTTCATCGCAGCCTTGACATCAGCCGCCTGCAGCGGCGTCGTCTGCCGCTTCAGCCATGTCAGTCCGGAACTCCAAGTCCCCGCCATAATAGTGGCATACCTCCAAGTCGGAGCGGGTCTCACACTCGCAACAGTTCTTGATGCAATTCTCGTCGTCCAATATCTGAATTGTTCCCAACCATTGCCAGAAACAGTATATCAAGACATGATCCTCTGCAGCCCATTCGGTCAAAGCTCATTCGCACTGCAAGCCCTAGGCCAAGCAGTGAACTCCGCCAGCGTTGCAACCTACGACCGAGAAAAGTTCCTAACACATGCCGCCGGCGCGACTGGATTCATTAGCCTCTTCTTCGGATTACTGGTCTGGGGATATGGAGTGTTCTGGTGGTGTTTTGCAAGCATGCGTATTGTCCATACGCTTTGCGCGCAGCCTGGGGGTTGGAGGCAGACGCGTTTTAGTATGGCGGCTTGGTCGTTGATTTTTCCTTGGGGGGCTTTTACGAATGCTGCTGTGGTGTTTGGCCGTTTTATGCAGATTCCGGCCTTTGGGGTGTTCTCGATGGGTTTGTTGGTTTTGCTTGTGCTGATGTGGATTGTGAGTCATGGGTTCATGGTTTGGGGGCTGGTTACTGGCAGGATTTTAGGGTTGGAGTGCGGATGGAGGGTTTCTTATCGGGGTTCTGAGAAGATCAAGGAGGTTTAGGAGTTGATTGTTGCGAGGCTTTGGTTTCGGGTGCGGAATTGGCGTGTTACCGAATCCCGATGATGTCTGGAAGTCTCTTGTCGGCCAAGATATGCTCTTTTTGTGCATTTCCACGGGTGGACGGGTAACTCGGCTGTTTGGATTGTGATGCTCACGATAGCAATGCCAATACCTCGCAGTGTAAATGATCGGCATTCGGGGCAGAAAATCGCCCGAAATGCGTATTTTTATAGTGCGAGGCTAAAGGGGTTCGGCCCACCGTACTTGGCAGCTTGCGATCAAATAAGTCAATTTATAAGAACATTCACACATTGTCTGGGCATTCATCATATTCACATTATACATGGAAATTGTGGCTATGCTTATATTTTAAATGCGATCTACAAGGCTGTCAAGGCCGCCAGGTTGAGGCAGTGAACATCGCCCTGTGCCCTTGGCCGGGCGTAGCGACTCGGCCCCGATAGCCTTGACCACATATAATCGAGACGTCTGCCGATCATGATCCACAGCCTCAGAGAAATTGCCCTGAATCTCATCAGTCCCTGGACTTGGCATCGCAAACCTTTCTTGATGCGGTATGGAGGGTGCCTAGACTCGGGCAAACCGCGCTCGGGACAAAGACAACCCAATGAAGAAATTCTTAAACTGTGTCAGATGTATGGCAGAGAAGCTTTCAGGCAGCACAAATAGAAGCAATCAGAAGAAGCAAATTGCCCGTATTCGGGTTTTTCGTCAGATGTCTATTCTCTCCACATGGTTCGTGCACCTCACGATACGAGTACGGTAGGGCCAAGAATTCTTGGTTCAACGCTCTTTTAAGCCTTGATCTTGTTCATTTAGGCCCTTTTTTTCTTTCTTCGCACTGATTCAGCCATCTAAATTCCATGATCCCAAAATGAATTCTCCCGACACTCTCAGCTACGAAAGCGACACACCCAGCGAAGGACGGTAAGTCAAACCCTCAAACAAAGAAACCCATATCAGCCCATACCTGTAAAACAACCAAATTATCCCTACCCCTACATTCGCTATACGAATCTAATGAAAAGCAGCATACCATCGCACCCAAAACTCAAAATCCAAGCCAGATTCCAAATAGCACGCCCACCCCCAAAATCCCATCAACGCCTCCGCCTCAGTCCAAAACTACTCCTCCAAATCCAACAATTACCCGCAAACCACCGACCAGTCCCCGTCCTAGAAATATGGCAACCACCACTGCGCAAATCAAAATTGACACGGGGATTCCCGCATCGCCCGAAACTTGGGGCGAGAGATATTTACGCAACACTCAATGAACCCTATGTCACGACAACACGACAGAAACAGCGCGAAGACGTCTCAGAAAATACTGATCAATGCGCACATGAGAAGGATATAGTTGCGGCTATGTGTAGCCCCTCTTCAAATGAAGAAACAGCTTCAGCTATCCATTTCAAGGATGCGAGGTGTATCTGGCAAGCCAGTCCAACCCCAAATTCAAAAACCAGCACGGCAGAATCCGAGCGAGCATCAAATTATCGCTTTACTATAAGGAATACAGAAACGGAAAATACTACTGGAGAAGAATGTCGAATGCTCATGCAATGGGAGAAACGGTCAGACGGCGATAATGCCGAGCATTTTGTTCTGGTGGCTATTGATCGAAAGGCAAAGCGGAAGAGTAGGATTGCTAGTATGACGAGGGGTGGGGTTGAGATAACTGTGAGGAAGAGTTCTGTTCTGGAGCATTTGCGGTTGTGTTTGTTGTTAACGGATCCCGTTGCTGGGTCTGCTGGGGATGATTTTTATGGGAATTTGGAGAATTGGCTTTATACTCATGTTTTGACGTTGGGGGTTTGGGTTGCTTCTATGGAGGGTTGGTTCAGTTTATGAATTAAGGACTTTGGATTGGGGTTGGGGATGGGGACGAGGGTGTCGATGGTGTTAGGTTTAGGCTGCGACTTTTCAAATCGAGAGCTAGATCAGGTAAATCTACTGTCAAGGTCGGGTTATACCCCAGAATACAATACGAGACTACTATAGACGTTGCTTTCATTTTGTTATTATTTGTTTCCACTATGTAGTGTCCATTTCCATTCAAGGACCACGGACCACTCAAAACACAAGCTCAGTAAGTGGTGATTCCCTCCTCAATAGCCTTGATCTGCAAAGCCAATATGCGAGAGTAGTATCGGCAAAGAGCAAGGTTTCCCCCCATAAACCAGAATCCAGGGTGTCCACTGCGCTGCCAGATGGTCCGGAACTCACCCTCCTGGTTAAGTCCCCAGACATCACCAACGCGATCAGCAACCTCGTCACCGAAGATCAAGCGAGTGTTAGACCTCATGTTCTGGTAACCAGTTGCAAGAATAATCTCGTCAGCATCAAGAGTTGAGCCATCCGCAAAAGCGATTCCCTTGGGGCGAATCTCGCTAATCTCCTGGCCTTGCTTTACTTTGACCTTGCCATCAATGATAAGTTGACTGCCACCTACGTCAATGTAGTATCCACCCCCGCGCTGAAAATACTTCATGATAAGCCCGGCGTCCATGGGTCCCATGTCGACCTTGAATCCCACCTTTTCCAGTCCTTCAAGGGTCTTGGCGTCATTCTGGTTCATCATCTTGGTGACTTTGATCTGTTGCGCTTTGAGCAAGGGGGGTGGGATGCTGTACAGGTACAAGTCCGCGTCCTCAGTAGGGGGACCACCCTCTTCATAGAGCCCTTTCAAGCCGATATTCACAATGGAATCAGATGTAATCACGCAGGTCGAGCTGCGCTGGACCATTGTCACATCATATCCCTTCTCATAGTAATCCTGGGCGATATCGTGGCCCGAATTACACGAGCCGACGACGACAGCCTTCTTGCCCTTGGAATCTGGCTTCGCGCCAGTGAACTCCGAGCTGTGGCAGATACGATCGCCCTTGAAGCCATCCATGCCCTTGAAAATTGGCACCTTCTTCTTTCCCGAGTGACCAGTCGCCTGGATTATATGACGTGGGTACAAGACATGGCGCTCTACTCTCTCATCGTCCGTACTACGGTACAGCATGACCTTCCACCGCTTCGTGTCCTCTTCCCATTTCGTTTCCATGATTTCGGTTTGGGTCCAGACATTCAACTCCAGCAGCTTGACATAGCTTTCGAAGAAATCGGCCAGCTTATCCTTGGGTGTGAAGATGGGCCAGCACTCCGGGAATGGCAGGTATGGCATGTGATCATACCACACTGGATCGTGGAGCACCAGTTGGTGATAACGCTTGCGCCAGCTATCTCCGATTCTTTTCTCGTTGTCGACAATCAGAGTGTCGACATTGAGCATCTTCAGACGTGCAGCGGCAGTGAGACCACCCTGGCCGGCACCTATCCTTTGGTTAGGTGTGATTCGTATAGAGACATTTCAGGGATGCATACCGACAATCAAGACTGCGGGTCCTTTCTCCTCAAAACCCTCCTCGGCAATGCGACGATCTTGCCAATTCTGCCTGCCTTGCTGCGCACCATGCTGCACACCAGTGGGTCTGTTCTTGCGAATGGCTTCATCACAACCAAACAATGAAGCCAATGAAGTAAAGACGGTGAATATCTTCCACTCCTCGCCATACTGAGCAAGTCGCACGACTCCACTTCCAGCCCCATTCTTGGTTGTGATCTTGATGAAGAACTCTATTCCGTGCACCTCACCAAATGCATCAATAGGACCAGCATGCGGGGCCTTAAGTGGCGAGCCACGGTCAATTTCAATCTTCAAATTTTCCTGACCAGCTGTGAGTGCAATAATGTCCTCACGATCTTTGACAGTGCGGAGATCCCATGAGAAGCACAGGTGGTCACGCCAGTATCCATTATCAGACAGGATCTCGGCGATGGCCTCCTTATCACCCGAGACAAGGGTGGTGTTCAATCGACGGATGATCTCCGTCGCAATTTCGTCTGGGTTCTCGGGGGTTGTTTTGTTCGTCTCGGGGAGCTCACCGAGTGGGATGTCAAAGGATCCCGGCTCGACTCGCTGTCTCGATGGGGGTACGTTGATGGCCATTGAGTCCCTGGTGGATTTTGTATGGTCAGGTATAATTCAGTGGGTTCGTAGAGGAAACAAATGGGAAAAACGAAAGTGCTCGTGCCGAATTGCCCCCTGGTATTTATGCTCTTACCTGCCCCGCACTCCAATGTACGGCCCTGGCCCCGCTGATCTTCGGGGATCACCCGAGATCGTTTGCCTTCGCAATTTATGTCTTTTAGTTTGGCCACTATTATCTGATGTTGTCTCTCTTAGGCAGGTCTGTGATGATGCGCGCGACATGGCATTAGGGCTTACCGTGTTTTCTGTGCTGGTTTACAGAGTACTTTTTAATACCAGTGTTCATAGTTATACGTGATACATGTTCAACTCTTCATAGGGTCTTCTTGCCTAACCTTTTGGGGTTTTCTTAGACTGGACATTCAACCATGCCCTAAGCAGGGTTTGCAATGTGGATTCAGCAGAGCGGTAGTCCTACACTTTACTTTGCACCTTTTAAGCCATTCTACTATTCTCTTCCTAAGTCAGTCTTTTCTTTCTCCATATCTTTTTTTTTTTTTTTTTCGAGCCATTTACATTGCGGGCTAAATGAATATTAATGATTTGTTAATTTTACTAGGCTATCGTTGATTATCTGGCGCAGACCTCGAACATGGTACTAGTGTTTATATATATCAACTTCCCACCATAGTATACTTTCCAACACGATAAAGTTAGGATTCAGGGTATCAATCAGCATCAGGATAGCCAGTATAGACTCTCAAAACACTGGAAAATTCCATCAACTAAGATAGGAGTAAAAATCAGCTTTGAAGGCGAGGAACCAAATGATTGCTTACACAATGGTTTTAAGCTTGTATTTTATTAATGTTGAATAAAATATATCAACTAGCATCATTGGTCTAGTGGTAGAATTCGTCGTTGCCATCGACGAGGCCCGTGTTCGATTCACGGATGATGCACATATCTTTTTGCTTTTTATCTTATTGGGAGCGGGGGATATGGCATTTCGCTTCTTTTCCTTTTTTTTTTCATTTTGATTTCTTTTGTTGAAGTCGGTTTCTACCCATCTCACTTTATTATTCTTTTGGTATATATCAATTGGCTCTTTGTAGGATTCCAAACCCGACAGTCGCACTATGGCCATGAAACGTGTCCGCCCCACATAATCATTTCTCCTGTTCCAAGTTGATTTACAAAATGTTGCTTTGCCCCAATGATTCTCCTAACGTGAATGAAACAAAGAACACTGATTTAAAATAGAAATACATTGACGGAAGCTCATCACTATAGCCCCAATATTAGCCTAGCTTCTAGCCTAGCGACCTTGCAACTAACGCACAGCGGAGGAAGCGTCGTCAGCTGTATACGATATCGGAACGAAGTTCAGAACAAGTCTAGAGCCAGGTCAAGCTTCCTTACTATTGTGTTTCTTTTCCACTCTTGGCAAGGCCGAGAATGTTTACGATTCTCCGTTACGTGCCCAGCCTTCCGCTTGCTTTAACGTGGAGTTTCACTCCTTCTCTCCTTCGCAATTTCGCTTTGCTAGTCTCCCATGCTGGCCAGATCTAGCATTGAAAATGCTGGTGAAAGCCAAAGAGTGAAGTCATGAGCCGGGCTACTCGTCAACTGGTGGGGATTTTCCTCACTGTTTTTCTCTTACTCTTGCTATACCGGTACCACCGCACAACGACGGAGGATGCCCAGCCCTCCAATTCTGCACCTACCGTCCAGGATACACCTCAACACCCGTCAAACGATGAATACAACCCCAATTTCTTATGGAGAACTCTACCTGTGCGGTTTCCAGTTGCCGAGATCCAGCCTCTCCCAGTGGAACTGCCCCGGAAGCTACCCAAGATCCAATCAGCAGACTCGAAAGTATCTCACACCACATTATGGCAACAGAGAAGCAGACGAGTAGCAGTGAAGAACGCCTTTGGACGATGCTGGAGATCATATGATGCTCTCGCTTGGTCGGCAGATGAGCTTGCGCCGCTCAGTGGTGCTCACACAAACGGACTGGGTGGATGGGGTGCGACACTGGTGGAAAATCTCGATCTATTGTGGATTATGGAGATGTATGACGAGTTTGAAAAGGCTGTGAATGCAGTCACAGACATCGACTTTCAAGTTACCGGATCCCCCGAGATCAACACTCATGAGATTAACACACGTCTCCTCGGCGGCTTGTTGGCTGCTCACGATCTAAGCGGCGATCTCAGATTGCGAGAAAAAGCCATTGAGCTAGGCGACATGCTCTATGCTGCTTTTGACACCCCAAATAGGATGCCCATCATCCACTGGGACTCCCACAGGGCTGCCCGACAGGAAGAGCAGCTTGCCGAGGAAAGCGTTCTAGCTGCAGAGCTAGGTTCATTTACCTTGGAGTTCATCAGGCTGTCCCAGATAACGGGGGACCCAAAATATTTCGACGCCGCCCAACGAGTCATGGAAACTTTCAATAGACAGCAAGACTCTACCAAGCTTCCCGGACTGTGGCCGGTATCCGTGAATCCCAGAGCAGAGCTCTTCGACGGCGATACGTTCACACTGGGCGCAGAAGCGAATTCCCTGTACAAGTCACTTCCTCGGGCATATGCCCTTCTTGGCGGTAACGTGCCAATGTATCGCAAGATGTACGAAAAAGCAACACTCACAGCCGCGGGCCACAACCTCTTCCGACCAATGAACCTAGCGGAGAAAGATATCCTCACCGCAGGAATTGTCCGAGTAATGACGACACAAAACGGAAAGCCACGTACACATCTGGAATCACAAGTCCAGTACCGGTCCTGTTTTGCAGGTGGCATGTTTGTACTAGGGAGTGCATTGTTCAAAATTCCCATGCACAAGACAATCGCACACAAACTCGTCGACGGTTGCATCTGGGCTCATGAGGCCATGCCCTTGGGTATCATGCCTGAAGTCCTCGATACAGTCCCGTGCGCATCACAGACAATCTGCCCATGGAATGAGTGGCACTGGAAGCAGGAAGTGTGGAAGCGAGCGCGTAGCCTGCAGCTAGAGCCAGATCCAAATCTCAACACTGATGCGTTTATCAGGGATCATCATCTTCCCAAGGGATTCATCAGTATCCCTGATACCGCTTACAATCTGCGACCGGAGGCGATTGAGAGTATTTTTACTCTTTATCGGATTACTGGTCGTGAGGACTTGCTTGACGTTGCTTGGGAGATGTTCCGAGCAATTCTGAGTGCCACCCAGGTGGAGAATGGCAATACTGCTATTATTGATGTTACTGTTGGCACGGAGCCGATCCGCGTGGATTCTATGCCGAGTTTCTGGATGTCGCAGACTCTGAAATATTTTTATCTCATGTTTAGCTCTCCGGATGTGATTAGTTTGGATGAGTTTGTGTTCAGTGCCGGTGGGCACCCACTGAAACTCCCCACAACATCATGATCAGAGTCTAAGCTGTTTAGTTCTTTTTATACTCATGTACCTTACTTAGATTTCTAGGGGAGAACTGAGTGCAAAATAATCTATATTACACTGGTTATCAACAATCACATCAACAAGCCAATCATGTTTCTTTCCGGCTTTAGAGAAATCTAAGCTTGCAAGCCAAATATCAGCTAGCTCTTCAAATATACATCAATAGAAACTAAAAGAAGACCTAGGATCTATTCACGAGCCAGAACCTTTCGCCTCTGCTTGAACATATACGAGTACATCATCACCGAACCTGCCACTTATCAGTTCCGAACCTGGATTGAGGACAAAAGAGTTGTAACGTACCAGGCAAATATAGACCCAGGAAGAAAGCATAAAGAGCCGCCAAAGGCATGTTCTCTGTGACTTTAGTCGCTTGTAACATCAACCACCATTCGCTGCTAATGCCAATTGGGTACAGGATCATGAAGAGAGAGTATCTAGTAGTAAGAGTATTAGAATTACTGGCACCCAAAGGAAACTCTGGCCATATAGTAGAACAATGACAAATAAGTAGACAAAGGGAAGTGACGTACCTCAACCATTTCAAAGCACGCGGAACGGGATATCCAGCCAACGCAATAGCAAAATACGAATAGCGGATTGTATCAGCAGTTGCCCAGGCAAGGAGCATTGCTGGGTAGGCCAGTGAGGGTCCAGTGGTATCAGGGAATGCATAGTTGACACCCCAGACCTGAACAGAGCGGGCGAAGACCTGTGTGAAGGTGGTGAATACAGGGGAGCGGATGAGTCCTGTAATTCATAGTCATAGATTAGATATATTTTTAGAGGATATTAGAAGGTCAAGTTATACCTGATGCAGCGTGCATTATTTCAGCTACAGCTAAGGTTTGGACACATCGTGTCCACGGTTCCAGCGATGCGTACACGGCTGAGATATCCGGGGAAAAGATCAACGCTGCAGCCGTGCCAAGCAGGACATAGAGCCAAAGACCAGCGCAGATGGTGTTGTATGCCAGCAGGTAGACCTGGCTAGCTGACTGAGACTTGTTTGTCGCCATTTTCAATTCTCCGTAGTGGTTTTGACACGTCAAGTCGGGGTTTCGACGTTCTTATCAGTTCCATCCATTCGTGCTAACCACTTTAGGAACTAAAGCAGTTTTAGCATGGCCAAGATTGCTGCAACCTCTTAAATTCCACTATGATTTAACTAACAGAAATATCCCTCCTCCATATTGTAATAGGCATATCACCCATCAAAAGACTAACGGCGTGTTAAAAATTCCTGACTTGGATATAGCCATGGGTAAGAAGTATACCATTTGCGAGGACTTGCTTGCCTGGTCCTCATTATCAGACACTCCTGAGGACAGTGCTACAACTGAGTCCGCTCGCAATGAAGCAACCACGTGAAGTGCAAACCGAAAGTGCGGAGAACTGCGGAGATGCGGGGAATACGGGCCTGATTGTTCAGGCTTCGGGGTGCATTTGGATAAGATGGCTGATACACATCTAAGTACATGTATCTTGAACAAATTATTCATACTCCCCCAATAATGTGGAAGTATCGAATCCCGCAGTGTCCAGGGGCGCTATATCCCAAAAACTCAATGAATCAAACGCAAGATCTGGCATCTGGAAGAAATGAGCAACTGATTGAGTCGAACGGAAGTGAACCGGAGCAATAATCTTAACTTACCATGAAATCAGAGCTCAAGCTCGACACAAGACCACTATCAGGTGTCCATATATCCATACCACCCGTCGGAAGAGCGGGCCCATCAGCATCGGAGCGATTTATCTCACTGGAGATATACGCTTGAAGCAAGACCCGAGATGTCTCCAAACTATCCATAATTGAATGCCGAATCTCCGCGTGGATACTTTGTTCATCACGATTTGCAGCGGTGATTTGGGCAATCATGCCTCTCAAAAGACCGTACCGTTTCAGGCTAGGAATGCCCGCTGCTATACTTTGATACAGATGATCAGATATGCGCTCGAGGGCCTCTAACAGTGGGGCTCGAGCGGCCTGCGCCATTTTATTAATAGTGCTTGGTGTCGTTACTGAAGACACCGCGGGCTGACTGGTTGTCTCTTCATCGATCTGGGTTATGAGCTCTAGTCCAATGACCATTATCACATCCGGGGAAAGATATCCCTTGAAGAGGCCTGCTCCTGAAAGACAAAGGCGGAAGAAGTCTTGATTTGATTGTTGCAAGTTGCTGGCCAGACTGGTATTGCTCTCTCCGTGAGAAGTCATTGCCAGAGCGGAGCTCAGGCTGAGTTTTCGAGAAAGATAGAATCGTGGATCATTGAGGGCTTTAACTGCGAATGGGCGATAGAGATTGAGGAGCAAGCGATGGATAATTGTATCGAGGAGGCGATGATGGAATAGTGTTGGTTCACTGGTACGCTTAGTAGCCTGAGCCAAATAGCTATGGAAAAGAGTCGCAATCTCTTTAAATGCTGCTATCAACTCTGCGCCTAGGGCCAAAGCCTCTTCATATGACTGCTCACGATTGCACTCATTGATGTTTCTGGCGATGCATAGACGAGTTGAAAAAGATTGCTGAAGAGTAATCTGAATTGAAGAATCGGTATATTGACCTTTAGACTTCGGAGTAGGTAGCGTCTCACTCGTAGCGTCGAAGTCTTCATCATCCAAATTAGATGGAGGCTTCGTATCATAATCATCGACAGAGAATAAAGGAGGCATAGCAGCATCAACGGAAAGTTGCACATTCAGTTCCAAAATCGTTGCCCATATACGACGTCGCATCTCAGCATCAAAAGCAGAAAGCCTCGAGAAGTTATGTGGATCTCGATGGAGACCTTGACTGATAGCCAACCGCAACAGTGAACCGGCAGAGTTCCAGTTCCCCCATTTATCGATCGCATATGCCTGGCGACACAGAAGCAACAAGCAATGCACCTGCAGGCCCTGAATAGTTGCACTTTCCCTGGCCGTAGGACCAGTGAGCCACCATTGGGCTGCATGGAGCCAACGGCGAATGGGTAAACGCAGATCATTAGCTGGTCCAGGCTTGAAATAGAATATAGCTCCGATAGAAATTATCAAAAGAAGTTCCATGAGGAAGCCAGTGGAGGTAGACTGTGGGTCTACCCAGAAGGCCTTGTACTCTTGCTTGAAAGTGGGGATATGCAACACTCTGTAGATCAATTCTATCGTTCGGAGGTATGATTGAACGAGCTCATCACAGACTTCTCTTGCTGGTAGGTCACCCAAGAGGTTTGGGGTTGGATCTAGTAAATGTGGCTTTTGCCAGTTCTTGACATTCCATCTCAGCGTCCGGGTTTCTTTGAGCGATTTGCTTATTTCGTTTCTGGGGACACCTTCATGGATGGCGGTTCCGCGAACGCTTCTCAGATGATGGAACTGAATCAAGTCAGTGACAAGCTCTAAGTATTAAGTGCAATGTGCTCACTTCTTGAAATACATGGGCCCAGTGTGTAGGCCCAAATAGTTTAGTCTCGTGCTTCGAGGATTTTAAATGCGGAGCCAAAGGAGGAATTAATGTCTGTGATCGTTCTGCGCTATCCGGTGGTATTCCAGTACTAACTGGACGATCTTTTTCTAGCTCGTTAACCCGGTTCTGAAGCATAGAAACGCTGCGCTCAAGTTCCGCCAGTCGAGCCGCATCAGCTGTGCTGTTCTCGACAAGACCTGGCGTATCACGAGAACCGGAGGTCCGTATAACGGGCTCATATTCAAGAGCTGCTCCTTGAGATCTCGCATCAAGTACCGCTTTCCCTTCATGAACAAATTGACAAGCCAAAGGGGGGTGGGACTTCGTACAAGGCCCACAGGGCATTTCCCGATCACACCGCACCTTTCGCCGACGACATTGCTCGCACGATAAGGCTGGGCGCCGGCGCTTGCGCGGATTTGACTGCATATTTGCGCTTTTTGCTCCCATGAAGCGAAAATGCCGTGAACTGGGTGGTCTTTTCTAAGTTCGGTGTTTTCGAGTTGTCCGTCGCTGAATTCCGGCAAATTCCGGAGATAAGAGATTCTCCGAGTGCGAGGACTTCATCACTGGTCAGGCCATCAGTCCAGCAAAGAAGAATCAAGACTGCAAGCGTGATTTACGTATTTCATTGGTCTTCGAGAACCAAGAAGAAATGGGAAACTCTTTCCAGAGCGATTGAAACTGTCCATTGCAGTCTGAAGTTCCAACAATCATGATTTCAACACTTCAAAATGTCATGGCACGATGCGCATCTCAACAGTGTCTATTTGTCCGAATGCACTTCTTATCTGAGCAACTGAGACAAAGAGGCAAGTTCGCCATCGGGCTCTGCTTCGGTCCTAGCTAGCCCCTTGGCATAGACTTGACGCATCTTGACTCATGAAGCCCCAATTGATAAAACGAAAAAGGAGCTGCTGCCAATTCGAGAAGCAGCAATTGAAACTATTTCGACTAGAAAAATGGCGACCATCGAGTCTACGAGGCTTTTCCCTAGACTTCAAGAGTCGTCAGCTTCAACACCTCTGTCAATTTTGGACGCAACGGTCGCGCGCTTTTCCCCAACAGGTGCAATATGGGTCTTTGACGAAAATCCCACAAACTTCGACCAGGAGACGTTTATTAATCATCTACGGGACTCGTTCATCGAAACCCTCTCCAAATTCTCTCAATGGGCAGGCCAACTGCAATGGGCACCAGTCCAACCAAGTGGAAACCACACAGAGCGCTTCAATCGGCCATTACTTGTATACGGTGCCGACACTGATCCCGGTGTTGAATGGACAGTAATCAAACACCCATTCAGAGCAGATGAGATAGTCCCTACGGCCGACGAGCGAGCTTCAACAATCACTGGCAATCGATCAGGAGCATGGGACGGCAATGACTTCAACCAAGGACTATTTGTCTCATCCGCACCACTGGCATTGCATGACTTGAAAGACTGCATCGGGCTACCAGGGATGCAAGTACAAGTCAGTCTCCTCCAAGACGGGGCATATGCGATCGGAATAAAGATAGCGCACTGTCTAGCCGATGCGCAGACGTTGATGGTTTTCGTGCATCTCTGGGCATCCAACAGTCAAAAGCAATTTAGGCAGCAGGCCAAACTATCGATGATGGGAGATCCAGTCTTCGATCCCGCATTACTAGACAAGTGCGCAGCAGGCGATATCAATGCCCCAGAACCAGACTCTGCTCTCATAAAAGTCGCCCGTGACTTACCCTTGCACCGCTATAGTTGGTGGGACACATTCGACGAGGCTTATCCAAAAGTCTGCATACCAACAACAGAAAATTCAAAACCATCAGCCGCAGATCTCGCACTAGCAATCCAGCAAAACAGAATCTCCCCTTCAACACCAGCACCTTGGTCATCATGGGATTTCACCAGACCGATCAGCTACACTCTCCTCCACTTCACAGGGCCCCAACTCCGCAGCCTCCAAGCCCAAGCCCAAAGCCTCCTCGACCAACCCCCCGAAAAGACATATCTCGCCTCGACGCGCTCCTCGCGCACCTCTGGAAAAGCATAACAAAAGCCCGAAAAGACACAGCAACCCACTTCCAACCCCAATCGCAAGACTCAATATACTTAAACCTAAGCCTAGGCGCACGCACGCGCATTCAACCACCCCTCCCGCCAACATTCATCGGCTCACCATTATTCCTAACGCACGTGTCCATGCCCGATCCGCAAAACAGCCAGGTACAACTGTCCGAGATAGCATCCAAGATCCGCGATACGATGAAGGAGTTTACGCCCGAGGCTGTGGGGGCTATGCTGCATGATGCTGCGCATGAGGTCTCGCCGCAGAGGCTTTGGCAGGGGTTTTTGGGAAGGGGGCATACGCTTGTTACTTCGTGGTTGAGGTTGGGGCTGTATGATGTTTCTTTTTGTGGTGGTAGTGGTAGTGTGCCGAGGTATGTGCATGCCATTATGCCTAGGGTTGATGGGTGTTTGCAGATTACGGATGATGCTTTTGGTGATGGGGGGATGGATGTTGCTGTTTATCTTGATGAGGGGGATATGGGGAGGTTACTTGGTGATTCATTGTTGTGAGGATTTAGAAACAGGCGAAGGGAACAAAGTCTTGTCGTCAAACCGATGATCGGTTGCGCAGTTCGCGTGGATCGGCGGGACCCTGCCGATCATCGAACTAAGCGATAATCGCGGGGAACGATAGGGCTTCGGAAGACCAGCGCGATAGTAAAAACAGCACGTTTCGAAGGGGGTCTTGTCAGGCAGTCAGTATGCGTTTGCCCTAGTTTTGCGGACTTCATGCCTCAGAGAGCTCAATATATGCTCTCTTCCCTAGATAGTTCAATAAGGTATCCTTTTGTCTTCCCCTTCTCTTGACTTATAAGACGTGGTGAGTAGAGCAACTGATGTATGTGTATGAAATTTCCTTTTGTTGTCCATTTTTATATCCAACTGTATGGACTGGAGGGTATCTATCAGTTATATATTCACGTATCCCATAATGTATAAGTCTTCGAACCCCCAAACCAGTCCCAAATGTCCAATCCACCCAAGTGTAAACCTAATATATGAACAAGAAGATAAGAAAGAATATACAGAAAAAAAAAAAAAAAAAAAAAAAAAAAGAAAAAGAAAGAAAGAAAAAGAAAGAAAGAAAAAGAAAGAAAGAAAAAAAGAAAATAATATGTCAAAGAATGTTAACCACTCATGGACATCGCCCGGTGTCGAGAAGCGCGTTTCCTGAAATTGGCATCGCGACTCTTCCGACCCATACGACCAAGAGCAAGACTCTCAAGCGTCTCGGGCTTTCCTCCCCAGAGCTTGCTGCGCCCGTTGCGCTTTTGTTGAGTGGGTGGGATCCAGAAGTGGGTGACTGCAGCGCCAATCATCATGCAGGCGCTGAAAACAAGGAGAACAATGCCGTGCTTGCGGGTTGATTCATCACCTGCTCCGCCAAAGCGGTAATATGTTGAGAAGATTTGGACGAGGATTGAGCCTAGTTTTCCCGCGCCGGCACTGAGGCCGTGGCAGGTTGCTCTGTATCGGGTTGGGAAGATCTCGGCTGGGATCATGTATGTTGTTGCGTTGGGGCCTGTGGCTGTTAGTCTAATTGCTCTGTGAGATATTGAGAGGGGCAAACTGACCGAAATTGAACATGATTTGTCCAATAATGTACAATGTCACCACGGCAGGTGGTCCAGAATAGAGACAGACAAACATCGTTCCCAGGGCAATGAAGAGAGCGGCAAGCGCAAGGAACATGTACTTCTGAAGAGCGACGCGATCAAGACGATGCGCGAAAATGATAAGCAGAATTCCTCCAACAAAGCTGCCCACGTTCAGAACCACCAATCCACGCACGGAGGTATCCAAGAACATCTGGAAGATATTCGCATTGGGACGGTCATCGGTCTTCCAATTCGGAGCTGGCGAGGAAAGGTGAAGAGCACCCAGAGTCTTTGCCAAAAATTGAGGACTGGATAGTCCAATTCCATAGAATCCGAAATCAAGAAGCAACCATGCAAGAGAACATCCAGCCAAACTGCGCCAGTTGCCCTCTGTCCAAAAGTACCGAATGACATCGGTACGTGCGAGTCGCCAGTGCGAGTTCAGCGTAGCTGGTGGCAGGCGGGTAAGTTCTTCTTCATCGTCATCGATGATAGAGCTGGTGCTAGCAATAGATGCGATCGGTGGCAATTGCATTGCACTTCCTGAGCCCCAGCCGGAAGATTCCATCATACCAGCACTTTCACTAAAGAGCGTAGTGGCATCGAATTCCGCGGTAACAGGGTCGTCTTCGATATCAACGAGGTAGCGGGGACTTTCTGGAATGGCAAATCGGAAAAGAGTGGCGACTGCGCCGGGCACGACTCCAATACCGAGAACCCAGCGCCACATCATATCAACGGTGCGTGTGAGATCTTCATCGCCTGTACTGTTGTTGCGTGCGATAACAATAACAATAACTGAGACAATATTACCGGCAATTTGACCGAGAGGCTGCATGAAGAAGACGCTGGCCATCATGCGGGCGCGATGCTTTGTCGGGGCGAATCTGATATTGTCAGTTTACTCCTTTCCGAATTTTTCCGAAAACAAGAGACGTACTCCGATGTAATCACTGCGCTAAGAGGATAATCGGCACCAACGCCAATGCCCACGCAGATTCTCCACCAGATCAACCACCCGTAGACATTCATGCTTCCGTCTTCGCCGCGGGAGGACATCACCACACCGAGCGTGGCAGTGATAAGCAATACCAGTTCAACACCATACATCTTCTTTCGACCATTCTTATCGGCCAGGAATCCGAATGCCACTTGTCCGAGTAAGGTGCCGGCTAATGTGGAGATGTTGATGCATGTGAGTCGTAATGAGGAGATATCGTTTCGCCAGTAGACGTAGGAGATCATCGGAAGGGCTATATTGTTGGCGAATAGCTGGAGTACATGTCAGTATCTGTCTTTGAAATCTTCCAGTATTCCATCTTGAATTTCCCCTCATTCTTTGTTACTCACGGTATAACCATCAAGGAAGAAACCAAGACCAGCAACCAGAACCACAATCCATTGAAAACCCTGCCGATCGATCGTCTCATAAATCTGTCGCATGCGAACATATCGATCCTGTATCACGATCATTATCAGCACATGCCTGACACGATAGCCATGGTGGGGTTCGTACCTGTTCGTGATCGAAGTCCCGCGCACGATCGGTCTTATACAACCGGGCGTGGAACTTGCCCATGATGAATGAATAGTTGAATGAAACTCCAACAATTCAACTTCATATGTACAAAGTAATATGCAGATACTAAAAGAAAGCAGCGAACCTATAAGACCCATATTGCCCAGCACAACGTGATCGAAACCCCACCGATCCCTGCGCACGCCAAGACGGAACTAAGCGGGAACGAGCCAAAGCTTGGGGTCTGACGCTCCACGTGCTGCCATTCTGTTGCTTGGTTTGTCGACACTCGAACATACTTTTAATTGTCCGTTTACCCACGAGGTAAGTGAGAGTCTATTATATTGTAATTCGCTTAACTTATTTGGAGCACTAGGTTCGGCTTTATTACCGTTCTGGTGTGTATCAGTCTCGTTTCTTGTTACTTGTTAATTGTTAATTGATTTAAATTTCCTGTCAAGTCTATGCCCAGGGGGTATCTCGTATTATATACATGCTAGTTATAGTCCCCCCCCATTCGCCAAGGAACTCCGCCATGCAAGATTCATTATCGTCAACTGCGGGAATTATCTCTCTATTAATTTCATCCAATCGTCAGGTCGTGTGATAGCATCTGACAAAAGTCCTTGCAATCTAACAGACTGTAAGCGACGTGAAATGAATAAAATGGACGAATTGGATATGCACTAACCATCATCTTCGAGGAACTGGACCGTAAAATTTCTCATCTGAGACAGAATCTCGAAGTTTGGATTTAGATCCAATGTGGCTGGTCGCCCAGCTTTTTTCGGCGGTTTAATACCCCCGACGCAGTTGACTTGCCGCAGATTAGTAACTGGGAAAGAGGCTGATTCTAGGCAGAGAGGGCTGACTCACGTGGAATAGAGACGTATCGTTTGAGCTCTCTTCGTTGAGAATTAGCGAAGAAAAGCATTACGCGTTTGCCGTTGTGGCCGCGGAGGATACGGAGATTTTGGCTGATGCATTCTTCTCCTCGTCCTTTGGATTTGGCCTCGGCCATTCCGCCGATGAATACCAGCTTGGAGCCGAGGAGAATTTCCTGGAATCGTACACAATCTGTATAACTGTAAGCTGGGATTTCAGCGTTGGGTTTTCGCGGTCGCATACCATTCCAGTTTTCGAATTTATATGAGAGCTGTGTCATAAATACCGTATGTGCTGCTTGTATCGTTTGTTGCTCCATAAAAGACACGCGGAGAGGGAAATCGTTGCCAGCTTTCGGATGCTCTAAATGCGGAACAGGAAGTTTTGTATTTGAAACTAAAACGCACCTATTAGCATATGTCGTTGAACATTCTTTGAAGAGAACCAACTCACAACCGTGTATGAAAGGAGTCTGTTGACCGAGTCCTCCTCCAAGCTCTAAACATCTCAGCGCACCCGTCGCATCTTTGCATACATCAATATAAGTGTATTTCAGCTTGAACAGCTGCCCGTTTTTCACAAATGAACTATACACCAGTCAGTGCTCGTTCCGAGAAGATCTGTTTCACAGCACAGACATTTGCACCGAAGGAGTCAATTCGAGCCGCACGACATCATCGTAGAACTGCCAGGACTGCTTCCTCGAGCTGGACCCAGGCGAGGTCGCGGGGCTCGGGAAAAGGATACTCGTTGACGCGGACGACACGGTGGAGGAGGAAACGGTACTTTGGCGTCGGTCCACCCAGTCCTGGAAGTCTTGAGAAGAGAAGGAATTCATGATCCCCAACTCTTTATGAGAAGATCGCAGAATCAAAGTGGGGGACAGATAAAAGTGGCATGCGAACTGGAGCTCAAGCGGATCCGAGAGAAAGATCGGCCAGGAACGAAAGTGGCATATTTGACCATGGTATAACAAAACTAATAACAAAAAGAGGCCAAAGACCTTGCAGGGTTAAGTACAAAGCAATCACATCTGAGTGTGGCCAGAATGTGTGGAGAATTGGGGGGCGGAACGTGGTGAAATGGCTGGCTATCATATCATCCCGGGGGTTCCACCCTCCCATGTGGCTTCAAACAGTTTGTATGAGTTCATGTCAACCCACCTTATTTCCTTTCTCGTATAATTACTGCATGTAATAGAGAATGATAGGTATGCATATCCACAGAGTATTAGCCTGGTTCACACCCACGTAACCCAAGTTCCTATCCGATCCGACATCTCCAATACTTGAGCTCTTCAAACTTTACAAAACCACTGGAACCTGTCAAGTGGAACACCCAAAAGCTACAAGTCTACCCGGGGCTTCTCCAAAATTTTCTGGAAAGGACCTGGAAATTCATGCCGATCGATATCTGGTCATAGCTTCGACACTTGCAGGCTGATGCGGCTGCATCGCCTACTAGTATATAACAAAACTAATGCCAACCAATGCCGAGCCCCAAATAATGTATACCATAGTACCATAGCCTTGGCAACACGCAGCAAGCCAGACATCACAAACAACCCAGTATCAATGCACGTGTCTAGCGGTATTCGGATATCATTCGGAACCAGGCTTCCCCTTCCCCCCCTTACGGGCCTCGGAATCAGTCACTCAGACGCACAGACAATTCCCCGGCTGAATTGCCTTTTGGGCTAATCACCGATCCACCTCGGGATGCAGACATCTTTTTAGGATGGTGGGGGCGGGTGCTCTGTTGTGTGCTCTGTGCTCTGTAGGCGATGGGACCCGTTACAGTAGCCGCATCTGTACATTATCGGCTTTGGGAGCCCCATTCTGCCTCTTCGTATATTAAGACGAATGTAAGACCTGTGGATGTAACTATCGATTATACGCCACAACGGACAAGGCCATTTTTGGTTCGGTGAAGATTACTCGATCCTTGGGTCGGGAAATTGATGGCCACGAGTCCGATATTTTCAAGGGCCATCGCCTCCACGTGGCGCTTGCTTATGCTGATGTCCCTATATAGCTGTTTCTGGGCAAAGTAAATTTCTGCTAGTAATGCCGAGTGTTCGTGTTGGCCGGTCGGATGACGGCGGAGCTTTTGTTCTGTGATCGATATCTGTCTAGTATCGGGATTTCGTCTATGAATACATTTTGTATTCGAAATACTGCTTTCCCACGTGCTGTATCTGTCGTCTTCTGTTGATCGAGCTGGCGCCCTATTGGTACGGCTGCAAGCTTAGTATCTCATGATTTGACTTTCGCGATAGGTTCTATCGGAAGACTGGCCGGGCCTTTATTGCATCATATGTTCTCGTCGACTTATCAGAAGCCCCCAGTGACATTCCATTCTTTGTTTTGTCTAGAGTGCCCCGAGGTCATCCCTGTACAGAAGGTGAATCACATGACAGAATGTCTGATGGTGTTGCTGGGGAAATCACCTGAGGAGAGGCGACCTTTTCAAAAGAGGCCTAGTAGACTTTCATACCTACAAGATATTAAACAGGGTCTTCGGAAGTACCGAAAAAAAAAAGACTCAATCAGGGTATTCTGGGACCTAGGATATAATGTTAGAAGATAGGTATCTTCGTAAAGCTCAGATTAATAGGGCTGTATTTCTCAAAATTGATCTTAAAATTTCAAGGGTCGATGATCATAGCTAGAAATCTATCTTTGCTGGGAATATGATTCCAGCTTGTGAATAGGAGCTCAGAATTTAGAAAGTCAGGTGGCTCATGTCTTGTGTATAAAGGCGAACTAGTTGGATGGCTTCGTTGCAGTCTCATTGTGCAGAACGTTTCAAGAAAAACAGTTCACTTGGAAGTACATGTATACTTTAAATATTCACGGCGTAAAACTTGTCAAATCAGGAGAGACAGCACATGAGTTAAGGACAATGATACATAGCGAGGGATTTGTATTCAGAACTATGATGTATCTATTCTGGCATTTGTGGAAGTTGCCCCGTGTCAAGCAATAAGTTAGCTATGTGATCAACAAGTCAGACGAAAGCACGAAGCAGATTCCTTGTTTGGTAACAGAGTAAGAGAAGAAGACGGCTTATAGGTAGCCGGTAGTCTTACAATTTCTTCAACTCCCATTCACACCTCATAATAGCGAAGTGATCTCAACGTATACACAGTGCATTCAAAGCACTCAAATAACGTGAAGTGATAGGTCTAATTGAATTCCCATGACAAGGTTGAGGCTGGAACAAGGGGCCAATTAGAAAAGAAGACACCCGTAGATCCTAAATAGATCGACATGTCTTAACTGGTACCCCAACTTCAGCTGTCAGCCAAAGTGATCTAAGTTTAGCCCCGATGCTTAGCCCTGCGCCCCCGCATCACGCGCCCTACCGAAGGAACACCGAACTGGCGAATATAGAGCGCCTTACTTCACAACCCTTGAGGTTTTTGTGTCTCATTCATGTAGGGCATTGCATCTTTAGGCCTTTCTGGAATTTTTGACATCAATGATTATGCAGGATCCCGAGCCGAGGGAAGTGTCCAGTGGGTAGCCGATCACTCAGTCCATCCGATCACAAGTTCCGAGTATCTAACCCTCTAATTATATCGAAACCACGAATATCCCTGAAACAAGCCTAGATCGAAATCAAACCAGGCGATGAGTGAGACCATTAGAAGTGAGACTAGTCAGCTTGCTTATTTGAATCTGCAAGGCAACCCGCAATAATTGGGGGATCGTCGAACCGATTACCGGATCGCCCTCTAGTGTCGACTGACCAAGGCTTCGCGCTGGATCGTACTGAGACTTGCAGAGACTTGACGAATTACATTCATCCCCGCTGGGTTATTTTAGAATTTAAAATTCGGGCGAACAAATGTGTTCGTGCGGATTCTTAGAATATAAAGCCCCAGATGGAACCCTACATTCTGCAATCTTCTCACTATACTCTACAAAAGCATACTACCCAATCCATCATTACTGAATATATTTTACCATACATTCTAATACCACATACCATACCCCACAATGAAGTTCTTTGCCTCAATGATTCTCTTCGCCGTCTCGGCTATCGCACAGAATGCCATGATCGGCCTTCCTTCCACAGGCCAAAAGGTCACCGCCGGAAATGAGATTGTCGTCCAAGTGCAGCGTCCCGTAAGTGACTGCCTTTGAAAGTCCACCACGAAGCGCAATACCTCTGACAGAGATTTCCCCACAGAACTCCCTTACAGGCTCCAAGGAAATGGCCGTCGCAATTGGCTTCTCCTCTTGCACATCGTCACCCTGCCACACCCCAGAGGAAGTGATGGGCACAATCCTCTACAACGGACCTTTCGACCCCGAATACCACGAGAGCAGCCAGCCCCCCTACGAGAATTTCACTGTCACCGTCCCCGAGTCCGCTGCCAAGGGCAAGGGACAGATTAATGTCGCTCATGCTACTTTGATCGGTGTAAGTATATATAGCTCAAAGAATCGTGCGCTTTCGGGATTGGGATTTGTATACTGACGTTTATAATGCAGGCTGGTCCTTTCCCTTACTTGGAGACTCTTAATAAGACTGTCATTGTTGCATAAGCGTGACGCTTTATTAAGAATATGAACTTAGCGAAGAGCAAGTTTGGGTAAAGTCTTTCTTCTTTTTGTACATGGGTTTGGGAATTTGTTCTTGGAAATTTTGAATGTGATTACTGGTTTTACGGAAGGATTGGATATCATAATTATGGCGTCAATAGAATCGAACAGATATGCATATCATCTTTAATAATACTTCCTCGTAATTTCAAAGCCATACAAATAATTCTGCTAAGTATAGGAGTCCAGGGACTGCGGTGGGGAGATAGCCGGTGTTAAGAAATATCGGTTTCAGCCGCATGTCGGCATCCTTGCAGACGGACAGACCGATTCCTGAATACTATTTAACACTATTGAAGATCAATTGACTTGCTACGAATCAATTGAATTTTTATACGAAGCAGTGTCGAGAAATGTATGGCATTGATTGAATCGCAATGCCTGTGCGAAATTGGGGATTACAATGGCGACGCATACACCTTCATCATTGGGTTCTTCAGAGACTCCAGCCTAAGAATTTTGATGCTAATTTGAGGTTGGTGGAGAAGGTGGAGGAACTTGCTGTAAAGAAGGGTTGTACGCCAACTCAGCTGGCGCTTTCTTGGACTAAGGCAGAAAGTACTCTTCCTGGGATGCCTGTAATGATTTGAGGGCGATTAAGTTGATTTGGATAAATTCCCTGTTGTGAGAGACAGATATCCTCCCGCGGCTGTCAAACTCGCTGAATATTAAATCATGGCTATTAATTGAATCTATTTCTTTTCAGGGGCGAAATGGCGTCGGAAATAAAGAGGCGAGGTTGGGAATTGTCAAAGTAGCTTTTCTTTGTTTCGCAGCCTGAAGACCATAGACCCCGGCCTAATTGAACTCTTGATTCGGACGCCACCTCATTGCTATTGAAGTATTATAATTGGTCTAGGTAGCAGTACGTTTATTCATGTCTCGATCGAGGCTTCTATAGCAACCGCCTCTTTATCTTTTCTTTGTTCCGCCAATGTTAATAAGAGCGTCATTTCAATAGCATGCATCTCACTCTCTTTGCCCCGGGGAGACTTTTCTTTCTGAGACCTCCCAAGTTGTTACCGGGCACTCAGAACCGACAAGATGGACAAACCATTCTCTCGCGACTACCAGCCGGTTTCCAGAATGGATTCCGACGGCGACAACGATGCGCCAACACCAAGCAGACTCCAACGCCGAACCTTCCAGTCCTTTCTCAAGCGCAACCTCGCCGCAATCACCATAGCTGGGCTCCTTCTCGTCTTGGCCCTCATGGTCCTCGCAATAATCGCAGCAATAGCAGTCGAACCATTCCGCGTTCTCGTCCTGAAAGGCTCCTCATCCGCAGACCCAGCAGACCTACATGGAAAACGCCAGTGTCTCCCAACAACAACTCGCACAACATACACATGCGGAAACTCAACCGCGGAAGCTCAAGCCCTTGGATGTGACTATGACCCTCTTGCCGGCTGCTGGCTCCACGAGAAGTGTTCGCATGACTTTACACATGAGTTTGCGCATTTCAATGACGGCAAGCCCTTTGTCTATTACTATGATGAAGCTGCTACTCGCCAGATGAAGGATTACGATGAAGTCGGTCGGAACCCTGATTTCTATTGGACTTCTATCCGTGAGCATCTAGTTCACTGCCTCTATCTTCTTCGGCGAGGTCACGACGTCCACATGCGGGGTGATCGTCTGGATACCATGCTTGGGGATCTTGAGCATGTTGACCATTGTACTGACATGTTGGCTAATTGGTTGCGGAGACCTGATCCTGTGGCCGAGAGTATTGGCACGCAGGGGCAGACTCATTGCTTCATGTCTTGTAGCTAATTGAACCTGGAGTGGATGGGAATCTGTGATCCAAATGGAGGGATCGTGTGAGAGGATGCTGATGTATTCATTGACTTGTGTTGTTCACCCAGAATGGCAACGACTTTTGGAATTTCTTTCTTTTTGTTACACTTACTTCGAACTTGGTTATTGTATTGCGCCAATATCTACAAAAATTGCAAGGAAACCTTGATTAATCTTTGCTCGTTCATGCTTTAGTAGTCGAGTATCTCGATGATTCATTCATTGATGAATTTCAGTGAAATGAGGCGAGATGTGGAAAAATCGAAAAGATTCTGTGTAAACATAATGCAAGGTTGTCTCCGATTACATGGCTTAGACATAAGGTTGCTCCGATCCGGACGTAGATCTCGTATCCACAGCCCTAGATCTATAACTAAAACATCTACGATCCTTCAAAGCCGATCCTACAATTCAATCAGGCTAATGGAAAGATAGAAATCCGGATAAAACACCCAAACCCCGGCCCGAGCCAACGATAGCCGACAAACCCGACCCCGAGCCTCGATGAAGTCATACACCATACAACCATCCAAACCACCACCTCATCCCAATCCACTCAACAACCCAAGCAACTAAAAATGCCACCCAAAAGAGTCGCAATAGTAACGAGCAGCACGCGCCGCCCACGACTAAACCCAACAATAACCCAATACGTGCACGACATCCTAGTCGCAGACCCAACAATCCCAACCAAACACACGCATGATGAAACAATCGACACAGATCCACGGCACATAACTCTCGAAATTATCGACCTATCCGCGCAATCCCTCCCCCTTTACGACGAGTCAGTAATCCCAGCCAGCCTTCCAGCAACAGACCCTACACCGCACTACAGCAAAGCCCACACACGCGCCTGGTCAACCCTCGTCCGTCAATACGACGCCTTCATCTTCGTCACGCCGCAGTATAACTGGAGTATACCAGCCAGCTTGAAGAACGCGCTTGATTACCTGTTCCATGAGTGGGTGGGCAAACCGGCTGGGATTGTTTCTTATGGGTCTAGAGGTGGGGGTAAGGCGGCGGAGCATTTGAGGGGTGTGTTGACTGGGTTGAGGATGAGGGTTGTCGGGACGGCGCCTGGGCTGGTTGTGAGGTTTACGGGGTTGCCTGTTGGGACTTTGAGTGAGGTTGAGGAGGCGGTGGACGTTGATGGGAGGGATTTGGAAGGGTGGAGGGAGGCGGGGGTGGAGGGGATGATGAGGAATTTGGGGATGGAGTTGGTTTGTGAGTTGGATAAGTAGAGAGAAAGAGAGAAATTAGGGGGATGCTGGTTGAATTTTGATATGAAGTGAGGTATAAGTTTGAGTTGTTGTATTAATTATCACGTTTTTGTGTTATACGTGCCGGGATTATATCTAATATGCGGAGATTAAATAGCTATACATGAATATCATAAATCCGACCAATCTCATTCAGCGTTGAGAATGTCCTCGCGTGTGATTCCGCTGCGATCACACATCGCACGGAAGATACCGTCTTCGTTGTCCCACAGAACAACCGGCGCACCCATCTCGGCAATCTGGCCCTGATCCATAACGCAGATCCGATCATAGTGAATGATTGTACGCAAACGATGCGCAATACACAACAAGGTGCGGCCCTCAAAGCCCTGCGCCATGGTTCGTTGAATCTTCTGATCAGTCTCGAAATCGACAGACGAGGTAGCTTCATCGCAGACGATGATGCGCGCATCGCGAACCAGCGCGCGAGCAAGGGCCATTAGTTGTCGCTGTCCGAGGGAGAAATTGAGACCTTCTTCGTCGACGGGTGATTCGAGTGTCAGCCGTTTTTTCTGGCGCTTGCCGTCCTCGCTGCCGACAGCCGGGCTTTCAACCGCTGGTGCGGAGGCTTTGCCTTCGACTTCTAGTTCTTGGTCCTGGCCGATGAGGTATGCTTTGCGCAGGGCGTTCCATAGTTCGATATCATTGTGTTCGTTGAATGGATCCAAGTTTGATCGGATGGTTCCCTTGAAGAGGGCTGGGTCTTGTGGAATGATGGCAAGACGGGATCGAAGGTCGTTCAGTCCGACAGTTGAAATGTCGATTCCGTCAATTTGGATGCTTCCCCCTGATAACTCGGTCAGGCGGAATAGTGCCGACATGATGCTTGACTTTCCGGCGCCAGTACGGCCGACAATTCCGATGCGCTCGCCGCCTTGGACATCCATGCTCAGACCTTTCAGGACAAGGGGCAGCTCAGCCCGGTAACGCATCTCTGTATTGGTGAACGTGATGCGACCTTTCTCGGGCCAGCTGGCGGACACCTCGGTTTGATGCAAGGGTGCTTCCTCTTCTAGCTCAGTACCGTAGTAATGAAGACGCTCTGTGGCATTCATATTGTTCTCAACTTCAGCAAGCTGACGAACGGTAAACTGTAGCATCTGCGCAATAGAGAGAATGTAGGACAGGACCAGTCCAGAGATACTGGGCGAGACGTTGAACCGAGAAGTGACGACCAATACACCAGTCACGAAGACTAATCCAGTGGACACGGCATCAAGTCGAACACTGAGCCAGCGCTGGTTGGAGAAAGTCAGGAAGTAAGCTCCGTTCATCACATCAATTGAGTCACAGATGCTGCGGCGGAATTGGTTCTGGACACCGTATGCACGAATGCATGCTGTGCCAGTGATAGCCTCGCCAAACTTAGCGTAGACCATCGATCGCAGAACCGCCTCGTGACGCTTCATTTCTCGTGCGGAGGCACGGTAGTAGTTGGAAGCCAGGACGAAGAGGATGGTGAGTGGGACAAGTGCAATGACGAAGTAATAGAAGAAGACGATAATCAAAACCATAACCGAAATAATCATGGTCATCGTCAGAGAATAGATCCGCATCGCATCACAAAGTTCATTATCCATGACGGTGACATCTTTCGAGAAACGATTGGTGATTCGTCCAAGGGGCGTGGTATCGAAGAAACTCATAGGAGCACGGAGCACACGAGTCATAGCACGCTGAAGCATTGTCCTACTCGCGTTTGTGCCGCAAGTGGTCATGTAGGTGGAGAAGGAGAACATCAAAATTGCAACGCTTACACCTAGACCAGCGTAGACTCCAATGTATTGGCCAGTCGAAAAACTGGGGTATTTGTCAGAGGTCCAGTATGAAAGCCAGAGACTAGTCCAAATGTTGGCGACGTTGACAGCTGCGATTAGAATCAAGACCATGACCGCATTGAGGTAACTGCCCGATGCCCGGATGTAGGCTTTCCAAACGCTCCAGCCTACGGATGCTGTGGCTTTTTCTTCATTCTGCATCAAGGCACCGCTAGGCTTTGCAGGTGAGGTCTTTTTAGGAACTGGTTGTTTTTCTTCGGCTTCTTCGACGGCTTCATCAACTGCTTCGCTCTCCTCTTCTTTTGTGTCTTCCTGTCTGGAAGTAGACATCAACCGCTTGAAGAGTGCATTGTCACGCATCAAGTTGTCAAAGGTATCGACAGCATCGATACGTCCCTCGTCCATAACAACAATCCGATCACATCGGTTGAGAACGTGGAGTTGATGTGTGGCCAGAATGCGACAACGATCCTTGAGCAACCCACAAATCGCCTTGTCCATTATGTGACGTCCAACGTGAGCATCGACAGCCGACAACGGGTCGTCCATGAGTACCATTTCCGCATTGAAATAGATTGCTCGGGCAATGTTCAAACGCTGCTTCTGTCCTCCAGACACGGTAATGCCCCGTTCTCCAATCTCAGTCTGATCGCCATTTGGAAGAATCTCCAGATCCGGAGTCAGAGCACATGCGTCAACCACTTGCTCGTACCAAGTCTCATCATACTCTTTGCCAAATAGAATGTTGTTGCGCACAGAGGTATTCTGAATCCAAGCATACTGGGGACAGAATGCGCGGGTGGTACTAAGTCGAACAGTACCATCGGTCACACGCATGTCGCCTGCAAGGGCTGAGAGCAAAGAACTCTTGCCACAGCCCACGGTTCCAATCACGGCCAACAATTCATTTCGACCAACTTCAATTGTCATATCCTTCAGTTTGAAGGGCTCCGAGAGTTTCTCCACAGTGAATTCTCCTTGGGGGTTTTTGGGGCTGGGAGACTTCTTCTCTGCCTTTTGGGCCTTTTCAGCCTTTTCGGCATCCTTTTCATCCGTCGGAAGACGTTCCCAAGTGAATGAAGCACGTTCAATCTCAATGGCATTCTCCATCTTGTCATCGACTTCAATGTCTTCTTTCTGCTCCTCGGCAAGAAGGAACTCCTGGATACGGTTAAGGGCAGTCCAAGCATCGGTAACCTGACCAATAATCATAGGCAACATGTTCAGCGGCAAACGCAGGGAGTTGAACAAAGCCAATGATGAGAAAATTGGCGCGGGGTCCAAATTATGATTTGAAAGGGCGTAGGTGATGAAGGCCAACATGGAAGCGAACGTGGGAATAGACATGGACACGCAAAGGATGAGATTTCGAAGGGCCAGCAATGTCTGGATGGATCGAATCTCTCGCCCACGCAGTTCTTTCAGCCGGCCAAGGAAACTACTTTCCCAACCAAAGTACTTGACGAACCGGACAGCTTGGAGAATTTCCTGTGTGAGTGATACGCGCTGGTCGGTGATTTTGTTGATGTCTCGGCGACGCTTGATCAATGATCGGATGGCAAAGGTGAGCAGCGGCATTCCGATCAATAGCAAAGCATAGCCTGACAAGCAACTGTAACCAATGTTGACTAAGAGAAGGACCAATGTGACAATGATGGTGACGGGTGCACTCCAAATCATATGGAACATGCCAGAAGCCAAGTTGATTCTGTCAACGTCGATACTCATGAGAGCCGTGATGCGGCCATTGTTCCAACCCGTGCCATCACCAGCCACGCCACCAGGGGTAGCAGCAGCATCGGAGTTTTTCTTCTCGTCTTTTTTCTCGCCTTTTTGGCCCTTATCCTCGGAATTGAGAAGAGCCTCCTTAGTAGCCTCAAGCGCCTTGATCTCCTCATCAGTAGCTTTCCCACCAGCCTTGGCCCGACCAGAAAGCTTCATGGCCTTATTAAAGATATGCGAAATGAGCACCGCGCGAATCTGTCCACCAACAATCTGACCTCGATACAAAAATTGATTGGTGCATAGACTCTGCAGCCCCTGCATGCAAGTGATACCCACAACGAACCCCATACCATGACCAATATGGGGAGCAGGCTGGCCACTATGCTGAGCGACATAAGCACTGGTAGCAAAAGCAATTAGGTACCGAGTCAAGTACGGCGCAAAAACAAGCAATAAGCAACTGAAGAACTGGCACACGCCACCAAGCAAGAATTCGAACCTGAAGGTGTCATACAACGCCCAGGCGAGCGGGCGGTTAGTCCCGCTCTCATTCCGCTTTTCCAGGGCTGCGTCTAACCGCGCTGATAGTACATCGACGGCGCGGTCTGGGTTGACGGTCCAGATATCCTGCAGTTCTAGTGGGCGTAAGTATCCCACTTTCATTAGGGGGGACATCCATTGGAAGGAGATAATGCTGAAGAATGAGGCGCCGTGTTCGTGGGAGGTTGATCGCTCTGTTGGAATTGGAGGGATCTTTTGGAGGCGTAATGGGTTGAGTTTTTGATACCATTTTTTCTTGGGTTCTTCTTTGGATTCGCTGGATGATCTTGAGCTTAAGGCTGCTCGGGCTTTCTCGTCCGCCACCACTACTTGGAGTGGTTCGGGTGTGGACATTGCGCCGAGTTATGTGGAGGAAGCAAGATTCTGGAGTCTGGAGTCGAGTGTTTTGAGTAGATGTGGGGCGATAAGCATTTCCTGAAAGCGGAATTCCTCGAGATGGAATGTCTTGAGATGTAGATCAGAGGAGGTGAGAGTTATAAGCAGAATCAAGCCTCGGAGAATCAAGAATATCCCCGAGGGGGGGCGTGAGTCAAACAATGGTTTGATAAAGCCCGTTTTTTATCTCGCATTCGCTTACAGGTCGCATTGCAGGTTAATGTCTTCCTGTTTGTGGTTTAGCCAACGGAGTCGGTGGTTGAGAATTCCGTTCGCCGTCCCTAAGTAGTGGAGGCGAAACTGGATTATTAATACAGGGTCATGGATAACCTAGCTAAATCTGTTGACAGTGCTATGTTCTCGCAGCGAGTATACTATTTGATATCGTGTTTGAGCCCTGGCTTCGCCTCCCTTTTTCCACCTCTTTTTTGACCATTTTCGAGTACCTTGAATCAATTAGATCATATAAAGGTGGCGCTGAATTTTGATTACTAATGTGTTGGGCCGGGATATTCAGGCGTTAAATCATTAACTCCGAGGCTAAGCTTTCGGGCTTTTCATTTTACTTATTTCTATGTGCTATGGGATACAATTTTGGCCTAGGATGATAAGAGAGCCATTCCATCGTCACGTCGTGGGACAGGAAAGCTGTCCAATAAGAACTCAAGTAGATGCAATCAAGATGTCCTGTAGATCAGGGATTAGGGATACCCACGGGGTCAGGTTCTGCTAGATCGGGGTCCGATTTTCCGTCTAGTTCTCGACACCAATCTTGACCTTCTTCTCAGGGGGAGGAATGACATGGTCCTCGGATGCACCCTTGAGGTTGGGGAGTTCGGCAACAGCCTCCTTGATGATGTCAAGAGCCTTCTGGATTTCCTCTTCGGTAATGACCAGTGGCGGCGCAAGGCGGATGATGTTCTGGTGAGTGGGCTTGGCCTATGAGTAGTCAGTAATCTGCAAGTCTCATCGGTATAAAGGATTAATCACATACCAGCAATCCCTTCTCCTTCATCAACATGCACAGATCCCAAGCAGAGTGTCCATTGGTCTTGGACTCATCAATGACGATAGCATTGAGCAGACCCTTTCCGCGCACCGTCTGAATAAGCGGGCTCTGGAGACCCTCAAGTCCAGCCCGGAACAAGTGACCGAGCTCCTCCGCGCGCTCGACCATACGCTCCTCACGTACGATCTCAAGTGCGCGAATGGCGACAGCGCAACCAAGTGGGTTTCCGCCGTAGGTGGACCCGTGGGTCCCGGGCTCGATCGTGAGCATGACGTCCTTGCTGCCCAGCACGCAAGAGACAGGGTACATACCACCTGAGATAGCCTTGCCTAGGAGGACAAGATCTGGCTTAATTCCACTCCACTCGTGGCAGAGGAGCTTACCCGTGCGGGCAATACCAGTCTGGATCTCATCACAGATCAACAGCACATTGTGCTTATCGCAGAGAGCGCGGGCTTCCTGCAGGTAGTCAGGGTCTGGGACGACAATGCCTGCCTCACCCTGGATGGGCTCGACAAGGAAAGCGGCCAGGTTGGGGCCGGCGGCTTCGAAGGCTTCGCGGAGGGCAGCCTTGTCATTGTATGCGATGGGTTTCTCTGTTCCGGGAATCGTGCAGCCGATACCGGGCAGGTAAGGGCCGTAGTTTTCGCGCGATTCGGGGTCAGAGGAGAGCGAGATGGCGGCAAACTAATGCAAGGGGCAAAAATGATCAGCCACTGAAGTACTGCGGCAGGTGACACGGGAAGGCTGGGCTTGTAACTTACCGTACGACCGTGGAAGTTGTTCTCTGCACTCAACACAATAGCCTTGTTCTCCGGAATGCCCTTGACCTTGTATCCCCATTTGCGGGCGATCTTGATACCGGTCTCGACAGCCTCGGCACCAGTGTTCATGGGCAGGACCATATCGAAGCCAAAGTAGCTTGTAACAAACTGGGCAAAGCGAGGGAAGACGTCATTGTAAAAGGCACGGGAGCTCAAAGTGACACGCGAAGCTTGATCCACGAGCGCCGCAATCAGTTTGGGGTGGCAGTGGCCCTGGTTCACTGCGGAGTAGGCGGAGAGGAAGTCTAGATAGTGACGACCTTCGGGGTCCCAGACCGAAGTGCCCTGGGCCCGGGCAAAGACAATAGGGAGAGGGTGGTAGTTGTGAGCAGCATATTGCTTCTCGGACTCAATAGCCTCAGCAGAGGAAGCCGCATGGTAGTGGGAGAAAGAGCCGTTGGTAGCCATGGTGGATTGCGTGGAGCGCTAGAAGCTACGGGATCGACAGGGTATCAAGTAGAAGGTAGGAGTGAAGTAGGAAGGTGAAGAAGTGAAGATAGAGAAAAGGAAAGAGAAATTAGACAGTTATAAGTAAGGAAATTCCCCGTATCTTGTGGCGCATATACAGCCGCTATGCCGTTAAGTGTTAGACCCGATCAACGATTGTCCGCTAAGTACAGGTCGTGCCGATGCTGTTCCCTATACGCAGGATTACCCTATTACCCCCATTTTCTTTGTTTTTCACTCGCTATGATTCGTTTGTCATTCCGAGAATATTGGAATATGGTAATATTGCAGATTAATATCGAATTAGGGAAGTCGAAGAGATGTTAACTAGACTATGTGCTATAGATGCGCGTCATAGTTCGGTTAGTCAAGGATGTGATCAGATGAGTCTATTATAGAGTCAATATTTAAATATAAAGATATCAAAGAGTATTTTCTAGCATTTACTTATTCTACACATCAAATAAAAATCAATTGAAATGTTCTTGTTCCGTATAAGTCAAAATGTCACATTACGTAGTTCACCTCGGCCTTTGGGGCAACTTCTCCCCTTATCAGCCTCTCTTGTTCGCATGCCCACCAGCCAACCTTGAACGACCTTGCGCAATGCGCCAGTTGAGCTAGTACTCGCGATCTCTCTGGTGAATATGTCTACACCTACTTCTCCGCGTCATCGCGCGACTCCAATTCCCCACGCGCCCACCCGAAACATCCTCCTCTTCCTGGTTGCCTTTCGCCTGCTCAACGCCTTTACCACGCGCACATTCTTCCAGCCAGATGAATACTTTCAATCACTAGAGCCCGCCTGGCAGATCGCATTTGGTCCAGACCAGGGGGCCTGGCTGACGTGGGTGAGTGATTGCGATCGCGTCAAGAAATCTCCCAGTCTAACAGCGCATTGCTCCTAGGAATGGCGGAACCAACTACGATCCTCATTACACCCGCTCATCTTCGCCGCACTTTACAAAGCTGCGGATTTCCTTTCTTTGGTCCTTCACCTCTCCCCCGCGACGCGTGCCGAACTCCTGATTGCCGCCCCGAAGACAGCGCAGGCCGTTGTAGCGGCAATCGGTGATTTCTACACTTGGAAACTTGCAGTCCGCGTCTACGGAGATGAGTCTCGTGGTGCCTGGACAACGGTATGCTCTCGATATCGCGGCAATTAAGGAAAGCGCAATTGACTTTTGCTCTTATAGCTCGCTGCTACCGTCCTGAATCCCTGGCAATGGTTCTGCTCGACTAGGACCCTGTCGAATTGCCTGGAAACAACAATCACCATTGTCGCATTGGAACTATGGCCATGGCAATGGTCGACAGCCTCTGCTATTACCAATGGCCACGTTAAAAATGCCACCAGCCAAAAGAAGAGCACGGGCCAAGACCGTGGTGTTATTTTTCGGTATGAACGAAGATCCAAGGTATATGACAGCCACTGACGCTTCTTGCAGGCTGCACAAATGTCTACCACTGGCTGCAATCGCTTGCATATTGCGACCGACCAATATCCTGGTTTGGGCCACACTGGGTAGCATCGCTTGGCTTCGGACCTCTTGGGCCCAGCGCCGAATCCTCGTGGCCGAAGTTTTAGTATGCGGGTGAGTATGTCTGACACTTAGGTGAGCATCAGCTGACGTTATGACTCGGTAGATCGGCAATGCTAGCTATCTCTGCTGTTGCAGACCGCTTGTTCTATGGCATTTGGACTTTGCCGCCACTCAGATTCCTATACTTCAATATCGCCCAATCACTGGCTGTCTTCTATGGCAATAATAACTTCCACTACTATGCCACGGAAGGCTATCCACTCCTCCTCACCACACTGTTGCCTTTTGCTGTACTTGGTCTATACCGAACCTTGACAACCCGGAGCTCTTCGGTTGTCGATAATGTGCCGACCGCGATCCGGGTGCAATTGGCGACGGTGTGTTTAGTCATGCCATTCGTCCTCTCCTTGATCTCACACAAGGAAGTGCGCTTTATCTACCCATTGCTACCGTCTCTGCATATCTTGGCTGCTCCGCCTTTGGTGCAATTCTTCTACCCCGCCATCTACTCGCGAGCATACCCTCGCCATACCCCTCGCAGGTTGATTCTCATCTTCCTCGTGTTTGTTAACCTTGTCGTTGCGTTATATACCACTATTCGCCACGCCTCAGGGCCCCTCAGCGTCCTCTCCTATCTCCGCCAGCAACATGAAGCCCACGCCCCCGCTCAGAAAGAACCAGAATCCACAGCTGGAATCTCAGCAGGCTTCTTAATGCCCTGCCACAGCACTCCTTGGCGCTCCCATCTAGTCTACCCAACAATAAACGCCTGGGCCCTGTCCTGTGAGCCTCCAATTGACCAAACCGATGCCCAAAAGTCCGTCTACCGCGATGAAGCAGACCAGTTCTATGATGACCCAAGCCTATTCCTCCGCCAAAACATGGCAGGCGGTCTCCGCCATTTGCCCCATCGACCCAGCTACGCCTCGGGCGCCCATTCCCTATCAGGAACAGACCTAGCCCCACCCCAGCAACACGAGTGGCCAGACTATCTCATATTCTTCGCCCAACTCGAACCAACGCTCCACAGCCTCCTCCGCGGTTCCTCCTACGGCGAATGCAAACGCATTTTCAACACAGACTGGCACGACGACTGGCGCCGTCGCGGCGACATCGTAGTCTGGTGTCTAGACCCAAAAGAGCAAGATGCATGGCGCGCCGAAACCCAAACGCGCGTCAACCATAGTCGCGAAAAGCAATTCGATCGTATCATGGAGGCGTTCAGGAAAGAAATGCGCAGCCAGCAAAAGCGCGGTTGGGCTGCTAAAATTCCTTCTTGGTCTTCTTTGTCTTCTTGGCCGTCGTCTCGTTCTACCTTTGCTTCCAGCTTTGCTTCGTGGCAGCGCTCTGCGCAGTCGCTCTTCACTCCTAGATCTTCATCCATTGCGTGGCCTTGGCGGCCAAAGTCTCGTTGGGAGACCTTCTTAGCGCGTTTCCGGATGCCTGCGCGTAGGACGGGCTGGATTCCGTCTTGGGGCGTGGGTTGGGTTCCTCAGTGGCCTCCTTGGTTACAGGGTAAAAAGAAGTCACCTTTGGATCGGGATCTTTGGTCGTGATCAGGTTGTTGACATTTAATGACACTTTAGCTGCTGTTACTGTGGATGTCTTGATTTGCTTTGCTGCATAGCTGTTTTTCTTTTGCTATGTCTTCCTGGTACCCCCTCCCTTTCTATGTCATTTAATATAAACCTAGACAGAATACCTAGTCTGTCTTAAAAAATTTCTCACACTGGGTTAAACCGTTGATCAATTTCATCGAATATAGTAACAAGAAAGTATATACTATGTACCATTTTGACCCGCTAATCGGAACCCAAAATCATCTTTTGTATACAAACACAGAGTGAGAAGAAAGAGAAGAAAAAGAAAAAAAAAGGATAGACAGTGAGAGGGGGAAAAGAAAGTATTAAAGAGAGTGGCAAACAAACAAAAGACTCAAGATGCGACATGCACGCGCGTAACACGTCTCAATCTTCTATATCCATCATTATCAGTAAGTATATCAACGTCAACATCCAAATTCAATCCAGTGCATCCATTTCAAACTACGTCCACATCTGAATCCAGATCCAAAACTAGTCAGACAGTGCAACTTTTATGGTATTTAGAAGACCAAGCATGGATAGGATCCACACCCAAACGTGGAAATAGAAAAGTACAAACATCATGGCAGAAATCAACCATAGCGAGCACTCAGGCTGGCAAAAGCATCAGGGCTATGCCGGCCATTCTGCAATCCGCTCACGTCCACGCTTGGCTGGCTCATGTGTGTTCGGTTGAATGCCGAGCCTGTTGGAGGCGCGCTTTTGAATGGGGAGGGGTTCCCTCCCATTGTTGGGGTTGTTCCAAAGCCTCCGGCTCCTGGCTGGTTGTTCAAACCGCCGATTCCTAGTCCAGACTGGTTTTGCTGCTGTTGGTAGGGGTTTATTCCTGCCTGGGCGGCGAGACCGCTACCGGCACCTGGGGAAGGCTGCTGTTGTTGTTGCTGTTGCTGGTAGGGGTTCAGGCCTGCTTGAGCGGAGAAACCGGTACCGGCTGGAACACCGCCGAAGAATGGGTTGTTGGTTGAGGAGGGTTGGCCATTGGCAGCTGGTTGTTGAGACTGAGGCTGAGGCTGACTTTGGAGGCTTGTCTGGTTCTGTTGCATAGAGGCGTATGGGTTCGAGGATTGAGGGAAGGGGTTCATTCCCGTGGATTGGGGCTGAGCCTGGGGGGCCTGGGCTTGATATTGTTGGGGAATCGGAGGAACATTAGACTGGGAGGGGCCCAAATTGTACAAGGAAAGAATGTTGCTTTTGTTCATCTGTCCCGTGGGCTGCGACATGAGTTGCTGCGGCTGCTGGGGTTGCAGGTGGGATTGCTGTTGGTTGGGGTAACCGCTTGCACCCCGTGTCGGTGCCGGACCTGACTGGAACGGGTTGTATGATCCTAGGCCAGCATTTTGTTGCTGCTGGGGTTGCTGCTGGGGTTGCTGCCGTTGCTGTTGCTGCTGCTGCTGCTGCTGCTGCTGCTGCTGCTGCTGCTGCTGTTCTTGGAATGAAGAGGAGGGTCCAAATGGCGAATTGCCGAAAGGGGACGAGGAAGACATGGCCGGCATGGTGTTCGCGTGCTGAGGCTGGTTAGGGGCCGCGAGCGTCGGCACCTGTTGCTGAGTTTGCTGCTGCATGGGTTGATTTTGTTGTGCAATGTTAAAGAACGGGTTGGTCTGCTGTGCACTCGGGTTTGGATATGACTGGCTGGCCAAGCCATTCTGTGGCTGCTGCACCTGCGGCTGCGGCGCTGTCTGGGCAAAAGGATTGTAGCTATCCATTGTCTGGGGCGATGCGACGTAGGAGGACTGTGAGAAGGTTGCCGTGACGGGAGGTGTGTAGGGCTGTTGGTACATAGGCTGCTGCATGGAGCTTTGGTTTGGATATCCACCAGTGGAGTGGGGGAACAATGGCTGGGAAACCTGCAGGCTCTGGAACGACGACTCCAAGGGTTGTGCAGAGGCCGGCGTCAGTTTTGGTTGGTCAAAGGGATTGTAAGAAGCGGTCTGGGGTTGCGACTGCTGAGGCACTGGATTCGACACGGCGCGGTCAAACGGATTGTTGGATGTCTCGGGCTTCGGGGTCATCGCGCTCGTAGATGCCGCAGCAGGAGTTCGAGACCTTGATGTAGGGTTGCTTCCCTCGCCCAACCTGACCAATGTTTCAACTGCGCGGTCCAAGTCTTCATTCAATCCCTTGAGAACCATCTCATTTCGTCGGTCATTGGTGAAACCCATATCCTGCAGCGCGGCCATTTTAGATTCAAACGAGGCGGTCGTCACATCGGCGACAGGCGCACCAAGTCCTGTGACCCTCCTGGATGGCAATGCCGGCGGTGGTGACCAAGAACCACTGTCTGAAGTTGGCGATGTGACCTTGGGCTTGTTTCCGAATCGGCGGAGGTTGGACGTGGAGGATGAGTTTCGAAGACCGAACTTGAAGAACTTGCCAGACTTTGGCGGCAGCGGCGGAGGTGATCCCTCTGGAGATCTATCATCGTAGTTCCTTCTTGACATTTCTGGTGACCTGGTCCTGGGGTTGGAATAGCTCGAATCCTCCCGGCTCGGAGGCTTCGGCTTCCCATCTTCCAACGAACGATATTGATACTTCGCTCTAATGTGTCGCTCCATGCATGCATCGGCTTCGTCGATGTCGGTCGGAATTGGGGGCTTAATGTTTCGCGGATTGTAGATTTTGTTCATAAGGAGGTTGCCATGCGATTTCATGCTCTAGTAAAGCCAGCTGTCAGTGCGTGATCGTGCCGAGGGGCTGTAATACACTCACATCAACCTGTTCCGCGGACCAGGTGTCCATTGTTAACGACTTGACTTTGGAAATGTGTGTGCCCAGCTTTCGATGCAGTGCGGCGCAGCGCATGCAGAGGAAGATGCCCATCTATCGGAGACGAATGGTCAGTTTGCGGATTCGATCGTAGCTAAAGGCGACATACGTTCCAACTTGCCCATCCTATCACACAATTAGTCTGTGAACAACAATGTTGGCGCGGGGGACAAACCTGGGGTCAAGGCATCGCAATCGGCACATCGGTCATTGCCAGGAACGGTGCGGATCAGCTCCGTCAGGGTCTTTTCGTTCCGCAGCTGCTGGCGCTTGCTGATGCCGTTTGGCATGGTGAAAACAATAAAATTACAAAGAAGGAGTGGCAGAAATACAAGAGAAAGAGTGGAATGGATAGGGGAAGAATCCAAGTTTCCGAGGGGCGGAGAAGGTCGACCACGCCGGTTAGAACTTAATGTTAACGTTGATCCTTGCTAAGCCTTTCTTTTTACTTGGGTTTGTTCCAGAGTACGTTCCAAGGCTCAGGCTATTCACATCACTGAGTTCTGCACTTTCCCCGGGCCCGCACCGTGTCTTCTAGATGTGTTCTAGAAGCTTGCAAGCAGGTTGGGCACGTTGGGCAGCTTTCACAGAGTACAAAGCCCTGACAAGCTTGACGCCTGGGTTTACTCTCAAGCAAAAGAGCTACAATATAATATGGATGTCCGGGCAGCAATGACTGCATCTACCATCGCACCAAAGGAGCCGAAGCTCCCCGATACAGTCGAAAAGTACTAATGATGCCCAGGAGTTTCATCTAGTACGCCAATATGACCTGCCATCCTATGATATAAAGGAATTGGAGGTTGATTATGCGTTCGAAAAAGTGTAAAGAGGAAAGGGAGCCAACGGCGCGAAATTTTCGATACAAATGATAGTTGTGGTCAGGTGACCACGCTAAAGGTCACGTGTTACATAGACTAAGATGAATTTTCTGTTGTTGCCAACTTTCTCTTCCTCAACCATCACTGAGTTTGTCAACCTCAAGGGTTCCTTCAATTCTTTAATGTCGGGAATTGGATCAACACTTCAAGTTGCGCAAGCTCATAGATAACCCCCACATAACCCGCGTGGTGCCTTCTCGTGGCACTGGACGTCTCTTGGGTGATTTTTTAATCGTTCGTTCGTGGCATATCAAAACCAAACAGTTTTTAGCAGAGCTGCGTCTACTCCACCCTGGTGTTCGTATCTATCGAACAGCAGGACTTTTTTACGACGGACATCCCAGATACTTAATGGAATTTTATATTTACACATTGTCCCACCTTGAGAATTCTAGCCGATTTACAGCCTTCCCAAGTCTCACCGTATACGCTTTCGGTCCTCCATCGTTCCTCTGTGTCCTTCCCTCCTTCCCTGCCCAGCAGTTGACTTCAACCCTCAACATGTAAGACATACATTGCAGAAGCAGATGTCACCCTGCTCGGATTCATCTTGCACAAGCCATGTATGACCCGATAATGCCCTCGGGGCGTTCAATACTTCTGCAAGGCACCTATAATTGCCTGTTGGTCGCCTGCCTCTATATATTGCACTAGGAATTGTTCTGGATGTCTGCCGTACCCAGGAATGGATCCTCATATTACACAGCTGATATATCACCGGACGTTACGAAGACTAGTGGGTACTCGTCATGTTCCGAGGCCGACTCTTTTGATTCAAAATCATATCAAGAATCGTGTTGGAAAGGATTGCACAAAGTATTCTCTGTTTCGCGGTACCTCTATCTTGCTGCTCCATGGAGCTGATGTGTAATATATAAGGGGCATGTTCAATAATTCTAGGCCAATGCCTGTTTGGTCTACAAATAAACTGAGGCAAAGTCCTTTTCCTCTCTGTAGATGTGCCTGGTTCTGCAGAACATTTTCCAATTGAGACTTCTGAATATATCATGGCGACTTAGGGCATAGTAATCAGAACCATGAAACCCCTGATAATGTAAAAAGGTTAATTCTGCATCATGGAAGCGATCTATATTAATAAAATAGCTTATCTACATGCAAAAGTCATACATCCAGACTGCCGTTATTAGTGAGCGGACTAGACCGATATGTACAGTAAGCTGGAGGGGTGGTGGGTCTCAAAGGACGCAATTGGCCAAGCAGAGTCTTGCTGTTAATAATGTTGTCCGAGGGCAAGTCTGTCTCCGAGGAACATATGACAGATATTGTTGGTTTTCTCGGATTAAGGTCAATTTGGACAGGGAAACAGTCTGAGTAGAAAGCAGTCTTTCAGCCAGAAGATAGGGGCGGTAAGCAATCGGTAAATGGCCGTGACAGCCCGGGGAGCAGAATGCGGAGAGTCGTCAACGCCGAGGCAAATCGCATATGTGGCCCCCTTGATTGGCTGTTCCAGCAGCTTCTATTGGAGTATGAGTAGCATGAGAGGTACTTAGGGCTCCCGGTTCTTCCCTTCTTTCGTGGTGTACCTATACTTTCTCTGTTTTCTTTCCTGTGCAACCCATTAGACTTCCTTCATTTCATTTCATTTCATTTCATTTCATTTCATTTCATACCATACCTTCCTTCACAATGGCTTCGGCTGCCAAAACTGCATCCCGGGCTTTCCTTCGCTCGACCCCGGCGACCTCCTCTTTCCGTCCTGCTGCGCGCAGCACTCGCTTTGCCATCCCCCAGGGTCTCCGTTCCTCTGCTCGTCGCGGATATTCCTCTGAGGCTGGTTCTTCTGAGGCTGGCTCCCAGAAGTCCTCCTCCGCTGGCATCTGGGCCTTCGGTATCGCTGCTCTCGGTGCCGGTGGTGCGTACCTCTACCTGAACGGCGCTTCCCCCAAGGGCCCCTTCGTCCCTACCCAGGCCGACTACCAGAAGGTGTACGACGCCATCGCTCTCCGTCTCCAGAACGAGACCGACTATGACGACGGCAGCTATGGTCCCGTAAGTTAGCCCCGCAAGCTTGCAGCTCAAGCAGACGGCTCATAAGACATCTTCACAGGTCCTCGTTCGTCTCGCATGGCACGCCAGCGGTACCTATGACAAGGAGACCGGCACCGGAGGTAGCAACGGCTCCACCATGAGATTCGCTCCCGAGTCTGACCACGGCGCCAACGCCGGTCTCAAGCACGCCCGTGACTTCCTCGAGCCCATTAAGACCCAGTTCCCCTGGATCACCTACTCCGATCTGTGGACTCTGGCCGGTGCCTGCTCTATCCAGGAACTGGGTGGTCCCTCGATCCCCTGGAGACCCGGCCGTGAGGACAAGGACGTCGCCGCCTGCACTCCCGACGGCCGTCTGCCCGACGCCGCCCAGGGCCACCGTCATATCCGCGACGTCTTCGGTCGCATGGGCTTTGACGACCGCGAGATGGTCGCTCTAATCGGTGCCCACGCTCTGGGCCGAGCTCACAGTGACCGCTCCGGCTTCGATGGTCCCTGGGACTTCAGCCCTACCGTCTTCAGCAACGACTTCTTCAAGCTGCTCGTCGACGAGAAGTGGAACCAGAAGAAGTGGAACGGCCCTACTCAGTTCACTGACAAGACCACTCAGACTCTCATGATGCTGCCCACCGATATTGCCCTGATCAAGGACAAGGGATTCAAGCAGCACGTTGACCGTTATGCCAAGGACAGTGATGTCTTCTTCAAGGAGTTCTCGGATGTCTTTGTCAAGCTCATTGAGCTTGGTGTGCCTTTCCAGGTCAAGCCTGAGGACCGCTTCATCTTCAAGGCTTCCGAGTAAGCGAGTTGCTTGGGTTAAATGTCCTTTTTCGCATTTCTTTTCCTGTCTTGATATCCGAGTCAATTGCTCACCGAAATTTCTTCTCATTTGAATGAAATATTAGATTTCCTTGCATTCTTACTGCATTTCGTCATGGTGATCATTGTAGTGATTGTCGTATATTCGTGAGTAGAGTATAGTTTATTGGATTGCCAGCAAAGTTTGTAGAGAGCTGCACCGCGACTGTGGATGATCTGTTCAAAATGATAGTAGAATAGGCGGTACCTGAATACAAGCAGAGTAGATGCGAAAGTGGAAGCTGAAGGAGAACAGGAAGTATGGGTCCGGGACGGCCTCACCCAAGTGGCGTGCCCTCCAATTTCAATCTTCAAAAAACCCAAACACCCCGCTTTCACCAACCTACCCCAGATTCTCAGGGAAATCTTGATATGCACGCGGTCAGACCTCTACGCTAGACTTCGAGGCGTCACCATTACCCAGCGCGCAACCCTCTGCACGAGGACCAAGCCCAACACGGGATCAACACCGCGCAACCAGCCAGAAGACACTACATCCCAAATCGACCCGGCCTCCGCGAGGCGAACAGATACAATGACTCATATAGGCGATTTCTACGAGATCCTCAGTCTGCCTTTTACTGGATCTTCGGCTGGGATGGTCCTGTCCAAGCAGCAAATCAAGCTCGCATACCACAAAGCCCTGCTAAAACACCACCCGGATAAAGCGGGCGCTGTCGCGAAAGATCCTGGGTTCAGTGGCTCGGCTGCGGTCCCTTCCACGTCTACATCTATGTCTAACCCCCTCTTTCGATCGAACGATTCCCCGCGACAGCCGTATACCATTGACCAGATTACCACCGCTTATAAAACACTATCTGACCCCCTCCTCCGCGCCGAATATGACCGTTCTCTTCGACTGGATAGGGCGAAGGCAGAGAAGGGTGGTGAGGTTTTCCACACTGGGCTGGAGATTGTGGATTTGGAGGATCTCGCTTGCGACGAGGGCGAGGATGGGGACTGCTGGTATCGCGGTTGTCGATGTGGTGATGAGCGGGGATTCTTGGTTACAGAAGATGATTTGGAAAGAGAGGCCGAGCATGGGGAGATTGTCATTGGGTGTCGGGGGTGCAGTCTCTGGCTGAAGATTCTTTTTGCTGTGGAAGGGTGAAGCAGATTTTGAGTGTCGGATGAATTCTTCCCTCTGTCTGCTGTAACCCGCAGCAAGCAGGGCTCGCATCTACCAACTGGATTGGTCTGCGCTTCCGGATATTTGCTATGCTGAGCAAATTATTCGGGCGGATGCTGTTGCAGCAGTGTTGCAGCTCACGACCTGCTCGTGGGCTCAATCTCGCTGTAGGTTGGCACCAGATCTTCTCGGTCGAGGCTGCAACACTTACCAATTGTCGAGGATTAGCCGAGGTCCGTCAAGACTGTTCTCGTCTGTCTCGTCGCATTTTAAATCGGATGTGCCTTGAGCGCTCGGTGCAGTTTTGAATCCTCCTGGGGGATCCCACAGCTGCCGGTCTTAATTTCAACTAATGTCTTGGTGAGACAAATGCTGTGTTGGATGGCTACATGGGAATCTTAAATCTGGTTATGCTTATCGCGAGTCAGTCGAGTACTTTTCATAGTAACCCTAAACATTAAGATATATTTGGGCTTGGCCTCCAGTCACACCTCGAAATATATCCTACCAAACATATAGATAAACCTCAATTTTCAAAAACTTAGATGCTCTAGTTTCTCCAAAATCAAACCAAATCACCCAAAACAGCTAGAAAACAATGTTCAAAGCATGCTAGCACACCTAGATAGCCTGTGTGGTTGATAGTTGATTATGTAGAGGGGCTGATGACATATTCGGAGGCACCAAAACACACCTCTTTCCATCCACAATCATCCCTCCTCCCACCCCAACTTCACCATGTCCGTCGTTGAGATCTCCTCAAAGGAGCAATTCACCTCGCTTCTCAGTGCATCTCGCCTAGTCGTTGCTGACTGTAAGTTCCCTGGACTCTACCCCGCTGACCCTGTCTTAGCAACCACTAACCTTGACCTGATACATCCAGTCTACGCCGACTGGTGCGGTCCATGCAAGGCTATCGCGCCAGCCTATGAGTCGCTGGCCACACAGCTGTCCCGCCCGAACCAAATTACCTTCACGAAGATCAATGTCGACCACCAACAAGACCTCGCCAAAGCTTACGGCGTCACAGCGTATGTGCATCCTACAAGAACCGCCCAGCCAGCCTAGCTAGCCCAACCGGACCCTACAACAATGGAACTACATACCCTTGAACCACAGCTAACAACTCGATTCTAGAATGCCAACCTTCATCGTCTTCAAGAACGGCCGCGTGAACGAAACCGTCAAGGGCGCCAACCCTTCAAAACTGAACTCGATCGTGCAAAAACTCGCCTCAGAAGCAAGTCAATCCGATGACGCCGGCGCCGGCGAAGGAAGCTCAGGCGAAGCCTGGATCGGCGGCACAGTGGCCAAGGGCTACACCGACATCACGGACCAAGTCGACCCAAAAGGACTGGAGCTGTTGAACCGGGATACGGAGCTCGCAGCGCCGCGCACACTGTTCGACACATCGAAGCCATCCAGCCTGGCCGGCAAGGGCAAGGGCAAGGGCAAGGAGAGCAGCGCCGCCGACTGGGTGGAGAGCGACACGGACGAGCAGCTCATGCTCTACATCCCATTCATGTCCACGCTTAAGGTGCACTCGCTTCAGATCACTTCGCTTCCACCTGCCGATGGCGATGACGAGACCCCTATGCGGCCGAGGAGTATTCATGTTTACAAGAATACGGCTCATGTGCTTGGGTTTGATGAGGCGGATGGGATCCCGCCTGTGCAGAAGGTTGAGATTCAGGATGGGGATTGGGATGAGAAGACTGCCACTGCCACGGTTGGGTTGCGGTTTGTCAATTTCCAGAATGTTACCTCGCTGGTTTTGTTCTTTGTTGATGGGGACGGGGAGAGTGAGAAGCTGCGCGTGGATCGCATCCGGGTTATTGGTGAGGCGGGTGAGAAGAGGTCCATGGGCAAGTTGGAGAAGATTGGTGATGAGCCTGGCGAGTAAACATAGACTACTGGATAAAAGAATTCTACATGACAGCTTAGCTTGAGTTTGAGCTTGGAGCAGGGAGGTGCCTTGGCAGTCTTGATCAAAATCAAGCAGTGTTTGTCTGAGTACCGAGCACAGCAGTGTTTACAATAATGAAAGCCACACAGAGCAAATTCAATATCAAAAAATATCATATTCAAGTTCACTAAAAACTAGTCCCGAAAGGGAGATGTTCGATCCCAAACCAAAAGGTCTCATCCTAAAGAATCAGAAAGACCTATAAAGTAAGAACCGATGTGCAATTCCTTTTCTCTGTGGCACAACTGACACCTGGGGTACATCACTGAAGGCCAGACAAATGACCGTGGATGTCCAGGCAACACGGGTAATCCTTAGTTGCGCCGCCGCACGAAGAAAAAAAGAAGAAAAGAAGAAAGTTGCCCGGCGATTTCGAGCTTTTATGTCCTGCCCGGGCGGTGGGTTTTTCCGAGCTCCTTCCCTCACCGAGCAGTCTCGTTTCGCACACAGAAAGAAATGGATTACATAAGCACTGACGCGAGGAACTTTTCCTTTCGTTGAAAGATTTTCCCTTTCTTCTTCATATTATCATGGTCGATGATGAGATTTTGGAATACATGATAGGAAGAGACTGACTCCCAATGGGAGCGTGATCTCACTTTAACCATTCACTGAGACCATTTATCAGTACTGCGACAACTACCGTGTCCAGCTGGAGCCGCTGGAGCTGCATACTCTCATTGGTCTTATCTTCGCTGCTCTTTTAATCTGGGAGCCCAGCAGGACCGTCACAGAGCAGACATATGAAATATACACATTCCCCATCCTATCGGTACGCTTAGCAGCCGATCTCCAGACCCAAAATCAAAGAAGGACCTTCGGGTTTAGAAACCACACCATCATACCACATCCACAGAAAAGAAATTAAAACCATGACGCAAACCCCATTCCATTGGATTAAGGTGAAATGCTGAATTGCATCACTGGATCTCCGGCGGTACTCGTGCATATCCATATCTCGGCCTGGTAAATCCACACCGGGACGCTCCCGGCTCGTAAAATACACGCACGTTGCCGACCGGCATACGGTCCGTCCTGGACGCACAACGTGCACAGAATAACTGGTTCACACGGGCCGTAAAGCGTGGAGCTTGGAGAGCCGAGAATGGAGAATGGAGACGGGCGTCCCTGGTCGTGGTCCGCAATTGGAGTTCTGCCTCTTGGCAGAACGAGCAAGGTCCCGATTTTCCACGCTGCAAAAAGCCGCCGGCAAACTCGCCAGTTTCGCTATAGCAGTTCAGTAGCAGCTCGGTGGCTTTTGTGGCGGCTCTTTCACCGAGAGCGAGGTGAAAATGTTCGAAATGATGGTCACCGGCCGCCTCCAGTTCCGTCTCACGTCCATATATAGTATCATGGACTCCGTAGAATCTCAATCATTCTCGTCTGTAGTTCTCGATCGGGAAGCGTGTTTTTTTCCTTACCTGCAGTCCCACTGTTTTGATCGGTGCCTGAGCCCAAAGAAGATGGACTGGACCCGGATCCATGGACGGCGACCTCATAGCTGCATGATTCTGTGTTGAAGTGGATGCTGGATCTGGCTTGAGTTTCAGGTTTCAGGTTTCAGGGTTCAAGTCTTTTTCATCCGTACATTGGGACCAAATGTGTTATTTCGTGATCGCGCCGATCCACGATGTACCCGACCCAAGGATTCCAGCTCTGGTTTTTCGGGCGGACAAAACCACAAAATGAAGAGAACTTTAGATAATGTTGCGCAGATATCGCATTCAAAAGACCCGCTTCCTTGATACGAGCTTGTTCTGTGCTCGTGTCTTAGTTTTGTGTAGGCTGTGCGTTTCCGTGTACTCCGTATTTCCCGCATTCTGTGCTCGTGCTCCGTGTTGGCTTTGTATCCACTGATGTGTGCGGGAGGGAAGAAATTGGTCAGTGGACAGCGCAGTGGCCACGGCCAGACTGGCAATCTCGCTGTTGATGCGCAGAGACACGACCTGGACCGATCCTTCAGCTGGGAATTTGAGATGCAAGGGAATGTGCATAATCGAATAATATCTTCATGTATACTCGCCACCGAGAGTAAGCTCCCGACCCAAGTTTCAGCTCAGCTGTGATTATGGTTTCAGCGCGTCGGACCAGATTCGCCACTGACGCTGGCGTGCATGCTGCATGCTTGCACGAAAGGCTAAGGCTGGGATAATGGAAGACAGCTGAATCTTTGGTGATTGGCATAGACACGCCCACCTTTCCCAATATGAGTTGTGTCAAAAGTCTTACGTACGAGCAGTGAGATGATCTGCTCCAACGTTAGCCCCCTTCCTTGGTTTTGAGCCGTGGGCTCGTACACTATCTGATGGGAAATGGAGCCGGGCGATCGTGATAGACACGGTCATCCACTCGACGGTATCTTCCCGAGTCTGACTTAGACTTGCGCCACTTACATATAGTTATCGCTAGAGAGGTTATGGTGCATTCTGCAGGGTTCCTGGTATTTTCGGTGGATACGAACTACGGGATATAGGCTGAAGATATTCCTCACGCGAGAACTTAATGTTGAACCTTGTCGTGTACCTTTTTTTTTTTTTTTTTTTTTTTCCAGTCTATATTCACTGAGTTTGACGTAGAATTAACTTAACTTTGTCCATGGGTGCCACTATCTCGGGCCCATTCCGTTGCTCCAGATATGGGCTCCCGATATGGGGGCAAGATCAGATAATGCACTGTGTTCTTTGGTGGACAGCCTTTTGGGATCCAGTCGTACCAAATGGTTGTCCGAGAAGATACGACATCGGAGGATCAAATCGCCTCTACGGGATACTCCAACTCTTCCAAATCAATTGGTCCACGAGGTCCCCATCCAGGAACATCCGATAATTGGGTCAGCCTCCGGGGAGAAAAAGCAGTTCCTAAGCCAAGGCCTCGGAAATCATTCTGGGTCAGGAACAGGAAGCTAGTCTCCAAGTGTGAATAGCCTCGCAAAAAGCCAATTGGGAGATGTACAAGTTGGGTCTAATGCACCACGGGATAGTTTCATCTCCGCATTTTGGGGGTGGTGTATTTTACC